GAATTAAACGAGAAAATGAAACGGGAGAAAAAAGGCCATTATCAAGCCAAGATGATATTTATTGGTAACAGCCCTATGGCGTCCCCGCAAATTGGCCTTGGACCGAAACCACCGAGCAGGCAGCCATTTATTTTTTTGCGTGAGAAGACCCCCCCGCCACACACGTCACAGGGTCTAGGACTGTCTGCAGTATGTGCTACCATGTATAAGAAGCGGTCAGGAAGTGGTAGCAGTGATCTATGAATTTAATACCTAAGTAATAGATGACCGTGGGTAGGGATATCATTATAGGAGGCAAGGTAGGAAGTATGAGATGTGAATGAGACAGGGGGAGATCCGTGGATATTGACTTAATTCCAGCCGAAAGGAATACGCCAAGGGGTTAGTTCAAGATTTAGTTCGATTTATTCAAAACGACCAAGGTACCAGATCAGAAGTACAGATCTACAGATCTACAAAAAAAAAAAAAATTTCGTCTCAAAGACAAGTCAATTGACCTATATACAGCAACAACTTTTGTTCTTATTCATCACTCATCGCGGGATTCACCGCTCCATTGAGACGGGGTAGGGTATCTTCTAGTCATCTCTTGTTGGGGGGAAATCCTCCAAGTCTATCCATTAACATCGAAAGTCATAAAAATAAATAAATCATCAGGCAAAATCCGATTCGGCGAGAAAAGGTTTTTACAGCTGCTCGGCCCAGGGGGCGATGCCGGCCTGCATCTGGTTGAGCCACTTGACAAGCTCAATGAGCTCGGCGCGGCGCTCATCCTCGAGCTGGTCCTCGTCACCGGTCAGGACGGCCTGGAAGACGGGGAGCAGTTGAGGGGTGAGCTCGCGGATGGTGGCATCCTCCCACTTGTACATCTGGCAGATCATGCGGTACAGGGGCTCGTTCTCCTCGTAGTCATTCTTGAGGGGAAGAATGTTGACCAGGACAGGGAGAACGTCCTTGGTGGGGACACTCTCACGGCTACGCAGGATCATGCGGCTGACACAGCCGGTAGCGTTGTCCTGCAGGCGGGACACGTTCATGGTGAGGCACTGCTCGAGGCGGCTGAGAATTGTAGGGTACTCCTTGAGCATCTCAGCGTCGGACTGGGAGTGTTCGACCAGGCGGCCAACGGCGTAGGCAGCGTTGGAGCGAGTCTGAGGGTCCTCATCGTTGAGACGGTGGAGGAGGAGCTTGAGGAAGGTACCGGTGTAGGGGGGTGACGGATCCGCCCATGCCGTTAATGCACTCAGCGAGAACACCAACGGAGGTGGCACGCTCAAGAGCCTCGCCACTGCTGGCATAGCGGAGGATGGTCTTCTCGAAGACCTTCCAGAGCTCAGCGAAGCTGGGGCCGAGAGCGGCGGCCATGCCGGAGACAACGTCAAGAGCGGTGTCGACGACGACCCAATCGAACTCGGAAGTCTCTTCACCGGCCTCGGCAGTCTCCTCCTCGGGACCGAACTCAAGCTGGCAAGGGTGCTGCTTGGTGATGATGTCGGTGACCATCTGGATCACGTTGTGCAGCATAGTCTCGTCAGCGATGAGAGCCGGACCACAGAAGCGGAGGTTCTCAGCCATGTTTCGGTTAATGTCGGCGACGGTGGCACTTAATGAAGAAGATCAGTTAGCATTTGGTCAAAACCAACGATCAGAAGCAGCATAACAAAAAAGTAATGAAGGACAGTTTCAGATACAGAACGCCGTTTACATCAATCGCGACTTTTGCGCGTCAAAGTGAGCTGGGTTAAGCGAGATGGATCATCATAAAAAGTGTGCCCGGAGGCAACGGAGGAAGAAATCAAAAGCATCAAGAAAAAAAAAAGCATTAGAACGTACCGATCATCTTCCTCAGTCCACATCTTGACGGTGGCAGTCATGAGGATTTCACCAAATTTCTTAACCTCCTTGGCGGGCTGGACCTGCAGGGGCAGACCAGGCTGCCACTTGGCCATCTGCTCGGTCTCCTCGGCAATGCTGAAGAGCATAGCGTAGGAGCGGTGCAGAGTGCTGATAGTGCTCTTGCGAACACCCTCGTAGGGGTGCTCAGCAAGGGGCATGACCTGCTCGATGGTCTTCTCGAAGTAGGGAAGGAAAGAGCTGCGGGTGTGGGTGATCAGATCACCGATAACCTCGACTGCAATCTCCTTCTCCAGGGAAAGGGGAGTGGTGGCGGTGATGTCGTCCCAGGCATCATCGTCATCCTCGAAGTCAACGTCCTCGATCTCGCCCTCGATGTCATCGTCATCGTCAGCGGAAGCGACCTTGACCTTGCGACCAGCAACAGTGACCTCCTGACCAACAAGGTCCTTGGCGGCCTCGCCAAGCTCGACCTCAAGGTCAGTCTCGTCCTGCTCAATACAGGCGAAGAGTCCGTTGACAACGCCCTCCAGGAAAGGGGAGAAGTCCTCAGAGTAGACCTTGGCCATGGCACCCCAGAAGATGTAGGTACTCTCCTTGAGACGAGAGTGTCCAAGGTGGAGAGCCTCCTCGGTGGCGCGCATGAGGGGCTCAACGTAGGGCTGGTAGCGCTCAGGGCCAGCGGCAGCAGCCATCTCACCCATAGCATCAGTGACACTAGCACGGAGATCAAGCTCCTCCTCGCTGTCCTTGACGGCAGCGAACTCCTGGAGGAGGTGCATAGACTCGTCGAAGAAGGACAGGAAGGAGTCACCGGCGGAGGAGGCCAGGGAACCAAGAGCACCGGCAGCAAGAGCCTTGATCTTGAAGTCGGGGTGCTTGAAGAGGTTGTGCAGGATGGGGACAAGCTCAGCCTGGTAGGGAGCAACGTCCTTCTCATCGAGACCGTCAACGACGGCATCAATGGCGCTGATACCAGCCTTCATAATGTCCATGGTAGGACCATCCTCCTCTCCGTTGTACTCGGCCATGGCCTTAGCCAGGTTCTGGAAGAGCAGAGGCATCAGGCGGGCGTGCTCCTGGCTGAGGTCCTCGGCGAGGTCATCGGCCAGACGGGCAACGGCGTGCAGGGAAGCCTGACGAACCTTGGACTCGGAATCGGCAAGGAGCTGGAGAACCATGGGGAAGATCTCGTGCATCTGGGTGCTGATGAAATCAGGAGCACCCTCAACACACATACCCAGAGCCATGATACCGGCGCGGCGGTAGTTGGGGTCTTGGCTGTTGAAGTACTGGCCGAGGGCCTGGAGGAGAGGAACAACGATCTGGCTGGGGGGGCAGGCTCTGGGCGAGCATGTCGAGCAGACCGAGGGCAGAGCGAGCAGGGGTGATCTCGTCATCGATGGGGGCATCGTCCAACTCGGTAACAATGTGCAGAGCAGTGCGGGTGAGCTGCTCACCAATGCGCATACCCTGGATCTTGAGCTTGCGGTACTGGACGGCTTGCATGAGGAAGCTGATGGCCTGGGTGCGGACATCCTCATCGACCTCGGTGTTGGCAGAGATCTCGTTCATGAAGACAACGAGGTCCTTCAGGTGAACAGTGAGGAGGGCGGGGTCGCAGCCGAGCAGGGTCTGGAAGACCTCGAAGGCCTGCATGATGCGATCGTCATCGCCGGAGGAGATGGCGTCCTTTAGGACAGCAACCATGGCGGGAACGAGCTCCTGGAAAGCCTTGACAGGAGCCATGTCCTCCTCGGAGTCGAGGTGCATAGCCAACTTGCTGAGAGCAAGGAGGGTGTTGATGCGGACCTCGGCGCTCTCGGGGTCCTGGATGGTCTTGCCGAACAGCTTGAAGAGGTCAGCGAACTTCTCCTCGAAGCCCTCTCCAAGAGTCTCCAGAATAGTGAAGAGAATGTAGATAGAGACGGCACGCTCATCCTGGTTGCCACCGTCGGCAGCGCGGAGGAGCAGGTTGGGCAAGTCAGCCCACTCGCCATCCTCGAGATCAATCTTTGCCACAGCAGAGATGATACGAGCAATGGAGTGACGGACAAGAGAAGAGCTGTCGCTCATCGCAGAGCGGAGCAGCTGATCCCGAACCTGGGGCTTCTGGTCATCGGCAACCTTCACCCAGTGCTTGTTAACGTTTCCGCGAGCCTCAACAGCCGCGAGTTGACGGAAGTGAGGATCCTCATGGCCGGTAGCAATCTGGATGAGGAGGACGAAGGACTGGGGCTGAGAGTAGAACTCCTTTTGTAGGATACCGGTAGCTTCCTTAACATTTCCCTTGGAGGCTGGAGGACGCAAGGAGTCAGTCACATTCATCTTCAGTGGGGATCAAGGTGGTACATACGGTCAAGGACCACCTGCAGCTGCTGCAAGAATCGTTGCTGATCCATAATGATATGATATGAGATCGAAATCAGAGATTTCTTTTTTTAATTCGTGTGCGTGTAAGGTCGTTAAAAAAAATGTCCCGGGCCTCTTTGAAATAGACGAGGCTAGAGGGACAAATGCAATGAGCAGCTTGTCTCCGACAAACAGCTCACTTTTTGGGGGGTATCAAGATAAACGAAAAGGAAAAGGAAAGAAAAGGAAAAAGGAGAGGATGGTGGGGGAAGAAGAAAGAGGGAGAAGCAGAAGTATTTGAGGCACGGCAGAAAAAAAAAAAGTCCTCAGGGGTGGGATGGCTGCCCAATCGAGTTTAGTGCGGGCCCGAAAATTTTGCTGTTGGAGGTCCACTTGTGCTGGTTAATTACTGGGACGCGAAATTTCTGGTTCGCGATGGAATGAATTCGATTGTTTTGATGTGTGATGGGGCTTTTATTGGCTATTATGGGTGTTTTTTCACTTTATTTAATCGGGTGGTGGCATCGTACCCGGAAGAAAACACGTTCTGATAATACCGAGATTGATTCAATGATATACCACGAAATGACCAATTCATATACGATGGCCACATCTGTAGACAAAGCAATGATGTAGATAAAATATCCCTAAAACTCCTCCATCTGTTCTGTGTAACTCCCAAAGCCCAAAGCTAGAAGGGTCTCAGCCTGCAAGTTGACCGGACCTAACAACCACGGTAATAACTATGAAACAGAGAGCGGAAGACAAAATGCAAGACACCAAGAAGGTTCAGTTCAGTATTCGTCAGATTCATATTCGTCATCGACCCGCAATGACCGATAGCCCCGAGAGGCAAGATTGGCTTCCAATCCACCATCAGACGCAGGATCAGAATACCCTGGAGAAGAAACCGTTAGCAAAGATACAGTAGAAATGGGGCCCGCTGTGCGATGATGTCATGTACATACCTCCACCACCAAAGTAGCTAAGAGCTACCGGCAGGAAGATCAGGGCGTGGGTGGCAGCAAAGATAACTAGTGCCAGCCACACCCGGAAGTAGTAGATCTCAAAGATCTTGCTCCGTGTGAACGCAAGAACACAGACTCCTAGCAACTTCGTCACGGTGATACCACTGAAGACACTGCCCCCGACATTGACCAGGGCTGTCCAGGCACGCGCATCCTTACCGCGGAACTGGGTGGGAGCCTTCTCCAAAAGAGTCGACGAGGGGAACATAAAGGCACGGGCAATGTGAGCACAGAACTCGACACTGATACCCACGCAGATCACCAAATTCACCAGTGAGACCGCATTGAGCGAGACACCAGCAATAGCCATAGTCCCGATGATATCGACCACCGTCATGACCACCGTCGTCGTGACAACTGCACCGGTAGCAATGGATCCCAGAATGGCCGAGGTCAGGACAAAAATGATAGCTACCGCTGAGCCGAGTAGCGTGCCTGTCAATTGTACGATGGAAACGTACTGGTCGAAGAAAATATAGAACTTGGAGTAAGGGAAGACGTCGATGTTGTGTTCGCGCGAGATATCGTCTGCGATTCGGCGGGCAGCGATATAAGCATGGATGAAGTCTTCCTGGCTACGCAGAGCAGTATGGCTGGTACGGTAATGGCTGGCACTGATCGTGGTGCGTTCCTCGTCGATCACCACCGCGTTGCTATAGGGTGCCTTGCCGCCGAGCGGACAATTGGCAGTGGTGTCAGCTTCAATCCACTTCTCGGCATAGTGGATGAATTCGGACCCAGTCGGCATCCCGTGTAGAGTGATGTTCCATGGAGGATCACGACCGTCGAAGCAAATCTTGCCATCCTCCTGGCAGCAATCCTGCTGGGGGTTGAGCCAGTAGAAAAAGTCATCGAGCCAACTGGCGGCAGATCCAGAGAGGTAAGAGACATTAGAACGCTTGGATTCCTGCTCCAGTATAAATGGCAGGGAGTACTCATCGCAATTGGTGAAGCGTCCACACAATTGCTTTTGATGGGATCGCTCGGTCACATTTACATCACGGGTGATAAAGTAGACAGGGGGCCCAGTGCGGAAGTAATCATAGAGGTCGTTGAAGTACGGGATCAGGTAAGAATCACTGGGAATGGCAATTCGCTGGTCCAGCCCCAGTGGCACCTCAGGGATCAAAGCAATTCCCGCCGTCAAAACACCCAAAAAGGTGATCACAACAGCTGCTTTTACTCGGCGATCCAAGATGAAAGGCGCATAGACACGGCGAATAAAGCTCTGGAGGGTGCTCTCAGCCTCCTCGTCGTCATATATCTGATCTTCGGGTAGGCCAAATGAGGTCGCTTTGCGCACAGTGAGGCAAGGGAAGCAGTCTGCGCGAAGGCTCTCGACTCGTCTCTGATTAAGTGAGAGGACCGAGATAAACATGGTCACCTGCAAAATAGCATTGATGAAGACAGCGCCGGCGGCGTACGCAGCAAAGTTCTTCACGGCGGGCATTCCCACAAAGACACCCAGGGCAAAAGCCACCGTCTCAGTCAACGCAGAAAGGAAGACACTTGGCCCGATTCTTCCCACAGCGCGTGCCACGCGCTCATCAATTTCTTCGTCGGGGTAGCTGAAGTTCACACGCTCAAATTCATGGACAATCAGGAAGATATTGTCAACACCAACTGCGAGCACCAGGAAGGGAATCACTTCTGCAATGATCAGAGTCGCTCGTACGCCCGCGGCTGAGAACAAGCCCACGGAGGCAGAGACGGACATCAACACGATCAAGATACCAGCAATACCCAGTGTGAACTTGGACTGGACCAGCGCATTTGCGGGATTGTGCAGAAGGGATCGCCATGTGACAGTGACAGATCCCAGGGCGAGAGATGCATACAAGAACATGATCACGTAGCTGATGACCACAATCTTTGCATCGGTGTTGGTAGACTTGTTCAACTCCTGCTCCAGACTGATTTCGGTATTGAATGAGACACGCAGTCCCCTTTCGACGGCTTCTTCCTGGACGACATCAAAAACACGCCTGAAGCTATTCTCCCAGTCAATCGCCTTCTTCTCGCCCTCGCTCCCTTGGTCGTGGTTATTAACTACCCAGGTGACGATCAACGCCTTAGCATCCAGCGCGTTTTCGCTTTCATCGTACCCGCCCAAGATCATCTCCGGCTTCAGGGGCTGTGAGAAGTCTGGCAGACAGCTCACATCGCCAGGCGATTCTGTACAATGGCTTAGACGATCCTCCCAAGTATTCGGATCGAGGTTGAACACCGAGCCGCCAAAATAGCCAGTCAGTGATTGCACCACACAAGCATCCCCGGTGGGTTTGAAGCAGATATCATCCAAGTTCAGGCCAAGGTCGAGTGAGATCATCCTCCGCACGCGAGACTCGACATCAAACCACCAGACGAGCGTATCATAAGTCAGTACTGGGCCAGTTTCGTTGACTAAAAATGCCTGTTCGGCTCGGTAGAATGGGCCAAAGTTCTCGTCAAAGTAGGCTTTCTCTTGTGCTGCAGCCGACGACGGGCTCACCCACAGACGGACTGGGTCAGTCTCAACCGCGAACCGTAACCAGCCTAAGCTAAGCAGGACCACAAAAATAAAGCTCGAAGCAATGGTGATGGCCGGGAACCGTGCTGAGGCTCCACCAATGCGGTGGAAGAAGGCTGACAGTAGTGAATTCGGTTTATACACCCCTTGCGGTTGTTCCATGTATCCACCACGGTGAACAACTTCCCCCTCGTCCTCATCATCGCTAGGGGCCGGATCTTGAAGTAGGCGAACACGTTCAGGTTTGCGGAAACGGCGCTCCTTGAAAGTGACGTAGCTTGCGAGACTCATGACTAGTAGCAGGAAGGCGGAGTATATGATGATCACGGCGAAAGACAGGCACGGCAACAGTCCAACATGGCAGCTCTTTTTCGGTGGACACGGCAGGTAACTCAGGGCAAACATCTGGGCAATCGACGCAAGAGCAACGATATGCCTTGTCGGGGTCATTGCAGGCCTTTGGCTGAATCGACAAGGGCCTCATGCCCTGCTCGTCATTGCGTGGTTCCGTACGAAAGTTGATCTGGAATGGACTGCCAAGAAATTTCTTATCGCCCAGGAACTTCAAGAACTGCTCGTACGTATTCGCACCGCCGCCAATAAAATCGATCGCTTTGCCGCCAGAGGCACCATTCTTCACGTTCTTGCAGCTATCGAAGAAGCCGCTTTGGTATTCCTCGGACCAGACGTTATCGATCTCAGTGACGAGTGTTTTTCCCGAGCTACTCTCTTCCGTTTGCGTGACATTGACGAATAGTGATTGGTCGGGCGAGCAGGTGAATGTGCAAAAGATGTTGAAGAAGTTATCTCGGCAGGCTGGACAGGAGGCAATGATGCCTTCCGCCAGTTTGAGGTTGGAAGACAGTGCATCAATCTACACGTAGTTGACTCTATTAGCATGGTCATAACAGAAGTAAAAGAGCCCGTAGCGTCCGAATATCACAAAGCTTTGCTTACCTGCTCTTCAAGACAACAGACTGGGCCGGATTCCCATTTCGGGCCACACAGGTTGACTAGCTTCTGCCGCGCGGAGTCCTCTAGATCCTTCGCCCGTCCATTATCGGGACATGGCAGCTCCCCACCAAATATCGACTGCTTCCCACACTGTCCCCGGATCGCACATCGGCCCTTCTCGTGGATCTTTGTCTCGCCTTGTGCTACGGCGAGCGTCGGCTGTAAAGCAAGGGAGGAGAGCCCGACGAGCGCGGCGACGAGACTCAATTGCCGCATGGCTGTGAGAGCGCGATGATGGCTTGGGCGAGTGTTTCCTCTCTCTTAGTGAGTTTTCAGATCTTCTTTTGTGTTATATCGAGTTGTTCAAGGTCGTTCAGAGTCGGTGGTCGACTATGCGCCAGTGGGGCATGCGCATGCGTGAGGAATGGTCGCGAGACCGTGTTGAGGGCGTGTTCGGCAGAGATAAGGTGTAAAAAGGAGAAATCCCAGGGTACAAGCAGAAGTTAGGAGATATCCAGACCTGCAACAAGGAAGACAAGGAAGACAAGGAAGGTTAGGTCGGAGCTAAGGAGACATGACATGACGTGGACGGGGGCCGAGGCGGAGACAAACCGGGAAAAGCGGGTCAACCCCGTTTTTCAAGTTGCTGTCTACCTTAAGGTACAGGGTTACCCAAGGGTAATAGTATAATATATGAGGTCCAGTCTATCTCTGTGCTACAATTTACACGTTATTACATCTCCACTTCTACTCATGGATTGGTTAATGGATTTCCATTCGATCTAGCCTTATGCCGCCTGATTTACGATATTTCCCATGAGCACTCAATAAATATTTGGATTAGATAGTCGAGCTTACTATGCTCCTAGCGGAGATTTATATGATTTCCAACAACAACAACTCCCAGACCGATTAGAGAAGTCGCTGAAGAACCGCAACGCGTACTTTTATGAACATAACGCCCGGGCACAAGAGATACATCCAACAAGAATGTCTGCATCGCCGATCCAGTTAGCGATCAGGACGCATTAAATAAAAGAAAAGGTCTGGAGAGAAAGGAAAATGATATCGTAAAAAGATTCAAACATAACCATGGACGCAGTTTTCAAAGAAAGGCGTCTAGTAGCCCTCATCCTCAGCCTGCTGATAGATGTGGCGCGTCCGCGTTGGGTCCTTGCGCATCGTCTGTCCAGACCCGGTGAATCCCACTATCAACCCCCCCGATTAGTTAGTATCAATCCACACACGGATACCAGCACGTAAATGAAAAGAGCTTACCTCGAGCGTTGACACCGTCGCCTGTGCGGAACATGCTATCCTTCTTGCCAAGCTTGCTCTTGCTTTTACCCTTGCTCTTGGCCGCAAAGTCCTTCCACTTATTCTTGCCCTCTTCCAGCTCGCGGGTGGCCTTGACCTTGCGCGGCACCTTTGCCGGCCGCGCATCACCCGCCTGGGGCGTTTCGTTGCGAGCCTGATTGGCCAGTGTTGGGTTGATATCGGCGGCGGCCGAGATCACGTTAGACGGCGCGGGTGAGGGAGACGCCGAACTGCCTGAAGGACCATCAGCCTTGCGTTTGCGATTGTCATTTCCCTGGACGGGTCGGATGTCCTTGGAAGTCAAATTCTCCACGGTCGCGTAGGACTTGAAGGAAACCAAGTAGACGGGATTGTTGGCGGAACCGGTGATGGAGGTGATGCGGGCGGGATAGAAAGAGCCGTCACCGGAGACCCAGCGGGCCAGAACATGCTCATTGACATTGAAGGAGGCGGGTTGTGGGGGTGCAGCCTCGTCTTTGTTATCTGCGGCTGGTTTTGAGGCATTGTCTCTTTTCCACGAGTCTCGAGAGGCGGGCTGGGCGGACTGGACGGGCGCGGCGGGCTTAAGCTCGGCGATGGCAGTTTCGGTGAGAGTTATAAGTTCTTCGAGTTCAGTTTGGAGACTCTGCAGTTCCGTGTTATCGGGTTCTACCTGCAAGCTGGACTGGACAGTTTCAAGCTAGATCGGGCAAGTTAGTTCTGGCTCTGGGAGGGTCGCGGCAAATTTTGGGCTGAGGAGTTTACCTGAAGCTTGAATTCTTTGACCTCAGCCTCCAGGGCTGCGACGTCGGACATTGTCTTGCGGGGGTGTGGATTCAAATTTGAGTCTGGATTAATGAGATTAAAGAAAAGGGGGAGCAGAAAGGTGGCCACGTTGAGTGAGGGAGTTTGATGGTTCCAGTTGATTTGATATGCGGAGGCCGTTGATATTCGCAAGTCACGTGATGACCCCGATCTTGCTTATCAGCCATCATCTACGGAGTACCCAGGGTAGCCTTTAAGGTAGGGGATTCTGCATATGAGAGGGTGTCTGGATATTAGTAGGCATTTGAATTTACTAGTATTGGATTACGAGGTACTAGTACTAGTACTAGTATTCTGGACACCTCGGTATCTATGCCCAAGTGGTCTATGGAGGGGCGCTCTGACATCTGATCTTGTTTAGCGCCTTTCCATGGAAAGATTGATCCTTGGCTAGATAGGGTCATGGTCGGGGTACCGTACTGTATACTACAGTAGGTGAGTGCCAGTGGCCTGATTGCATGACACGGGCAGTAAGCCTGAGATCGACCGGGTGCATGCGAGGTCGGAGCATATTCTAGCCGGGGGCCGAGTGGAAACGTCATCTTGCCACGAGTGGGTCCAGAGTAGTAGATTAATAGTGCTCAGGTGTACAAGGATAATACTAGTACTAGAAATTATTCTATGGATTATAATGATATAGAGCAAGCTTAGGATAGTAGTACTGAGTATTTAGTAACTTCCAAGGTTCAAGTTGAACTATTGAGCATCCGGTAACGGAGATATCGGATTTATTGTACTATATATAACAGTGAACAGCGGTGAGGCTCTCAGGACAGTACCTCTAGAAGTAGTAGTACACCTGCGCAGTAGTATACTAACTTGAACTCGTACTAATACTTAAGTAGTAGACTAGACTATAACTACTAGTATAACTATAATTATTACAATACTACCTAGGTATAGGCACTAGAATAACTATATACTATAGTCTGACTCACAGAACTAGATCGAAGCCTCTTCAGACTGATTTCTAAGCACTCCAGGCATTCCCCGCTACCCTGGACCACTCCCCCACTCTGATTGGCTGCCGATCACCTGCCTGCACCAAACCTGGGAATTGCCCCCCCCCCGATGGCATCCCATTGCGTCCATTGGATTGATACCACTCCCTCCACTGCCTCAATGTCTTGTTCTCTTCTTTAGTCCCGGCCCCCGTTTCACTTACCATCCCGACGGAAGATACGAGACCCAGTCCGTTTGTGGTCTAGTCACCCTTAGCCGTCTTAGCCTCAGGCCCCGCTACGATCTCATCTCTTTTTTCCCCCTCTCCGTTCAATCATCCCTCTAGGCTCCGGCTTCGTTCTGTGCATCACGGCTTTGTAGCCTTGCCACTCTACTGTGAATCTCCTTCTGGGCCGCCCCAGAACCCTTGCTATCGGCAACCCCCCCATATCATTGTGTGTGGGCGAAACGCCCAGTCGACCGCCTCGTTTCGGATCATTCCAGAGATTCCGATCTTTCGACCCCCTCTCAGAGTGTCTTCAATCATGAGTGACTACGACAACCTCTACCAGGCCGGGATGTACCTATCCCCTGGCCAGCAAGATCTCCTTCTCGCTGCTCTATCCTCCAACAACCCATCCCAAAAGAACCCCAACCATACCCCGCAGATCAAGCCAGACCACAGCCCCGATCAATCCTCGAATGGTGGCCTGAGTGGGCCCCCATCGGGTGGCTTGGAGAATTCCCAGTTCAATGGTTTGGACTTCGGGGAAAATGAGAGTCCCTTCCTCGACTTCAATCCTGACGTCGACTTCGAGTTTCCTGGCTCCGGAGACTTGATCGGGGATTTACCCGATGGCGAGTATGAACTCGGCGAGAAGCGGAAGTCAATGGATGGGAACTCGGATGGCGAGGAGGAGACGGGCAAGAAGCGACGGGAAAGTGAGGCGAAGAAACCAGGTCGCAAGCCGTTGACGTCGGAACCCACGACGGTATGCCCATTCTGACCACTCGCAGCCCAGGAACGAAGTCAGTCTCTAACCCATTTCACAGAAGCGTAAGGCTCAGAACCGTGCCGCTCAGAGAGCGTTCAGAGAGCGCAAGGAGAAGCATCTTAAGGACCTGGAAACCAAAGTGGACGAGCTACAGAAGAACTCGGACACGGCTACCCAGGAGAACGGCCTGCTTCGAGCCCAGGTGGAGCGCCTCCAGGTGGAGTTGCGTGAGTACAGGAAGCGTCTCTCGTGGATGACGAGTGGCAGCGGCCGCTCAGCCATCAGTGCCATTCCCAGCGCTCACTCCAAGGGAGCCTACGGACTCCAGAACAACGAATTCTTGTTCGACTTCCCTAAGTTTGGTGACCTCCCTGGCTCCCATCTGTTTAATGGCCAGGGAAACAAGAGCGACCAATCGAAGGCCAAGCCGAGGGATAATGTGCCTCGTGCTCCTGGTGTATTGAGTCGTCAAAATGGGAATAGCCCGGCCAGCTCTAGCAATTCGAAAGCGAGCACCCCCACGGCCGGTCCCAGTTCCAAGCCAAGTCCTTGGTCGAATGGGACTCCGGGCAGCAACGCTTCCGTCAAAACCCCTTATAATAACTTGAAGCCTTACAATGCCCCGACTCACGACACATCGACCTCGGATTCGCCGTCTTCCTCATCTGACTCGCATCAGAGCCAGTTGCTTTCATCAAATGGCACATCCCCCAAGCCCAGCGTGAATTCCCCACCAGACAACAAGTCTCATGAGTCCGGTGCGAATACTTGCAGTATTCACGGATCGATCAATGGCGAACAATCTTTCTGCGCCCAACTTGGGATGGCCTGCGGCAATATCAACAACCCCATCCCCGCGGCTCAAAAGGGCAAGTCGAACAGCATTTCGAGCAATCAGCCAGCCTCTACCGATGACTACGGGTTAGACTGGTTGAGTCAACAGAACGGGGGTCAATTCGACCCAGTACTGTTTGGAGACTGGCGAGAGCCTCAGGACGCCGTACTCTCCCAGGACTTTGGTTCTTTCTTCAACGATGCTTTCCCTCTCCCCGACCTGGGCAGCCCATCCCACAACCTGACAGAGGCAACAACACAGCCAACGCCGAAGCCGCAGCCACAGCCACAGCCGAAGAAGGACCTGGTGTCTCAAATTGACCACAAGCTCGAGGAAGAGGTTGTTCCAGGCGAGGACCAGGATAAGATGCTATCTTGCAATAAGATTTGGTATGTCAAACCCCTCTTCGAACATCCAACTGCCAACCAATTACTAACCAACTCCTCTTGCAGGGATCGTCTACAATCCATGGAGAGATTCCGTAATGGCGAGATTGACGTTGATAACCTGTGCTCAGAGCTGCGCACCAAGGCCCGCTGCTCTGAAGGTGGTGTCGTCGTGAACCAGAGTGATGTCGACGATATCATGGGTCGCGCGAAGTAATCAAACGCCCCGACCCAGCTTGGGATGTAGACCGTTTACTCCACGATCACACCCAGACCCTTCACTTCACGAATCACGGAACCCGCCTCACGTCCAATCAGCTGTACACGTTACCAATCATACCCAACATCGAATTGTCATTTGAAAATATTAGGCGTCACACATACAACTCAGGAAATCCTTCAAAACGGGAGGAAACATCGGCCACATGCACCGCATTTCACCTCACTATCGTCTACTTTGAAATTGAATGCATAGCGGCGCACTAATGGCCCGCTGCCTTCGGAGGCATTTTGAATTCGTTCTATTGATTTTCAGATCTTTCTTTCTCTGCCTTTCTTCTTCTTCGTCTTCTTGCTGTTTTGTCTTCGACCGCTCTTGTTGATGTTGATATTTCGATCATTTCTTTCCTTCTGCCCGGCGAACGGAGACCCGGTTCTCATTTTCCTGCGATGCAATCTCGCAGAATGCCGGCGCACTTTTATCTTATCACCGGAGGAAAATATGGTTGGCGAATGGAAAGGAATGGCCAGGCCAGGCCTGGAACGGATAGGAACCGGAATAGGTAGTTTGATACTTGCAAGCTTCCTTTTGTGCTGTAACCATGTAAACAAATCTGAGCACTTTGAACGAATTTATTTTTCCAATTTCTTTTGGCGCATTAGTACTGCGAAGTAGCAACATTGATTCTATCAATTAGGTAGCATCGTTTCAATTTGGCTTGCATCTGTCCCTAGACTAGACCAGTTAAGAACCTACAGCTTAGATCGCTACATCGAGTTACCAGTAGGAGATACTCCGACCTAATCTAGATTCAATTGAAACTACAACCAGTAGAATTACATTACTCATTACAAAACCAAGAACCGAAGCTGTAAGGGTATCGATGTTTGTCTCTTCCAGGGGAGGGAAAAGGAATTAAAGTACAAAGAAACAACCGGGAAAAAGGGAAGAGAACAACGACAGGGATGGTAGTTATTTTTTTTCGAATTGGGGATTTTTTTCCTTTTCTCTTTCTGTCTCTGTCTTTCACTCATAGTAGCATGCGTGTTGGAATCACGTACACTCTGCCAGAAGCTCGCCAGACTTGTTCTCTGCCGAGTTTCAACGTGCTTCATAAAGAAACCCCCGGATCTTACATTGCTCCTGTCTCTTTCCCATTTGGAGCGAAGCAGAGAGTCAAAGTAATAGACCAGGGATAATTGTAAAGCACACCATTTGCTAAACGCTGTGAAGGGTGGGGTGTGGGTAGGGGAGGAGGGAATTTGAAAATGGGTTTCACGAGTAAATAAGAGACACAAAGGAATTAGAATAAGTCGCAAAGAAAAGAAGAAGAAGAAGATGGGTGGAAGGAACATGGTGTCAACGTGAGAGGCGTAGGAAAACAGCTGTAATCGATGGGTTTGTCGATCACTCGAAGGGTAAAACGCGCGCGGAGAATGGAAAGAAACTCTGGTTCGAAATTCAAGCGTCACCAGAGGGGGCAGGCTTGTCACCCGAAGGAGCCGACGCAGGAGAGTCGTTCGGTCCACCAGTCTTGAGACCACCGCGGCCGCCGCGGCCTCCACGGCCACGACCCCGGTCACCACGACCGCGGCCAGTGAATCCACCCCGACGAGCACCCTCGCTGTCACTAGCAGACTGGTATCCACGCGAGCCGGCGTTGGATCCACCACGGCCACTTCCTTGCCAGGGACCGGCGTTGCCCTGACCACGGCTGCGGTCCTCGAAGAACTTGAAGTTGGGCTTGCGAGGCTGACCGCTGGTTGTAGGGCCAGACTTCTTGTGTTCAATGGGTTGACGGTCCAAGGCGGCCTTGGCATCTTCCACAGTAGGGAATGTGACAACGTGATTGAACTTGCCATATTTCTCAATCTTGAGGAGCTTGGCTTGATCCTCCTCTGGGAGAAGGTCGCGGACGGCTTGCTCGTTGTCGACGTTGGAAACGAAAAGGCCGTTGCTGGGCTTCTTCTCGCCGCGAGGAGCGGGGGATTCGCTCGTCTTCTCTGACTGGGCGGTTCCGTTGGTATCGGCGTTGACCTTCTCCTCACCGGCGGACTGGGTGGAGGTTGCGGGAGGCTGGGGGCTGGCGGCCTTGGGGATCACGGGAATGGGGGAAGCACGGGCAGGCTGACCCTTGGCCTGACCGGATGCAGGGGCGCCACGAGCCGGAGGAGCCTGACTGAACTGAGGTGTTGAAGCAGTAGGGCGACCACCAGCACCGGTAGGCGCGGGAGAAGCAGTGGTAGCAGGCAGCCCGCTGGCGACGGGAGCACCAGCAGGGGCGGGCTTGCCGGTACGGTGAGCGAAGTTGAAACCTTGAGCCCGCATTTCCGTAGCGATGCGTCCTGCCTCGATCTCTAGAACCAGGTATCCGAAGGCGGCGTCAGCCAAGTTGAAGTTCCACATGTTCTTGAAGGCGCTCTCATCCACTTGACCAGCAGCATTTCCGGCGGCAACGGGGCCACCGAAGGGGTTGCCGCCATTGGCGATGGAGGGCATCTTCTGCACCACGTCCAGCGCATTTTCGAGGAGGGTCTTTTGGGCCTCATTTGAGTTTATGGCTGACTCAACCTCTCCGCGGACAGTCTCCCAAACATCATTGAATGAAGCTTTGGAGGCAGCGAGCTTGCCTCTGTAGTGGTCCAGCGAGGGGTTGACGGAGAACTCATTGTAGGAAGATCCGTAGCGGAAGTGCAGACCAGCGGAGACGGAGAAGTCTGCCTTGAGAGTGACCGAGAGTTGGTTCAGCATGCCCTCGCGGGCCGGAGAGGCGTGTGTGACGAAAACGCGGGTCTCGGAAGGATCATAAACTCGGTTCGCGGTATCGATCAATTCTCCCATCTGCAACAGGGTGGTCCACATGGTACCCTGTCCACCAGCAATTGTTGTCTTCCCTTCACCGTTATCAAATAGCTTGTGCATCACTACTGCACCACCCAGACCCAGGAGGCGCAGCTTCACGCCGCCAATGTCCAACAGTCGCGAGTTTGCCTCATCGATGATGTGCAACTTGTCAACCTTGTACTCGCCAGAGCGGAACTTCTCCAACACGCGCACATCTTCGCAAGCACCCCAAACAGTGTAAACAGGAACGTCGAGAGTGATGCGCTTGTCGAGAAGCATAGAAAGCTCGGAGAGGGGTAGCTGGTCGGGGGTGAACCGTTGCTTAATGGATTGTTGGGGAGGGACTTGTGCGATCGTCCTCTTGACATTTTCAGGCAGGAGGGGAGAATATTGGGCAACGTGCTTAAGTGTCCTAGAGGTGGCGAACGGCGAATGTTAGCAGGGTTGTTCCCCGAAAATGTTTTGGTGCCCGGCGGGCTGACGCGAGCGTAGATCCTCCTCCCTGGCCAGGCAGGTCATCGGGCAGCAACCAAAAGAGCCCTGGCTAAAGAGCAAAAGTCGCGAGATCCAACTCACTTGTCTGCAATGCGCTCCAGGGAAGTATCGTCGTAGAAACCAAAGTCACCCGTGTGGATGATGTGGTCTGCGCGAGCCTGCTTCGCCAGTTCATTTAGGGACTTCAAGTTTCCTACCGATCATGCCCAATTAGCTCAAATCCGAATCAAACCGTAGTCCTATCATCCATATCAACCATACCTCGCACATCTGCAATGCACAGGATCCGAGTTGGTCCACTCTGAATTACTCTGCCATTGTTGGGGAGAAGCGGCGTGGCTCCGGGCGCCGGACCCGATGGTGTCGCACCGTTGGAGATGGGATATCCTTGGGGACCGAAGTTGTGAGGACGGGGCTAAAGACGAAAGGAAACAGAAGTGAAGATTAGCACGAGATTACTTTTGAACTAAATCGCGCCTGGAATGCTCGCCAGTCGGACACGGATGCACTGGACTCCGCCATCGAAGGGGGGGGGAGCGCCGCTGGGAGCACGGGGGCACTTACAGAAGCCATGAGTGTCGGAGAGAAAGAAGAGATTATGGCGTGAATGACAGAATAAAAGGAAGGGAAAAAAGCAAAGGGGGAGATGAGAGGGGGGTGGGAGGTTGAAGGGCAAAGAAGATTCACGCATTGAAGCACGGCTGCTCTCGTCGTCGATTAGGTAAGCCCCCTGGCGATGACTTCAATATACTCTGTACGTACTTCACATACTTCACATACACTTCACACCTGCTAGTCAGTTTGTGAAATACTGTTCAAAATGTATTATGGATATTATATATACAGTTAGTGAGCTACAGTAGGTCTATAACCTCCTAGTTGTGTCACTGTAATGATACGGACAGATCAACTACTAGTACTAGTATCATGTTTACATCGAGTTTATATCGAGTTTACATCATGTTTAAACAAAAGTTTGAGCATGAAATATCAATATTTAATAGAATGCAGGTTATAGCTAGGTCCTAGCCATCTCCCGTCAAGTCTTAAAAATTTACCTGGTACAAAGCGTCCCGGAGACAGCGATGCGTGGACTCTGATCCATGGCCCCATTCTACGTCTCGATCGCTAAGTAATACTGCTTCAACCTCCACGACAGGATCGTGGACCATTTGGCCATTAGCAACAACGCTAGTTATGATTCCTAGGGTCATCATCCTCGGTATATTAGAGCTCCCACGCGGACGATGAGGTCCTGCGATTGTTGATATATCGCCATGGAACATTCGCAGGTTACGACAGCTGGTGTCATGAATAAGATCAATCTCTTGCCACCAGTCGTAGCCTGGAAGACGAAAGGCAGTTTGATCTTGTGGATAGCTCTAGTCAGATATTGGCCCACCTAGGGAAGCTCACTGGGACAAAAAACTACGGATACAAAACTACTCGAGTAGTATACATACCAGATTAAGACTAGTACGACGGCCATCTCCTCGATCATAAGCATCGCTATTCTGCCTTGAGGAACTGGTCCTTGGACCTAGTAGCATGAGTAGCATGAGTAGGATGAGTAGTATAAGTAGAATACTATGTTAATGAAACGAGAACGTACTTCAACCCAAAAGTCCTTATAGCCATCGTTTTTCCGATTAATTGCTTCAAATCCATCCCAGTCAAATGGTCGGGGCTGGCAGAGCTGAACTCCTTTCGACCAGTATGTAAAAAGTCCGTTCCAATCTAGTGTTTGTGACCTGTATGCGTTCAAGATAGCTTGAACATTAGACAATTGCTCATACGGATGCGGAGGGACTGTAATCAGAAGACCTTCTAGTACTCGCACTTGAGTCCATATTGTGAGACTGGATGAATCAGGTGAAGTTCATGAGGACTGGAAAAAGGACACAACAAGCCAAGAAATTAGAGCAACTCATGAGTTAATAGAAGAAGAAGTATGAGTAGCCGGTGCTGAAAGGAAATAAAGAGTGCTGAGAATCTTCTGGATACTCCAAGTTACCTTCTTTGGGCTCCCTGATGCTGTCTATCGTGTCATTCGTATCTGCTTCCTGGCTCGAGTCAATGAAATCGTGACTTCGCCTAACAACCATCATTTTCTTTCAACTCTCTTCAAAGATATCTCGCACCAAAGCCGCCCTCATCGTGTCAATTTCCGAGTACTAGTAATTAGTATATCAGTGAGGCCCTTTGTTGAAGAAGACGCGGACTAGTCGAAATGGCAGAAAGAAAGATGGCTACGCTCCAGGTGGATGAAGGAAGTGACATCAATTAGAATATTATTTCAAAAGCACTGGCTATATACAGAATCTGATTTGCGCGATCAAAGCTCAGGCCCATGAGGTACGAAGCGGGACTTGTCCCCCTTCCTATGCTTCACGTGGGTAGACTTATCAGCAGACAAAGACTGAACGGATGCCGGGCCCTTCAAAGCCAAGAGCGCAAAATGCCCGCCAACCGTCGGACGTGCGCGACATAAAATCGGGATCCCTGGCTCATTTCCATGGGAGGACGTAGAAACATAACGATCGGAGAATGGCCAGTTATGTTTCCCGTTCGTCATGAAAGCCCACAGGTCATCGACTAACTCGTCCCGCGTGTTCTTCTCGAACGTGGCAGCAAGCCACATGTTCCAATCTGACTTGGCCCAGTCCTGTCGGTTATCTAGGGGAACCCCGTACTCGCCTCGAACGGAAGCGTAGAACTTGCTGTTCGCCCGAAGGGCATCGGCGGAGAAAGTGTTTAGTCCAAGCAGGACGTCCGGGAATAGGTTGTATGGGGTCTTCCATGACTCGGGTTGATCGGGATATTGCAGTGTGAAATGCTTTTTCTCTTCATCTGTGCCAAGTCCCCCCTCAAAGAAGATATTTGCGTGTTCCTCGCCGATGCGCGAGTATCGGTCGATACCACTGAGTTCACCAAATGCTTTGATACCAACCGCTGCCTTGATCGCAAGGTTTGTCTCGTTGGCGAGAGGGCCGGCGGCATCATTGGAGGAAAGCTGGGTTGCGATGTCGATACTGTTGTCGACCAAGTAGTCGGCGTATTTCTGGAAGATTTCCATATACTGATCTGTCCATTCGGAATCTCCAGTAGCGCGGGAATATGCAAGAGCAAGAATCAGTAAATTGCCAGATTCCTCTATCGGCATTGGCTCGGCTTTTTGATCGTCATGGCCGATGGCATGCGGGTAGTGGGAGCCGAGGTCATGAATGGTATATGGAAGATGCCAACGGCCGGCGTCGAGGTATCGCATCACAGGTTCCAGCATCAGGCGAATCCAATCAGGATCCAAGACCCAGTAGATAGGGAATGCGGGCATGATCACATCGATGGTATTGACGTTCCCGTCGCTGGAAAGCTCCTTGATGAATGCCAAAACACCGTCAGTGTCAAGGGAGTCACCTGGAATTGTCAAATCTGTCCCACCATACGCCTGGCGGGTGGATAGAGCAACGATATCAGCGTATTTGGGACCGGCTGCAGCAGTTGCAAAAGCTGTCAATTCTTCGTCCAGCTCCAATGACTCTCTGAGTGCGTCTCCGTAATCATCCAGGAAGAACGAGAGAGCTTGATGCGTAGTAGGATATTCTGCGCGGTAATACCCGGTGTATTCTTCTCCAAGATAGTTGATAGCTGCTTCTCGTTCGTAGCCTACAACAAAATTGACGGATTCCTGGCCGTAGACGGTCCCTAAATCATGGGCCAAGGCGGCGACACTTCCATAGGACCAAGCAAATTCTTGCCCGGAAAGATCGCCCTCCCGTGCGAATTGAGCTCGGACAGACTTGGGATCTCCAGTCAGAGAGGAGAGGCTGCTAGATTCAGATGGGCGCGAAGCGAGAATAGCTTTACCCCAGAGCGCCATATCACTAGCCTCGGCATACTTGGCTGCATCTTCCACCGAGAGCGAATGAATGAGAAGACCGTCGTCATGCTCTTCATAATCCAGGACGGAGCGATCCTCGCGTCCAGTCCATCTCCCATCGATATCCGAATAGACTTGGATATTATTACCGAAATAAGACCCGGAGACCTTGACCGTCAGGTAACTGAAAGGAAGGGACTGTCGCAAATAGTTCGAGGGGGTGACGGGAGAGAAAAAGTCGAGGGTCAGTCTCACGGAGCCCGCCGTGAGATCGAAAATAGAGTGAGTTGAGGTGAACTCGGCACGACGCACTGTGGCAGGTAGTATTTCATCCTCGTCGAGGTCGGGAACGCCCATGACGCTATATGCCTGGCCATCGACACGCACAATCACGGACCAGCCGAGTTCCTGACCTGCCCAGAATTGTGGTTCCGAATAGGGCATTTGTTGCACGCGATCACTCGGCATCCATGCCGACAGATAAGGGTTACGCACCGCCAGCGGATACGAAGGAGGGAGCACAGGGAGATGTCTGACGGTTCCCTGTTGGTGACCTTGATCACCTTTGTTGAACAGGGATAGAACGGAGGCACACAGGGAGCCCAGTCCCAGTGGAGCTTGGAGATCGAGTCGCATGATGTGTAGTAGAAGGGTCGACCTGGCGCACCGGGCGCATTGATCGACAGAACAATGAAAGGAAAACCGGTGCTATAGAAGGTATTGCAGGAACTTGAAGGAGAGACGAGGAGGAAGTCGAATATGAAACGAGAATCTCAGCTCGGGCTAAGAAGCGAAACGGCGGGCTTTTGCCCCCCTGTTGACATTGTTGGCCCTGGGGTCCGCTGATCGTCTTGCATTGTCGTCATCGAGAGGAGAAGCCCATTCTTTGCCGATCGAAATGGTCTGGGCGGTTATTCTAGCCTCTAAATAGCGAGAGGCCGGGGGTTGGTGGATCCTCCAGGATCCTCAGGGACCAACGAGATGGCGAATAGGCCGTTCCTGCGACGCTGTGGCGGGGCTCCACGTAAGACGGGGGCGCGTAGGTAGTGAGTATGCATACAGTATGGGATCTCTTTGCTTGAGTCTTTTCACTTGAGTCTGTTTGTCAGTACATACGTAGGTAGCATGTACAAACACCCTCAGCTCTAGTTGATTCTGCCAATCCCCTGACGTTTGTGTTCCTCCGCATATATGCCCAGGTGTCCGTACTGTGGTATGTGTTATTTACAAACGCAGATACTCAGTGTCTATCAATAGTATAGTGTACTGCAGGACCAGAAATACTGTACATTATTGATTCTGAATAAGATATTGAACAACCCTTGGAAACTTTCATTGTACTAGTAATTCTACTCTCATAAATTCATAGTAATTCCTTTTTATAGCTTAGACTCTTCAATGCGGCGACCGATCTCGTCGAAGTGAATCTGCTTGCCACTCCGCAGGGCTTCTTGAAGATAGGATCCAATCTCAACCGCCTTGACAGCATTGCTCAACTTCATTGGCAGGGGTGTGTTATCGAGGCAAGCGGCAGTGAACTCATTAGCCTCATTCGTGAACGCAGGACCGAAGCGGCCAATGAAGTTAGGCGGGACCTCGCGAGTAATGCCACCGGAGTGATAATAGTTGACAAAGTTCTTCTGGGGATTGCCGTTGACGGTGAGTTTGCCCTCGGTTCCAATGATCTCTGTGGTGTCCTCCTGACCGTGAGCCATCATGCGGGTGCAGTAGTAGTATGCGATCTTGCCATTCTGGAACTCGACGATGCCAACCGCGTTATCGTAATCCTTGTGCTTCTTCAGCTCGGGCTGGACGGCCGTGATACCGTGGGCGGAGATGCTCTTGGGGATGGAATCATCGCCGAAAAACCAGAGGGTCAGATCGATATCGTGGACAGACATGTCGACAAAGACACCGCCAGACCAGGCGGCATATTCCACATAGAATCCGGAGGGGTCGAACTTGTCGGCAGTTTGACTGCGGATAATGGAAGGGCGACCGATGAGACCTTGCTCGGTCTTCGCGAAGGCGTCGCGGTAGGACTCGTCGAAGCGCCGTGAGAATCCACACATCACCTTCAGGTGAGGCTTCTTCTTGGCGGCCTCAAGCACGGAGCGGCACTATGGAATGGTTAGTACAAAATGAAAAGGTGAATTGAGGGCGATGAGGGAGGGAGCGACGAACCACTTCCACATCAACAGAGAGGGGCTTCTCGCACAGGACGTGCAGGTCCTTCTCGATCGCCTTGATGGCTTCTTCGGCGTGGACTGAAGTAGCAGTTCCAATAGCAACCGCCTGGAGACCGGGGTGCTTCAGCATTTCATCATAGTCGGTGTACAGAGTCACTCCATGAGGCTCAAGGTTGACTCGACCCCAAGCAATCTCGTTCTGGTCGGGGGTAAACGCAGCGACAAGTTCAGCGCGGGGGGGTCTTTTGGAGGAAGTTGATAGCGTGCAACTTTCCGACACGGCCAAGTCCGGCCATGCCAACTTGTAGTTTTTGAACGCCCATTGTGTGTGAAGTATGTGAGAGGAAGTAGAAGATGGATGTTGCTATGCTTTCTTTCTGAGAGAATCAGTGAATCTGGGGTCCTACTGTGGGTTTAAATAATCCATGATGGAGTTCAGTTAGGCCCATTGCAAAGACAGGTCTTCTCATCTCTCAATATTGTGGGAAAGTCTTCCCATTGATTCCATTCGCACTCCATCTGCATATCCTTATGCCCGGCATTGTGAGATGGGATATCAAGTGGAAAGACTTACCTTGTCCATCCGAACGAGTCACTTCGCCCACCACCCGCCCGTAATCCAGTCTAGTCAGGTGTGCTCCTGGCCAGTCCATAATTTCCTAGGAAATCCGTGCTTGGCTATGAGTGGGCTGCTTGTGCAGTGCTCTGATTGATCAGTTGCTGATTGTGGGGAACGTAGGGGGTTCCCCCGCACTGCGGAGAGATTTGCCCTAACACTCCAGGGAAATTCTCTCCGCATATCCACCCCTCAGCACTCACTCCCTGAGTACCCCCATAGCCAAATGGATTCGCGGCCACGGAGGAGTCGTCTTGTGGCGGGCTGGTAAGTACAGTATCACATTTCCCCGTGGATTCATCATATACTAACTAATCACCGATTGTCCAGTCAACGATGCCGGGGTAAGTCTAAACGGGCAAGAGATGGACCCAAACTTCATTAACATAAACGTGGCTGCGTTTTCTAGTTCGTCATTTGAAGTGTACGTCTTGTGGCTGAAACATCACTTCAAGTTCTTTGTATTCATACTGATTGGACATTCTAGGTGATATTCGTGCAGAGAGCTGTCGGCACTGTCAACGTGTCGGCGTCGAGTGCAACCGATCATCGGTGCGGTTTCGTGAGGGGCTGGCCTTGCCAAGTATCGCCTTTTCAGAGCAACCGAGTTGGCCTCGAATTAATGGAAATGGTACCTTGAACTCATTGAATATCAATTGAAACATACACAATCTCAATGTTAATTCTCTGACAGTTCGCTTTCATGATGAAACTTCTGAGATCACAAGTCTATACGTGGAAGTCACAGAAGACCCCGAGCCACAGTGGGCCCACAATCAAGAATATGATTCTCAAGAAAGGCTGCATCGTGAAAAAGTCATTCATACTCCCGAAGAACGCCAAATCAATCTGCAGCACGCTGCCAACCTTCGATCGCCCTCGGTACCCAATGCCGTGGCAGAAAATCCCTCTCCTGCGAGCCTATCAATTATCTCGTCGTCATCATCTCGAACCAGATCTAGCTACACTACTCTCCATACATTTACCGAAAGAGAGGCTATTTTGATCCGAAATTTTGTTGAAAACATGGCTCTTTGGGTGTGTTTGCTAATGGAGCTATTGGTGCTTGATATGTTCCAGAAGCTGACGGATATCATAGGCCGATATTACCGATCCAAAGCGCCATTTTGAAACAGAAGTACCCGCAAGAGCGCTCAAAGACTCGGTTCTTCGCCATGCGGTTTTAGCTTTCTCTTCACGGCATTTAAATCGAAGAAATACGGAAGACGCGCCGGAGGCACTGCAATACCATAACGATTGCGTCAAGTTACTGATCCCTGCAATGTCCGAGCCAGAGCAACATATCACCGAAGATATTCTGGCTTCCGTGGCGATCTTGCGACAACACGAAGAAATGGATGGTAAGCAGTTCCGAGTCTAATACCCATCTGCACATGAACCCAGCAACTAAATTTTCTCTAGGGGAGGATAACCAATTCCATCTAACAGGAACTACTCGCATTCTCAACACGGTCTCAACATTTGGTTCATCTGGTGGTCTGGGCGAAGCTGCGGCTTGGCTATGCTTGCGTCAGGACATTTACGTCGCACTAACGACCCAGCAACCACTGCGAACCGACCTGCAAAACTTCCTGGATTCTGATGTTTTTGTGAGAGATGATGACTTTGCGTGGTCCAGTAGAATGGTTTTTCTACTAGCGAAGGCTCTGCAAGGTGTCTTCACAAACAATGCAAATTCAAAATCCATTGACGAGGAGGTTCGTGAGTGGTATGCGACGAAGCCACATACCTTTGAGCCAATCCGAGTAGTTCCACGTGGATCGGAAATAAGCAATCGATTCCCAGCCATTTGGATGTTGCTGCCCGTGCATGGTGAGAATGTTCTCTCGTCTATTCTCTGTTACATTACTGACGCCGGTGCAGTTGTTGGCCTGCAATACTATCATATGACCAAGATTGTTCTTGCACTTTCTCAAAGCTCCACCGCATCTTCTACATATGAGACGATTCGACAATCCCGAATAATTGAGGTGAGTCCTGGATTTTATCATCGAGTGACCCGTTGCTAAAAGGTTCGCCTTTCAATAGAAAAATATTCAACACCATTTACTCCATGTCTTGGGTCTTGCAGAATCCAATTCGAAAGCTGAAAACACGCTCTTTACTGCACGCCACAGTCTGGTTGCATGTAAGTGTACTCATAATTAATCATCCGGGCAGATTCACGATATAATGGGATCTTGACTGATTATCTAGGGGGCTGGGCTTTGAGGAGTCGTGGAGATCAAAAGGCGGCAGAGTCCTTATTACGGGGTATGCACGAAAGAACGGGATGGAATATGGACACATTGATTGTGTCGCTGCGGCAGCAGTGGCGTGATGAAAATGAGCATTGAGGATATCCCGATAAGAAGATACCATGACCTAACGGTACCAGCAACTCTTCATCGTCGAAGTTGAGTTTGTAAATTAACATCTAGACATCTAGACCCAGCGTAAAACGCCATGCTGTACTAGTACTCTCTACTTCGCCTTGATCTATATCCTCTATCCTGAAAATAGGTCATCATGATGGTTTTCATAATTGCAAGATATACCGAATCAACTTCGGATGACAGTGTAATCAGGCCCAGCTCACATACTACTCTCATTGCTCCCGTCATCCAAAATACCATATGGCATACCCGTATCACCGATCTGATCCACGATGCCAAAGAATTCAGCGGAGGAAATTCCGATACTGTCAAGAAACTCCACACTAGGCACCTGCATGTTAGTAATTTCAGGAGACTGTGGGTACCCAGGGGTCGTAGGAAGAGTCAATATCCCCGATTCATCGATATGTTCTTGCCACTGTTGCACCGGATTGACCAGGCTCATAGGCCCCTCGGGGCCATACGGAGTGCACAGGGTCAGAGGTTGAAGCCCACAGGATTCCGCCCGCAAAGAGAGCTCCTGGAATAAGGATTCGAGGTAAACGAGCTCATCCCTGCGCACCTCTGCTACGCGGTTTCCGTTGGAGATCATGCCATTTAGAATTCCATGCGCTTTTTCGCTCAGTGCCTTTCCGTCGAATTCTTGAGGGAAGAGAGCGTTGGCCATTGCGAGATGTATGGCTGCGCCGTATGTAAATTCTAGATCGTAGAGGAGAAAGACCTCTGATGTTTTATTTATCAATTTCTGTTTAATTCATGTACTTTCAAGTTCCAGAGATGGCTCACCCAGCAGACTGTCACTGTTAGACAATATTTGTAGCGATTTAGTGGCCGATTTAATTCCTATGCAGATGAGAGTTTTGGTAAGATAGAGAAAGCGCTGCCAGTCTTCCTTTTCGGTGTCAAGATTCTCGAGTCTCTCTTTCAGGGCCGAGAGGAGGAGCGGGCGCGTCGCCACAATTACACACTTGAGAAATTATTAGCCAGGTCAAGCAAGCCAGTTCAATGATCTAACTTACTTGGTGATAAAGCAAAGTGGTGTGCCTTGTACCTCTTGGCAGTGTATCGACAGAGTTTCGAAACCTGACATGAATAATCTTTTCGACTTCCTGGGCATGTCCTGCCAGAGTCCTAAGAATAGACCTTGTTGTATCCAGAAATGCGTTGAGTTGTGTCTTCTCCGTCTTGTAAACAGCTATGAATAGAAATATTAGAAGTGACAACGATAATAAATCTGGCCGGGACATACTTTGTAAGATGAATGACAGCAGTTGCGATAATCTTGCCTGAAGACTCAGCGCAACGTCCCGGTGAGACAATGTGGCCGGTGGATCCATCGAAACTGAGATATCACTATCTTGAGTAGTCATTGGAAGGCCACCAGAGCAGGAGAAATGTCGATCCATAATATACAAAGTCCACCAAAGGTTCCGACATCTGGAAACCGTCTTCACTCCCAGTTGTTCCTCGGATAGTTGTGTATGTAGGCCTTCGAACTGAGCAATTCTTATTGCTTGACCGAGCTGCACAAACGCGCCATCTTAGCTCCACCTATTGGACTGGATATTTTGGAGCTTACATAGATGTATGCTGACTCTCGCTTGTCAACCGAGTAAAGATATAATGCAGCCAAGGCTAACGCCTCAATCGCCATCAGGCTATCCTTCCACAGGGATGCATGGCACGGCATTAGCGACATAGCCCGGATAAAGAACTTTGACCCCGGTGGCTGATCCGAGTCCGTCCTTGATCGACATAAAAATGATGTACCAAAGGATATGACCAAAAGAAACTGGATAAACCAGAGACGATCTTCCCGGGCCATAGCAGCTGGCTCGCCGTTATAAAATTCTATCAATTTATGGGCGAACGAATCTTCATCAAAGAAACGATAGCTCTGACCAAGGTGAAACTTGACTGTATCAAATAAATAAGTGGCATAGTCGAGTGATGGCAGACCACTGATATCCGGTGCGTCTTTGGATGCACAAGAATCCCATTTGAGAGGATACACTTCCTTTTGTACCAGTGTGGGTGCATTGTGAGGGTATTGATTGTATAGCTTTTCTGACATTAGAATGGTTAAACGCGTCGTGAAAGACCACATCGATGATGGAGCAAGCCAGACTGTTTATTTGTCAGTGGGGCTCGATGGCGATTTCAGTTACCACTCACTCCAACTGCGCCTATTCCTCTGTGTGTTTTTGATCGTCGTCGATGGAAGACTGAAAGGACTCGTCCAGATATTAGGAGAATGGTCGGCCATGGTTATTGGTGAGCTTTCTCCGGTTTCTAGGTATGGCATAGTGCCCACTGCGAGAGGAATATTCTGAGCAGAGTCGGGGTTCGAGTGCAAAGGCGATCCAGAGTGCTCCGTTGTTGATGCATTTTGGCGACTTCGAGCGTGAGCTTCTAATTGTCGAAGATATCTTTTCGCATTTACGTTAACAGGCGGCCAATAAAGAGGGAGATCTGAGACTGGCATGCCTTTCTGATACGACAACTTTATTAACCCCTTCCGTGAACTCGCAATGGATTGATCGACGCTGACAATTTGTGCAAGGCTCTTGTCCGGAGCATTTGATCTTGCTTTGACGGCATGCTACGCATCTGCGAACCAATAAGCTTCTACAGGTAAATGTATTTGGGAATAATAACACACGCGTTGGCTGTTCTCCTTTTCTTTCGAGTAGGTGGTGGTGTATTCATAGTACCTAGATATCTGCTTATATTCGTACTCCAGATCACGACGCGTCATGGGGTTGTGGGATCTAATATTGCTAACTACCCCGCACACATTACTTCTAACAGACCCCTCACCTTGTGGCACTAGCAAAGAGATAGTAGGGAAAATAAGTATCTTGAACCGGAGAACCTCCGATACTTTAAAATACCTAGGTATGCGCCAATTCCCCATTCATGGGTAGCAATATCGGCAACTAGAAGCTCATATTTTTTACAGCGTTAATGAGCTCATAGTGACAGTGTCGGATATTGGAATATCCCGATCAGATCAACTCATTTGCCTCAAACTAAATTGTGGGGGAAATGTCTACCGTCTAGTTCACGCGGTCGGTTATGGTGGGCCTCTCGGGAAGGGAACCCGAGGATGTAGATTTGCCTCGGGGATCTCTCACGATCAAATTGAAACTGAATCTGGCCTCCAGGTCATGGTCATGGCTATTCTGTGGCATGTACCCTATGGGCCCCATGTCTGAAATTCTAATACATTCTGTGATAAGTTCGACCTGTTTTGCTTAGGATATATGTATGACATGCTTGTGGCTGGAGTCGGTGTAGACGCCCTGATATAGCAGCTTCTCCGGTATGGAGGAACAGTGGGCAATGCATCGGTTACGATTGGAAAAAGAGTCCATTCTGGCATCGTAGCTCCAAATGGTCTAGGTGTCTTGGCCCTACCCGTTTGGGGGGAAGAGTGGTTAGGTTGATTAATGAAACGCTAGTAGCTGCCTTGAACCACCTTTTTGCTGTTTTTGTTTTTTTGTCCAGTTCAGAAGATCGATTCCAGGACTTAGCATTCATTTTGCCCTTACTTACTTTCTTTCTTTTTTCTTTTTTTTTTGCTGTTTGCTGTTTGCTGTTGCCTTCTGTACTTTAAAGTGAATTGTGTCTTCCACTGTATGTATACCATTGGAGTATGTTTGCTGCCCGCACTTTTCAACCAGATAGGAACCTTGGAAGTGGAGACAAACTCCATTGCTACCCTAAAGTATCAGAACAAGGTACCCTTGATCCTCAATTTTATTATCAAGCCAGCTCGTGCTTAATGGCCATTAGACCCATTGATGCATTCATATCCGACAATCCGAAGAACCCGATCGGACTGTCTCGGTGGACTCCCAGCGAGTGAGTATCCACCTTGGTATCATCCGAGGAGGCGCATCAGCGTAAAGCGTTTGTACTATGCTTTCGGCTTCCATTGCCGAGTCGGACAACGCAACGGAATTTGAGACCTCAACCTAATCCTTGAGCTGATCTGACTGGTATATTAATTATTCACCCATGGAGCATGTATATGCTGTACAAAAGCGGACAGTCGAACTACATCCCATCCCTCAACAACCTCGATCTATCTGGGTACTTCGAGTCGGCCCATAAGGAACAAGAACCTTGGAACTTGAAACCTCCTCCTTCACTTCATTGAACGAAATGTCTCCCGCTGCTCTGTATGCTCCTCCGGCACCGCCGACGGTGGTAGGCCCTTCCACTAAAAAAGCGACTCGCCCAACCAACAAGCTTCCCCAATTCCTGATCGACGAAGCAAAGATTGCAGAAAAAGATTCATTCGATGCAAGCAAGCATCTCAGCTACATCGCTCCCAGCAGCATATCTACCATGAAAGAAATTGGTCTGGAAGGGCAAGGAATTTCTCCCAACGCCGTGACCGCGCCGTTTCAACTCTTCACGGAGAATGCAATCAAGCAAATGAGAGCCGAAATCTTTAGCCAACCTGTTTTGGATAATTGCCAGTATACCTCTGAATTCGTGAAGAATACCATCCGGGGAATGGGGTCGGAGTAAGTATCATGTGCCTTGACTTTTGAGCTAAGTTGACTTCAGAATAGACGAGCACCGTTCACCTGCGACGCATGGAACTCCCCTGAAGTTCTTTCCATAATCTCCGAGGCTGCTGGTATTGAGCTCGTTCCCGCGATGGAATACGAGATTGCTGCTATTAATATCTCGGTCAACAACCAGACAGTGGATGTGGTGAAGGATAAAAACCCCAACGATGATGATCTCCCGGCATTTGCATGGCACAGGGACAGCTACCCATTTGTCTGTGTCACAATGCTGTCGGATTGTACTGGTATGATTGGAGGAGAGACTGCATTGAAGACTGCCTCCGGCGAGATTAGGAAAGTGCGCGGACCTGCCATGGTATGTTTACTATCCCCGTGCTTGTCCGATATCTTTTCGAGTTCAAGTTATGGATTCGAACCTAACAAGTTACTTAAAAACAATAGGGAACTGCTGTCGTCATGCAAGGAAGATATATTGAACATCAGGCGCTCAAGGCTTTTGGGGGTCGCGAGCGTATCAGCATGATCACATCCTTCCGTGCGAAGTCACCTCTTATTCGAGACGAGACGGTCCTCACTAGCGTCAGGCCCATCAGTGAGGTCTCTGAGCTTTATACTCAATTCAACATCTACAGAATGGAGATCCTTGAAGAGCGTTTGCGTGCCCGTCTCGCCCATGACCGAAGAAAAGAGCTGGCTAAGCGGCCATTGGATACTGCTGCTGCTAGGAAGTTCTTGACTGAGCAGAAGGAATTCCTGGAGGCAACTATCGCGGAGCTTCTTGACTACTAAGTAAATAAATAAGTAGTACCCAGATACTCTGAAAAAATGACTGTCGCACAGATTATTAAAGAGAGCTTCTTGGCGTTCAGTTTCCTCGCTACAATACCTAAATTTGTTGAATAGATGACAAGACTAATTGATACATGGCTAATCCTTCACATCACATGATAAACACCTGCGGCTCGGGCAACAATTTTGTCCAGTTCTCACTCTTGCGCTTCTGACGAATTTCTTGAAGAAGATCCAAAGCTCTCAGAATATTGACAAACCCACTGCGACTGAATTGCCGCTTCAGAAAGGAATCAAAGAACAACTGGTGCTCAAGGGAATGACTCTCAGAGGCAGCAATGAAACACGCCCAGATAAGGGAATGTTCTCCTAGCGACCCCTCGGGAATCTGCTCAAGCGTCGATTTGAAATCTTCCACCAAATGCGTCGATGGTGTTCCGTCATCTCCTAGGGATGCCCGATAAAGATAAATGTCATATGCTTGTTGTCTCAGGCTAGCAATTCGGTCAAATGAATCGAAATATACGGGGTAGAGGTGACGATAATACTCGAGGCAATCGAAACTTTGCTGGCCTTCAATCATAAGGGTGCTTGTGCCTGCATCCTGGCTTATGAATGGTGCTCCATAAACTCTTATCCTGGTCATGTTAGCTCTAGAGCTCCAAACTGACCAGCAATCCGGCACCACTCACTTATAAATCTGTCGTAGAAGAAATTGGCCCAAATCTCCCTCTGCAAGCTGTGAGTCGCCGCCGATAGCTTGCAAAGCAGATTGCAATACGTGGAAAACGATGGGAAAATCCGAAGACCCGTTAACCATCAAAGCCACGAGGAGAACAAGGATTGTTAGGATGATGACGTGCTGTGTTTCCAGTTCGTATCTGTCTATAGACCTCTTCCTTTGAAGCTCTTGGATGGCTAGTGTATAAAGTTGCGTAGCATCCTGGACTCCACTACCTTTTCTGCTGGATAGATGGAATGCAGATGCTGCAAGGACCGCATTCATGACCAATTCATCGCGATGGGCTATCGGAAGAACCATGTGTCGCCACCCATTATTGTGGTCATCAACAATCACCATTTCAGGCGCAATGTTTTTAGAAACTGGAAATAGCATCGGGTTAGCGATATGTGCATTGGCTTGGATGCAATCAAAGCCTACAATAGTCCAGCAGAAACAGCTTCCCAGGGCTCACTGAGCCAAGATTTGGAGAAACTATAGACGATTTCCTGAGTGATGACTCGGGATCGGAGTCACGCCGATTTCTCTCATTGTTGATTGGAATCTTCGCCCCCGTCGAGCAGATCGTTGGAACAAAGGCCTGGCCTTTCCCTTTTCCAGATCGACTTGATTTCTTCAAGCTCTTCGTTCCTGGTGAGAAACTGTTGCGAAATTTCCACGCCGCGCCGAACCCACTACAAGATATGCCCTTTGCGTCACATTTCTTGCAGTTGGGATGTGTGCGATCGCAATGAATCCGGCGCTGAGAACACTCGTAACAGCCTGTCAATCAACAATAAGAAATCAATACAACATAGAACGTCGTAGATAGGGATTCACACCTTTTATTTTTGGCACGTAGGGTCGTTTCCTCTGTGGCATGGTAGTAGGGAAGTACTCTTGGTATTCCTTCTGGTGATGTTGAATGGAAACGCTGTTCATCCGTTACTCTGACTCTTTCCGAGGTTTGCAACCCCTCCTCGGCTTCGCATCCGACGGGGTCAACCTTGAAAGATAACAAAAAGTGCGGGGTATAAAACATCCATGGATCCAATGGCAACTTGAACAATGATATCATGGTAGTTTGAGGTTTAATGCTACTAGTACTATGCAATCATCACGATGGAGTAGAAATATTCTAAATGACGTTCAATAATTTTGATATATGCTTCGATCGCCAAACCAGTAGTCAGAACAATATGATACAAATGAATACCGGTATATGTATGGTTCAACCAGATCAGCTCCGGAACAACTGCAGACCACCCTCTTCACGGTCATCATCACTCTCAGCATCACTGCCGCTATCATCTCCCTCACCCAGCAACCCACTGGCAGTTCTGCCGAGTAGCGAAGCAAAGAATTCATCACGGGCCCGAATTGTCCATCCGCCACGGTCTTCGGGAGCCATGAAGTTCTGCAACTTCTCATGCACGTTGTACTTCATCTTACGGCCCTTGGACGCACGGGTATCAATGTCACGCTTCACCTTGTCGTTGCGCATACCAGTCACTGGGTGGATCGGAAGGCGAGAAGGCAGCTGCGTGAGAGAGTCGAGACCGCCCGACATAGCCTCAGACGAGGACATGCGTTGTTCTACAAGCTCACGGAGGAGAGATTGGTAGAAAATAGTGTCGTCGTAAATAGGTTCGGTGGTTTCCGTGGCATGGCGAGCGCGCTTGGAAGATCGGTCGCCAATTTCGGTTGCGACGTGGGCGTCGAGAACAGCGGTGATGGTCTGTTGACCCGAAGCAGAGCCAAGAAGCTTTCCACGGGCATTAGGGAGAGAGCTTGGGGCTCCCCTAACCTTGGAGGACCACTTGTCGAGAACAGAGCGGCGGTGTGAGAGGGATTCGGATTCCAGATCGGCCATACGCTCCCAAAGCGAGGCAGATGTGGTTGATGGTGTGACAGAAGAACGCTTCCGCTTTTTCGTCTCGTCCTTGGACTGGGCTTCGGCGAGGGCGGTGCGAAGCTCCTCCAAAGTAGACCAAAGTGCAAGTGCCGCAGACTCCGCAGACTTGATCGCCTCAGAATTTGAAGCGTCCTCTTCCTGGGCATCTTCATCCTCGGCAGCAATTCCAGCAATGTCGTTGATGGCGGTCAGACCCTTCTGCAGCTTGATCCGAGTGTTCAGCAGCGCGTCAAAGGTAGCACGCTGCTCCTTGACAGCCTTTCCCTTGGCCGCATCAGCCTTGGAGGCCTGTGAGATGGTGGCTGCAATGGTCTTCTGGTCTGTAGCCATAAGCCTGCGCAATTCCTCCCGATCGTCAGCCGAGGTCTCCTTGCTACCGGACTGCTTCTTGCTAGCGCTTGGTTTGCGCGGGGCAGATGATTCTTCGTCGTCAGATGTGATCTCATCTTCGCTGTCTTCGACGTCTTCGGAGCCATCTGACTGGTCATCGCTTCCTGCGGATCCCTCTAGATCAGACCCTTCTTCGTCGGACACGGCAGCACCTTCGTCGCCGCTCTCCAATTCGTCTGACTCTTCCACATCGTCGTCGCTGCGGGCCGCAAAAGGATCATCGTCACTGTCGGCATCTATCGCATCTCTGCTGACACGAGAGCCGTCGTATTGTTTGCCGAGAGAAACGGGGTCTTGCTTGCGAAGCTTTCCTTTGCTGTTTCTTGTATTAGCGAACCATCGCGATTGTGGTGAGCGGAGACATAGTCTTACCCTACGGCCTGGTAGTGCTCCCTTCCAGCATTAGATTCTGCGGGCTTGCCAGCCTCTTCATCGGAAGAATTGCCATCGCGCTCGATATCCTCGGGATCAAAGTCTGGACAATCAAATCAGATCAGCATTTGCGAAACTCAAGGAGTCGGGTTGTAGTTTCGACATACCTTGGGAGTTGGGTCTTCCAGCTCAGCGAGCTGATCAGCCAGGGACTTTCCAGGTGCCATGTTGAGTGAATGATAGGCCTTCTGGACTTGGTTAACACGAGAAGATTGGAAGCTGCGGCGACCTTCACTTTTTTTTGTTTTTCCGGTTATCCGGAACAACTGCCCGTTCTGGGACTAGCGTCTCCTTTTGACAAGCGGTGAGTCTTCTCGTGGTGTGGGCTGTGAATAGACCGCCAATATTCTGCCGTTTCTATATGCGTTTGTTGCATCACTTCCGATCTTGACTTCCTCTCTTCTGCCCCCTCGGTGCTATTTACCAAAGAATGTGGTCCATACCGACTAGCTGCGCACCAGTGCGTAGTCGCCTGTTCTCGACCTTTCGAGTGCTCCAGCATGACAATCCCCTTGTCAGTATTGCACCATCATTGCGCCTCGGCTATATTGCGACTATTTATTAAAAATTCCAGGGTCTCCCACGTTCAGGTACCCCTCCAAGCCTCAAGAGCCGTCGCGGACTCCCTCAGAAACGCAAAATTCGGGATGTAAAGAAAGTCATTGCCGTATCATCGGCCAAGGGTGGTGTGGGCAAGTCAACGGTTGCAGGTAAGTTTACCATTCAAGGTCGCATCCTGTTGCATAATGCATAGTGCTAATGTATACTTCAACTAGTCAACCTAGCTCTCTCCTTCGCTCGCCGAGGAATTCGAACAGGTCTTCTAGACACGGATATTTTCGGCCCATCAGTCCCAACTCTCCTCAATCTCTCCGGAGAACCACGACTCGACGAAAGTCAGTTCCCATCCATACCTCCTTAACGATCCCGAACTATCCACTTACATGTGCAATCACAACAGATAATTGCCTCATCCCCCTAACAAACTACGGCCTCAAGTCAATGTCAATGGGTTACCTCCTCCCTCAAACCCAAACAGACACGCAGACCGGCGAAGTACCAATGGACACAACGCCAATTTCCTGGCGCGGCCTTATGGTCACAAAAGCCATGCACCAATTACTTCACTCCGTATCCTGGGGACCCTTGGACGTCCTCGTCCTAGACCTTCCCCCCCGGAACCGGCGACGTCCAATTAACAATCAACCAAGAAGTGATAATCGACGGCTCAGTAATCGTCACAACGCCTCAAGATATCGCGCTCCGCGACGCAGTCCGCGGCTTTGGCATGTTCCAGCGAATGGATGTTCCCGTCTTGGGAATGGTTCGAAATATGGCTTATTTCGCTTGCCCGAATTGCGGACATCAGACGAAGATTTTCTCACATGGTGATGGCGACGGTAACCACCACTCCTGTGAAGATCGCGGTGTTGTGGCGGAGTGTAAGCGGCTTGGCGTGGATTTCCTTGGCGATATCCCGCTTGATGCCCGCGTTTGCGAGGATGCGGATCGTGGAATGCCGACTGTTGTTGCTGAGGAGAGTGCGGAGCGAAGTGCCCGTCGCGAGGCTTTCCTTAGTGTTGCTGAACAAGTTGCCCGTAAGATTGGTCTGGAGTGGCGTTAGACTTTTCCTGTGCTTTCGGTGACTGGTTCACCAATACTATTGGGAATGTGTATACTAGGAGTCTTGCAGATGTGATATTACGGTTGTCGCTCATGTGCTGGGCAATGGTGAGATATGTACGATAATCTGCATGAAGATGATTTCAAAAGTAGATTTCTTATTCTCAAAGTATTGCTACATGAATCCGAGTAACTCAAAACATAAAGTCAAAGGGTCAGCCATAGATCGTATTCGCATCGGGGGGACTTCTTCAGTCTCCTGATATGACCGTACCCGAACCCTCGCCAGAAGTAAAATGGGTATATTGAACAGATAAAAAAAGTGGATGGGGAAGTGTGAAGAAAATTCAAGAAGAGTAGATGGTAGATCAGTGTGGTTCTGCAAGTATCAGAAACAAGAGATACGGGAGATGTAGTAAGGCAGAGTTGGCCAGATTCTCGAAATGGTTTGGGTTGAAAGCGAGAGGGATTGATGGAATGGTAAACCATCATAAAGAGAGGGGCAAGTAGTTGTGACAAGAAAAGAAAAGAAAACACATGGTATGTGGATGGTTGTAGCAGCGCATGGTGCAGTGTTAAAGTTGTTCATCGGCAGTCTTGAAAACTTCGCGATCAGGCATATCCGGACAACAGAAGGTTGAATTCCGGGGCTCGTCAACTGAGAGCCCAGGGCGCAGTGATGATGTCTCGGTCGAGAAGCGTCCGGCTTCGTTGGTGGTAACGACGTCACTGACACCCCTGACGTTCCTTACAGCCCTGGTGCTAGCCGTGTCTGGAGCGATGCCATTGGGGATGATGCCGACATCCTTTTCGCCACCAATGGTACTAGCATCGTCGGATAGGAATTCGCTGCGACCGGCTACTGAAGATGGCCGACCGTTCAAGTAAGGCAGTGAAGCATTTGAGGTCATCGCAGCATGGAAAAGAGCTCTTGTACTTGCGCTGTCGTCTTGCAGCTTGTGGTTGTCAACCTCAGGTAAAATGAGGATCGGACCACCACTTTTCTGCGAAAGTGGACGAGAAGCAGTTTCTGGGTCACTAGAAATGCGCCCAGATGTGAAATCCCTATTGGATTGCTTCTGTTCACTGGCAGTGTCCCAAGTGACAACACCTGCACCGGCAGCGGCAGCCTGTGAAGTTTTGTTGGCATGAGCATCTTGGTTCTTCGCGGGCGTGCTCGTATATGAACCTGCTTGGCCAGCATCCACACTCGTACGGGTGGAGCGACGACCAATTTGTTGAGCTTGTTGCTCTTTTTCCATAGTCCGCTCATCGTGCTTGCTACCCCAGCCACTCCATAACATCAATCCATAGTTCTTCTTGGCATGACGTCTGGGAAGTACGCCAGGGGCAGCCCGTCTAGCAGCCAAGGAGCTTGGTGGAGGACATTCACCGTTGAAATCCTGTAATCCATGTGCCATCTCTTTGATACGTCGGCCCTGAACCCGGAGTTTCTCCTTGGAAAACTTCATATCCCATTCATGCTTCGCAGCAAGCCACTTTGAGATAAGCTTCGGGTTAATTGCGCCAACTTTATCAGGAGGGGTATCGAGAATAGGATAGGATGATGGCGGATCCAATGGATAAGTACGCCCTCGCTTATCAACCCGCTCACGCAACATATGGTGGGAGAAGGCGGGCAAGGGATCTCCTGCTCTTCCAACATAAGAGATCCCCGTATCTGTTCTAGGGATCTTTGCACCATCGTGAGGACCGGAGCTTGAGGCGTCTTCCGACCCACTGGAGGACACCGGGGAGAACTGACTCTCGTCGACAATTTCCACCTCGGTGTTTTGGGCCCGGGCGAGTGCCCAGGAACCGAATTGTGAGATAACTCGGAACATATACTTGGCTGGCCGACTAAAGCTAAAAGTCGGTGCCACATGGCACAGGTTGTCCCAAACTTGGAACTGCACGTAAGTGGGCTCATATTTGTTCAGAATCTCTCGGTTGGGGTCGTGTTCATCGAGGTAGACGTCGCTCGGCGGGTAGGCAGTAGGATTGGCGGCTTTGTGTGCAATGTAAAAATGCTCATCACGTAGCATTTCACCACCGCCACTGAGAATCTGAAGTGGGGGAAGACCACCTAAGGATGGTTGAAGAATCGGGGAAACCAAAGGATGCGAAATGAGCTGGTTGGTTGTATACATCTGGATTTGATCTTTCAGTTCGACCGTCTTGCCCTCGAGTACAATGTGGATATTATCCGGCTCGGCGTGCACGGTGTTAGGGTCCGAGCTTTGTTGCATTCCGGGGTAAGCATGTCCTGGGGCGACCGATTTCTTCTCATGTAGTGTATACCCATGAACTGCTGTCTCCTCCGCATTACTGTTAGGGGCTGGGACTGTTTCATTCACGTCTTTTGCGGTAAGAGTAGGCTTGTGGGAAAGCTGTTTGATTTTCAAAATCTCATCGGCATTCGGAGGTGGCCAAGCCGTCGATGGCTTGTGGCGGAATCCGTAAGGAGGAACATAATCGGCAGGGTTATCCTCGACGATGCTGGGCATGGAGTGGGTGAGGTCTACCCATGGGGAAATTAGGATCGCTCCGGCGGGTAAGGGGATCCCCTGATCGCGCATGATAACCATTAAAGACAGGGCCATGCCTCCACCAGCCGAGTCGCCCGCAATGATGATTTCCTTCGAGTCGTAATGCTTCAATAGCCACAAATAAGATGCCAAGCAATCTTGTAATGCGCATGGGAAGGGGAACTGGGGAGCAAGACGATACTCCGGAGCAAAGACGCGACCCTTGAGCTTACGCGCATGGCGCTGCATCATGTAGCGATGGGTGTCTACGCTGCCAAAGTAGTATGCACCACCATGAAGGTAGAGCATAATGCGATTACTTCGGACATTGGCCTTCTTGTTTTCATTGTGATGATTGCGCATCTCGATCCACTCTCCCTTGAGGTCCTCCGATGGACCTCGCCATTGCCACCATTCTTCGCCGCCGACCCGCTTGATACCTTTCGGACCGAGTTGCTTGGAAATTGCTTGTGCAGCAGTCGAGAGCTCGTCATTGGGGATAGTTACAGGCTCAGTCCTTACCCAATGCGGACTCGGGACCCATTGGCTTGTGAATGCTTGAATATCTTCGACGGAGTGCTTGGAGGCATAATACAGAAACTGTCGGGTAATGTGTATTCCTTCGTCATAGGTGATATGAACCGAGGGCTTGTCATGGAGAGACTTGCGATGTAAATACTGTTCGAACAATCCATCAGTGAGCTTCTAGTTAGAGCATGATCGTTCCGGGAGTGGCTTTGGACCCACATGAGCGATGAAAGTCTGGATGGCAGTTGGCGTCAAAGCCATGCCCAGAGAGACCGTGTGCAGCGGCATTGTCCATGCAAAGCAATTGAGCCACGCGAGATAAAGAGAGAATAATGTAAAAGGGGAGGAACACGAAGGAGGAAAGCGAAAGCGAAATGGAAATGGAAAGGGAAAGGAGCGGAGCGGAGTGGAGCAACTCGACGTCATTGTTGTAAACAAACAAAACAAACACGGCGGGGCGGTTGGCAGGGGCAGTTTCTACTCACCGCCCTGGCAGATCGAAGGCCCCTGCTTCCTTCTATGCATTTATGTACTACATCTTCTACATCTTCATATCTTCATATCTTCATATCTTTATATCTTCATATCTTCATATCTTCATATCTTCATATCTTCATAGTATCTTCAATTCATTTATGCATATTCCGCACATACCATATTTCGACATCACCTTCTCCGGCGAGAAGCCAGAAACACGATCACTATATACACCACTGCCACTATCCCAGCCACAACACTGCATGCTATCACTGCCCCTCGCGGTGAGTATGGATCCTGAAACCCGGTCAATTGAAATCCAAGTCCCATGTTGATGATCCCCAACACGATCATTATGCGGCCAAACCATCGATGCAAATATGCAAAGACCCCCTTCCCAGAACTTCCATCCCCCACACTTTTGCGGAAATGCCGATGTTGCAAAAGTCCCATCGCGGGTTGAAAAACTACCAACCCGGCAACCACGATCATCCCAATGATGGGATGGTGGTGATGCAGCAGATCCAGATCTTGAGCCAGTGTGAGTCCAATTGCAAGTCCTGCAATTGCAATGACCAGGCTTATGAGTTGCAAACCCGCATGCGTCAGAATAGTCGATGGGAAAACATAGAGCGCCAGCGCCCCGAACGGCAAGAATATCACAAAGACCAAAATCATTAAAATCGCATGGGCCAATTGTCTCTTTTTCAGACTTTCCCCATCAACAGAATTCTCGGTTTCTGCCGCTGTGACCGTTGCGCTCGACAGAACAGCAAATGGGTTGGCGCCCGAGTCGGAATCGGTTGACAAAGCACCCGTCGCTTTTTTCAGATTGACTGTGGCAGTTCCTTTGTCGTCGTGCTCGGTCAACTCTGCCGATACGCTATCCGTACTCAACGGATCCCCATATTTGACAGCCCAGATCCACGGACTCGAGCTGCTTGTTAAATCCAGACTGCCCCGAGCCCAGTTTATACAACTATCGCACCGAACATTGGCCGTGATCCTTTGCTGATCGAAGAAACCACTACCACTTAGCACGGAGACATCTGCATCCGGATTATGTTCTGGCTCGATATGGCCCCTTCCGAGGCGTGGCGAGACTGTTACGTTGTCACTGCTGCTCCCAGCTGTGTACACAACGAAGATGTTGGCCCCGCTCATTCCAGTCCCTTGTCCGAGTGCGAACCATTTTACCGGGCTGGTAGAATTCATCTGAAAGAAGATCGGCCCATTTCCTGAGTTTGCCGTAGTTTCAGGGACGTGGATTGTGAATGTCAGGTCATTTCCTTCTGGGATGATGCTTTGAAATTGGGCGGTTACTAGGCGGGCCCCAAAGAGCCAAAGCCAACAAAAGATAAGCATCCTTGTGGAAAGAATACCAGTACCGGTGGTGCCGACCTCGGGAGCTCCAGGTTTTTTTTTGTTGTCTGAGGGGGGTTAAGTTCATATATAAATACTTTCATACAGTCATGAAGCAGGCCCACAGTGGCTTTCATTTTCAATTTGACGTTTGCATTTCACTGGTGCTGTCGATCTATTCTGGGCGAATCCCTGCGCATTGCTAGTCTATTTGACAGCATTGACCATTGTTAGACATGATAAACCTCAGCCAAGATTTTATGGGTCGAACTTGAAGTCGACAAAGCCATCCAGCTTCTTCAAAGGGCAAGCCACGAGATGCCGAATCAAGTATGAGGGGTTGCTAATCTCCCTGGGTCAGCCCTTATACGAGTTCCAAGGTTCTCTGCTGCGCCTCCACGTTGAAGGCCGAGACCATCAGAGGTTTGAAATGGGACGATCTCCCGTGGGCCACGCGGCCGGGCAAAACATTGAAAGGACCCTTTGCTATCATATGTCCCTGCTGATCTACACTGTAAATTGTTATGACATTTTGCTGGGTTGTGAATGGTGACTGCAATTGCTTGTTTAGGCACAGTTCCCGGGTGTGGGGAAAGGCTGGACCAAAGTGTGGCTATGCCAAAACCCTATCTCCAAATCAACCCCGGGTTATCGGGGATTTTATGGAACTGACAGTTGACCGCCGAACATTTGAGGAAGCTGCTTTTACATGGGCTAGGCAGATGCATTTTCTCCGCATTTTGGTTCCTGTGCAGCTATCAACGCCATCTTTACTGGGCCCCCGAAGATGACAAAGATACGACTAAGCTGCATGCCAAGGTGATTAACCAACACTATCACCTATCAGACAACACATTGCTTTAATGACGCCAGCAAGATCTTCGGTCGACAATCGCATTTGAAATCCAGCCCTTGGCTCTGGACTATTCCCCGTCAACAAATTTCGAATTCCGTCTCAACGCAGCCCCGTACCGCATAAATAACAATGGTACAGGCAACGCCAAGCAAGAAATTCCGCCAAGAAGGCTTGCTGCAGGCCCAATTCCCAGATTAACAAACATTGGTCGGGCCGCCATGGGCATTGCGCAAGCGAGGACCGATCTTAGAATTGTGTTGGCAGACACCGCACTTGCAGCGTACGGACCATAGGTATCGACCAGAAAATTCAGACACTGCTGAAACGCTATATTAAATCCTGCTCCGATAAAACCTGTGGCTTGGTTATTTGGTCTGCAGATTAAAATAACTAAATTTCAATCTCACGTCATCATCTTACCTGCTGCGATGACGGGAAGCGGCCAAGGGTACTTCGGAGCCGCTGTCCATCCAAACCAAAACAGGCCGGCTGAGAGCAAAATTGCCCCGACAATTATTGGAGGTAGACGCGCCTCAGGAACAGCTCTGCCACAATTGGCTTTCACGGCCCGTTTGTAGCGTGGCTGATTGGCGAAGTTGATGAAAACGGCACATCCGACTCCAACTAAGATCGACAGGAAGGGAAGGGTTGACAACACGAGACTCCATTTTCGGTTCTCTTTGAAAACAATCGGAAACACCTCGAGCACAAGGTAAATTAGACTGTAGGTGAACGATGCGTACAGTGCAAGGCATGTCACCATTGGTTCCATGAACAACATTCTGTTATGAAAGATTAGTACGAGTTGAATCGATCAGTATGGTAAGGTCCACCCACTTCAAAGGACGGGCGAGACGTTTTGACACAACGGTACTCAATTCAATCTTCTCCTTTTCATGAGGATGCCAGTATCGCTGATCTCCAGTGCTCCGGCGTAGATGTTGAGCCTTCTGTTTCAGCAAAACGGGTGCATATGTCTCTGGCAGAAAAAAAGCACACATGAAAAATAAAATAAACACCAGAATCGCTTCGACATATTCAGTCCCTGATTTTCACTCAGTCAGCGATACGTCGATCTCTCTCGGGCTATGTCAATCCATGGAAAACCTACAACGCCATCCCAACCGCGCGTTAACTGTTAAAGCAGAGCCAATAATAGGACCCAGTGTCGGACCCCCCGTAATGCAAAACGCAACAATCGTCATCGCATTTCCACGAGAGACTGGGTCAAAGATATCTCCCAGGGCGGCAGGGACATTACTGATTGGCGCAGAAGCAAATATACCGCCGAAGAAACGGGTTAGGAAGATAGCTGTTGCGCTGCGACTAGTTGCCGTTCCGATACTAAATAATCCTAGAATGAAAATGGCTGGCAACATGCCAATCCGGCGACCGTAGACTTCGCTAATCGGAGCCCAAATCATGGGACCAAATGCCCACCCTGTATATCAATTTCAGCATGGATTGTACCGTGATCAATGCAGTTTTTCCCAAAAGAACCCACCTAGAACAAACAAAGCCACCGTCAAGGCCGTCACCTCGGAAGTCGTATGAGTATATTCTGCAATGCTGGCTACGGCTGGTGAGGTGATGGATGAACCGAGTGATCCAGCCAAGGCCAACAAAGCCATCTGGATGACGAGAAATACCTTGTGAGAAGGGCTGTAGTTTTTGGGATTTTTTGGGTCGTTGTCTTCGAACTTGACCTTGAAGGTGTCAAGGAAAATACTTTTTTGGGGGCTCGCCTGATTGATTTCAAGATCTTCGGACATGGTGAGAAAATTAAAGAAGCATAAAAAGTATGGTTTTAATAGACTTGATGCTTTTCTTATGCCAGACACTTGGGCATATTCTACTAAAAGGAGGATTACCCACTAGCTACTTATAGCCGGACATTGGAGACCAAATGTCTAGAAAATTTCTAACTCTCGATATGAACAAGCAATAATAGAGAAAGCTTTAGCATATAAATCAAAGATAATATTCGTAGATTGTGAATTCTAATTGGTGAATAACTTCATCTGAGCAATTGCCTAACCCGCTTCGGTGCTAGTGGCGGCCGCCGGACCCACCCAATATCGCTGCAGAGGCACATCCATTCTCCATTTCTCACTCATAAAAGACTAGCGGCGGCCGACATCTATTGAATTCTACTCCTATCTTCATTCTTTCTCAGGGACCAAGGAGCTTTGACATCAGCGGCCGCCGCTTCGCCACGCGTCTTTGATTCCCAAGATTTGGGATCCAACAGGACACACTCCATGGATCGTGCCCCACGAGTATGTGCGACCTGCAAGGCACGCAAGAAAGGATGTGATAAGTCCCTTCCGATTTGTGGATATTGCTCACATCGTGGGCTTATCTGCATCTATGAAGACTCACCCCCAAATCATGCTAAATCCTGGGATTGGGGCCATACGCGAATTACTGACGTGACGCGTTTTCCTCGCCTTTCAAACATACCGTCAGGTTTCGCATCCTCCACAAATACAGAGGAGTTGGCGGTTGATCTTCAAGACCTGTTATACCATATTCTCGAATTTACGGGACAGACTTTTACGGAAGTCTGTGATTCTTACTTCAATGGATTTAATCGATGGCTGCCAATTATATCGCACGATAACCTTGAACGAGTCCTCGCACGCTACGAAGGAATATACGCTCCTTCGGAAATTTCGCTCCTTATGCTATCAATACTCTTGGTTGTGATGCACCCAGAAGATGGGCTTTCAAAACGTGCAGTCTCTCCAACTATGCTGTATCCAGAGCTCAAGGCTACATTCACGCGACTGCAATCATATCTTCCCACTACATCGCATATGGTACAAGTAGGATTGATACTAATTGCATATGAGTACGCTTCTGGTAGACTGAACGAGGCATATATTTCGATTGGGACCTGCACAAGGATAGCCCAGGTGGTCGGAATTAGAGGGGTGGAATATTCACATGGGACAAGTTCAGAGGAGTTACCCTGTCTCAAAGATGAGGAAGAACAAAATATACGGTGGGGACTTATTTTTCTCGAACGGTATGTCAATCAGTTTAATCATATAACGTGAAAATTCCGCTGACTATAACAAGGCTAATTCTCCTCGAATGCCCTCCTAGCTATCAAGATTCAGCGCAGAGTTTCCCGAGCCATGATGCTCTCCTCCCATCAGACTTGCATCGCCGCTCTTCCCTGATGGCCGAACCTTTCTCTCATCACAAATCACCCACCTTGCAAGACTTTCACTCGATTCATGTGAGCTGCTTTGGTCGGCAAATACAAGCTACTAGTCTGCTGGACAAAGTTGTACAGGCGACGTCATTGCCTAGACCACCAAGCTTCTCTAAATTGAGAGCTTTGGACGACGATCTGCGAGAGCTTTGCACTATCATAATGGGACAGTCTGTACATGGATACCAGTGTGGTGCAAGTGGAATTGTCATCAGGTAAGCACTGAAATGCTCCTAACTCCAGCCAGTATACTACATCTACGACTTCCATCTACTGGAAGAAGTTAACCTGAAGTAGTTGATTTCTAATTCGAGATAGATCCCTCATTCGCCTTCATCGATACATTCTAGACAGCAGTGACTCAATCTCTAGCGAAATATCTTCGCCGCAAATCCGAGAATACTCGCATGCCACGCTTAAGACTTTAACCAGAATGATGGTGGAAATTGCCCACGACCATATCCAGCGCTTAGCTCCGGATCGCATCGACTCGCTCCCGCTAACGTGCTCCTACAATATGCGCACCATGGGGGATTTCATCGAATATCACCGGGGAAACTCCACCAATAATGTGTCTCCAACTGCTGTAGATGATTTTGCGACACTCTATGAGGTTGCACGGAAAAGATGGCCACATACTGTGTGATGGGGGATCTGACGAATGTCATACCCCAAGCTCTTGTGTGTCACCAAATCAATCCTACTCACACAGGGACCCTGTGGGATAGAATTTCTTGTAAGAGAAAAAAAACTCCACCCTTCATGCACCATTCACGAAATACCCTGACGACCGCTGAATGGAAACCCATCAGAACGGCATATCGCAATTGGTTAAAGTGGAATAGCGATTGACAAGCCTGGCTTGGCCGCGCATAGGGTACTCTCCGTATTCGGAGAGGAAAAGCAAAATCCACTGCAAGTACCCTGAAGGTGTAAGAGAGTAAGCAGAATTCCCTTGAGGGGTGATTTTCGTGCGGCAAGGCCGTGTCGATCGCGATTACATTCTTGGCGCCTCTCGGGGTCCCCAAAGTATGATTGAATCTCCGCCGCTCGTTTCTATATAACTAACATGGCTGACCGCGTCTTTAGTTGAGTGGTCTGCGTCCTACCAACTCCAATGAGTCGCAAGATTTTGTTCATAGTAGCGGCTCTGCTGCTGGGCCAAGCCCAAGCTGTGCCTGACCCGTCGCCAGAGCCTATCGTTCACGTTACTACTTCCGATGCTGTTCACCCTGGCGAGCTGGCCAATGTCTACCTGAAATGGCGAGGTTATCCACCTAAAGCTATCAAAGCTGTTTACGACTCCTGCCTTGACTCCGATGTGTCAAACCCAAAGGCAATCATCGGCCATTATACAATCAAATACCAACCTCCCCAGCGCTTAGCATGGGCAGTCCCCAACGATGCCGATTCTGCAAACTGCATTTTCTTATACAGCGAGAATCAGAATGGGGATTTGGGTCAAGTTATCGGCAAAAGCAAACCTGTCCATCTACAACGAAAGGTTCAAAAAAGATCTACCGCTGAAATGAACATTCCTCTCCTGAAAGACTTTGACTCTCTTGGAACTTGGTTTGACGGAGTATCTGCCATCAAACAAAAAACCGATAGCAATGGGGGTGTTTCATCTGCAGCCTCGTCCAAAAATACTTCGATCGCCATTGTCGGTGGTGGAATTTCTGGTCTTGCAACCGCTCTCATGCTTGAAAGTGTCGGTCTTCATAATTGGGAAATTATCGAAGCTAGCGACCGGGTTGGAGGACGATTTCGAACAAAATACATGGCCGACACTCAAGAATGGGCGGAGATGGGCCCAATGCGACTCCCACATTCCGTCACCTACAAAGAGGACAATGAGACTCTCTTGTACACTGACCACCAACTCACCTTCCAGATGGCCGAGGTTCTGAATAATATGAACAAAAATGATTCTCGCTGGAAAATTGACTTCATTCCTTGGGTCCAGCATCACCCCAATGAGCTCATTGCCCAAGGTACCCGTCGACACCCTGATGGTCGTATTCCAACGCGTGGGGAAATCGAGGCCGATCCAAATTTGAAAAGTCCGCCATCCATGACCAGTTCGGAATACGAAGATACCCAAGGCAAGATGGACGATATTTTGAAAAACGCGACAACTCTCAAATCGATTCAGAAGAATGTATGGCAAGCCCATAAGATTGCTATGGAGGAAGGCTTGGATGACTGGAGCGAACAGGCCATGATGCGCCATGTCTTCAAAGCCAGCGAGAATGTGACCGATCAAATCTTGACGGATTCAGACTACGATGTCTTCTGGGATGAACTTCATCACAACTCCAACCTCGGCTTGGATGGCAGCCCTGGCTCCATAGGCGAGACTCACTGGCTTTGCATTGACGGAGGCTTCAGCCGACTTTCCGAGGCTTTCATGCCCCATGTCAAAAATAGACTCGTTCTTAACCGAAAAATTCGAAAGCTGGAGTCCGTTCGAGGTCCGAATGGAACAACTCGCTCGCGGTTATCTTGGTATCCAAGTGTCACCAATCGAACCTTTGAGTCAAAGGAATACGACTACACAATCATGGCAGTGCCATTCACTATGACTCGCTTCATGGATTTACCGACATTCTCGTCAGTACTGGGACGCGCAATCAGCGAAGCCGGGGTTCGCTTCAAGTCCGCCTGCAAAGTTGCTCTGCTCTTTTCGGAGCGTTTCTGGGAGAAAGGTGAGCGGCCCATTTTCGGCGGATACTCGAAGCCGCCCAGCGATCCGATCGGTGCACTTTACTATCCTGTCTACGGTTTGAACGAATCACGCCCCGGTCTCATTATGCACTACCGTGGAGGAGATTGGAGCGATCGCTTCGTCAGTTTCTCGGACGAGGAACATGTTCAAACCGTACTGGACTCGATCGTTTCACTGCATGGTGAACATGCTAGAGATCTTTATACCGGTGACTTCGAGCGTCTCTGCTGGCTTCAAGATGAACACACTGCGACTGCCTGGTGTAGACCTGATATCGAACAGCATAAGCTCTATATCCCGGCCTATCATAAGACGGAGCATAACACAATCTTTATCGGAGAACATACGGCCCCGACCCATGCCTGGGTGAGTTCTTCATTGCACTCGTCTATCCGTGGATCTGTCCAATTGCTTTTGGAGTTGGGGCTGGTGGATGAGGCCAAGGAACTGAACAAGAAGTGGATGGGTCGCTGGATCAAACTATGAATTTTTGTAACTTTCCCACATAATAAGATAGTGTGGCGAGTCAACTCTAAGAAAACATATATACATAGCGTTCGCTAAAGTTAGAATAAAGTAAAACTTCTCAAGATTAATATTGATTCTATATTCGGAGAATAACTGAAACACATTTCACAGAGGCCTTGATTCGATACATGATTGAAGTAGTTGTGAGAAATAAGGATATGCTTGCCTACCCTAGACAAATACGCCACCCCCCTCTCCATTTCTATTCGGAGAATTCTAATATCATTCAGATATTCTCCCATACTAATTAAATTTACATAATACCCAAATATAATAAGATTGCCAAGAGCTCCGCTGAGTGCTAGCAAAATCTAACCCCCAAGTTCCTCGTGCCCAAATGAGAGATTTTCAGAAAGCCTCCACTAGTAGTTTCTACTCCATGACTCCAATTGATTTTCTCTCCAAAAGACGTTGGATCTGGGATAAGAATGACCCACTCATTGGTCAGAATGAAACATCAAAGGCAGAGTCATCAATTTTCAGTAAATCTGCGTCGGCAACGACCGCCAATGCTCAGTGGAACCACGTCGCTCGTTATCTTCGCAATTGCCAAGTAAAATCGCCTGTTTAGTTCGGGCGATCTCTTCCTACAGGATCCGATTTTCGGCTTTACTAAGTACCTGAAGATCAACCCAGTACTAGTATTAATGGCGTATCATGGACAGGAAAGTCAAGCGTAAATATCTACCTTAGGATACCAAGTGGATAGAGTCGGGGCCTAATTAATCTCTCGGACGCTTCCTTTTGTCATCAAGTAATTATACCCGGGCTTGTGAGTCGTTGCTAAGGTATCTCTAGGCCGCAACCACTTTCAGAGGCGAGAGTCTCTCTATCGCAAGCACCCCCCGCGATACTTTACATAATTTGGTTCTTCCATTCCTTTTGAACAAAATATGGCCGCGCTTCCAAGGGTTCAATCCATTTCAGGCATACTTATGCTAGCCTGTCTTTTTGGTGTACTTGTCACTGCTACAGCCGCCATTCGCGACAAGGGAAAGCTGGTCTCGCTCGATGGGATTAATTACTGGGTAGGAGGCGTTTCTGTCTCTAGGCTCTCATCTCTCGCAACAGTCAACTGGAATTGGACTGCCTCAGATATCGTCCCGTTGACCGTCATCCGGACCAATACAACAACCTTCACATCAGGCGATCTCGAAGAAACTGTCGCTAAATTTACGGCTTCCGATGATGTCTTTGGACGTGGCTTCCTCGAAGGTGTGTTTTTTTCTCACTCGGGTTCAAGTTCTGAATATTACCTCCTCTATTCATAGGCTGACATCTTTTTCCAGTTATATTTGTTCAATACAATGGCCAGCGCCAGGGCCACATTGCTTCCGAGTCGACCCTGGACTCACATTCCAATATTGGCGGCAATATGTTGACTTTTATCTCTTCCGAGTATCAGCCTCAACAGCCTTCAAGTTTAGTCCATGCCAATCTACAAAAGAGCCTACCGAATGGTCCATACTTTATATCCCCTAGAACCGGTGATATTTTCAAAGCGTTCCGACTTTATTCCGACCATCAACTGGCTTTCACGGAAGGGACAGTCAGTGATGAGATGGGCGGCTTTTCACCTTTGCCAGCCGCAACAGAGGTAATATTCCAGTAGAGCCCGGTCGCCATCTAAATTAACTACTTCCGCTAACTTCTTTATCGTTCAGGGTGCCATGACCAAAAGCATTGCCGTGCCATCTAGGTTATATTATACGCCTACCGTTGAGAAACCACTCGCTGGGGTAGGGTAGTTCATAATGCAAACAATTAGATTGAGTGCACACAACTGACTGGAAATAGCTGCGTTGTGGTGTCAAGGACATCTTCGATTTGAAGGGTCTGCGAACTAGCGGAGGCAACAGAGCCTTTTATGACTTATACCCTGCAAGAAACGCCACTGGCTCTGCTATTCAACGTTTGATTGATGCGGGTGTGGTAATTGTTGGCAAAATGGGGACTGTTCAGTTTGCTAACGGCGATAATCCTACTGCTGACTGGGTGGACTTCCACTGTCCCTTCAATCCGAGGGTAGGTGCACTAACTGCCGTAACTTTTTATTGGAACTGACAATATTTGAAGGGCGACGGCTACCAAGCTCCAGGAGGCTCTTCATCCGGACCAGGTGCTGGTATTGCCTCATACGATTGGCTTGACATTGCCATTGGTAGCGATACGGGTGGTTCCATGAGAAATCCTGGCAGTCTGCAAGGTGTTTTCGCCAATCGACCCTCAACTGGTGCAATTGATCTTGACCACGTCCTTCCTCTATGTCATGATATTGACACGGCAGGGGTTTTCGCTCGCGATGCTGAGATATGGTCTACCACGATGCATGCATGGTATCCAAACTTCACCGATCATCACAAGTACCCAAAGAGGATATTTTATCAGAATTCTTCCTTTCCTGATTTTGATACCGATGCCGGCTCTTTACTTGAGGCTCTTGTTCAAAAGTTGGAGACGTTTTTGGGAGCTCAGCGGGAATATGTGGATATTGCTACTCGATGGAAAGAAACACATCCGAACAACGCACCTAACAGCCTGACGGAACTTCTTAATACCGTAAGTATTTTGACCTTGGATTCCTGTTTCATCTTGATAACTTTTAGAAAGACATACGCTATTCTCACATCTGTTGGGCAGTATCGCTCCTTGGCTTTACCCTTCTACAAAGACTACGCCGCGGAGCATAATGGCCGCCATCCATTTATCAATCCCGGTCCCTTAAAGCGCTGGGAATGGGGCCAGGATAACGGCGGAGATTCTGCTTACAATGTGGCACTGAAAAACAGGACAATTTTCAGAGATTGGTGGGAAACTGAGGCATATGGCAAAGCGGACCCACACACTTGCTCCGAGGGTCTGTACATCTATCCTTACAGCAAAGGGGAGACGCAATACCGCAACGTCTATCTTACGTAGGCGCCCAGTCATGTTTCTCTTCTCTCATAGAAGCTAATTTTTCCAGTGCACCGACGGAACCGCCTATGGGATTCAAAGATGGACGCATATCTAACATGGCCGATGTCCCCGATTTCGTGGTTCCTGTGGGAGAGGTACCCTACAATTCAACCATATCTTTCACCACAGAATACATGCCAGTCACTATGAGTTTTGTCGCAGCGCGTGGCTGTGATTTCATGCTGGCAAATCTAATACGCGATTTGCAGACTGCCGGCATCCTCAAGCCAGTCAGCACAGGCTCAAGGATGTATCCATAAATTGCAGAAATTTATTTTCCAATGTATCATGATGGAACACTCCAAGCTGTTGATTACCACGTCCAAGTTTTCCGAACCTCAACTTGAATTAATTTAGCTCGGACTCGGAATTTACATTCTATCAAGCTTATGGTATCCCATGTTCTAGCTAGTAGCTAGTAGTAGCAATGTTCAAAGGGGCGTCAGGAAAAGTGGCCTTTATGAATAATTCAACTTCTATCTAGTCACTCACTGCTCCTCGCTATCTATTCTTTTCGCACCTGGGCACCCAAGTACAAATTCCAACTGACTCACTCAAGCAGTGCCACTTGGGGCACTCCATCCCAATTATCTGTTTGCTCCAGGTAACCTAAAGGGGGTAAATGAATTTTAGGTTCTGTCTGTCCGTGCGGTCGAGGTCACGATCACTAATTTTGACAACCTCACTCCCTGTTTCAATAACCTCTTCCTTGTCTGATTCAGAGTCAATCTCGAAAAGAATTTGCTGTCGTCGCTTGTTTTCGCGCTGAAGGTAGAAGCGAATGATGATACACATAGCGGGGGATATAAGCCAAAAGGCGGTCATGAAGGCCCATGGTAAAACGTATCGAGGTTCATATTTTGATTCCCAGAACCTATTGAGAAATTAAAGTTTAGTCATAAATTCCAGCTAATAGGTCTCTCTAGATCTTGGACTCACTCTGGTGATACCATGTTGGCGACGGAAGCAGCGACTATACAAGATGTCATTAAAGTGAGCTTCTTGGTATGCCCTGTCGTTGTAGTTCCCGCCCAGTTCAGCCCTAACAAATAAGATGGCTTGAATGTCGAAATCTGGGTTCCCACAACAAGGGCGACTTTATTTGACCACGGCGCAGCGAGCTACATGTTTTGATTTTAGCAAAAGTGTCATACGACATAATTTCTCGTATTAGTAGACTTACCTCGATTATCCCACCGACAAAGCATGGTATATAAGAGATGGCGCAGGTATATCCAGTTCCCAGTCGCGTACCATAAAGCAGTGCAGCAGATGCGATAATCAAAATAAACCCCCAAATGGGCTTAATGATATTGAATAGCGCACTTTCTGCTGGTGTGAAACCAAATCCGACGACTATCAAAGGGAGTTGTTGTGATGTATTATTCGGCAGCTCATTGAAGAACATATGGAAGCTAAAAGATATCAGTTAGCAATCTCAAAAGATACAAGCAGAATGAATCAAGCCTTACATAAAAAGCCAACTCTTGAAATCAGCGAAAGACTCGCGAACTTGAGACCATCTGAATGTCGAGTTCGACACACCGGCATGCGTATCGCGAATTATCTCGATAGTATGGACTTTTTCCTCAACCGAAAGCCACTTGGCATCGAGTGGCGAATTTGGAAGAAATATCAACAGTGGTACAAATATCGCAAATGTAAGGACAGCACAGACGATGTGAAGCCACTTCCAAGAGGAGATACTGCCAGCTAGTGATCCGTTGCCATCATCAACGATGAGTTTATAGGATATCATAGTCAACATGACATTGGCGAGACTTCCAAATGCCCACCATAGCAGCTGAACCCAAGGGCTCTTTTTGGGTGGGAAGAAGGCTTGATGGAGGACGGCGGTAGAGGGCACAATCTGTGATTCGGTCTATTATTTGTTAGTCATTCATATTTTGTTGCACGTAGGTTTGAGTCGAAACATACCATTCCCAGAAGAAAACGTACTGCCATCATTTGCTTTCCAGTCTTTACAGCTGGATGTACACCCAGAAGCAAAGCCCAGAGAAAGAGAGATCCAGTGATGAAGTATTTATGGCCCACTCGCTGCGATATCCAAGCACCAGGCCAGAGTGCGATAAGATATCCGGCATAGAACAACATAAAAAGCTGATTATACTCGTTCTTGGTCATTTTGACATCGTCAAAAATACCCATTGTACTGGCGGATGAAAGAGTCGACTTATCCAAATGGATGAGGAACGAAATCCACCATGTCTGTATTAGGAGATACCAAAAGTTCTTACGAACCAGCTTGCCTTCCAGCTCGGGTGTCAAAGGCCGAACATGATCCTTGTTTGTGTTGTAGAAGTATGTTGTATCATCGGTTTCCCTTTGGTCAACGACCTTGGGCTGCTGAGAAGACCTGCGAATTGAACCTGTCGCTTGCTCATGGCTGCCATCGCTCGATGAGACCTGAATGGTGTTCGAAATATCGCCATTCTTTTCTCCAGGCATTTTCGGTATACAGAGAAAGCAAAATATCTGTGTCTTTTTGCCCAGAAACCGTGATCCTGCCACTTTATAACTTCTTTTCTACTAACAAACTCTCGGGCAAGTCCGAGTATCAAAGCGCAACACTTCCAGGGTTCCCAGGGGCGCCGAACATCGCTTTGTTTTTGGCCGGGTGCCGCGCCTAGCTCTTGGCATTTACCATCAAGCTCGGCCAACCTTTGCCAAATCTGAAACAAGATACTTTGGGCTCTCTACCTTGTGAGAAAAATCCCAGTTGCCAAGATATAGCAGCCTTTTGGCCCGGTCTTGGCTGTTTGGTGCCAAGAAACCTGTGTTGCATTGGAGGACCTTGAGAGTTTGATCGACACATATCATCACGAGATCTAGAGAATTAAATGGCGGGAGGCTGATTTGTATACAAAACTAGTAGGTGAGAGATGGACAGACAATCTTGGAAGATGTTTGTTTTCACCACCTGGGCAGTCTTGAGGATGAGACTTCAAATGTTTTCTGATGTATAATTCTAGTATAGATTTCAAAGCTCCAAAGCAAAATTCTGCTTGGATATAGCACGTCGGATACCTAGGTAGACCCCGTGCTTGCAATGATCGACCTTGGAATCTAAGTAGGGTACCTAAGAAGATGGCTTGGAGATGTTGCGAGATCCACCCGGCCCTTCTTCGAGGCCATTCCTTCGGGGTACATCAGGCCGCCACCTCCAAAAAGGACGCATGTAAGACGTGCTCTGGTAAGAATTCTCAAGAATATCTGCCGCATGCTTTAATTAAATCTATTAGCCAGGCTCCCTTGCCAAGAAGCTGTGTTATTGACTCACCTTTCCAAGAATAGGTAGAAATTTAGCCCCATGGCCACTGCCACCTGTGCAGACAAATACGGATTTTTCTGCATACTCCGGGACATAGTCAATCTATTAAATGTAGTTAGTGGCAGAGAAATTGCTCTAAGTGTGAGTAATCTATGCACTTACCACGAAGGAATTGTCCAATGAGTCCGTATACCAGCAGAGCTTGGCAGAGTGAAACGGGACGTCCCTGAACTCTGGCAAGAAAATAGATACAAACTGCCTAATGGAATATTCGGCTTGTTCTTGCAGAGAGTGGCATTCCTTTGGCGGAAGAGGTACTGACCACTGGCCATCTTGAGTAAACGGCGTGCCGCCAGGCGCAGGTTTGAAATTGGTGAACTGAAGATTCTCTCAGCCATCACTCTTGCTGGGTAATTCTGGACCACTTACCTTCAAACCCCGATATCCAATTTTCAGAAGGCCTTCCGGTGTACGAGGTAGCACATAGATGCTACCAGTGTCTTTTCCAGTGGGGTCTCGAGGGGTACTCTTCCAGGTCAAAACCGGAAATTTCTCAGGGGAGTACTTGTCCCAAAGTTCCTTATCGTTCGGGTTAATCTTGAAGATAGCTAAGCTTCCTGCAGAGGATTCGAGGTGGTAACTCAAGTCGGGAAGAATCTGCGTGGAAAAGGACCCGGCTATTTGCGGTCAGAATCATTATATCATAGGCAGTCTTAAAGCATTGATGTTCCTTACCAGCAACCACCACAACGTCAGCTTTATGAATAACACCATCTTTCGTTTTCAATCCAATTACTTTAGCCTTTTCGGGCTCGGTTGTACTAGGTTCTTTCACCAGCGAATCCACGGCGCCAAGCTCCTGCCCAAATCGAAACTGAACGCCTTGAGACGCTGCGACTTTCTGATAGTGGGCACAGGCATTGCTGCACCTCACGAATCCGGCCAGGGAGTCGAGCACAGCTTCATAAGAGGTGGCAGGAGAGGAATCCGGGATCGTGAAATCGAGCAGCTTATCCTTCCACCCTAAACGATCTGCGCGTTGTTGGTCTTCAGCGTTGCTCTTCACGAACTGCGCATCTCGGAAGCCGTCACGCTCCATATTTGCCAGTGTTTCTCTTTCCAATGCTTCGAGGTGATCTGATGGCTGCACTCGCAGCATACCGCTGTTGACAAAAATCCTCTTCTCTTCTGAATCGGAGCCCTCTTGCGAACAGCCGCGTTTCTCGTCTTCTGAAATCCAAAACTTTCGCCCCTCCATGGCAAGGCGCTGGTAATGAATTTCCTTGCCGTAGGATGCTCGGAACTAGAATAGGGATAGCTTTCAGCGCCCGACCTCGAATGCGTAGTTTCGTTTTTTCTGTAGCCTTACAATTTTGTTGTGATCCACCGATGCGGCCTGTATCTCGTCATCGTTTGCATCATATGAGTTCTGATCATAGTCATATCTCTCAAACACGGTAACTTTGTGGTCTTTAAAATCATCGATTAGCCGAGAGCCGTTTTCAGCACCTTCATTCATTCAATGAATACTTACCTCGGTCACGTAGGGCTGCCGCCAGCGAGAGGCCGAATATGCCCGCTGCGCACAATCAGAGACTATCTCTTCAGAGCTCCGAGGCCATTAATTTTCATGTTGAGATATACTTACCTCCGATAATTGCGACTGACTTTGGCTCCGACATTATGGTCTTGTCTGAGAAAGAGTGATGCAATTGGGGAATGGAAATGGGGTGATCGCGATCGTCCCCGCCTTTAAGTACTCCAACTCCAACTCCAACTGCAATTCCCCGCAGCGACGGAGCCAACAGAGTTGGCCCCGAAGGTCCTTCCAGTCCCTCACGCGCGTCACCTCTAGCTTTTAGTTATTCTTGGTCTCTCTATTCAATTTTTTTTTACATTCTCTTCTACCGGAACACACATGGTAGGTTTTACCAACCGAAGCCAGTAGAGTTGAGAGGTAACGTATCAGTAGTAGTATTAAAGTATAGAGATTTGGCAAAAGTGGAATAGCCTGATTTAAAATTTCTATCAATATAAGTTTTTTTTGTTCTCTGCATTATTCATTCTATCTATCCATGAAAAACCATCGAGTCATTTGGTTGTGGTTGACTCCTTTTCGGGGCCTTACAAAATGGTTCGGCGCCGAAGCAGCACAAGGCTGATCCTTCTCGGCGCCGAATATTCCTTCGCAAAAGCCCCGAGAATCAACAACAATCATATAAGAATAGGAGTTCCAACATATGCATTTCTGACTACCAAACGATACTAATAAGAATATTTTGGGAATTTATCATCATTGAGTATCATTTCAACCATTTCTCGTCGCCTAACACTCAACAATCACCATGCACGATACGCAACCACAATCAAAAGAACTAGGGGATACCCCCCCTAGATCAGCCTGGGGGTGTAATTAGTGTGGATAAAGATGCTAGAAGCAATATTAATCCTCAAGACCAATCAATCACAGGAGTTCGACTTGCCTTGATTATTGTCGCCCTTATGAGTGCTATGTTCCTCGTCGCGCTGGTCAGTCACTTATCTACTCTGCGTGGAAATTTCCAACCACAGACTAAAATCAATTCTCGAATAGGACCGAACAATCATTGCAACTGCCGTTCCTGCTATTTCCGATAAATTCCATGCCATCGGTGATATCGGCTGGTACGCCAGCGCCTATCTCTTAACCAGCAGCGCGACGCAACTTCTATGGGGTCGACTCTATACCTTCTATTCGACCAAGATACTCTTTTTGGCTGCGGTGGTTATCTTTGAGATCGGCTCTGCTGTCTGTGGAGCAGCACCTAGTTCCACTTCATTTATCGTCGGTCGAGCCATTGCTGGAATTGGATCAGCGGGCATCCAGAATGGCGCCACCGTCATTATCACCCAAGTCATGCCTCTGCACAAGCGGCCTCTTTTTATCGGTCTCATGGGCTCCATATTTGGAATATCTGCCGTCATTGGACCGCTTCTTGGAGGTGCTTTCACCGATCGAGTGACATGGCGATGGTGCTTTTACATCAAGTGAGTCAATACCTTTTGCTCGGTGCTATACACAAACTGACTTGTTATCAGCCTTCCGATCGGGGGAGTAACACTTCTCATCATTTTCTTTTTCCTTCATACGCCATCTCTCTCCACGACAGCAACACTCAGGCGCCAACTAATCCGCCTCGACCCATTAGGTACAGCCTTATTCCTTCCATGCGTGATATGTTTCCTCTTAGCCCTGCAATGGGGCGGCACGACCTACAGCTGGAACAATGGACGCATAATCGCTCTATTTGTCGTGGCAGGAGCTCTCTTCGTCGCCTTCACAATCGTTCAACTTTGGCGCAAAGAAGACGCGACTATTCCCCCACGAATTATCAAACAACGCAGCATCGCCTGCGCCGCCGTATACACCTCACTTATCTACGGGGCCATGGTCGCGATGCTCTACACCCTACCACTCTGGTTCCAGGGGGTGAAAGGCACTAGTGCTGTTCAATCCGGAATTGATAATATCCCAATGGTTTTGGCCCTCGTCATTGCCAGCATCATCAGTGGCAAAATCATCGCAAGCGTGGGGCAATATGTGCCGTTCATGTTTGTTGCGGCGCTGCTCATGGCAGTAGGTGCCGGAATGATCAGTACCTTCAAAGTTGACACTGGTCATGCAGCCTGGATTGGTTACCAGGTACTTTTCGGTCTCGGTTTAGGGTGCGGAATGCAACAGCCCACGATGGCAGCGCAGGTCGTTCTCCCTCAAGCGGATGTTTCAATCGGTGTCGCATTGATGTTTCTGTTCCAAACACTCGGCGGCGCGATCTGGGTGGCTGTCAGTCAGAATCTCTACACAAATTACCTGGTTGAAACATTGCCCGATATTTCTGGTGTCAATGCTGCTGCTATTCTTCAGGCGGGTGCAACTGGACTCGCAGATATTGTGCCGAAAGACAAGCTCGACGCCGTGTTGGTAGTCTACAACACCGCCCTCCGCAATGCATACTTCGTACCAGTGGCACTTGCTTGCGTCTCGGTGCTTCCGGCATTGGGAATGGAATGGCGCAACGTCAAAAAGGAGAGTGAGAAGCGGGAAGAAGAGAAAGCCATCAACAGAAGCGAAACCCCAGTCGGCGAACCAAGAACATCGTCAGTGAGCGAGAAGCGCGTATAAATTTTCTGACCTTACATCATATGTACAAACACATAATAGAGCAGACTAGGCTTCATTACGGGCCGAATTTCGAGAATCTCCACTAATTTACCAACCGCGCATGCATGACATACTACTCTCCTCCGCGAACCCCTGGATTTCCACGGTTTAGTTCATGAGACTCCACCAGATCAACATAACAAGGCAAAATCAACCTTTTACGCAATGAAAATCCCCCTGCCCTGTAATGATATTCATGAGCTATTGTAATCATTAGAGTTCAAGTTGTACTGTAATTAATCATATGAATAATCACGACTAACCGAGTCACTGACCATAGCCGATTTCCAGATCCAGGATGTGGGCCACGAAGACCATAGTACAGTAGTACATAAAATACCCGCGGAGATGACGATCTACCAAATGTAACCAAGGGGCGCTCGTGTTCACAAGCGCCCCCAAGCCGCCGCTACACTTATACTGGCGAGCTCCATACAAACAATCTACAAATGGCGCGAAAAGTTTCAGCTGGGGGGGGGGCAAACGGTGACCTCCGGGGGGCTTGTGCGCCCTAGATCGACCCACGTATCCACCCAGTCCACCAGCTAAGCAACGACTAGTCACTCCGTAATAGATTTAGAATCCACCATCCTCGTAAAAGGTGGGAAAAAAACGCGACAGGTGGGGTCGGAGTCGTTTCTTCATCGGAAGGCTTAGCCATAACCCTGACTGCCGGAATGATCCCGAATTTTGGGAGGGACTCGGGCTCGGAGGTAATGGTGTCATTCTGCAGAAGTTTATTTGGTCCGGTCAGGGGTAAGTCAAGGTTTGTGTAGTTATGTAGTGCTAGTAATTTGACTCGGAATTATGCCTCTATGTCTTTGTATGTACATGTGAAAATCTCCACTGTGAACTCAAACATTCTTTCCAAAGGGGGGTTTCCCGCGATGTACGTAGCTGTGTATGGACTCTCGTTCAAGTTACTATATACTAGCAGTATTCGATGGCCTAGGAAGATGATCGAACATAAGAATCGTGTATTATTTAGAGAGTGTTTAATACTAATTAAGTATGAGGCAGGCTGCTGCCTCATTAGGTTATGTACAGGGGGTCAAAGACCATATATACAGAATATTCAAAAGCCCTGTCCAAAATAGAAATATCATGCATCATCCATCGCATTCAATTCAACTCCTAAAGACTCCGGCGCACACTTTGTTCGGCGGACTCGCTCGGAGCAGGCTCGTGGGATATTTCAATGGTAGTCTCTTGGTAGACGCCATTGAAATTGTTCATTTCCATATCGTTCTTTGCCACAATGTCCTCGGTCGAATCGTCGAACGGACTCTTATGCGCATCCCTATCAACGTTAGCGGCACCGGGTCGGAGTCGCGAGCCCAGGCGAGAACTCATAAATCCTCCGCCTTTGGACTTTTTCGAGCGGGTCCCGTTGGCGTTGGTGGTGATATTTGTCTGCCATTGCGAGTCTGTATTGTTGTCGTAGTTGCGGTCGGTGGTGCTGTGTTCGGTGTCGATGAGGAGGTGGCGACGAGTCAGTGTGTAGACAGTCACATCCATGAGACCGGAGAGCGCCATCAAACAACCGGCAATACCGAAGTAGGTTTTGCTGGGAGAGTTACCCCGAGCTGTGGCCATACGACCGGCGGCAAGAGGTAGTGATAGAACCAGGTAGACCAATGGGTAGATGACCATGTACACGACGACTCGGTTCAATCGGTGCAAGCTTTCTTGTTGGCCTCGGCGGAGCATCTTTGCTTGCATCATCCGGCGGCGGAGGTGAAAGAACATGATGGCGTAGAGGGCGATGGTGCCAAACTCGGAAAGGAAAATCCAGATGTAGTGGCCCCAGAGGCGCTCGTGTTCGTTTTCGGGACTCAGCCAACACTATGGGAAGAGAGAGAGGTTAGTTATTTGTCATGATATAAAGGACAAGACTTGAGAACATAGTACGTACCCAATTGGCTTCTGAGATGACAAACACGTTTTTGCCGTAGAGGCCGATGGGAATGAATCCCAAAACGAGAATGAACATCCACATTGCGACAACACAGTAAGCGAAAATGTTGAATGGCAACTGCCTACCACGCATCACCACTGCACCAGTATGCAGCGCAATAGAAAGAACGAACAACCCACTACCGGGGTCACCAGTTTGAATCCACCATCCCTGCAAGTAGCAGGCCGGTTCACCAAAACGAACACTACCCCGGGATGCCCAATAAAGACTGATAGTAAATGCAATGGCCTGTTGCAAATCAACAAGTAGGAGATTGTAAATCAGAACGACGTATTGATTCTGGCCAAGCGGACGTTTATAGTAGCGCTGCCAGTAAATGAACCGATAGGTAAGGAATGACAAGAGGCCGAAAGTAGAGCATAGCGAGAAGAGGGCAATGACTCCCATTGCTATAAAGAGCGACCGATCGCTACCCTCAAGAGGAGCTTCATCACGAAACTCCCAGCGACGGGGAACAAGAGAGCCATCACCCCCACCGGCAGATAAAGAACGTATTAAGTGAGCAAGCATCACGAAGCACGGATCCGGACAGTGATCCGAGGAAGGAAGAGCGAGGGGACAGGGGGGGAGAAAGAAAGACTTTGTATCAAAAGCCACAAAGGCTCTGAGAATCCGGACACATGAGTGTCAGGGCTTCGGCTTGAACTGTGCCCCGTGCTCCACTGACTTGCGCAGTCAGGAAGCTTCTTTTGGGAACGTCGATCGGCCAAGTCAGTGGGCGATCCTGTCAATTGTTCTCCGTATTGACGCCCGTACGGAGTATATACCAAGTACGAAGCAGATCCATGGTTCCGATCTGACACTGTGGGCGCACTATTTGGCGGACAGTGGAGAGCGCAAGTACCGTATACTCCATCCAGGTAGGTGAATGAGGCTGAATGTGTGGGCACCGGCGCATGGAAGCTGGGTCCCTAGCAGAGAATCCCACCATTGAGCGGTGGGATGGAAGATAATCATGAGTTGCAAGTTTTACCCAAAAATGGGGCGTCAATCAACGCGCCGAACGGAACAGCACAAGCTCCGACGGTGCAAATCAAGCATCGAGAGATTTTCTGTGTAGTCTCTGTAAAGACATGTTCTTGTAGAGTGGGTACAGAGTCGATGGACCGGATTTTGACCTGGTGGGTTCTCCGGTCGTATTGGGTGTACCGACCCACCTTTGAATGTGGGAGGCGAGAGAGGATGCTCATGGATGTTCAGGGGGGGTCCAAAGTATATTGTACATGCGTATGGAGTACATGATCCTTATTTAGATAGTATGTACTCCGTACTCCGTATGGCGAGCAACGAAGAAGGGAGGGAAAAACCCCTGTCGACCGCGTGGGATCCCCGAAGTTTTAAGTTGCGCGTGGAGGTGGGTATACCGGCCAACGTACAGGAACGAACAGGCAAACATGCCGATCTAACGCTGACCTTGCGTTTGTGAGGGGGTTCAAGTAGAGGCCGATCCCACTATTCTTGAATCTCTTGCTCACCTGGGGAGCTCCGAGAGCGTAGGTGGCAATATCATAGGCGGAGTCCATACCCGTATTTTTGCCAGGAGCCCGGATCATCAGAGGATCAGAGTGGTGCTAGTGGGGAGGTGAACTTCGATGGGCACCAACCAGGTGAACTTGAATTGTTATTTCTCCTGAGTCGGACCGATCTATTGGGCTAGGGTTGAGATCCTTCAATCAATAGAGGCCGGGGTAGATGGGATGGTCTGGTATGGTTGGCCGGGGGAGTGAGCGAGTGAATGGAGAAAGAAATCCTGAACTTAAATGGCTGCGTATAAGGTAACCTGGTACCTAGGTATCTGTCAGATTAGGCAATGGTGATTGATTTTGGGATGAGAAGATATGGTGGTGGTGGTTGTTGTTGGTGGTGGTGGGGGTGACAGGGGGACACAATGATAGTACTATTTTATGTATCCTATAACTTCATGTAAGGGTATAGTCTCACCAATCTCACCACTCTTCATCAAACAAGTCTCCGTGGCGCAATTGGCTAGCGCGTTCGACTGTTAATCGAGAGGTTGGAAGTTCGAGCCTTCCCGGGGACGCTTCTTTTTGTTTTTTATTCACAGCATTCATATCATATAACCTTGGAAAATATAGTATTTGCTGTGTCACTCGTGGTTATTCATCTTTATTCTATTTTTTTATTATTATTATTATCATCATCCCGATTGATCAACTCAATTCGATAGAACCTTTTGAATCCTATGTCCTATGTATCCTAACAAGGCCTCCCAGTTGATCTGACCAGCCCATTGTGGAATCTCTAAATGCAACCTAGCCCTTACTCACCTCACTATCTCACTTACTACCTCACCTTGCCATACTGTGACATTTTCAAGAAAACCGGCTTCTATAGACCCTGCAGGTGATCTTCACACCACATGATATTCCCCTCTCCGGAAAATCTTAGTCCAGGTCTCGATTTTAGTATGTCTCACTCTTCTCCCGTCCACACCCGCCCCGCCCCGCGATGCTTTGTTGCATCGGCCTTGACACAATACGGCCAGGTCACCTGTTGAGACTGCGATGTCCCGCCTTATGTCTGAGACCTGCACCGGACTTGGACGTACTAGGCAGCTAGACAAGAATAGAAGTCTCTATTCAAGTTATATACAAACCAGTAGTACTACTAATACTATCATGGTGCTCCGCTCAAGGATATATAAATGGGCTGTGTATAGTCCATGTTGATAGAACCATCCACACCTCCATTTCTCTCACGATTCATACTATCAAGACCACAAAAATCAATAATTCCAAGGTTCTAGACTTTTTTCAAATTCTATCAAATATCTTCCCACTATGAAGTACTTCACCGCCATCACTGTCGCTCTCATGGCCTCCCTCCACCTCGCCGGCGCTGCCCCAGCACCTCAACCCGAGGCCGCAGCCGAAGCCGAGGCCAACCTCTTCACCCGCGCAACCTCAGTGTCCGTCTCCTACGACCCCAAGTTCGACGTGGCAGGCTCCTCTCTCAACACAGTCTCCTGCTCAGACGGCGTGAACGGTCTCGTGAGCAGATACCCGACCTTCGGCTCACTGCCCACTTTCCCCCGCATCGGAGGCGCTCCCACCATCGCCGGGTGGAACAGTCCCAACTGTGGCAACTGCTACTCCCTGCACTACCAGGCTGGCAAAGTCGACAAGACCATTAAGGTCATTGCCATCGATGCCGCACCTGGTGGCTTCAACATTGGTACGCAGGCTATGAACTTGCTCACCGATAACCAGGCTGTGGCATTGGGTCGTGTCACGGCTACCTACACCCTACTTGCGGACAGTGAGTGTGGGTTGTAGAGAGCTCAAGGCCTCCAAGGTTTCCAATGGATAAAACAAGGCTGGGTCGAGTCGACGATAGCTATGAATAGATCCGAGTCTACGATAATGCATGGGTGAGACATGGGAGGTCGGGAGGCAAGAATGCTGGCATAATATACATGAGATGAGAGTAGGGACTACCGGGCCAAGTAATATACATACAGGATGCACAAGAATGAATCAAAGTACTTGCAGCATATCATCGACCCTCCCAAACTTATCCCGTACTTTACCCTTTTGTAAACCGCGCTCGCGCTCCACTGCATCAATACGCTGCCAATCCTTCCAAGACGTGGGGCGCAGACCGCGGCGTTCGACCTCGTCTTTGACTCCGTCCCATCCGAGACCAGTGCTATCCTGAGGAGCATGCAGGAGAGAACCCGGAGAAGACGCATGGCTAGTCAGGTCTTGGATTATGGTATCCGCCGTCGTGAAGGCATCCGTCATAGTTGATGCGATCACGCCCGTGGGCCCACGCTTGACCCAGCCCGCACAATACAGACCGGGTACGTGGGTAATTAGCGAGCCGTCCGGTAACTTCTGCGACTCCCCGGACCCCGAGAGGCTCCTTGCGCGGCCGAATCCGTCGTTGGCGATGATACCGCGCTGGGTATCGAATTGGATGCCTAGATCTTCCAGGCCCGGGAGGGGGAGGGATTTGTAGCCGACACTGCGGAAGAAGACGCTGGCGGAGATATTGACCATGGCAGGTTTTCCGCTCGAGAGGTATTTCGGCGTTACTTTGGATGTTGGATTATACGGGTCTGATGGGTCAAGCTCATTGCGAGAGAATTTGGCATGGGTGAGGTGATAGGGGTGGATGGGCGACCAGTGGAGGGATTCGGGAGAGAGAAGGAAGTCAAGAGACCAGGATTTGGGGGATGTTTTGGGATCATTCGCGGAGCCTTTGGCTAGTAGTTGCATGAGGCGTTTTTGTGCGCGGGGGAGGGCGTTGATGACTGAGTCAGGTGGAAAGACATCTTTCGCGATCGGATCGAAGGAGACGGATGGGAGTTGAAGGAGTTCACGGATTTCTTTAATTGTGAAAGACGCCTATAGGAGAATTGGAAATCAGAATCAAGTTGGCAATTGCTGTTGGTTGCAGAGATCTGCTGATCACTCACCTGCAGAGGTCCTCGACGGCCGACCACCCGCACTCGCTTGATTTTACTCTTGGAAAGCTTCTCCACAGCATAGTCGGCGATATCGGTAGAGCGGAGAGCTTCAACATCGGAAAGCAAGATCCGAGCAACATCGAGGGCAACATTGCCTTGTCCGACCACCACGGCTTCTTCCCCGGTCAAATCTGGATCAAGATCCCGGTGCTCGGGCAAGCCATTGTACCACCCGACGAATGCCCGGGCCGAGTGAACACTGCGGGTGGCTTTCTCCCCAGGAATGCCGAGTTCTTTATCCTTGGACGCGCCGTATGCGAAGAGGATAGCGTCATAATGTGGTTTGAGGGCGGATAGTGGGAGGTCGTTACCGAGGTCAACATTACCGACGAAGTTGAAACGCGGAGAGGTGGCAACTTCGGTGAATTTGTCTTCGCAGTTCTAATTGAATTCGAAATATCAGCAAAAATATATTTGTAGGTAGAGGATCCATGCATGGCCTCTCTTGGGATCTTCAACCACTCACCTTGACCTCGGGATGATCCGGAGCCACGCCGTATCGTGCTAAGCCAAAGGGTACCGGCAGCTTCTCATACATGTCAATTTTTGCATCGCCATGTTTACTCAAAAGACGTGCAGCCGCATAGAATCCAGCCGGGCCAGAGCCTACAATGGCGACGCGGGCAGGTCGGTTTGCGGCGGCATTGCTACTTAGCCGCCGTGCGGAGAAAGGTAACGCTTTGGACCAGAGGGTGCGCCGGGTCAGCTGCACAGGGCATTGTGTACAGACAAAGGCGCGGTCCAGCATGGCTAGTTCGGGGGTGCAGAAGCAAGCCTGTGCCTCTGCTTGTGTGGAATTGATGAGTTGAGCAGTCACCTTTGCAGCTGAAGGTCCGCGGGCAATTGCGATGGTTGATTGATCTGATATGGCTTATCTGCACGTGATCATAACCAATCACAAATCTCGGATCGGCCAATCAAACATCCGGGCCGCGATCGCCCGCTTAACACTAGTCCATATTAAGAATAGCGGGATCTGTTGGCCCAGCAACGGCGCAAAGCATCTCAAGAGGGCAGCGCAGCCTCAAGTGTCAACTGTCAGATCACATCCCCTCATTCCGAGTTCCATTCCTCCACATTCTCACATTCCCTTCTCGCGTGGTCTTCCACGGGTGCTTCCAGTCGCTACCATGGGGGGATCGTCGCCTCCATTCATTTACGATCGTCAACCGACCAGGTTCTATGGACCCACCGATCACAGCTTCAACCCCAAGGCCGTGACGCAAGCGAGCCAGATCCGCCCGCCGCCGAGGGAAAAGCCCAAAGGACCTTTGGTCAACTTCAATCGACACCCAGATACGGTATGCGCGCGAACCATTGAACCTAGCTTCATACTTAATCGCAGCACTGACAATATAAATAGTGGGGCAGCTTCGAGAACAAGTCAACATGGACTCCCATGAGTCCAAACACTAAGAAACACGTCAAGTGGGCTCGTGGAACCCAACTGGGGCTACGTGCAGTTACTCTACTTGGTGCGCTGGCATCGCTTTTCTTCTCCATTGTTATCAAGAATGCTGCTGCGACTATCATTTGGATCATGAGGGCGGGCGTAAGTGTCCACCATCTCCATCTCCGGCTCCACAACGAGATCGCTAACTCCAAATACTATACTTAGCCCATCGTTGCCGTTTTGCATACGATTTATGGAATCTATCATTTCTCGCGCTCCCCTATCAACCGCCCTCCTGCCTCACAAGCCAGCTACGGTCTCTTCGCCTCGACCCTTGACGCTGGGCTGATCCCATTCTACGTGTTTACTGCCTTTGTCGCCCACGCGGAATATACTCAAGATGCGTACAACTGGAGTACCCTATTGGATAATGAAGTCGGCATGATCGTGCCAATTACTCAGGCAACTTTCATCGCTGCTCTCGTTAATGGGGGATTGCACCTCATCTCGCTCGGCGTATCGATCTTCCTGGCTGTGATGTTCCGCAGGATCTCTCACTTGCCACCGGATATGAACCCACTAGAAGACAACCTCACTGCCCGTCCTCGAAGGAGCCGCAAGGATATTGATGTCGGCGAGAAGCACATGAGTTCATCCACCTTGAACTCCGAGGATCCACTTATTGGTTCTCCACGGACAGTGGCATTCATGCACACACGTGGTCAATCTGGTGACTCGGCTTACCAGTCTGGCGATTTCATGAGTGATAAGCGCCAGTCCCAGATCTCTGTTCAGCCTCATCGTGTCTCGCACCTAGAGCCGTCTAGCCCTGAGATGCTCTTCCAGCACCCTGCCAGTCAGCCATATGATGTGATTACCGACGTGCCAGCACCTGAATATGATGCCCCGGCGCCCGAGTATCGAAATGTTGCAAGACACTCTGCAGAGGTCGTTAACCCTGGTGCTCAAATGCGCCACATGACATCTCGTGCTGCCGACCGGTCAAACACTATCAGTCCTCTTTCAGACAACTGGGTCGCATATTCAGAGCGCACGGTGTCGCCGATGGATGAAAACCAACAGAACAATAACGAGAATACCCTTCGACAGTCCTCCTCAGTCTACAGCAGACGTACCAACTCAACTGCTACATCGAACGGTGGCTTCCGGGATTGGTTTGCATATGGCCAGAAACCTGCTAGCATCGGAAGTGTGATCCCTGAAGATACCCGAGGCGAATATGCTGAACTCTCAATTCATGAGTACTACGGCAACGAAGAGGACAAGGAGCAAGATCTCGGTGATACACGTTTCAACATTTTCCCTGACCCTGAAGAGCACGACCATGATAATCTCGACGATGAAAACTCGAAGGATCTCCCCTTCAACCCGCTCATGCTGAACCCTCCGACACCCCAACCCATTCTTACCGAGAAGCCCGAGGATACCGACCCTGTTCGACGCTATGCTCTCAGTGACAACCCGAATCTTACAAACAACCAGACAATGACCCCACAACAACCTGGATCCACTGACTCCACCCCTACCAAAGGTCGCTTCTATGGAGATCTCGAAGAGGAGGGTATGCCTGGCGTCGAGATATCCCGCAACATCAGCAATCAACAGCCCATGACTCGCCAGCCAACAAAGCTCACCAAGAAGAAGAGCAAGAAGATGTCCGCTTATCAATCTCTCAAGAAAGATGATAGCGGCGATGAGGGCTACTTGAGCAGCCGCTCGGCCGTAATGTCGGAGGGCGATCGCAAGGGACGTGTTGTCAGTAACTCCGGTGCAGACACAGCCCGAGCCGGTATTGGCGCTAGTGTTGGTGCCTCCTTGTCTTCATATGGTAGCTACATTGCCGGCCTGGGTGTCGGTCGTCGTCGCGACGTGAGTGGTAAAATTGCCGAGGAGGGACGTGGCAGCCAGCCCATCGACGAGACTCCGAGTGCGAATCAGCAACATAGTCAAGGAGCATCACCAACCCGGGCTGCTGGATGGGCTAGATTTGCCGGACTGTGATGAAGAGACAGAACCAAATGGAATGGAAATGGAAATGGGAATTGGATATCCAAGGGACTTTTTATTCGTTTTATCTACTGGGATCGGAGTTTTTCACCATGTTTCTATCAATGGTGTCATGTAGCGAGCTACTTCTTTTTCTTTCTTCTCTCTTGGGCTTGTTTAGCGGCCTTCTTTGATTTGTTTGGGCATGGCCGGCCTTTTCCTTTCGATGTTGATCTTATGTTTTTGTATCTATGAAATAATCCAGACTTTCACAAATTATGGAGCCCCTATGGGATATTTGAAAAACCGATGTGTATTGAGAAGAATACAAAAATCTTTGAAGCTCGAGAACAGTAACATCTAGCCAATTGAAAGGGTTGGTGGTGCCCAGGTGGTTGCACTCCACTCTGGTGACATGATTGGACGAGATATACGAAACAGCTTCATATAGCTTCTTCAGGAGCAAATTTCGGCGTAGTTCCGCATTGTTCGCTACTGAAAGACGCTAAGGCTACCGCATCGCCTGCCGCTGCAATGCCTGTCTTTTGCCATCACCAACGACCCTGACGATCAATATCATGGGTTTCTGGCGCAGCACTTTGAGCCTGACGGCGACAGCTTTAGCTGTGGTGGCTGCAGAGCCCACTCATCGACTTGGGTCCGCTTCTCCCAGAGTTACCGTCGAGCAGGGAGTCATCAAGGGATTTGTCCAGAATAATACCGAGGTTTTCTTGGGTATCCCATTCGCCAAGACCACCGCTGGTCAGAACCGTTGGAAGGCCCCGAAGCCCATTGAATCATTCCACAAGGGCCACTTCGAGGCCACTGCCTACGGTCCATCCTGTGCCCAGGCCATGTCTGGCACAGCAATCACTGGCCAGAGTGAGGACTGCCTTAGCCTCAACATCTGGGCTCCGCGTCAGGGCGTCGATCTCCCCGTATTTATCTACATTTACGGCGGTGCCATGGTCACCGGTGGCAGCAGCAACGCTCAGTGGCAGGGGCATAATTTTGCTCGCAATGGTGTTATTTACGTGAATCTCAATTATCGTGAGAGCATATATGCTTCGCCCAACGCACCTGAGCTCCAGGGAGAGTCCCAGAACTTTGGAATTCTCGACGTGGAGTTAGCCTTGGAGTGGATTCGCGACAACATTGAGGGTAGATATTCCTTTCTCGCTAAATAACCCCTTTGGCGCCATGATATTTATGACTTTCAACTGACCTAACTAATAGCTTTCGGTGGTGACAAGTCCCGCATCGTACTGGGTGGGCACTCCTCCGGTGGAGTGCACGTTGACCACTACCTCTGGAACCACCCGGACACCTTCTTGGCCGGTGCAATCGAGATGTCTGCCAATGCTCAATCTGGCCCCGCCATTGCTCCCGCGGGTGTGGCATTGAAGCAAGTTGTCCAGGAAATGCTGGATGCCGGGTTCAGTCTGGGCTGCACGGCCGAAGACTATACTCTGGACTGTCTGCGTGCTGCAGACACTTACGCCTTCCAGACGACCTCCTTCAACTCGACCTTGAACACTTGGTTCTCGCCATCGGTGGACAACATAACCCGCTTCTCCAACTATGCCGATCGCTTTGCCAAAGGACACTACCCAGCCTCGCTGCCATTGATTGTCGGTAACTCCGACCAGGAGGGCGAGATCTTCGGCTACGTTTACGGCAGCGAGAACACCAATTTCTCATCCTGGATCCGTACCTTCGACGCAGATCTTGCCTTTGTACCCGCGGACAAGCTCCTAGGCGCCTACAACGAATCCGACTACGACTCTATTTCTCTGATGAGCGGCGCCGCATACGGCGACGCGCGGTTCCTCTGCGCAACCGATTATCTACTGGACGTGCGCTCCAGCAAACAACCTACCTGGATCTACCGCTGGTTCGGCAATTACTCAAACGCGCTGCCAATTCCCAACCTCGGACCCTCGCATGGTAGCGAGGTGCCTTTTTTCCATGGCGGCAATGAGTGCTTCTCGTTGTTGGACGGTGTTACCGATGCGGAGCAGAAGCTGGCAGACTACATGCATCATTGGTTTGTTGCGTGGATTAAGGATCCAAGTGCTGGGCCTGGCTGGGCGAAGGTTCGGCCGGTTAATGGTCCTTTGGCACGACTTGGTGTGCCTGGACATGAAGAGAAGATCGTGATGGGCAAGACTGGCGCGTATAATAGTCGATGCCAGAAGGTCTACAAGCCTAATTATCCCAAGTACCCAGTGGTGCAAAACCCTGTGTTACTGGCCGAGAGTCACTAAAAAGATAGCGAATTAGAGATGGAATCTGGTCCTTTTCTGGAATGATTGAATTAATATTCGATCCAGAAAATTGCATAGGTACTACTAGCATGTTCTGGGTGTTTAATCAAAAACTTGAAGTAGCTACCTAAGTAGGTATTCAAGTACCATCCATACCCCTGGACATGTCAGTGCCTACGTGGGTACCTAGATAGCTACGCAGGCAATATTTGAGATGTAAAGATTATGCTAATTTCAAGTTCAGTGGTTTCCTACTACTACCTACTTAAGTGCCTACTAGGGTAGCCTTGAAATACTTTTGAGCAGCCTGATATGCCTGCTAGTCTTGAACTCCCACAGGCAGTCATCAGGTTAACTTTTTGTATTTGAAAACCTTTCAAATCCTATTGTTCCCAATTAGGCAAAGTAGGCAGCACCAAGCTTGAACTATGCCTAATTTGTACACTTCCAAGGTGATTGTTCCTGAATCTGTCACTGTTCCATGGACCCAGGAACAATCACCTTGGAAGTTGCTGGTAGGGCTACTATTCACTACTATTCACTGTGACTTTGCCTACTATTTAACCACACTTCCTCCTCCTCTCCTCCTCCTCCTCTTCTTCCTTCTTCACACTTCCACTTCTACTTCCACTTCCACTTCTACTTCAAACACTTCCACTTCTACAGCATCTGTCACTTCGCTGTCACTTCACTGCCACTTCACTGCCACTTCACTGTCACTTCACTTCCACTTCACTTCCACTTCACTTCCACCTCCTTTCCACACTTTTCTCTGCTTCGGGTAGGCTATCCACTTCTCTCACTTCTACTTTATCACCATCAATTTCTAGCTAATTCGCTCCTCTCACTTCCAGTGCGCCTTATCAAGATGGATCCCTCCAAGTCCTCCAGGCCCTCCAAGCCTCCAAATATCAACACATCATCCCCGACCCCGATGTCTCCCACCCCTCAATCCCCGACATCGCCATCCTGGGTTTCCTCCGTTCGGCCTTCAAGGATTCCCTTTCCGCAGCTGAAGGAGAGGGTGGACCTTGCTGTCAAGGCCCGTAATGATGGGTACGCCGTTACAACCGCCCTAATTGTGTATTGGGAAGACGACGACACTGGCGCCGAAATGGACGCGAAGTATCTGGAGAAAACTTTTAAAGATTTACTCGGTATCGTACCGACAATGTGGGAAATTCCGAATACGCTTGCAGTTCCAAATTCGACCCTCAAATCAAAGGTCGCCAATATGCTTGTTCAAGATCATTCCACCGTTCACCCCCCTCGACTCGCTGTTCATTTTTGCATATATCGGTCACGGGAATATCGAGATTATCCACGAAAAGTCGCAACTCGTTTTTGCCAGCAGAAAGCCCGGCAGATACATTCGGTGGAATCATGTCCAGAGTAATATTGATGAACACCACATCAGCACTCTCGCAATCCTCGATTGCTGTTACTCGGGCTTCAAGGGGACACTGGACGCTGTTGCACCGGCGATTCAAGTCTTCGCGGCCTGCGCAGGAACTGAAAAGGCTCGCGCCCGGGGGAGTAATTCAGCCACTTTCACACGAAGATTCTGCGGCGAACTCAAATTCGCTCAAAATCACGGAGAATCATTCATCAATACCGAGGAGATGTTTGAGAGATTACGACTGAATACAGTTTTGGGCTCCCCAAATCCCCGCCTCCAGCAAAACGGAGGAGTCAAACCAATCCTCCTGAATATCAAGAAGCAACTCCCACAACCTCGACCTTCCTCTCCATCACGCATCCCTCGACCAAAGCCACCAAAAGCTGACGCGCAGCATGTCGTTGTCAAACTCACACTAATGGGACCCGAAGCCGAGAGCATAGCAGCTTTCCAGCACGCGATGCTGCGGTTGCCAGAACCCTTCCACGTCCGCCTGATCGACGCTTTCAAGACTGACCGTTCATCTCTGGTGATCATGCGGATGCGGTGGCAGACGTGGGCTAGATTGTCCACCGTGCTAGAACTCAAGCCCATGGGAGTGATTACTGGAGAGTCTTTACTGCCTGAGACGTCTGCCCCTACCTTATCCGAGGTTCGTCGAGTAGGCGAAAACTTGCCCCTTCGCCCTGGCCCAAGCAAGGACAACTACTGAAAGCTGCAATTCAAGGTGTCACTTCATGATGCTCTTGTTATTTAGCATCGTTCCAGAGCCTTCTTCCTCTCTTCAGAATAGTTTTATAATTTCTTTATGATGTTCTTGTCAGTTCGCATGTTCCATCTATTCATGTCACGACCCAAATAGCTTTCTCCGAGGTATTCTAAATTGACAGACTTTTCACCTCCTTCTACTTCTGGTACCTTCCAGTACGGTAGTAATTGTAGTTGTAGATGGAAAGAACGAGTCTAGCATTGGATTATGAAAGGCACTGCCATGCCTTCCTAAAGACTAGACTGAGAGCTTTTGAAGGTCCGGCTTATTTGGTTGGTTTTATGCCTTTCCCTGCACGTCAAAATAATCCATAAAGCAGCTGCCGATGATAAACAGCCAACTGATTCAAATTTTCCTTCAGTCCAAGATTCTGCCTCGCAGCTTATCTTTTCTGCAAAAACTCTACTTGATGCGGTGCTGGCAAGTTAGCAGCTCACCCTCAACTTTGCGGGGCTTGGTGTGGGGGCGCAGCGCATTTAAATCAATATCAACCCCCCCTGATCAGCCTCGCCGCTGAAGAAAGCTGCCTCCCCGATAATTAATAGTATTTAAGTCTCATGATTACCCTATCTTTCAAGAGATGTGGATGACTTCATTTCCAAAGAGACCCTGGGTCTTTTACTCCACTGCCCTCCAGGGCTGGCTCAAGAACTCAATAACCCAGAACATTTCCGATCGATTAATCTTCCTTCTTGAAAATGTGGGAAGTCATCGCTCAGGTTGCAATCGGAGTCATCAAAATATTCTTCCCTCAAGACCCTCATCCTGGAGGCGTGACGAAGCCACAGCCAGAGAAACCGAAGCGAAAGTGGCTCCGGAAAAATAAGTCCTGACAACAAATCTCCGAGTCATCAACACCACACCCACCTGGGCATGGATCTGCTAGATACTACTAGTATGGGGGTAATCGCTTTTTTTGGAGCAAAGCAGTATGTATCCATACCGCCGCAAAGCCGCGGCAGAAGGGCTGACCCGTGTGCCAGTTTTATTATTTTTTACTAATTTCTACGTCGACAGAAGGTCCGTTCGGAGAGAAAAAAAAATGACATGTATAATTCATCAGGGTATCACGAGATTTAGCAAAAGAAAATTATCAAAGAAATAAATCAAAGATGGCACATATATTAGGAAGGAACACCTTCGTATTCCCATCCTTCAATGACACGCTTCCGCCGGCGCGAGTTACGACGGTTCGCATTACATTTGATGAACGTCGTCAACGCGGTAACTAGCAAAATAATAACCGCAGCAACAACGGCAACGAGAACTGCCTTGCGCTCCAGTTGCTGCGGATTAGACGCGTAAGGACAGAGAGCATCAGGGCCGCCAGAGACCCAACAGGAGGTAATATCGATTGAGTTGAAATTGATGTAGATTTCGCGGCGGGATAGATCGGTCGAAGTCGGGTCGATGATAGATTTATCTTGGTCAATGAGGTATTTATAAAGGTAATGGTTTTCAAGACCAGTGCGAGGAACGGCAAAAGAAGAGCCGGAAGGGCAGCCGTTGCCAACTTCGCGGTATTCGGCAGTGGAATTGGATAGAGTCCAGGAAAATGGTGAATTACCAACTCGACATGCCGCACGGCGTTCTTCGCTGCAGTTGGTGGCACGCCAGCGGCCGCCGAGCGAGAGGTCTGTGATTGCGCATCGATCAAATGCGGGCATATCAGATGTGCCGCCGCCGGTGCCGGCACCTGCAGGCTCACCGACTGCCCAGGCCCACCCGGTTGCGAGGGAAATGTTGCGATAGCGAGAGATGTCTGCATCGGCAGTTTCACTAAAGAGGGTGCTGTTCAGCATGGGTGACATGCCGCAGGCTGTGATGTCGGATATGAGGTTATTCAATGACACCATCGTGTTGTCAGCAGAAAGGCCGGCAGGCACGGGGATGCTGTTGGACATCGCCCACGATGAGTTGGCCTGGGACACATCTGTTGCTTGAGGTTTGTAAAGACAGCCGGATTTCATAGTGCCATTTGTGGTGGTGGACACATTGACTGCCGAGGTCATATAGCCTGGAGGAAAGATAGCGTCCCCATCTTTGGTCAAGTTATAGTCGGCTAGTTGCGGAGCCACCGAGCCGTATTCAATAAGAACACGATCTGATTTTGCAAGCTGGATGTACTTCGCTGAGGGCCATCCATCCGGGGTGCTCTGTTGACCCGATTTGTCCTCATGAATGGTAAAATATTCCGTGATCGGCATATAGCTTTCTTCAACTTCATACCATGACTCGTTTAGGTTCTTACGATCCTCAGCCAGTTGCGCTGGACTATAGAGGTAAGAATAGAGGCCAGCATTGAATAGCGCACCGATCCGTTCCGATTGCCCTTTGGGTAGGTCGCTTCCCTTCACGGCGGCGTGTGGCTTCGTCGGGGAGGAATCACTGGCGGCCACATGGAGATTCAAGACGAGATGGTTGGTATATACTAGTAAATCCCGTTTTGTGCTTTGAAAATATCCGACCAGTATATCTGATATGATGCTAATATCCAAGTCACCGGTACATCTATATGGACCTAATTCATATACTGTCTCTCCATCGGAATCGGAGTACGCGGTGATGGTCGGTGACTCTACATCGGTAGTCGAGGTAGCCGGCTCACTTTTTGTGATTGTAGATGTTGACTCGGGGCCCTCGGTCGTCAATGTCACCTCCACCTCTGAAACAAAAACGTCTGCGCTAGTGGGGATGGTGACGGGACAAAAGGACCATGACCGGCGTTCCACGGACCAGTATAAATCGAGTGCAAGTCGGCGGAAACCCACAGCGAGTAGATTGGAGATGCAATTAATTGCATTGTCTCGAGAGTAAAGACCATTCCCAAAACATGCCGAGGATAATGACACAGCTGGGTTGGTGACGAAGTTGATAGGAATTTGGCCGGCGACATCTCGTTCACTCTACACAAGTCAATTAACATTCATTTGGATCTTAAAAGTGATAGGAAGAACTAACCAGCAAGACTGCCACCCAAGTTGCATCATCAAGGGTGGCATCGGGGTTGTAAGTGGCCGACATAGTCTCGCATTGCGTCAGATGCAGCAGATGCAGTGGGGAGAAAGCGGAGAGAAGAAGCGCGGTCTTACGCGTGGAAAGTTCGGGGGCGATCACCTGAGTCGATCTGGCCACTTCGTCACTTGCCGAGTACACTTCAACCTTTCTTTCTTTCTCCATCTCACCCTTCCCCCCCCCACAATCACCCAAACAAATCTCACTCCCTTATTTCTTTCATTTCTTTGTTCTCCAATTTCACCCCTCGATCCAATTCGCTACCAAAAATGGCCGCGCCCGGCCAGCCAAACCCCCAGCAAATGGCGGCCATGCAGCAACAGTTCGCTGCCGAAGCCGCCAAACGAGGATTGACCCCTGAGCAATTCGCTCAGAAGCAACGCGAACAGCTCACAGCCGACGCAGCGAAGCTCGGTCTATCTCCCGAACAATACGTCCAACAGTTGCGAATGCGGGCGATGCAGGCGCATCAGAAACAGATGGAAGCACAACAACAAGGCCAAGCTTCTCCGCAGGGAGAGGGACAACAACAGCAGCAGCAGGAGGGCCAGCAAAACCAACACGCACAACAATCCGCGCCTCAGCAACAAGTTCAGCAACAGACACACCAGGTTCCCGTTCAGCCAGGTCAGCCCGCGGATCCCAAGGCCCTAGCCGTGGCCAACTTTTTGCGGTCGCAGAACCTGAAGCCGCGAACATGTATTCTGGATGGACAGCGCAAGGATATGTTTAAAGGTATGTCGCGACATGCGAAAGCGAAAGAGGGAAAAAAGAGGGAAAAAAAACTTCCTTCTATCGGCCGAAGATCGCCGCAAATTATTAAATCAAAGATGTGTACTTACGTTCCTCTCCTATCACAGTGAAGCGTGCAATCCGCGCCATCGAATCCCCCGCATACGCCAAAGCTGCCGGAAAGAAGAACTCCCTCCTCCCACCCGTGACCGATCGCGCCTCAGCCGAGAACGTCTTCAAGCTCCTCCCACTCTCCCTCCTCGCCCTCCGCGTAAGCAAGGTCGACCCGCATGCAGGCCACAACCACGCCAAGCCCAAGAATCGCACAAAGGGTCTGTGGACCGTGAAAATTGAGCAACACCAGGAGACAGGACCGCTGATGCACTACGTCTGGCTATATGAGGGACCGCAGTGGAAGCAGCGGGCCCTGGCCGCCGCTGTGGTAGCCGGTATATTTGCGGTTGTGTTGTTCCCTCTGTGGCCGATGGTCATGCGGCAGGGTGTGTGGTATCTTAGTGTCGGCATGATGGGATTACTGGGACTCTTCTTTGCCATGTCTATCTTCCGTTTGATCTTGTTCTGCGTCACTGTCTTCACTGTCGCGCCTGGTCTTTGGCTCTTCCCGAACTTGTTCGAGGATGTTGGCTTTTTCGACAGCTTCAAGCCTTTGTGGGGCTGGCAAGAGGTATGTTTCTCCGACCACATTTATGCCAATGGCGTATGACCATAATTCGAAACCGCCCATACTAATAAATCGACAGAACAAGAAGAAAAAGAGCAAGAAGGCCAAATCAGAAGACGCCTCAGCGGTGGAACCCACCCCCTCAGCCAGCAGCACATCCGCCGAGCCAGCATCCTCATCGACGCCCGTGAAGCGAGATCTCACCGCGCGCGTCGAGGAGGTTGAGGAGTAAACGCTCGAAAGAGCAGGGCAGCAATGCAAACAACCAGCAAGCTAACAGGGGTATTTTTTTTTCTTGAAAGGGCGAAAGCTGTCTTGTCTTATTCTTCTTCCTTTCTTTTTTTTCCCATATTCCCATTCATCTTCACATTCACATTTGATTCACGGCATGGTCATGGCATGGCATGCGGTGTATTCTTTCATGAGGCTCATTCCGGCGTTTTTAAGATCAACATACTTTATCCTCTCTATTTTCTTTGAATTTGACCATATTCTGTATTGGTAAAAATGGGATTCTATTCTTTCGCGGGGTTACCTTGACGTGACTTGGAACAGATGTTCCATCCTACTTATGCCTATTGGCAAGTAGAGTAGAAATCGGAAGAAGAACCAGTCTTCTATTAGAAGACTTGAGCGGATATGAAAGGACTCGAGGCTAATGCGTAGTTATAGTGCATAAAAAGTGATTAGTTTTAATCTAAAGGAATACCGGCCCGGAGTAAGATGATTCCATGTATCACAGAGTAATCCAAACCCTAATAAGGATATGATAACAGCTTGAAGAAGAGAAAGAAGACAAATAGTACAGCCCAACACGCATTCATCTCTAGTTTACATGATAGACCCAGGAAGGGAAAAGAAATCGGGGTATAAATAAGACAAGTATGAAGCGAAGCGGATCAGAGCAGATCAGAGTAGAGGAGAGTAGAGTATATCCGACATTGGAAATGAATAGGCCTTAACTCGACTCGACTCAACTCGAACAAAGAGATTCCAGGTATAGACAGGACAGGACGGACAAGACAAGAGGGTGTCGTCATGTGCAAGTAGAGACAAGAAGTATATCAAGATGAACCAAGAATCAAATGGAAAGATCCAAACGAAGGTGGCGGCGTAGTAAATGGGTTGATGAAGTGTAGTTGGTGATATATGGTTGGGCCATGACCATGACCATGGCCATCCCATAGCCATGGCGTATATGCATGCGAGGACTTGCTCGGGTATATTGATTTGACGACGCTGGATGCATAGGTGCAATAAGACAAGACAGGACAATAATAAAGAGGTATGTATGTATAGTTGAAAGACGCGGCTCATCTCGATTGGCGTATATGTATGTATGTGGTTGAGATGATGGCGATTATGATTATATTTTTAGTAGAAGGCGACTTTTGACTCCGCGAGTTGGAGAGTGGCGGGCATATCTGCTGGAAATATGCTTCGTAATGTAGGTGCAGGTATATTGCAGCGCAGTGAAGGAGTGCTGAACTAATGCAGGCGAGACTGCCGAGCAGCTGCTACCTTAGGAGTATATCCATTGGATTGGCCGGCAAGAACGCTCTTTCGCTTATCTGTAACATTCTCCTGCGTCTGTTGCGATTGATAGAACCGGGTCGACGGTGACATCTTCGTTGCCGATGAGGCCGGAGGTGACATTTGTGCCGGAATTGGGGGTAGAGCACCAAGTGGAGGAGGAGCTGGAGGCGATTTCGTGGCAAGCGGAGGGAGTCTCGGAAGGGGACAGTTCGGCGGTGGTGCAGCTGGTGGGCCAACAGCCAAGCCGGGCATGCTTCTGCGACGGGACATGCTCTGCGCCAAATGGGTGTCCCCGTGGGTTGATGGAATCCGATGGCGGGGGGTTGGCACTGGAATTGATGCCGGGGTTGATTGCGGCATTGGAAACAGTGATAAATCAGGCTTTCTTGATGACTCTACCGGGGGAACACCCGGGACCTGCGTATCGCCATTCATCGAGATTCCCAGCCCAGGTCGACCCACTAGACTGAGAGGGCGGGATGGTGGGGGACTGATCTCAGAGGGTGCGCCGGCCCGAGGAACGCGGGAGAAATTAGGCGCAGGTTGAGTCCGGACCATTCTCGATAGTACGTCTTCGGAATTATAAGTTCGTAGGACACGACCACTGCTATCCCGACGCAGAGGGGCAGGCTCGGAGGCATCGGTATGGCGCGAGCTTGCGACGCTATAAGTTGGTGATTGTGGAGGGGAAGAGACGCTGGAGATTGTGAAGTCACTTGTGCTCTCGCCTCGTCGAAGGACGCCTGTAACGGATGGCGGCGAGGAAGCCTGATTGCTGGGGACCGGTCCTGATCTCGGCACAAACTTTTTGCTGAAGGACGGAACGCTGAAATTCGGGGCTGGTGGGGATGCGCTGCGCGTCAATGTCTCGGGTATATTGGTCGATGGTTGGGCGACAGAAATAGGGTCCGTACGAGAAGTTGTTGAAGTCGAAGTCGAGGCTGAGACCGAAGCGGAGGCCGAAGTTGAACCCATGGGGCCAGGCGATGAAAGAGGCGACATATATAGCGACTGTCGATTACCTTGACTGGAAGCAGGTGGACTCATACCACTGAGACCACTAAGGCCAATCATCTGATCCACCTCTCTGAGTACAGCCTCCGGCAGGCCATACGGGGTAGACGGCTCACTTGGTAGATTGCGCGGGGAGGCCGGGGTGTTTGAAGACGAAAAAGACGAAGATGGGGCATCATTGTTCATTGGAGGTGAAGCCTCCGTCAAACTGGTGGATACAGATCCCGCACAAGAGTCGATGACTGAGCGATGATTGTCTGAGACGTAGGAGCTTCGTCGGGATTGCCATGTCATACCACCAACAGACTGGCCATCTTCGTCATCGTCGGGCAGACGCAAAGTCTGGGGCTGGAGGAATAAACTCGAGATACGATGTGGGTCTTTCTTCACCATCTGTCGTACACTTGCTTTCGAGCGAAGCTGAGGCTCCACCTCATCCTCCGAATGCTTCTCCGTCACAAACTTAGGACCTCCGCGAGATTCGACCTCGGCCCGAATAGCCATCAACCAAGATATCATCGAGTCCGGGTCATCAAAGACCATCAGGAAACTCTGCGCCAATCTTCGGGCATGGGATCGATGGAACCCAAATCGTGAGGCGAGGCGAGGCTTCGGAGGTTCTGGTGCGGCAACGGTATCAGTAGCTGGATTTTGAGAAATCTGAACGACCCAGTGTTTGCCCGGGATGGCATCGCTGGCGAATGCGACAGAGTGAGGGCCCAATTGAAGCATTTTTTCGGGTAATCGATCATGTTTCCCGTCCCCGGCGTATTGGAGAATAAACCCTGCTGTCGCGAGCACGTAGATCTTCTTAGTCCATTCGACCTTGTTGATTGTACCCGACAGGGTGCGCAAGTGTTTGCGCTCCCGTTGTTCCTTCTTTTTTGAATCACCACTCGATGTCGCCGTTCGCCCATCCTCTGGAGCATTTTTCCCTGTTGTCGCGTGCAATCGCAGAATAGCGTCTGCCGACATGGCGGGCGCGGAGAGACAATCATGTTTGGTTGATTGAGGGTATGCCTGAAACAAGGCTGGGGGTTTCCAACCATATTGTTCTTGGGAGTGTTTGGACTCGGGGGGTCGTGGCCGAGGTGTTTTTAGGGTATTTCGCGCACGAGGGGTCGTTGGGGAGGCAAGCGTGGTTGAGGTTGTAGTTGAGACGATCGTGTGTGGGGTTGCGATGGTCGGCGACAAGATTGTCTCATCTATTGTAGCGATCTGCGAAGTGATATGCGAGGGGCTTGCTTGGGATTCATCGATCTCGTCGAGGGTGCTGCTGTCGGGAGCGACGGCCGCACGTGAGCTTTTGTCGCGGCCGAAGAGATTGCGCAGGCTGGACTTGGACGATTGACGCTTGACGGGACTCTGAAGTGGAATTGGTCCATCTGAGCCATTGGTGACAGGATCACTAGGTCGAGGGCGCTGGAGTCGCGTAGGCTGCGTGGGCTGTTGTTGATGTGATTGCGATTGCAACTGCGACTGCGACTGCGACTGAGACTGATCATCTTGAGTCGCAGCGGGGCGACTAAAATTGGTCTGAAGTGGCGCCAGACGATGTCCTCTTCGTTCGCCAAAGGAAGGCGGCGTCGAGTCTCGTATGGAGGACATGGTCTCGGTCGTTCAGCACAACATGACACAGCGGAATGCAGGAAAAGGAGAGCCGAGTTCAGGAGGGAAAAGATCGTCACATCCGAACGTGGTCGGCTGCACGGCCGAGTAAGCTGGAAACTGGAGACCGGAGACTGGAGACTGGATTGATCGGAGGAGATTAGAAATGGTATACTCCACGGAGAGTTTCAGAAGGACTCGACGTGGAGAGGAACTGGAAAAGGAAGCAAGTTCCCTCAAGTCAAAAGTTCAGGAGAAAGGAAGAAGAAGTGGGGGGGATCTACAATCACCCACGAGTACGAGTGATGTGGGAGGTGGAGGTGCATAAAATTGAGCCTGGCCTAGCTGGGCATGGGTCTTCCCCTGGAAATCTCTCTCTCGTTTCGTTTCGTTTCATTTCATCTCATCTCATCGATTCCTTCTCAATCTCCCCCATCTCCACTGGGCGCTCGCTAAGATTCCTGGTGGAGGCGGAACGTTGAAAGCTCCACTGGATCGAACTCTCTGGACTCCTCCTGGTCTGTCCTGGTACTGCACTGCACTGACACTCCGAAAGTATCGTGTTGCCTTGTCAGGCAGAGGGTCCACACTTCAATCCTTGCCCGGAATCAACGGCACCCATTAAACTGGCTCCATGATCGCAATGCCGGGCCATCGTGATATCCTTGTGAGTGAGGCCGCGTGGGCGATGCGTGGTCCAGTGGACATCAACGGAGCCAATGCGCTATATTAGACGTGGTCAGGGAATTAATTTCGAGTTCAACTCTTCCAGGGCTTTCTTTTCTTTGTTTGCAGCGGGAACTGGCTCACTAGCACACTTACCACGGTCATAGTGGGGTGGTGTTTCTTGGACGAACTCTCGGACGCGATCAGGTTAACAAAGGACTATCGAGTAATTAGCAATTCGGAAATAGAATTTGACAGGTCAACTCGGAAGAATCAATAGCCTTGCGCCTGCGGAAGTAGGGAGAGAGCCCCTCCGTATGCACATACCACCGCCTTGAAATAGCTCTTGAAGTGAAAGGTCTTGGTCACGCCCATCCCGTCAGCATCTAGCGCCCAGCCTTGGTGCTGTAGCATCTCGGTGTCAGGGCCGAGCTGTTGCGGGTCTTCACCCTCGGCGAAGCGTGCTGCGGGTGCACTGGAAGCCATTCGGAGAGGTTGGGAGCGAGGCAGAGATAGGGGAAGGGGGAGTTGAGAAGGGAGTTGAATGACTGCAGGTCGTGACAAACGAGTCAGAGGCAAAGGCAAAGCCCGACCCAGTCTGAGGAAGCTCATGGTTGGATGAAGAGAATCTTTAGGAGCTTGGAAGCTTGGAAGCTTCCAAGGTGAAGCCGCGCACAGACCGCCTTGAGAAGTAAGCAAACAACATACCCTAGTTAACTAACTAGTACAGGTAGTTATGTTAGTACATATGATGGTATGTAGTATTTAGTACTTTGGAATACTATTAATTTAAGATTCACAAATACCTAGGTAATATGCATAGTGCTTGAAAATTGAAGCAGGGCATGGTAGTCTAGGTAGTATACTTAATACTGATACTATAGCATAGCTGGTAGACAAGGGAGATAACTAATATGCCTTTTAGAACCAGAGCAGTAATTTCTTATTATTGATACAAATTACCAGTATAGTGCTACTAGTACTAGTACCTTGGAACTGAAATTAAACCATTGACTTGGTACTCAGCTCCTACTCTCTTAGGAAGCACCCTGATACCGGAAGCGGACAACCCTTGGATCTCTCCAGAATGCTACTCTACCATCCACAGATCCACGGTTATCAATCCTCTCTACCACTTTCTACTTTGACTTTCTACTGCACTATACTAAAGAACAACAGGATACACGAGATACACATTCATTGCTTATAGCTAGAGCATATGATCCGTAACCAGCCCATTCCGGCACACGCAAAAGCAATCATCCCCGTGGCGTACACGAATGCTACCACCCATCCCCGGATCGGATATTCTTGAGCGAAAAGACCAATTCATCAAGTCCGATAGTACGGCGACACCGTGCGCCTCGAGTAAGGCCGGGCCTAGGCAGCTAGACCAGGAGTATTCGCAGAGCAGACAAAAGTGGAGAAAGTAGTAATAATTATTAAGAGTCGAGTCCACCACGCCCAGCGCATGGATCCATGCGATTCAAGACATACAGAGAGAAAGGAAGATACAAAATTATCGGTAAATCCTGACTGCATCCAAAAGTGAATGCTTAATCGATCACCGTCTCGCCAGTAGCTATCACCACCGCCGCCGTGGGACTTGACTGGAGCTTTTTCACAAGATTCCATGCGACAGTGGAGCCGGGGAGAGACAGTCCAGAACAGAACTTAAAAAGATAAAAATCAATTGAAATCAATCAAGTCACCAAACTGTTGCGGCGCGAGTTGGCGCGCGAGTTCACCCGGGAGTTGGCCCGAGAGTTGACTCGCGAACCAGGGCGACTTCCCCGGATGCGGAGATCTTGTTGGGACCGTGCGTAGGAGTTGGCGCGGGAGGCCGCGGGGACCTTGGATGCCCGGCGGCTGTGAATATTCACGTCGATTTCGTGACGGGCTTCCGAAAGCCGTTGAGCGAAGGGGGAGCGTGCGCGGAGGGCGGGACCCTTCCAGTAGATGATATAAACAGCAATAACCAGCGGTAGCGAGATACAGACTGGGAATCGATTAGTGGGGGTCTTGAGATAAAATTTTCTCGGGGATAATAGAGCACATACAGAGAATCGTCGAGGCATATTCAAGATGATACTTGCCACCGATGTCTGGAAGAAATGGAGTTAGCCGGTGTTGCGAATAAGTATGGTGGGGAGGAGTCTCACTCTCGAAGAAAGGTGTTGCGGGAATAGTGAGAACACCAGCCAGGAAGTCTCGAGCCCATCCATTACCACCAGTAGCCGAAGCCGAGTAAGGGCCGTAAGCACAAATCATATAATCGATGGTGGCCATGTAGATAGCGTAGTTGGCAATACCAATGATCGCAGCAAAGATCATGGAGCCAATCCAGTGGCACTGAGGCAGAATGGTCCAGGCGAAGCCAATCAGGCCAATAGGCAGGCAAGGAACGGTATACAGCAACCACCACAGGCGAGACTCATACTGTGCGCGCTCACTGTCAGGGTTTTCACGGCGCTCTTTAGTATTGCGACGGATGATGGGGAACCAAGAGAACCAGGCAATGAGATATCCGATGAGGATGGGGATAAATGCCAGTCCCTTCTCCCAGGCGTTGAAGTTCCACTGGTCATAGACAAGACCCAGAGACTGAATGAACATGAAAATCAGAGCATCACTGAAACCACTGAGAAGAGAAAGAACCAAGACAATGGGCTCAGTGAGGAACATCTTGAACGGGCGATACCAGGTCATCATCAATTCACGAGGAGGGAAACGTTCGCGGAAGGACAGGCCTTCGGTTGGGCCATAGATATTGGGGTTCTCGCCGCTCTCGCGCATCTTCTTTGCGATACGGTCCATGAGAACGGTGGTTCGGGTCTCGGGGACGAGTAGAAAGTGCATAATCTGGACAAAACCACCAAAGATCAACTGAATCCAGATGTTCCATCGCCATGGCAAGAAGGCCTCGACGAAGCCACCAATGACGGGACCTAGGACTGAACCACCGACGGAGGAGAAGACAACAGCAGCTACGGCGTACTGCTGAGTATCGGCTTCCCAAAGATCGGCAATCATGCCCAAGGTGACGGAACCACCAGCGGAGGAGAGACCACCAAGCGCACGACCCACCATGATCGAGGCAAAGTTTGGAGCCAGAGCGACAGGAAGTTGGAAGACATTGACAAAGAAAAGGGAAGCCTGCAGGATAGGTTTGCGACCCAGTTCCTCACTCCAGGGGGCCCACAGTTCGCAACCAAAGGCATATAGGACGAGAAAGATCATGGCACCACAGCGGGCGGCCTGCATGGAGACGCCGAACTCCTCGGAGATACCGGCGAGACCATTGGAATAAAGAGAAGTGTTGAAGTTCATGGAGACCTGGACCAAGAAGATGACAGAAATGATCAACCACTTGCGAGTCTCGGTATAGGAGTAACCAAGTTTATCGTAACACATATCCTCGGTGAGTATGATACGACCATCGGGACCGGCATTTTCAAGTTGGTCGTCCTTATCGGAGCCCTTTTCACTGATGGGTAGGTTGATGATACCCTCTTGCTGGGTTTCACTGGAGGAGGAGGAAGCTTGTTGCACAGCATCCAGGCGGCCAGCCAACTTTTCGGGGTGGCTTGCCATGGTGGAGTGACTGAGTGTGTTAGTTACTATTGTCGATCACTGGACAGAGTATGAGGGTAGTAGAAGGGAAGGGAACACACAAAGTAGAGAGTATAGAGAGAACAGTGAGTACAGAGAGAAAGGAGGAAAGAAAAAAAAAGGTGGGGAGAGGGGGAGGAGAAGAAATAAAAAGAGAGAGAGAAGGAGGAGAGGTCAACTTTTCCGGAAGAGTCAAAAGTCAAGAGTGAGAGGGCGACAATAAATACGGCAGGTACGATGCAACGGAGCCGGACTGGTCGTGGTTTCCCTGGTTGACAATACACACTCTAGTAACTATACAGTATACTATACACTGTATACTATACTCTGCATTCTACTTTCCCTTTTGTATTCTCCCTCCTACATCTCCCATCCCTCTCGGCTCACTCGCCCCAGATTTCTCCAGATCCCCTCCGCTCGCCGTTGACTTTCCCTATGCGTCACCGAGTGGGTGCGGGATGCCGAATTCCTTCCCCGTGGGTTATCATTAACCCACTCTTTTTTTCTTCGTGCCCCAGAATTCAGTGCTCCAAATCCTTTCAATTAGCTACTCCCGACAATATCCCCGGACTCATCTTGCTCTTTACAAAAAATCCCGCAGATCGACTGTTCATTGCGTACTGACCTCTGACCTCTGACCTCTGAGCCCGAGCCCTGACGACTCCTGCGCCCTGGCAAGGAGTCTCCTTCATCATCCCGCAATTGGAGAATCGGCTCCACCGAAAGCATGGCAAACTTATGACCGATGGCCGACCCCGTCCAAACTTGTACTCAACGAATTGCGAGACCGGCAACACTCCGATCGGGGATCCGCTTTGGGTTGGAGAATGTCCGCTTTGGGAACAACTCGCCCGACTGTCACCGCATCCCGCCTTTCTACTTCAATCATCTCAAACGCATGCAACCTCACATCTACACAATCCCAATCGATCGGGAGAATGTCATCTCATAAAATTATATGGGATGCGGTGCCCCGCGAAGCAAGGGGGTTTGTTATCGTGCTATTTCCAGTCGTGCCCGGACCGCATGGTTCCCCATCGCCGATCTGGGCCCAGCAACACTGAGATGACGCGGAGCGACCGAGTATGTACATACAGTACGGAGTACTAATAAATTCTACATAATGCTTGCCGAGATTTCTCTGGTACTGTCAAGTCCACCCCGGCCACTCGGCCAAGACATGCGATCATCATCAAGCAAAGAAGAAAACAGCCTTGACGTCAGGGGGCGCCCTGACACCTATCACAGGCCACCCACGGATCGAAGCCTGGACCAGGTACTAAAGGGCACCAGCAGGCACTAAACCAAGCCGCCACGGGCGGTTACGGACGTGGCGTCGTGGGATCGCCAACAGGGCCAAGGCTTGCAAGTCTTGTTCTGACTCCTGTTCACTTAGAAGGAAGGTCGGGATCCGCTTGCCCGCTGAGTACACTGGATATTGTATGGACTTCAGATCCACCTGTCTCTCACTACGAACTGCCTCTTCCAGAACGTCCGATAGAAGACTGCTGTCAACGTCTTCAACAGCGTGCACGAAAACTCATCGGAAACAGCCGGTCGCTCCCCTTGCAGAGGCGAGTCCTCCCTTCCTTTCGGACTTTTGATTCACGCGGGTTGCCTTCAAGTTTCCAAGGATTTACTTGGTCATTTTTGGACCCCAAATAAATAAACCTGGAATTTCTTCAGCCCCGTGATCAGAATGACCCCATGGAGAAAGGGAAAAAATAGAAAAACAAAAAAAAAACCAGGCTACGAAAAAGTTTTAAAGTTTGGACCACCGAGTCGACTCGCCGAAGGTGGAGCGGATCCGGAAACGACGAAAGGTAGGCCAGCCCAGGTCGCGGTGCGGAACCCTCCAAGTGTTTCCCCCTTGACTCCCGGCGCCAGAATGGGAGAGTCGAGATGCGACCTTACATTCCTGCACATGGGCATCTCGTATGGGAGATCGACAAGATCGTACATCGCGGCGACGCCACGCGAGCCTTACGCGGTGATCAGTGCCGTGCCCTACGGGCAATGAAACTAAAGCATGGTACGGAGTACGGAGTAGTGGACAGTCAAATGCGTCTTCCCCCGGATTGTTCTGGACCCTTGCTTGGGGTTGTCCAACCCGGATATGCCGGATCTAGAATTGTAGACTTGCTTTACTCGGTGTAATGGCCGAACCGCCGGGGATTGGCCGTTGAGTACATACACATTAGTAACTAACTATTCCGTACATACACGAACTTGGAGAGGGGGCGATTGATTGACCTTGGTTCGACTGAATCCGGTCTGGGGATCTCCATGGGCCTGTGCCATCCCCGCAGCGCGCGAAGGATCGTGACCGTTGTATAGCGATCGAATAGTGTTTAATCAAGCTGATGTGAGATGACGGAAGATTCTTCTTTCTGCATAGTAGCAAATATTATCCTGTTTCTTATTCATAGACAGTGGCAAACGGTGGTTAGACATGTCATGTGGATACCTTGGTGCCTCAGGTGTCTTTAGGCGTTAAGAAACAGGCGTAAACAGATGCTTTGCTTACTACGACTTAATGTACCCTCACGCATTTTAGCATTTCCTCTCTTCGTATTGCAGGATGTCAAATGCAAAGGCTTAACTGGTCATTCACATACAAAACCGACAAATAAGATCATTCGGCCAATCTACCGGCGCTTGGCCTAGATGTTAGAACAAACGAAACCCTAGAATTATTCTCGCAACATGATTCAAACACGAAGCATATCTATGGAATCAGATATAAAGAGTATTCGCATACAACATTAATTATTCTGCTACATCCCAAATTACCTGGGCATCCAATTTCTATTACTTATGATCTCTATCATTATCATTGTCGTACCAGTAGTAATGATATTTGACGGAAACTACGAATCTTAACTAATCATATCAGCAATCTGAGAAGAGCACAACAAACAATCGCAGTCATCAATAAGACTATTCATGCGGTTCCAAGACCCAACGGCTCCGTTTAGTCGCAAGAGAGGGATATGCCCATCTATAACAGAGACAACCGGAGAAACAAAGAGCTCTCCACAGTGTGTATCCAAGTCCCGGATACGGTGATATGGACGGTCCTCGTTCCTATCTATAATAATTCTATCAACATGACAGCCCATATTAGCAAGAATTGGCGCGACTTCATTTCCGATACGCTCGTTCCATTCTGCTGTACCGCGAATCATCATACTTGCATGCACTTTTGTTACTACCTCGCTGATACGCAGAATTCTCACCTTGAAGCAGATAGGTATTTTGTATCCGAGCTCTTCAGCTTCCTCTTGGCCAATATTCCTGAACCGACGGAGTAATTCAGGAAGATCTTCCAAAAAATCCATCACTTGGAGCCAGTTCCAGGGCTCTTTGTAGAGATATCTAGCGCGGGAAACAAGCTGCTCTGCTAGATGATCTCGTATTATAGCAACATGGCCTGCCTTTGATTTCTTTGATTTCTTTGATTTCTTTGATTTCTTAGTTGAACGTTTGCGGTCTGCGCGCTTCTCCATCTTGGGAATGTAAGGCGGAGAATTATGGTTGCGTCTAAAGATGAATCCAAAATATCGCGCTATGACCAAATACAATAGAGTGGTGTTCTCGAGCAGTGAATGGCAGTCAGACACAAATAACGAGGCAGACTTCTGATTGCTTCAAATTGTGCCTCTCGCTTCTGATAGGGGACTGCCATCTTATAGCCCATTGGCCGTTAAACTATCTGAAATTTTAGTCTTTATCTCGAAAGCCTCTTTGAGATGCTCAAGCTCTTTCAAGGCTCGGACTTTGTTCTAGACAGTACTAGCTTTGAAAATTTCTTTGGGTACATAGGTAAAATACAATTGCTTTGTGCCGAAGCTGGCCAGATAGCGAACCAAATAGACAAGGAAATTAAGAAGACTCCCCAACTCTCGATTTTCAACCTGGATCCGTTCCACCCATCAATTCCATCCCACCTAATAGTTTGAAATGTGATCAAAAACATAATGGCTGGTTGATAGGAAACAGTGCTAGGGCAAGCATACTTCAATGAGATTTCTCGCACGATATGGTCATGTTTTTTGAATTGATCCTGAATCTTATGGTGGATTGATAGGTGAGGTTTTCTGTTTCCTTCTTCGCCCTTCACTCAGTCTCAATGTTTCAATGTCACTTTGATGGGTTTGGATCGAGGTACGTCAATGCCACGCGTGGTTGGCATTTATGACTTTGTCTTCACTTCTAGCTGTCTGTGTGGAAGGAGACAAAGAAGCTATTGTGTACTCCGTGCTGGTTGTATATAGCCCGGGGATTAGTTACTCCGTTCTCCGTGCATCGTGTATCCACCGTTCCGCCTTCATCACAATTATATCCACCTTGTGCTTTGTGCACGTCATGGATAACTTGATCGCGTGCTGGTCACTGGTCTTTGTCACTGCGATCTCCTCAACTCCATGGCCGGCAGATCTGCCTCTGACCATGCCCGCCCGACTTCGGCTCCTCCGCTAAATAGAGTCTCCAAATCTGCCATCTCAACCAAACCCAAGCGCCGCCCCGGTCGCCCTTTCAAATTCCTCCGTAACTCTTCGCACTCTCAATCCAGTCGATCGCCTTCATCCGCTATATCTCTTATATCTGCTCAATCGGACTCCCCTAGTGCTGCACCGCCAATCCGCCGACGTGCTCTGTCCAGACTCGAAACTTTGCCCGTTGAGGTAATTGAGAAGATCTTCCTCTACTCGCTGAATCCCAATCTGCCTCGAGCATCGTCAGTACTAGCAGCAGCCATTTCACGAGAGCATATTTACAATCTGCTTATTATCTTGGCATTATGGAACGACCCCATGACCACCGACCCGCTCAGCCCGGCAATGGTTGCCATGCTTACACCGTTGGAGGACTACGTGCCGTTGAGTTGGGATGCGCGAGGCAAATTGCAAGACTCCATATTTCGTTGTCGATGGTGCACAATGCAACGTGTGCGTGACCAGATTCCCCAAATCGTCAACCTGACGCTGCATCGCATTTGGATCAACACTGGCTTAGAGATGGACCCAGATCAGCGAGCCGCCCTTGATCGATTTATGAATCGAGAAGATACGACCACTCTTTCCTTCACAGGAAAGAGCGGACCGATGGATTGGTTAGCAACCCGACTCAATCCCGATTGGCCTCAGAAAACCTACGATCAAAGTTGCCATGCCCTGCCCCCCGGCCCGTACGAGTATGAGCTCGCTATCGAACCCAACATCCTTATCCACATAAAATCGAAAAATGGGCCTAGTCTTACACTTAGGCCGGCCATTGACCTTCGAGAGTTCCCCAGCTATCTCCTTCGTGGCTCCAATTCCGGTTTCTCGGCCGAGGATGTTACCTTTCTCGAGCTTTTGCGTCTCTGTTCAAACCACAGACAGTGGGATAATACCGAATATCCACTGGGATTGACGCTGACCAAAGTGGACCGTATGGCCTTGCACCAGGGAGTGAGAAACGCGATTCGTTCTCAGAACTTAGACGCCCTCACCTCATTACTCAAGATCGATCAATTTTTGTACGACTGCCAGGTACGCGACCGGAGCGAGGAAAATATTCCTCCTTACACAATCCCATCTGATCACTTCGTGACCGTGACCTGCGTGGGTCGCAATGATCCACGTCTCAATTTGGCGTTCTTCGAAACCCTCGTGCGTGCCAGTGCGGAATCTATTCCCACCAATTCCCTCGAAGTCACACAGTGGACGGTCGATAATATCCAGCTTGCCGAACGGAATAATACACAGTACCGTGAGACCAATGGCAATTTCGCCCGATGGTTATCGAACTTCATTCTGCGATTGCCCGTGTTTATTGAGAGAGAGGCTGGGTTTTCCCAAACTCTCTTCCGACATGGGAGACTTGATCTCTCAAAATACGAGGGCCGCCGGTATTTTGAGGAGGTGCTTCAACCTCGGAATGAACAAATGCTGGACTGGATGGCTGAGAGCTCGTTTCATCCGGAAGAATTCTGGCTGAAACCGAGCGCCAAAGTCTCCAAGCCAGATGTATAATACTAATGTACAATATCGAAACGCAAAACATAGGCCATAGACAATAGACCATAGACCATAGATCATAGATAGAATCTGACAATATACATACGAATACTAACACCTTTTGCTTGGTCATGATGTTTTAGATGCAGGGCAGATCTCTTTCCCCTGTGCTCATGCGTTATCTGCGTCCGCCCTGAGCTGCCGCAGAAGCCGCGCATTCCCGCAGGATCCGTGCAGACCAACAATCAATGATCTCTGGAAATGCCAGTGGTCACTTCTACAAGTCCCTGACAACTTTCACGTCATCTTTCGACTCCCCAATTCTGCCCTGCAATCAACCATGGACCGACTCCCCTTCGCAGTCGTGGCCTTCACGAATTTGCTTAGCGTGGGAACAGTCTACGCCTTGTCTACCATCCAAGCAGAAATACCACGACTGTTTGGAGTTTCGAATCAATGGAGCCTTTCGCCATTTGCGGTCGCCTGTGCAGGATTATCCCTTGGTGTTCTGATGAGCACATCTATGATCAGGGACAGTGGTGCCTTGAATGTTGCGACAAGAGGGACAATTATCTGGGGAGTCTCTGTCATGGCTGCTGGATACTCCCTGACCTCCTTGAATCTCGCAGTTCTTCTCTTTTCATTCTTTATCGGTGGCATTGGTGTTGGGCTGACATACCTTGCCGTATCTATCCTTCTCAACCAAAGATTCCCCGACAACAGGCTGGCTCGGAGCGCCCTCGGTCCTCTTGGTTTCTCAACTGGGGTAGCGGCTTGTTTGACTCTGGCTTCTCTTGCTTCGTTCAGTAAGATTGATGAAACACGACTTGGTCAGATAACCTCTATTGGTGGCATAACATTCACGGCTGCTTCAATAACCACTTGCTACATGTTGCCAGTGAGCACTGAGAAAGACTCTCTCCCTACTCGAAATACCGATACCAATGCTATCTCTTCAGAGAGATTCTTCTCGATCTTACTCTTTTTCAATGCCTTGCCCGGAATGACGGTCTTCGCCGCTCTACTACCAATTGCATCCAGGTACGGGCAAAACTCAAGCTGTGACTGGATGCAAATCTTGACTTGGAGTATGATCGCACTCGCTAGTGGTGGCATTCTGGCACCATTTCTAAGCGCAAGACTTGGCGCACGGAATACCTTGACATCTCTATTCTGCTTACGAGGCATGCTTATTCTGATGCTCTCTCAATCTCGCGAGCCTCTCCTGGCAATAATCACCTTCTGTATTATTTTGTTCGGTCATGGAGCCGGTTTCAGTATTCTTCCAGGCTTGCTCATGGCCCGCTGTACTCAAATTACCCAATTTTCTTATTGCTATGGTCGGATTCTGGTAGCCTGGGGGCTAGCTGGAGTTGTTGGGTGTATTCTTGATGCGGCATTGGTTTCTGTGACTGGAGATGCTACTACTGTGAACCTTGTGCTTGGCTTGATCACATTTTCTTTTGGCGTGGTGCTATACTTTGTTCCACGTGTGGGTGATAGTGCTCTTGTTTAGCCAGTTCCTATACCATCTACTACTGGTACTTCTATTTAATGCATTTTACCTCGTCAAATTACTGAAGTAATTTTTGGGACGCTGAAACATCGGTGTATTGGGTCCATTGCGGCTATTGAGTCAAGTGTATATGAATTGATCCACTTTATCCAACTTTCAATTATTTGCTAGACTTCAAGCTTCTGTACTACGAATTACTACTAGTACTATCACCAAGTCACGCACTGTTTATGTATTCTCTTGTGTTTTTTTTTTGGAAATTCAAAAAGCACAAGCTCGCCAACGCCGGGATTTGCGGGTATTGCGGACCTAAGGTTGAAACAGAATTTTCGACGGCTCAAGATTCCGGATCGGGGCTTGGAAACAGCCAATAGATCAATTTAGTGTGAGTGGATTCTGGGTTGCGCCTTCTTATGACATATGGGTCTGGCATTCTTATTCTAGACTTCACGGAGATCTACAAGTGGATTTTGTCGGATTTAATTGAATTACGCCTCAAAATCTCGACTGGGTTATACTTGTGAGATATGGAATCGTACCTCTCTGTTCGTGGCGAAGCCTTTGCGAGAAAGAAGCCGACGTTCCTTGGTGTTCTAGAAAATGCCTGGGACCCGCTTCTCAACCCTGAGGGGATTGTGAATCTTGGACTAGCAGAGAACGTGAGCAATGGCGATTCCACTAATAGAATGATTCTCATTAACGCATTTTGCAGACTCTGATGCACACCGAGATGAAAGAATTCATGAATTCGGAGGTACGAATTGTCAATTGTTCCCTTCTATCCAGCATATTACTGATCAAAGCATCTAGATACAAGTTGATTCTCATTCATTGACCTATGGTGACGGCTTTTCCGGGAGTCGAAAATTGAAAGAGGCTATATGCCATTTCTTGAATAAGAATTTCTCGCCTCACACGGCCCTTTTACCATCACATATCACCGTTACTTCTGGTGTGAGTAATGCACTCGAGTGCTCTGCTTGGGCTCTTTTCGACCAAGGAGAACACCTCCTGGTGGGGCGGCCTTATTTCAACGCCTTTCGGTCAACCTTCAGTGATCGGGCAGGGTAAGATTGTCCCCGTGAATTTATCTTCATATGAAACTTATCTTCTTCACACATAGTGTTGGACTGTTAGAAGTCGAGTTCGACAAGATCGACCCATTTGGCCTCGCTGCAATCGAGAAACATGAAGAAGCACTGTTGGCAGCGAGAGAGAGAGGTGTCAGGGTGAAAGCTCTTCTGCTGTGCTCGCCCCACAATCCTCTGGGTTTGTTATTACACCCAACACCACCGGCCATGGCCTCTTGATTAATGAATAATAGGGAGATGCTATCCCGAACATGTCTTGCGAGAATATATGAAATTCTGCGAGAGACACAAGCTCCATCTCATCAGCGATGAGATATATGCTCTCTCTGTTTGGGAGAGCCCCGATCTCCCAGACCCAGTGCCATTCAAATCGGTGCTATCAATTAATGCAGCTCAAATCATGGATCCAGGCAAAATTCATGTTGTATGGGGTCTGAGTAAGGTGAGGTGTTTCTGCGACTCGGTCAATGATACAATATGATATTGACACAATATGGACAGGACTTTGGGGCGACTGGGCTGCGTATTGGATGTCTGATCAGTCAGTCGAATCAGCGAATTTTGGAAGCAACGGAAGGGATATCGTAAGTAAAATTCTTGTTTTTTTTTTTTTAATTGCTACTAATAGCTGACTTTCTGTTATCAGTCTGCTGAACTTCCCTTCGAGCTTGGCGGACAGCCTTGCCGCACGTCTGTTGATGAACGACAAATTCACGTCGTATTACCTAAACACAAACCGTCAACGTCTCACAGAAAGCTATGACTTTGTTACGAAATTTTTGAAATATCATGGAATTCCATATCGTCAATCCAATGCTGCTTTCTTCCTTTGGATTCGACTCGGAGCAGCTACAGCTGATACAACAGCCACTGATGATGAGATCTTGGCCAAACTTCAGAACAAAAGAGTCTACATAGCTGCAGGATATGCATACGCAAGCGAAGAAAGTGGTTGGTTCCGCATGGTCTTTGCGCATCCGAGGGAATTTCTTGAAGAAGGTCTCAAGCGCATGCTCCAAGCCTTGGCTTCATAGATCGATGCTGTGATTAGTTAGTAGGCAGAGTAGGTACAATATGATAGAGCTGCGAAATACCACCACAAGACTGAATGAATACTACAGTCTATACTGAGAATTCATATCACTAAATACAACCAGAATACCAACTGCATACTATCTTACTCTGCTGATAGCCCCGAAGGTACTCGCTACATTCTAAGATGAAGCTTGATTTTGAGGATCACTTCTTGGATCAGACTTGTCAGAATAACTTGAATAAGAAAATAAATACAGATCTCTTAATTTGGGCATAAATAGGCCCAGTTTGATTCAAGACTATCTTACTCTCCATAGATGTGTATGTGTATGTGTATACTACTACTATACTTCTAGTATTACTGTTTGCCGCCAAGAGCACGGACATGTGACGTGTGACATCAGTCCCCGCGTTGTTTCTCCATCCTCCACCTCCACTCACCACTGCCACTGCCACCATGGTATACACCTTCACACTTCCCACAACCTCGCCGCTGTCCTTCCAGACATTCATTTCCTCCTCCACACACCCATCTCTCCCTCAATCCGCGTCAACCGCCCGTCATGCCCTTCGTCTCACCTTGAAAGCGCATAAGCGCCTCCCCCACGGCCCCCGCCAGGATGCCCACCTCCAAACTGTCCTATCCGCCCTCAACGAATATATCCCTTACCTCTTTGCCATCTCACATGGTCTGAGAGGTCAATCGATTCAAACTGATACCCACGCAGAGGAAATTGACATCACGGTGCGCGCCGACATCGAGTCCGAGTGGAAACCTACCTTGTCGGCTAGTAGTGCAATCAACATCAGGCCAAATGCGACTACCTCAGGGGCTGTCCCTGGCCGTACCCGTAACGGACGCATCTCTGGAAGAGGAATCGACTTTGAGATCGCGTTCACGCTCACGACTTTGGGTTACGTGCTGAGTCGACTCGCGCGGGCCGGTGTCGTCGAATCTCTCTACGCGTCTACCACGCCGACCCCCGAGCAGCGCACTGCGGCAGTCCAAACCGCAACTAAAAACTTGCTTCTCGCGAGCTCTGTCCACGGTCTCCTTGCGACATCCCCGCTTTTTACCGCGGCGACAGCGTCCGCGATTCCGGATCTCAACGCATCTACCCAGTCCGCGCTTTCCTCGCTGGCATTGGCCGAGGCTACTCTACTGGCAGTGCTGAAGGATGATGCGCATGTCGCGGCGTGTATTCAGGCCCGCAATCCGAATGATCGGGAATGGATGGTTCGCGCCCCAGAGATTCCCAAAGTGCGCGCTTTACTTTTCGCTCGACTCTGCGTTCGCGCGGCAGAGTATGCAGAACAAGCAGCGGCGGGGCTGGGGGCTGTGGGTCCTGGAGCTGGGAAGTCAGCTCAGGTGGAAGAAGATGTGACTCGTTATGCTGGGGCGTTGGGTCGTGTGGCTCGTGCGCGGGCTTGTCGATTCTTTGGCGTGGATGCTGAGCTCGCTGGGAAGACCGGCGAAGGTATTGCTTGGCTAAAGGCTGCAAGATCAGCTCTTGGATTACGTGGCCAGGGTCCTTCTCCCGAGGCAGATGGAGCTTGTAACGCCCCTAGCAAAGGTGGATTCTCCAGGTTAAAACGGGAATGGGCGGAGCGGCGGGAAGAACGGAAGATTGGCAAGGATGCTGGTGGTTCTCGCAGTGCTAAGGGCTCCTTGGATCCTGGAGATGATGCTGGCCGCGGCGAAGAAGGAAATGTGATTGACATGCTCGACACAAAGTGGACGAAAATGAATGATACCGTGAGTCGTACTCGTCCAACTCTTCGATTGCTCGGTTATTAACACTGTGCACAGATCAATACCCAAATAATTCCCCCGTCCGCTCCTTTATTGGCCAATCTACCGTCAGGACGTGACATCCACACTCCGCCTGCGCCCTATACTCCGCCATCCATAGACACAGATCAACTCTTGCGCATGCGAGCTCCACCGGATGAACATCAAGACTTGCATTTCGGCAGCGATGACGACAGTGAGGAGGAAGCGTCGCCCACACCAGGCCCCCCGGGTGGATTTCCGGATCGGGCTCAGACAGCCTCTAATGTATATTATTGAGGATTCAAATCGCAGTGAATCGAAAGTAATGTATCTATTTGGCTTAACACTTTGGTCTGAAGCTGCCAGGGCTGGCCCGGTTTGAGCAATCTCGATATCGTTTGACTTGTCTACTCAAATGACACCACCAAACGTTCAACGGGACGCCTCTCTCATTGCTTAGCTTGGGGACCAAACCATCAGGCCGGACAAGTTGAAGAATTCTTTTAAGTCTCCAAGAAGATCTCTGAGGTCCGAGGTCCGATGCCAAAATCACGAGAAAATACTTCCAGTGAGGAGGGGGGGGGAGAGTTATACCGAGTCCTAGTTTCTGAGCTAGGAATATTGTTCAGACGGTATGCTCTCCTTGTCCTTTACATTACCCTGTTTCAGAAGAGTCTACCTGGGAAACTCTCCTTCTTCCCTGTTCTATACCTCCGTGTTCTGCAAAATATTTCACTGTGAGATTAGACTAAGGGCCTGGAACTTGATAGAATTTACCTCATGAATACCAGTGGAGTTTGATTGATCGTTAAAAGCTGCCCTGGGCCATATTTTCAGGACTACCTAAAGTCCCCGAAGGCTGGTAGATACATTTAACGTGACTCAGTTTGATATCCCATTTTCTTCCCGTCGGCCAATAGACAGGCAACCGGATCATTTTACAGTCGATAGATCTCATCGTTAACGCCCGCGATGATTACTTGCCAGAGAATATCATCCGGGTCGAACGAAAGAATCATATTGGCCGGGGGTGGCAAGCGGAAGCCCCTTCGACCGCGGCATCTTCGACGACATCTTCGACGGCAGCATGTTGAATGGTAGCATTTCCCACGACAGTATCGTCGTCAATGTCGTGCTCAAGTAACTCCTTCTGGGCTTTCTCTCTTTCAAACTTCACGCCGATATGTCTATCGTCCGAGCCCGAGTCCGAATCCGAGTCTTCTTTGGTTTTGTCGTTTTTACCCTTCTTCATAAGCCATGAAACCGGGCATAGGTAAGGGCAGGTATAACAATAGCCGGTAAGACGTTCACCGATTCGACCCAGATCGTCAGGGTCGATTGGTCTGGTGTATAGACAGTTAGCGCAGTTGGGACAAACTGAGGAAGTCAGCATCTATATTTGCAGCTTGAGAGGATCAACAGGAACGAACATGCTAGACCCTTTGGAATCCGCACTACCTGAGCCATCTCGAGGTAGGGTATCTCTTTTGCAGTGGACTAGGGAAAGAGAAGGAGAATGGGAAGAGGAAGAGGAAAGAGGAAAGAGGAAGAGGTCAATGAGGTCGTTCGAACGAACTCGAAGCCAACGGAGGAAGGTACTAGTGAGAAGGGAAGGTGCGACTGACTCTCCCTGACTTCCTAATTGAGTTGAGTATAAAAAGTATACATTCAAGTTGGAGTACAGTATAGAAGAACAACCATTCTATTTAGATTTATCTTGATATTCATATTCATATTCTTCCACGGCCTGTTCAGTTGGTGTACTGCTTCTGCAGAGCCTTCGCGATTGTCTGCAATTGAATATTGCTAGTACCCTCATAGATCGCTCCGATCTTGCTGTCACGGAACATCTTCTCCGCAGTGCCTTCGCGCACGAAACCCATGCCGCCCATCCACTCGACAGCTGATCCGGACACGCGACCGGCAACCTGTGAAGCGTACAGCTTGGCCATGGCGGCATCCTGCACAAAGTCCTGACCGGCCTCCTTCTTACGGGCAGCGTTGTAAACCAAGGCTCGCGCGGCCGCAATCTCGGTGTACGCCTGTGCAATCTGGTGCTGCATACCTTGGAATTCGCCAATCAGTTGGCCGAATTGCTTGCGGTCGTTCCAGACGTATCTGAGAGGAAATCAATGGTTAGATGTGAAACAAGTAAGGTAGAACTATTCATCTGCTCAAGGAGAAAGAGGGGCTGGCTTACCGAGCAGCTTGCTCCCATGCGCCAAGCGCCAGGCCGGTCATTTGGGCGGCAATACCGATACGTCCTCGTTAAGGATATTGATGGCAATCTTGTAACCTTGGCCCTCCTGACCGAGAAGGTTGGCCTTGGGGATGAGGACATCGTCAAAGTTGAGCACACAGGTGCTGCTGGCGCGGATACCGAGCTTCTTCTCCTTCTTTGCGATAGAGAAACCGGGGGTGTCCTTCTCGACGATGAAAGCGGTGATACCCTTGTAGCCGGCGCTGGGGTTCAGGTTGGCGAAGACGATAAAGAAACCAGACTCCATAGCGTTGGTGATCCACATCTTGGAGCCGTTGATCTTATATCCGTCGGCGGTCTTTTCGGCCTTGGTTTGTAGGGCAAAGGCATCAGATCCCGAGGCGGGTTCGGAGAGACAGAATGAGCCGACAGTGCCGGAGCTGAGCTTGGGGAGCCAGGTGCGTTGAGCCTGGGCATCACCATACTTCATGACGACAGTGTTGACGAGGGTGTTGTGGACATCGACCATAACACTGACGCTGGGGTCGATGCGGGCGAGCTCCTCAATGGCGACAATGGCGGAGGTGAAGTTCATACCGGCACCGCCGTATTCCTCGGGGATCTCGATACCCATCAGGCCCTGCTCAAAGAGTTGTTCCACCACGGCAGGGTCCATGGTCTCAGCCTCGTCCATGTCGCGGACCTTGGGGCCAATCTGTTCTGTGGCAAACTTCTGGACAGCGTCGGCCATCATGGACTCGGTGTCGGAGAGGAGGGTGATGGGGGTGGGGGTGAGGCTGGAGAGGTCAACCTCTCGCCTGCGAGAGGTGGTCGAGAATGCATAAGAGCTGGAAATTGACCAAAAAGAATGCAATCAGTAGAAGTTCATTGAAAGGTAATGTAATTCAAGTTGTGATTTCAGAGTGTGATAGATAGATACCTCGGTAAGGCGGCGCGGGCGACGTGGGCAGGTGTGACCAGGCGGGTAGGAAGGGGACGTGACAAAGGGCGCAAAGCGCGGGCGATGGATGCCATGACGGGTGTGAGAGGAGGGGAATGGAAGTAAAAAAAAATTCAAGGGTTAAAAGAACTTCAAGGAAAGGGAGTATGGAGTGCGGAGTGTAGGTACAGTTAAATGTTAAATCACAAGGAAGAAGCTGGGGATGTTGGGGGGAACCTCGGCTATCGGCGGGCAGAGGCGGTGTACTACTAGTCAAGGTATTGTATATGTCGCTGGAGATAGAGTACTAGTAGTACTAGTACTCGGATACGGGGTAGAGTATGAGATACTTAAGTAATAACCGGTGGATGTAACAACTTGAATAGAGTCGTTGAATATACAGTCCTTGAAGTTCTATCGTTGTTGCCTCTAGCCCATGCCGAGGTATTGTCGGACTCTTACATATTTCCTTATCTACCACTAGTAGTAGATAAGGAATAACTACCGTAAGGTATAGTTAGTTACCTGACGGCCAAGTTCGAGTTACTAACTGTAAGAACTTGAGCAATGCATTCATGTACTACTATACCAGTAATGGACAAAGGTAAGGAAAAAGAGGGAACTCTCATCGCAACGCACATGAAGGGGCCTGGGCATGTCAGGTGACCATTCAACACTGAGTGCGAATATCAGATAACACCTTTTAGGTATGGACTCCACAAAAATTAACCTCATAAAATCACAAAAAACTCGACTCTGGAGGGGATCGAACCCTCGATCTCGGGATTAGGAGTCCCGCGCCTTACCACTTGGCCACAAAGCCTGCATAGACACAATTTTGATCGATCTAGGATCTACTGGATTACCAAAGTATTCCAGTTTTAGGGTTCGTGTGACAAACTGAACTGATATGCCAGATCACATCACAAGCAAGTGATCTTTTTCTTTCTTTTTGGCCAGGTTTAGTATGTACTCTGTATGTTTAATTAGTTTGATTATTTTAAATAAATGAACTCTTCACACGCGAAATCCTTACTTAATAATGAAGGGTGTGACTTGAGTAGATGAAGTAGTTAATATTCCAAGGTCTCTACTCTACCACCACCACCACTATTGCACTCGGATCAAATTTTTGATCCCTTCTCCTTTCCTGGTCATCTCCCATGCCTCAGGTGCCTGTTCAAAAGGAACGATTCTACTAATCAATGATTTGACCTCCATGCGGCCAGAGCTGAGCAACCCGAGGGCCACTTCATAATCCCCCGGTCCATACCGCCACCCCGTCTTCAGGACAGTTTCCTTCTCACACATATTCAAGATGGGTACTTTGAGATCCGGTTTTCCAAGCCCGATTTGAACCACCACTCCTCCAGGCCCCGAGGCATAAATCCCCGCCTGGACCGAGGACTCCACTCCTGTACACTCGAGAACCACATCCACCCCTTCTCCCAAATCGAGTTCGTTCTTCATTCGCTCTGCTTCTTTCTCTGGCTGCGACTTGATGTCGGGCAGGAATGTCCGACATCCCACGAAGTCTCTGGCAAATTCCAGCTTCATCGGGTTGATGTCGGATATGAAGACCTCCTTTGCCCCAAAGGCTTTGGCCGTCGCTGCGGCCAACAGACCAATTGTTCCTGAACCCTGAACCAGGACCGTCTGCCCTGGAGTGAGATCAGCTAGACGAGCCCCGTGAACTGCCACGCTCAATGGCTCAATGAGCACACCCTCCTCGAGAGATACCGCCTCGGGAATCCGATACACAAAATCCTCGGGCGTGCGGAAGAGACGTGTCAAAGTGCCGTGGTTACCTGGCGGGGCGGCGGCAAACTGCATTTTCGGACAAAGATTATACTTCCCTATCTTACATTGTTTACATCGCCGACAGGAGAAACCGGGCTCAATTGCGACGCGGTCTCCAGGGACAACTTTCGTCACTGCTGTCCCGACAGAGTGTACCACCCCCGATGCCTCGTGGCCCATGACCAGCGGTTCTTCCTCGGAGACCATCCGGATCAGACCACCGTGAGCCCAAAAATGAGCCTGTCTGGTGTTAGAAAAAGCGATATTTGGGCGGTTCTCGATTGGATTGACCAAAAGAATCTGGAGCCCACTTACATCGCTTCCACAAACACCCACATACGCGATGCGGACTAGAACATCATGCGGATCCTTGAGGGTTGGGACCTCGCGATTCTCAAATCGAGCCTTTCCAGGGCCATACAATAGGCATGACAGATTATCCTGTATATCTGGTCAGCCATGCTATTATTGCTTGTACGAGATGGTAAGATGGACAGACAGTTTCGGTCATTTTGCAGCATCCGGTGTTGAATTTACAAATTGATATGATATAATCGAACTTCAAGTTGCATCCAAGTTCTCAATATTGAAAAACTCAGTCCTCCTATATATGAGTCAATGGCCCATTTCAAGCTTTTGCGTATGTGACTTCTGTTTAGATCTGTCGGCGTGGTGTCCCCCGGATGGATCTCGGATACTCCCCTCAGCTGTCCTCTACAATTTCTATGTAACCACGATATACATCACTACCACTATGATTGATCATTATTTCTGTTACCCAGGTAGGTATAAGTACAAGTATCCCCCGCTCTTCGATTGGCCCCGCAATATTGACGATCCAGACTCGCCCCGGCCTTTCGGCGCACTGTCGACCGAAGGAGCACAGAACAGCGTGGCAGAACGGTGTTTTCAAAGTACTAGTACTGGTAGATTAGATCCTCTGTATTTGCAAATAGTACCTAGGTAGGTGTATCTCCAACTTGAGTCTGATTTACAAGCTCAATCGTTGAACTACTTCTAAGTAATTAAGCATGGAGTGTATACTGACCGGCTGACTAATACTTCACCTCTCCCCTTCTTCCCTTCCGATGAACTTAACTTTCCCCAAATTCAACTCCTTCATTCGTTACATCGGTGGTTGATGCATCATGTGCAAGGCATGGGCTGCTAGGATCTCCACCTGGATGACTCAAGGGGCTCGGGCCAAATCCTTACCTCCATCGCGATGGGGTTGTCTGCCAGCATCAACATGGTCAAGGCCCTTAGCGACATGTAGTACATACACTCCAATGCCGTCATTATCGACCCCACGAATTCATGATATGCCCACATCCACGTCCACCAAGAAGCGTCTTCATATAATGCCATCCAATGAAATCAAAAAAGATGACACTTTCAATCAGGAAGTCTTCAACCAATCCCTCGCTCTATCTCGCAGTCGTCTGAATGAATCCACCGAGATCCAATGCATGCTCTTCCGCTTGGGAGACTCACTTCAACCTTCTCACCAAAGTTTGACCAAGGCCCAAATAGCCAAGGACTATGATCTCGATGGGCGAGATTTGCGGAACATTGATCTTGTCTCCGCGGGCTTTCCCCACCTCCTAGTCCGCCCGAATACGATCTTCCTCAGCTTTTTCAGTCTACGCCTTCTGATCAAATCGGATCAAATTCTACTTGTCCTCCTGGAACCAGAGGACAACGAGGTTCGCATCCAAGATGTTCTCTTGAATGATTTACGGAACAGGTTACAGGCCAGCCCTGAATTCGGGCTTGGCCTCTCCAGCAAGCTGCCATTCGAGCATCGGGTCCTCGATACAGCACTTGCGGCTGTCATCGCCACGCTAGAGGCGGAAAATGTTTTAATTCGACGCGATGCCGAGCAGAGTCTGTCTGCTTTTCAGCAGGAAGATTCCGTTCATTCCGCTCTTCGAAGGCTTCGACACCACGGGAAGAGACTGGTCAATACAGAGTCACGTGCTCGTCAAGTGCGCTCGGCTTTACAAGAGGTTCTCGGTAACGATGAGGACATGGCGATGATGTATTTATCCGATCGCAAAGCCGGTAACGCGCATCCATCGGCCGACCACCAAGAGGTGGAATATCTGCTGGAGGCCTATTACAAAAATGCGGATGCAATTGCGGAATCTGCCAACGCCTTGATTGGCGACGTGAATCGGACGGTAGATACGATCCAGTCTATTCTCGATATTCGGCGGAATGAAATCATGATATTCGAGGCCCAGCTGGAGATTTGGATGTTAGGATTTGCCGTGTCTACCTTTGTGGCTGGCCTCTTTGGAATGAACGTGATCAACTCCTTCGAGGAGAGCGTCCCGGCCTTTGGGGTATTGGTATCGGGATGCATTCTGGGGACGATATTGATCGGTCGGTATGGAATTAGGAAGCTGAAGAAGTTCCGTAGACCACAGCTTTAATCCCGAGAAATGCGAGGATTGTCAGTCTGAATTTTCTCTATGCTCGCACCCGTGGAAAATCGAAGGAATCGCCAACGCTATCTATACATCAATCTTCACTCAGCTTCTGGACCCTGTCAAACATCGCGAAACCCAATCAGGAAGTCCCGCTGTTTACGACCAATAGAAGTCCAGTGGAGACGTGATGAGGGGAAATGGGGGCCATCGGTGGATTTCGCGTGGACCCCCCGATGTCACGGGAAACCCTGGCGCGTTATTTTTGGGGCCGGGAAGAGAAATGTCCCTTTTCAATCTCGATCGCAGTTGGCATCGACTATGACCCTGTTCCTGGTGCTGTTCGCATTCGTCGTCGGCACAATCGCGCGATCCCAGACAGCGGGCGGCCTGAGCAACATCAAGAACGTGGTGGTTTTGGTTCAGGAGAATCTGTCATTCGACCATTTCTTTGGTGGGCTCACATACGATGCTCAGATTGATGGCGTCTTGAAACGCCCATTCTGCAACCCGGCCAATGTGTCGCAGTTGCGCTCGGAAAAAATCTGCGCCCAAAACACAGCGCAGAACATCGCCTCCGAAGATCCTAACCATAGCATCGCTGGTGGTAATATGCAGATTTTTGGAACATACCACCCATTAATCGAGTCACAACCCTGGATGGATGGGTTCATCACCGAACAACGAGCCTCCTATGAGACAGATGATCTGACACGCGCATCCGAGGTCATCAACTACTTCACCCCCGAGCACATCCCCGTCTTCAACGCGATCGCAGAAAACTACGTACTCTTCGACCGATGGTTCGCCGCCGTCCCGGGACCCACGAATCCAAACCGCGCCTACTTGACCTCTGGAACCTCATATGGTCATGGAATGAATGATGATGCTTTTAATCGATCCGGCCTCCCACAAACTTCTATCTTCGAGCAACTTTCGGACAAGGGAATCACATGGGCCAACTACGAGAACTCGACCAAATCAGACCCGTCCTTCCTACCAGATGCCCTATTCTACCAGTGGACGGCCAAGTCGAACACCGCCCGGTCCAATATACGCCCTATCGAACAATTCTATAAAGATGCCGAAGCTGGAACTCTTCCTGCGTTTACTTGGATCAACCCGGAGTGTTGCAATTACATGTCAATGCACCCCCCGTCTCCAATAAACATGGGCGAGAGCTTTGTGAAGGGTATATATGAAGCTATACGGGGTTCTCCGCAGTGGAATGACACGCTCTTCATTTTGACATTTGACGAACATGGAGGTTTTGCCGACCATGTAACTCCTCCCTCAGACATACCGCCAGGTGACAGTCTGACATATACCGAGACGGCCCCCGATGGAAGCCCATACGTGTTTCACTTTGATCGCCTAGGCATCCGCGTCCCAACCATGCTCATTTCCCCCTGGGTCGGCAAGGGATTAGTTCAAAATAAGCCCGCAGATGGCCTGGCCGAATTCACCCATACTTCAATTTTGAAATTTCTATCCGAACTCTGGGGGCTTGAGAGCCTCACCCCTCGCGTGGAATGGTCGCCATCGTTCGGTAATCTGATCACCTCCGAATTTCGTGATGATACCCCGGAAAGGCTTCCAGCCCCGGCGGACTTTTAAAGATACCCCGTTTAAATTAGAAGGAGAATGGTCCTTCGACAAATGATTATCAAATTTTCTAATCTCTGTTTCCAAATCACTGGGAGAGATGCGCCAGCTGTAGATTTAGAATCGTGCTAGTCAAAACCAATCCTCGTGCCTTGTGCATGCTGGTCTTCCAAGGCATCGCTAGTAGGAGATCAAATTTCAATACTACCTGTGCATTTTGATTTACAGATCACGCTTTGCAGGGGAGGACCTCGGGAGTCGGTGATCAAATATGCACTAGCATGGAGACAGCCACATGGGATGGACCGGAGATATACAGGGCCCAACCGCGGAAGCTGGATGAAAGATAGGCAAGAGGAAGACTCGGAGCTCAAAAGAACCCTTTTTACTCCGAACGATCTAAGGTCCACCAAAGCCGGCATGTTGCGAAATTGTCTAATAATCCTGATCAAGGGAGCTGATGCTAGCACTAGTAGTCATGATATTCAACGCTCGGGACATTTTCGGGTCGTATTCAATGGACACGGGTGGGAGCATGATAGAGGAATGGTAGTACTCCATTTTTCCAACAAAAATTATACTGCTTAGTATGTGCACCAGCAGGGAAGTCCAGGCTTGAAGTGAGAATTGAAGGCGAAGTATCCACATACTACCAAGGTAATTTGATCTAGCGCACTTCCAAGCTTTGATAATGGATTGGCATTCACAACAAGGTGAATATCAAGAAGTACCTCAGTGAATAGATGTCCGGATTATTTCACCAATTGGTTATTATCTCAAAATTAGTACTTTCTGTGATCTGTGTGACAAATATTAGTCCCACCACTTTGTACCAACATCTTGGACCATTGCGTGGAGCAGAAAAGATAAATCTGTTTATTGCTACTAATTAACTACATGGGTATTTGATGAAGATTAGTATAATAGAGCTCCCGTCGAGAGCAACGTATTGCCGTCCCACGATGTTATGTTGTTCAGCATTCCAAATCCCGCCCTCACATTCCTACCAAACGAAAAATGTCGAAAATGGAATGGAATAACACGCAACCCCCCCAGGCTAATGTCACCTTTTGAGCGAGGGGCAATGAAGAGTCTTTTGTCAGACCTTCAGTTGCTCCTCAAAGGCTCCGGATCGAAGCATGTAGATTCGGCATAAGAGCATGAGAATAGTATACTGTTTTGCTGAAGTATTCTTGGCCTACTTCCATGGATCATATCTCCCAGTGCTTGAATTTTATTCACGAAGGCTCAAGGTATTTCTTCAAAGTTTCGTCATCCTAAATACTTGTTTAGGCCACTTCTCCTCACGCCGATCACATTCTAACATTAGTCTGTAGTTTACCCAAATAACGTTGCATTCATGATTTAACACTTCAATTCTCTTCCAACCAGATGTCTATCTCAAGATGGCCCTGAAAGACGAATATGACAGCGGCGAAGCAGAACTAAAATTGACAGCCTCTCAAGATTCTCCAATCCACTGCGGCATTGATCAAAATCACCCATGGGAGGATGAACTACCTCCAGTTGATGGAGGAAGACATGCATGGCTTTTTCTATTAGCCAGCGCAATGCTTGAAGCACTTGTGTGGGGTAGGTACCGATCATAATCATGTTATAGTATGGAGCTGACGGTCTTCTAGGATATGCCTTTTCATTTGGGATCTTTGAGAAATTCTACAGTACACATGAACCATTCCAAGGTTCTAACAACATTGCCGCTATTGGGACATGCGCAATGGTGATTGTTCACAATTTCCCCTGCTTTCTATTACTAGAACCTAATCGTGAACATAGGGAATCGCATATCTTGTAGCACCTTTGCCTATAATAGGAATGATTCTAATTCCAAGAATTGCTCGCTGGGTGTCGACTATTGGCGTCATGATAATGTGTCTGTCGTTGGCAATGAGCTCATTTTCAACCAGTGTCACACACCTCATTTTATCTCAAGGAATTGGGTTTGGGGTTGGAGGGTCTCTGGCATATACACCCTCCATTCTATTCATGTCCGAATGGTTTGTCAAGCGAAAGGGTCTCGCATTTGGAGTCGTATGGGTAAGTTCCCAATAGTGCATATTGTGGACAAGTCACTTGGGTTGTGAGATACGTAATGAAGACTAATGTGACTCTCAATAGTCTGGCTCTGGACTATCTGGTGTGCTGTTTCCACTTATCATAGAATGGTTATTGAACAGATACGGTGTACCGACTACATTGAGAATATCATCAGTTGGATTGTTTCTCCTTTCAATTCCGTTCTTATACTTTCATCGGCCGCGCATTCCGGTTACACACTCTGCTGTTCAACACCGGCTCAACTTTCGCTTTCTTTACAGTAAAGTATTTATCATCTACCAAATCGGCAACACTGTTCAGGCACTGGGCTTCTTCTTACCCACGATTTATCTCCCGACATACGCCAGCAAGATGGGTGTCAATGAGCTCTTGTCTTCTCTCACGGTCATCCTTTTCAACATTACATCTGTATTCGGTTCCATCATGATTGGCTTCCTCTCTGACCGGTATCACGTCACTACATGCCTTCTCATCACCACTGCTGGGTCCGTCATCTCGGTATTTTTCATATGGGGATTTTCTAGCAGTTTGTGGTCCCTTTATCTGTTTTGCATTGTCTATGGATTACTGGCGGGAGGTTACTCGTCCACATGGTCAAGTATTGCGCATGAAGTACAGCATTCCAACCCGGCGACAGATGTTAGTGTGATCTTTCCCTTCATGGAAACTGGCCGTGGTATTGGGAATGTGGTTAGCGGGCCATTGAGCGAGGTACTATTAAAGGCAGACGGATTGCAGAGCCATGCATGGGGCACATATGGGAGTCAGTATGGGGCCATTGTGATTTGGACCGGTATAACCACCCTGATAGGAGGTATAGCTGTGGTGGCTCGTTGCTTGAAATTTGTTTAAATCAACAGTCACAGATTTGTGACGCACGGTTGGTCTGCGGTTGAATAACACCCTACTTTGCGTGAAAAAAAGAATGATGTGAATAGAGAAGAATCCCTAATGAGGATAATTCGGAATGAAAGATGCTATGAGAAAATGCAAGACAATATTTGAGATCATTCAAAAAGCGGGACATGACACATCAAAGACATTGATTGTAGCCTGATGCGACTACTATCATTTTGTGACCCAACCCCATACTCTCCAGTACCATGCCTTTGGCGGACCGGTCTCCTTCTCATATGGCAATCGGCCAGTATCGATATCAGCCTCGGCCGATTTAATGAATGACGACCTGGTGATAACTTTGTGGGAAACGTAGAGCACAACAAAGACGATGGGGCAGATATAGGCGAAGAAAAAGGATGTGACATCGAATGTGGGGATGAAGGCAGTGAATCCCTGAGTCAATGCGATGAGGATATTGAAAAATAGACCGTACCAAGCCAGGTATGGTTGGCACATGGCTTTGTAGGGAAGGGTATCGCGTGAGATGCCGCGCGCTGCTAGCGCCCGCATGAATGCGATGTGGCATGCATTGATAGAGGACCATGTCACGAAACCCGCCACGCTGGATAGATTGACGAGCCAGTTGAAGACCTGTGCAGCATTTTCCGAGACGTTCATGAAACCGAGAAGTCCGAATAGTGCGGTGACGAAAACACTGACATAGGGAACACCGGCTGCGTTCACACGACCGAAGATCTTAGGGGCAAATCCTTCATTTGCCAGACCGGTCAAGATACGGCTGCCACTGTAGACATTTGAATTGGCCGCTGACAAGACAACTGTGAGTAAAACTGCATTGATAAGACTTGGAAGGACTTTAACTCCGGCAAGATCGGCCGCAATAACCATTGGACTTGCTGAGGCATCCGTTTTGCCAGAAGCGAGGGAGCTATTGGTATACGGGACGAGAAGACCGATGAAAAAGATGGTCAGGACGAAGAACAACAGAATACGAAAGAAGGTCTTGCGAATCGCCGATGGGACGGTCTTCTGAGGATTCTCAGTTTCGCCAGCAGCAACACCAACTAGCTCAGTTCCTTGATAGGAGAAGCCTGCCTGGACGAGCACGGCCCAGAATCCGATAAACTTGCCCACGGACTCCGGTGTATCAATCTTATACGTAGCGAAAGCTCCAGGGTCCGACCAGGTGTGAAAGCCAAGATATCCTTGCTTGCCAACGCCGACATCAACACAGATCGCAAAGATCATGAAGCCAATAACAGTAGCAACCTTGATGGTAGAGAACCAGAATTCAATTTCACCATAGAAGCTCACTGGTAGAAAATTGACAGCCGTGATCAAGACCCAGAAGACACCGACAAAGATCGCGATATTCAAGCTCGGGTCCCAGTATTGTATGATCGTTCCACACGCGGTCAATTCAACTGCGAAGGTTGAGGCCCAGTTGAACCAGTAGATCCAACCCATGGAGAAACCGAGACTAGGGTCGATCAGCCTAGACGCATATGAGGTAAAGGCACCGGAGGTAGGGATATAAGTGGCCATCTCTCCGAGAGATGTCATGACCGAGAAGACAATAGTTCCGACGAAAATATAGGCAATCAAGGCACCGGCCGGGCCTGACTCGGCGATGGCGGTTCCGCTCGAGATAAAGAGACCTAGAGGCGAGGTCAGTTAGTTAGGCTGATATCGCATACAGCAGATCCGATCCGACTGCTCACCAGTTCCAATTGTACCGCCTGCAGGAATCAAATTGGTTAGTATAGATTCATTAGATCTGCAAGTGTATAGAGGACGAACCAATGGCGATCATCTGCAAGTGTCGACTCTTCAGCTTACGCTTCAGCTCACCAGGCGGCGACTGATTGTTGTTATTCTCCGCATCTGAAGGCTTGATATCCTGCGCGGCCTCTGTGTATTTGGGAGATTTTTCGCTGGGTCTCTTGTCCGAGACGGTCTCAGTGGCGACATCATCCGAGTCCGAGCCCATATCGAAGATCAACTGGTTTCACCAGTTAGAGATGGTCGGTGGGCAGCAGTTCAAGCTAGAAGCTCAAGGTCTAGGGTAAGTTGTCGATGTCGTTGACTTTTTTTTTCTGTCTTTTTTTTTGGGGGTGGAAGAAGCTTGCAGATTTCCGTTTTCACCGGTTCGGTGGGGCTCCGACAAGGCGAAAGGCCCACTGTCGCCGCGTGGAGACAATTTTCTTAGGTAAAAATGAACCAGAAAGGAAAGACAAGCCGGAATAATGTTAATTTGATCAGTCGAGAGATACAGATTTGTAGTACGGAGTACAGAGTACAGTAAATGAGAAGTGTTCCGAGTTGTAGGTATGGACTGAGCGAAGGGAGAGCCGTTTGCAGATGATCTCTTCAGTCCAACTTTAAATTTTAAATCTTCGCGTCTTTTTTCTGTGGGCCAGCAAATCCGAAGAGGTAGGCTGCAATTTTGCGCATTTGAATCTCTTCTGCTCCTTCAGTGATTCGATAACGTCGGAAATGTCGATATATATGCTCAAAGGGATAGTGGCGAGAATATCCATCGCCTCCGTGGATCTATCAGGGTCAATATTGAATGTACTCGTACTAGTACAACCTTGAAACAGCCTTGAAAATAAACTTGACGCACCTGGATTGCTCGGTCTGCCGCCTGGCAACAAAGCCGATTTGCCCAAAAGTTACACATCGCCACTCGATCGCTGAGTTGACGTTCAATCTCGACCCAAGGCCGTTGGCCAGTGGATCGACAATCGGCCACCACACGATCCATTTCCCAACTTGTTTTAAGGATAAGCAATCGTAGCATTTCTACTTGGGTCATCAACTCGACTACAGGGAACTGTATGGCCTGATTGTCGGCGAGCGTCTTCCCTTCGCCCCAAATTTTACGCGACCGCGCACGTTCAATACTGCGTTCTAGACAATATTTCGCAGCGCCACAGGAACTAGCAGCCTGGCGAATGCGATTTTCATGGACAAAGGTTTGTGCAAGTGCGAGTCCTTGATCGACGATGCCCAGCACCGCGGAGCTCGGGACCCACGCTCGGTCCAGTCCGACGGTGGCGTGGTCGGTCGGCATGTTAAGTGTCCACTCGTAGCTAGCTATGTGCACACCAGGAGTATCCCGAGGCACAAGGAATGCTGTGATGCCTCTGGCTGAGCCAGCTGCGCCCGATGTGCGCGCAAAGATCAAAAAGTGTGTACAGTGGTGAGCCCCTGTTTGCCATTTCTTCGCCCCGGTGATCTCGAACCCGCCGCGTGTTGCACGCGCTGAAGTCGACATGAAAGTCGCATCACTGCCGTGATCTGGCTCGGTCAGGCCAAATGTCATACGAAACTCTCCGCGCAGGCGAGCAGGAATAAGTAGGTGTCGTTGCTCTTCGCTACCGAAATGGTGAACCATCAACACGTCTGGGAAGTTTCCGATGATGCTGTGCTCGTTTTGTAGGTCATTGGCGAGACCGAGCCCGCCTCCATATATTGGATGTGAAGCAAGATGGAATCGAATTGCCGACATCCACACGTTGTTATTGGGGTGTTCATTTCCTCCATATTGTCGAGGTAGAGCAAAGCGATAGAAGCCAGCCTCGTCTGCCAGCTCGCGTGCCTGCTCTAGAGTGGTGTCAGTTATATCAAGTTTCCTCGTAGATAGATGAGCTTGAATGGTCGCGAAGGGAATCTCACTCAGTAATTGTTCCCATTCCGGACGTGGATTGCCTTGCTTGTCCCAGTCAGTGCGTGCATGCTCGCGGCGATGGTCAAAGAAACGATTATTATCATCTTTGTGTTGTAATGGGGAGATAGTTTGATCGATAAAAGTATCGATTGATTGTAGATATGTGCGCAAATCCTCTGGAAGATCGAAATTCATGATGGATTATGATGACTATATCGTTTTTTCATCTAGTTCAAGCCTGAGTTCAAACTGACGGTGAAGTGTTGTTTTATCGCGGCATCGACAGCTTCCCCGCATTCGGACCTCGGCATGGCGTAGCTCGGCTGGGGAATGAGCGTCTTGGTCGTTGTCCATGAGATTTTGTGTAATGTTTCTTTTTCGTCCTTATAGATTCTATAAATTGCATCTATCTCTCTCGTCGCGTAGGCTCCAACGTGTTTCTGCGCCCTAAACCACTCCCAAGCCCACCCCGGATCATTGCGTCTCCTTTCTTCCCCAGTACGACCTCAAGTGCCTGGAGCAAGGCATTGGAATCATATCGCATACCAACCACCACTTCCTCATCATCCTGGCTTGTCGTAATTTTGCGCCCATACAGACGAAGTGACTCGATCCCCATTTCCGACAATTTCTCTCGATCCACATGAGGCGTGCCGGGTCCATCCAGGTGCAGAATGTGAGTCACGTATGATGTATACGGAAGGGGCGTCTTCGGACGGACGGTTGCTGGCGATGCTGGTGAGTCGAATGACCTACAGTGCGCACTGTGATGAAGTCGCCCTCGGCTTTCCTCGCCTGCGCGCGTGATTGCCTCGACAAAATCTGACGCTGCGAATGGTTCGGAAGGAGGACCGGTCTCCCGGTCTAAAGATCCATTCAAAATAAGGATCTTGTGGCGAGCGGGGCTGGTCACTATACTCTTTCCAACTCCACGGAGGATGACGGCAGATAAAATAGATGTGTATAAAGAGCCAATGCTGTAGATAATAGCTTGTGCATCATTCAATGCTTCCAGCACACGGGGGTTAGCTGCCGGGCGGATTTCCTGGCCATAAGGATTAATGTACCAGATACGGCTGATGCGACTTGGTAAATCTTCATTGATATGCTTGCTGAAGATAATGTTTTTGTTACGCAGTGTTGCAAGAGATCCAGGCAGATGATCTTCTTCGTAGGATAGCGTATCAGACATATCGGAAATATCAGTGTCTTCTAAATCATCTCCATCGGCTAGAAGAAGACTCGGCCGTCGGACTCGAGAGGGCGACTGGAGGGCTGTTTCTTCACTGGGGTGGGAGATGCTGTTCTGGCCGACTATGACAGTGCCATTGACCAACGTGGCGGAGATGTGATGTGAAAAGTTCGAGTTGATGGCAGGGATTACGCGTACAATATCAGACTGCACGCCGCAAATACTGCCTAGCAGATAGATGGCGCTCTCAAAACTCCCGCTGAAAAGCCGTGCGCCCGTGAGAAAAAGGTTTCCAACGCTTGCGGACGTGAAATCAAAGGTCGATGAAGGGGGCCGGGCTCGTTTCAGAATCTCGAGGTTTAACATGTTGAAAAAAGAACGAATCAGTTCCTTTTTGGCCGGAGTGATGGAGAGCCACAACCTGGAGGTGCCATCTACGATCGAGAGCCACTCCTGAGACGCCGCGGTGCCTTCAGCAGGAAGACGATGATTAAATAGTAGCTTGATGGCCGTGCGCTCTGGATTATTGGATGAGTCCGGAATGAGACGAACCAGTCGACCTGATGTATGAGTTAATATAGATTTGTCATGGAGTAGGAAATTGGCAGGCTCGGGATTTGGGGATTTGAAGATGAAGACTCACTGCGAACATCACCAATTCCAGGGCCACCGAAGATTCGAATTAGTTCCGATGATGAGCCTCCATTATCACTAATAGGGATTATATAACTGAGTGGGCATTCCTTGCTTTCTCGTAGGGCACTGAATACATCGACAAGGTTGTTTGCGGCACTGCCCCCGGAGATAACCGCAATTCCGCGATTGGTCGATGCCATCCTAGGATAGAAAGAATTGGCGAGAACCAGCTGAAGCCTCTATATGAAGCAGAGGCAAGAAGCACAGTTTGACTGGAATTCAAGAGAATCAAGTGGTGGTTGTGTTCAAATTGTTCTAGATGTGGTGGAGTCCTTCGCAAGGCAACAAGGCAGGAACCAACGATAGTCACGGGGTGCTCACGTGATTCCGACGTGACTCCCCAATCCCGTGACTAGCACATGATTAATATACACGTGACTGTCCAACCTCCGACTCTCGCGAGACTTCGCGGTTTTACATGGTCCAATGACACTCCACAGCAGCCTCATTTTGTCCCCACCTCCCTCATTCTTCTGGGCCGATTTCGCCGATTTCCGGCGGAGGGTCATCCGCAAAGCATCTCCCCGTGCAGGTTGGGGTTTTTATATCGGGAGACGATCCTGATGGACCTAGAATATCGGAACTTGCTGGCACCGAATGGGCCACCTCTCTTCCCCAGCGACTTTCGGTCCCCTCGACTTCCCCGGCCTGCCCCGGGCGAGTTCTTGCAGCGCAGTCCCGAGTCTGGCGAGATGGTGAAGACCCCGCCTGTCACAGGCAAGCGCCGAGGTGGCAGCCGCAAGGCCTGCAACGAGTGCAAGCAACAGAAGGTAAGCCACCGTGCTATCAGTCATTCAACTGCTCTCCTCCGATCCGGTTTCCGCTCTCAGGCCGAGTCGAGGTCGAGGTCGCAGTCGAAGTCAGGCCGAGATGGATTGGATTGGATTGGATTGGACTGAACTGGACTGGACTCGATACATTCCATCTCTCCACTTGGCCTTCACCCTGCCATCCCTTTTGCCCCCGCTATTCCCTACGAAGTCTTGACCCACTAATTCTATTACGATTTCAAATAGCTACGATGTGATATAGTGCAGACTCCGGCTGCGGCCTGCTCACGCTGTCGTCGCCTTGGAATCGATTGTAAAGTGGAACAATCATTCAAACGTATCTCCAAGCGCCGGTAATCTCTCTTCATCCTATCATCGTACCTTATGATCTTTGCTAATGGTAGTGCAGACGTAATGCAGAAATGGAAAAGGAGATCGCTGATCTCCGACGCAAGCTGGCAACTAATCCATCGGACCAAGAGGTGCCTGCTGACGGTCATGTCGGTGATGATCTGTCCCAATGCTCAGAGGAGGTTTTTACTCGCCGTGACTCGGCTGCTGTCGATCGCCCCAGACCTGTGTCGGTCCCGGCAGAGCCGCATCCCTCAATGGCAACTCCGTTGACTATGCAAAGGGACGGGTCGATCCTATCGCAGGATGAAAACACTCCATGGCGGCTCGAGGATATTTCCCTCTCTCGTGCTCGGGTTTCACGACTCTACGAACAGTAAGACTGCCTTATGTCAAAGGTTGAGCTGCTAGCTCTTGGCTAATATGTTGAATTTTTCCCAGATACTTTAACTACTACCACCCTTTCCTGCCACTACTGAATCCTCCAAAGCCGTCTGAGGTCTATCTTAACCGATGTCCTCTATTAGCATGGACCATAATCTGTGTGGCTAGCCGCAGATCTCCAACAGAACCCGGACTGCTCACTGCATTATCGGGTCCCTTCAGTAGACTTCTTTGGTCAACGATCACCAGTGTTCCTCATGATTACCGTGTCGTAAAAGCGTTGTGTGTGTTATGCACATGGCCTCTTCCAACCACAAGTCAACGCACCGATGCAACTTTCATGCTGAGCGGTCTGATGATGCAGATTGCCATGCAATTAGGTTTGCACCGGCCAGTCCAAGCTGAAGAATTTACCACATTTAGGATGGAGGTTCAAGGAGAGGCGATGAAGGATCGTCTTCATACCTGGGTGATTTGCAACATCGTCGCTCAAAAGTCTGTACCCGTCGTTCTATTATGGATATACGGATGAGTGCTAATATTGAACAGTGTTGCCACCGGATACGGCCAGCCCCCAAGCACCATCTACGACTGGGCTCTTGAGCCTGCATCTCTCAAAGACGCCGACTACCGCCTTCCCAATGATCTGACCATTCGCCTCCGCATCGAGAAATTCTGCGACCGAGTTACCAAGGCACTTTATAGCAGCAAACCTGAACCTGGAGAGTTCGTCAGTGCCGAGAAGCTTGTCATCGTTCAAATTCTTGAAAGTGAATTGCGAGAAATGGAAGTGGAGTTTGGCCGTGATATTTCCGGTAGGCCATTTCATGAACCCGCCCAGACACCTATCCCACGTCACAGCTGACATCGATTTCTAGCAATCAACATGATTCATCTGCGAGCCGCAGAATTGCATTTCCGATACTTCGTGTTCCTAGGAGCTAGTCCTCGCAGCGATGACCTGACAAAACTCTTTATCGCAACCACTTCCTTCTTGGGAAGAGTCCTTGACCTCGAAACATCACCCGGCGAATTGATTGGCCATTCTACAAATTACATCCTGCAGATGATCGTATCTGCAGCGTTCGCACTCATGAAACTTCTTAAAAGCAACTTCAACCGGCACATCGATTTCAACCATGGGAAATTATTGTTCAATGGTGCCATCTCGGCCATACGCAGAATCAGTGTTATGGACCATGATCGTCCGATCCGCCTTGCTGACATTCTGGCCCAAATGTGGAATGCCAGTGGCCCGGAACCTGCCGAGGAGGACATTCTTCAACTGAAGGTTCGTTGTCGCATGAGCATGAGTCACGTTTATGATACTGTATGGCGCTGGCGTCAGAGATTCCGGCCCATGAAAAGTATTGAAGAAATGCAAGGTCAGTCATTGGTGGCGTGTCAGAGTTTCCTTTTGCCATCGGGCCATACTGATTACATCTTCTAGCCGCGGCAGCAATAGCGAATCAAGATATAACATCGGCAGCAGGCCCTTCAGCGCGACCGCAGGATCAGTCCATGGATGATCCGTCGCTGATGCTCCCTGCCCAATTCGATGAGAGCGCTGCATTCTTCAGCGAAGCTGGATTTTCGGAAGTTTTCGATAGTTTGAATTGGGTCTTTGATGGAATTCCGGATTCCTTTGTCGCACCTCCGGTTCTCTAAGCCATAAGGCTACTTTGGAGTGTATAATCGAAGTCGTTAGGTTGATTCTTTTCTTCTATGTACATATGGAGTTTGAGCGCGTTACAGCGAAGATACCATGGAAACCAAAAGTGATTGTTCTTTTCCTACTGCCTGATTCTTTCTTCGTGATAGTCTCGAGCTCCAACAAAATTGAACATAATGTATTGCCAGCCTTGTACCTGAGCAGTCATATGTGCATATTATTCTCTTTTGATCCGCTTCATTCTCTGATCCCTGTTAAGCACCTGGACATAGGTACTTACTGGCTGTAAATGTGGCATGGCCTCGAGATAGAGACGTGTCACTGCCGTGAAACATTCTATTGTGTTTCAAACAAGAACCTTAGACTCCAGTGTACGACATCTCTCGTGCATGCCCCACTGGAGTGAATGCTTGCATATACCTTGGTAATACCCCATACCCTGGAACCTCTACCACCCAAGTGGGATTCTTACAAACTCGCATTGTTGTTTGATCTGGTGCTGCAGCCTGCTTAGAAACCCAGTAACCTTGGAATCATCGACAGCCTGGTATGAAAGAGTCGGTGAAGGCAGAAGCTGCAGGTAAGAATACGCCTGGCCCATATCCATACACTCCTCCACGTTTTATTTCTAAACATGTCAAGTTAAACCACGCGGAGAATTTCTAGGTCACATAAACCTTGGAAGTAGTTTGTCACTAAACCGAATAGCAGGGCGCATCGCGACATCGGTGGGTCTAGAGCCACGAGCTGTGTCCAGAAGAATTGCTAGGGTCCCATGAGATTTTCCCTGGCCTTATTTAAAAGCTGGTTATCCCCAAGACCTCAGGTTCCCACTTTACTTTCTGGTTGTGGATATGGATGACATATGGCAAATATATACTCAATCCTAGTACCTAACTCGTGGCGAATCTCTTCCCAAGATTCTTTTTTACGAAGAAAGGGGCCGTAAAGCTGTTTCATTTCATAGCTTGGCGCATACTATTTGGCATTATCTAGGTTTGAACTGGGCTTGAAATGGGCTTGAACTATTCAGGGGGATATGAACTAGGTAGATCTACTTCAAACCAAATCCAATTTGTCAAATTCCCCACTCAAGAGTCTGAAGAAAGCCCTGGAGAAAAAGAAATATTCTCAGTCAAACTAGTTACATACGGTATATGATCAATCATGATGGTTTTTGGGCCAGAGACAGGTATTTTCTGAATGGTAATTGAAATCGATGACAACTTGAAGAGAAGAAAGCAATAAAAATGAACAAAAAGAGTTTCGTCTATACTAGCAGTTCTTTAGGCAATGGTGGACTCTACACGCCGATCGTCACCATTGACTGCTTGCATGTTTCGTTCACCAACACCTGTGACTTGTATTTCCAATATGTCTATCTATTTGTGTTACGCTATTTAGACCGGTCTACAAATAGCTCGCATTCAAATATTACAGGAGAAAGAAAGAGAAAGACAATTTCGTCACAAAAGAGATAGTAAAGAGGCTAACAGTATGTGGAAATGATTAAATTTCACGCAAGGTACCTCAAACCTGGTTATTATTTTCCACGACAACATTGTTCGAATATCACGACCAATGAACATCGCGATGAGTACAATACAGCCGACTATCAACTACAGACAGTCCAGACGCTCTGCCTGCGACAGATGCCGTGGGTTCAAGCTACGCTGTGAGCGTGATCAAGTAAATGGCAGATCATGTGAGAGGTGTCTCAAAGCCCAGGTGGCGTGTACTACGAGTGTTGGACAACCAGTCCAATCATTCCTTCCACCAAAGAAGGACAGTGTATATTCTTTCTCTAGAAGTCGAATCGAGATATCTGGAGACAGACTCGGAGATGGTCCTGCTGCACTTCTTCATCGATCATCCGGTTCAAGAGTGAGAAAAACAACTGCATCTTCGGGGGCTAGCCGCAGAATAGATCATGAGAAGCTTAATGCGTTGATTGACCCGAACGTCTTTCCGTTCCTACTAGCAAATGACGCTACGACTTCTAATTTCCCGGCCACGAAGAACCCTCAAATGCATTCGGTTTCTCATCAACTATTGTCATTCGACCCGTGGAGTCAAGACTATCTGCCCTGGAATGACATTTCTCCATATTCTGTAAGATATTTCGAAACAGAGATGCACATGATTGAATATATAAATGATTCTAATACATCAAGTCTATAGCCTTTCATTTACCACGACAAGCATGCGACTGGAAACACCTCGAATGCCGAAGACCCGGGGTTAGGGCCAGACATTTTGAACATGACCCAGAATCTTCCGGCCGATTCCGGCTTTGACCCAATGAATATGATTCATAATGATGCTTTCAATTCACCAATCTATGTACGCCCAAGCACCTCGGAAGGCCGTTGGGGTGCTCAGCCATTCTCTGCGCAAGACGAGTATCCATTTCCGATAACAAATCACCACACGGCCTACTCCTATAGCCAACTCAGAAATATTATGCAACTAAACATTGAGCTTATTTCTGATCTGGAGGTCCTAGACGCCACCTCCAGTCTTTTAAGCTCGTCACTCTCCCCGAGTGAGAATGCCGACCAAAGCACTGTAAAGATCCATCTACCTATTTTTCGAATATTGAGTCATTCATCTCAATTCTTGGACATAATTCAACCAGAAGTCATGTTTCCATCGAATGACGTGCGGAACTTGAATTTGTCTCCCATAACACCTACAGAACATGACTCAAGCCCCTGTGAAGGTTTTTCTTCAATGTCGAAAGAAAGGATCAAAGATTGCCTTGACGATATGCCAAACCTCATGAGCTCGCATGATTTCGGCCGGGGATATGAAGAAATAAGACCCCGGCTTTCAACTGCAGGTGTCTTCGGAGACGCAAGCTTTCTCGGCCATAAGCTATCACTTTCAGGATCTTTGAATATATTATCGACCTACTGTCAGATTATCCACATTTATCATGCCCTTTTTACCCAGATCTACCAGGCCTTTCTGATGGTCCCGCCGGATGATGCAGCGGAGCTTCTTGCACTCCCAACATTGCAATTTGGAGAATTTAACATGGAAGGCCCTTTTAAAGCTAAAATGCAAGTATTACTTGAACTCAGCTTTAGTATTCTGAGGAAAATTGATCACTCCTTCGGCATCGCGGAGAATTTACCCGGTGAATTCAACGGAGAAGGCAGCCCTGCTTCCTATGTTCCATACTATAATCCACTAGAATCTCTTAGAGACCATGTTGTGGCTAGGGAATATATGGAAGCTGGTCGGAATCTCAGGAAAATGATGCACTTCTTGCAAGCATTTTTCGATATAGCTGACGTTGCTATTTGAATTTATCATTACCCTGGTGTTTCTTTTGATGCCACGAATAGTACCTAGGTACGAATAGAGACTCAGCAGTATTTCCACGAAGCGAACTCAACTTGAAATATTGCATGGAAATTTTAAATATCTATAATCAATCTTTAGATTGAAATTGAGTAAATTACTTTCCTAAGTAGTAAAAGGAAACTTGATTGAATGCCACATTTCCATAGCATTCACCACTAGCTAGAAAGGCCAACCATCAGGACAAGATTAAAATATTCCCATCTTTCGGAAGCTCGCATTTTAATATTGATTTCCAAGGTTCGGAGGCCGATTCCGACTCCGAAACACCGGAGCGCCCGGCGTGATTAAGCAAGGGGGGCCAGATTCGATGGAAATAAAATTCGCATATTTAGCCAGCTTGCCACGCCTTGGAAAAAAAAAAGACAAAAAAATCAATTAATCACCTGGTGATATTTTTTTTTCAAAGTAATCAATGGCTGCGCCTTTATCCAAAGACACCCCGAACTTTGAGGGGGTGTGGAATCTGGTAGGCTAGCACTGAATCATCCATTGCGATGGCATAGTACTAATGAATATTCAAGAACAGGAAGTTATCCAATGACCCTGACAAGATTTTTGAGCTGGTAGGTCTTGAAAAGTCTAGCTAGATGGTACTATATACCACGATTAGTTACTAAATTCGCTTCAGCAAGGTGTGCCTTGGGTGGTTCGCAAGATTCTGAATTATGCGAGTCTTACATTGAACATTTCGCAAGCTATCTCAAGCGCAAATTCGAAGCCCGAAAGCTTGGACACCCCAAGTTGCAATAATGTTTCCGAGGCCTCTGTGACCACATTGCACATAAAGCAAACGGTGAACCCCGGAGGCTTCGATAGCGAAGGATATTATCCAATCAACGGAGAGGAAAAGGAGTATTCGCTACCCATATTTGGAGATATCAGCATGAGGCTGCGGTACGTGAATACCTCAGAGATTTCTGATGAGTTTCTTCGTCAAAAGTTGAGCGAAGGGAGCCCATCTAAGACCGTGATCGACGAGATTGCTCATAACAAAACGAAAGGGTGGGATGCGCGAGTAATCTGGGGATTCGAACTCATTGATGGGCATCGATATCTAACGCGGAATGTCATCACGACAAAAGATGAAAAGGCCGTCAAGTCGAGACTGGTTTATGATTTCCATTGCTAGTGATATTTTACATATTAGTGGTGTCTAAACGAGTGAAAATGAAATGTAGCTATCGCAATTAGGAGTCCTACTGGCTTTCGCGTTCGATGAAAATTGTCGATTAATATCCAAGATCATAAAACAAAGAGAAGCCACACGCGTACGAGGTTTTGTGAAATAACTTCTTTTACTAATATATGATGTGATATTTTGGACTTGAATACCTTTCGAGTTTCCAATTTAAACATGCCTTGAAATTAAAATACCTACTAGGTACAGAAGAGAGAGTGAATAAGATAACTACATACCGAGCTTAGCGACCTGTTTATTGAACCGCATACCCGAAGAAAATAATTTACGTTATTCATTCGGCTTACGTAGTCGACGATAGTTCGATAGAATCTTGTTTTGAGATAGAAGAACGAAAGGAAAGAAATCCGCAATGCTCAGCCCACTCTGCCTTTAGAAATTGATAACTAACTTTTTCCCAGACACCTGCCCACTCTTGAGTATGCCAAGCCCTCCTATGACTGCATCGATTCCTCCTGGAAGAATCTCCACTGGCACCGGTCTTATTTTACCCTCATTTATCAGGACCTGAACTACTTTGTACCAATTGCGAGCCCAGTTCCCAATTTCAGCATTTGGTGCGACCCCATACGGCTCGGGTAACTGGACCCCCTTTCCAGATATAGCTCCTCCCATGACCAGCTCATGTTTCACAGTCCTTCGCGAGAATAACTGCTCCTGATATTGCTCTAGACCACAATAACGCCCACCAGTTCGCCCGAGTGCCTCCTGACAGATACTGACGGATCGCATATCAGAAAATGGATCTAGCGTGTAGCGAAGGGCATTTTTGGTCGCATTACGAATTTCTTTCGCACAAGTAACGGAATTATAATCGAACACAAGATCGGCTCCATAGGAGCGAACGAGGTCAAAGTTCCGAGGAGAGCAGGTTGTTATCACACGGTGGCCACACCTAATAAAAATGTCATTTTTAGGTTGGACATATTGTCAAAGTTGGAAACTCACAGCTTCACCATCTGAATAGCAAGCATGCCAAGGGTACTACTCCCGCCGTAAACAAGCACATCCTCTTGCTTAACTGAAGGTGTGTCCAGAGTTCCTGAGATCTTAAGTGACCAAAATAAAGCAATTCCCAATGTCGCTATTGCCGTTCCCGAGATTGCTGGCGCGGTAGAGAATGAAAGGCTATTTGGTATATGGAAAGTAAAATCCTGATCGGTATTGAGATATTCGCAATAAGCACCAGAAGTGGGATCTGCTTGATTCGAGCCTTGCACGGCCCCAAATACTGCATCTCCAAGACGGAACTTTCCTTGCTTGGCAACCTCACTACCAACCGCCATGACAATTCCTGCATAATCACAGCCATCCCAGAGACCTGGTGTTGGAAATCGAATAGGCATTTTGAAGTCACATGGATTCAATGCCACAGACTTTGTCTTCACCAGAATTTGGTTTGGACCAGGCTGCTGGATGGGAAGACCAGGAGTAACTCGGAGAATGCCATTTTCATGTTGAATGACAGCCCTTTGGCTCAAAGGAATTTCAGAGTTGTCCCCCATCTCAAAAATTTGAAAATGTGTGTGTGTGTGTGTGTGTGTGTGTAAAGTCGCAAAGTACACTAGTTATCACCGGCTTCCAAGGCTAGCGGTGAGGATTGAAGGAGAAAACTAACTTGCAAGGACGTGAATTTATTGGCAATAAAGCCCCTTTTAAGTCTTTCTTCAAGCCCCCGGAAAGTCCAAGAATTCACTACTATTTTTCTTCCATTAGACCGTGTTGAAGTGGGACTACGCTCGACTTCGAATTGCAACTGGGCAATGTGCATATTTGGATATCACCGGATGACAAAACACAGCAAAGAGGATTGGATATTTGACTGGGATGATCCAGAATATGGGATTTGACCGAGTCTGACCCCTGGAAATGGTGCACTCCTCGCTATGAAGCTCGTCATTCTCTCTTGGCTCATCTTCGCCCCATTGGAGGATAAGAACTTCAGTCTATAGAGTGGTTGTGAAATGTGTGGCACTGAATTTTGGACAAACCTTGGAAATTGGATAGAACAGGGAATTGAAATGGCCATGAGAATGGTATCGGTGTTTCCTATAAATCATGTCGCAGTGATGCGGAACTTAGACGCGTTCCTGTCATCATCCAAGGTTGAGTTTCTTACAAATTTTTGAATGAGAACTCGCGAAAGATTTGGAGATCATCCAGAGCTTCTGATATCACGGTGAGAAACAACCAAAACGACCTTTAAAACCTTGCAAGTGCACATTTTTTGTCTTTTTTTTCTCAAGAGACACATACATACTTTGGTCGTACATCTATTGTAGTGCTGACTGAAAGAAAAGAAAAAGTCAGGACGATAGGTAAAGTCTTGAAGTTTGAATAAGACGTGGCTTTCATTTCTACTGCCTGCTCCAGTGAGTTCTTCTAGCCACTATTTTGCTTTAAAAAGACATACATGCAGCATGCTAGAATCACGGCTCACATAAACGATCGACCTGTTAGTTAACGTGTTTCACCACCCAGTCGGCAGCACCATGAAACGCAGTAAATCTGAGAAATTACAACTTCGAATATCTCAACAACTAAAGAATATTTTTTTCAACTATAATTGATAGTATATGTTATTCTCACTAGAGAGAATAATTGATTAGGATTTTTTTTGGATTTTTTTTAAATATTTTATACCTAGTGTAATGGGGATTCTGCTCTCAACATCGGAATCATGTGATCAGAGCCTTAGCCATAAGGTGTCTGCTTACAGGGAGATATTTAGTTCGCGCGATAGTATTCTAGGAACATACACCTGTCAAGTGTCACGATGCGGCCTTTTCTTTCCTGCGGCGGTAGCAATATCGGTGTACTGCTCAAGAAGGCTCGGATACCTTAGGAGATTTCATCTCAGTGGTCATTGCCTTGCCTACTCACCTGCACACTGCGTGTGTGGTGGGTTTGTCCTCTTGTGATCGACCTGTCTGCTTGACAGACAGCCAGCGAGCATTCCCATCTTTCACTAGGTAAAAGATTACAACCTTGGGAAACCCTTGGAAACACCTGGTCATTTGCGTATCTAACAGGTAAAGATATACTAGTAGAATACTGTTTCTTAGATTTAATATTCTACCCGGGGACCTAGGCTAGGTAAAAGATAGTTAACAATATTATTCAGAATACTATACCTTGAAATAACCTTCTAAATAAGAAATAACTACCTGTTGTTGAGTTATAAAGTTGTAATTTATCATATTAGCTATGTGTTTTGGAGCTGCTGACTCGGTGGGGCTGATGACTCGGTGGCCCTAGGGTGAAACACATTAATTATGTCTCCTGTTGAATACTAGAAGTCCTTCAATTAACCCTTTCAAGACTAATAGATAAATGCCACTGACATAATGAAGAAAAGGCTGAAATATTTGTCTGAAAATCGAAAAAGCGAAAGTCAGTTGAGGCCACGGTAAACTTCCGAGATGCCATCTTTGGCACTGGTGATGTTTAGAAAGATCGACAGGCCCAACGCAACCCCCGCTTCTCCACTTGAACGATCTCGTCATCGTGCGCCTCGATTTCACCACAAAGTATGCATTGCCGACCGCCCGCGTTTGCCGATGGGCCGAAAAAGTGCAACTGCGATCCTTTCCCAACCATCCTGGGGGGAAAAGAAGAGAAAGGTGGACGACTTGAATCTACCGCAGAAAACCAAACAGCTCTTGGAAAGATCCGATTTGATTTGAATGCCAGCCATGGGGCTCCACACTCTGAAGGCATCAAGATCCCGGTTTGGTAGGTCTAACCCACGTCGGACGAGCTCAAAGTGCAGTGTTGATTTCCCCACGATTAGGATGCCGTACGTGTCGTGCACGCAAGGTGAGTGTTGTCACCATCAATTTATGTTATGCAAGGTCCTGAGTTTGGCCAGGTCAAATGTGATGAACGCCCAGGGCAGTGTGGAAACTGTGCTAGGTTACGCCTAGTGTGTTCAGGCTACACATCCTCAATCCGGGCGAACACTCAAGAAGATAAAGAAGACAGCCCGGAGAGCTCGAAAAGAAAGAGAACATATCGATCGTGTATCGCATGCCGAACTTCGAAAACAAAATGCTCGGGCGAACGTCCGATATGTCAAAGGTGTCAGAGAAAAGGTACTAGTTGTGTCTATTCTGAATCTTGTCAACCAAACTGGATACAGCGAGTTGAGGCGATAGGAAACAATCCTCAGAGTGGCTTGCCAACCCCGACAGCTCTGTCTAATGAATCCCCCATCGACCCTGATTCTATTCAGCCAAAGGAAACTTGTCCCGCTTCACAATCTCCGCATATCTCATCGGAGCCGTTGAGACCTTCATTGGAATGGTACAAAACCCACAGCTACAAATTCAAAGCCACACAGCATTTTCTTACAAATTTCAGGTTGAATTCGTATCACCTGCCAAACTATTGGGAGATTGGACAGCTGGTTGAGGAGTATTTCAACAACATACATCCTTTGCGCTGCTTTGCATTCATCCACAGACCCTCTTTCCTGCAGCGATTGGATAAAGAAGAATCCAAGAGCAGCCAGAATTATGCCCTGCTCTATATAATATGTGCACTGGGTGCCCAGTAAGAGAAAATACCTTCTCTATCCCAAAAAGACTCAGGAAGTTAGCTGACCATGTCGTAAAGATATTACGCGCTGGCCTATAGCGAGAATGTATCCCCCCTTTCGCCAAAATTCATACTTCATGTAGGCGGCCAGTGGGCAAAGCAAGCACAACGACTGATTCTTGAGACTCTGGAGATTGTCACAATTGATAACTTGATGGTCAGTATTCCTGCTTTTCAATTCTTCTTGACAAGCTAATGAATAATAAGTAGGCAGCGGTTCTTCTCCATGACTATGATATTCGAATGGGAAACTTCTCGAATGCTTTCATGCTTAGTGGTCTTATAACACGCATGACACAGGCTCTGCAAATTAACCTCGAGTACAACACAGATCTTCTTTGTACTAATCATGACTCTGGGCTTACCGCAACCGAAAAAGAATCTCGCCGGCGCCTAATGTGGAGTTGTTATGTGATGGATTCCCTTGTCGGCAGCGGTGTGGATCAGTTGACCTTGGTTGATGAGAAGGATATGAAAATCCAATTACCATGCAACGAAAGAAATTTTGTCCAGCAAATTCCCTGCTTGACAGAAACACTGGAAGCTGGGAATTGGTTGAAGTTCATTGGTGATAATGTGGATATCAGGACACTTCTCCCAAATATGGGCATGATGGCGTATTTCGTTCGCCATATTTCAGTTCGGAAGAAAGTCTTAAGGTCAATATGCCTAGTTGAGAAAGATCCTTTCAGAAATTTCTGTTCTAATGGTTATTCTAGGTATATCAAGCATTTAGACAATGCAATGGTACCTTGGGATCCAGACTCCGAATTTGCGTCGCTGGATGAGGAGTGTCGTGCGTGGTATGAATCCTTACCTCCAAGCCTCCAATTCACGCCAAATGCCATCTATATTCGCAAGGACTCCTCACAACTGGGTGCACTGTGTGTACTACACTGCGCACATTATCAGACAATTTGTGATTTGTATCGACTAGGTGCACCTGCACTCTATAAACTCCGTGCTGCCTTTGATTTTCCTATTGATCAGCAAGAGTTCCTCAGGCACTTACAACAAGTTCTTTTTGATGCCGCAAGGTCTTTGGCTACGATAATAGGCGAGACTGCCCGCCATGGGTGCCGCATGCTAGCGGATTCATGGCTCCCAACAATCACTTACGACAGCTGTCGCATCATGGTTTACCACCTGACACAAATCCTCGACTCGCGAGATGAAAACACCAAGTTCCTGATGACGGAGACACTGCCCCTAATACGTAGCAACGTCCAATCTTTACGAGCAATGGGATCTATCAACGCAATTGCGATATCACTAGTAAGCGATATCCATTTCTGCAGATAGATAGTGGAGCTGATATTTGAATTTCAAGTGCTCTGCCGCAGAAACAATGCTTGAGAGATCCGGAATTGGCTCAGAGGTCATATCCCAAAATATCATTCCCGATGATCCATATCAATCTTTCGGAGATAGCGAGGAGACAAGGTAAACCACCTACGCAAATCGCCACCTTTGGTAACATGAACAGTTGACTAAATATTTTCCTAGTGAAAGTTTACCTGGAACGCCAGTACAAAGTGCTCCAGATTACGTTCTCAATCCGTTGTCAATTTTCCGGATGGCACGTAAGTCAATACCGGAAAGACATGCCCCGGAGAAGGCTAGGACTTCATCTGCCCCGAATAGTGCGTGTCCAGACTCTGTTGCAGATTTGGACCAAAATGTCTCCGATAAAGTAGGCCATGGAATAAGCTACCTGGAGGAGGACAATGGTACAAGCCAGGGAAACCTCGAGGAACTTCAAACATTGTTCATGTCTGACCTGGGGTGGGCTTGGCAACCAGCTGATACGGCTGTGGGCTCAGGCATCGATGCAGCTGGGTTATTACCATGGGCAGGGGGTTTTTCTACTACACAGGCAGAGCCATGGCTACCAGTCTTCCCATTTCCTCAGCAACACTGAGATTCCGGACCTTCAATTTTAGGCTATGTCCTGTTGAAGTCCCAACCCCTAAGTGCTGCTAGTACAGTGGCATTATTTTGTGAAGTCATCGTACCTATAATATTGCTTCAGATTGCACAGGGCGCCGAGAATAGAATATTATTAAGAGAATCTGACTATCAGTGAGCTCTGTAACTTAATAGTCGTCTGGTCACGCCACTCAAGAGCCTGATGAACTTGAAAAGTCGAACGCCAGCAATCCTTCGAGATTCATAATTAGAAAAACTATTATAGAAAGAATTCCCATCATTGTATCCAATCACTGAAAAATATAGGTACTACTAGTAAAAGAAAGAACCCGATGATAGTCGTACAGATTGTAAGTTCATCTGAAAATCTTAAGCGCTTCAACAATCTATTCTGCATCCAATGGGCAAATAGGCGGTTGATCGTTCACCTGGATACCGCCCCGCTTCTTTTCGAGCGTGTCGTGATATGGAAGTCGCCATCCACCTTCAGACTCTGGAGCCGCAAGCCAAAGACGCATTAAGTGTCGCCGCCGCGCAGGCTGTCCTTCATCGTCAATGGCATTTGCAGGGTGGTCGGTATAGGCAGTACGGGCGTGCAAAACATGTGAATTGCTGACGAATTGAATATCTCCCGGGGCCAAAATCATATGCAATGACAACTCGGCGCAAGTCTTTTCGAATATTTCCATTGCATATTTTTGTTTATCCGAAAGAGGTGGGATAACAGCATTTGGTCCAGAGTTGAAACGGGACAAAGAGGTGACGTTCATGGGGTCAAATCTAGCATAAAGCCGAGGATTGTCGCCGGCACGGTCATTTTCGAGATAAAAGATACTGCCTCGGATCCACTGCTCTTCACCTTCAGAGAGCTCACCCTTCCGGTCAAAATACCAACTTGGATCGCAGAGAGTTTGAACAACATCTGGATGTCTCTCTTGAAGCACATTGAAGACATGATGTGTTGACGAGATGTCTGATTCGCCACCTGACAGAGATTTCGCAATGCATAGAAGGCCTACAATATCCGAGCCGTCTGTGTGGAAGTACTGACTGTTCAAGCCGTTAGAGACTTTATCCTCGGCCGGGCTTCCCTTCGTGACAAGAACTTACCGAGCATTGGTCCGATAAATTCGAACTCGATCAGTTTTAGTTGGGTCCTCGCCCAAGTCTTTGACATGTCCCAAAACATGACCGCGACCATTCTGGCTCACGAAATATCCAAGGTATGTACCGAGCCCCATGTATGCGGTAGCGCACTTTCGAAGATCCCACTGTCGCACGGGGATTCCCTTAAAGAGGAAAAATCCCTTTCCATTAATCAAATCTTGACGAAGAACTTCCAGCCGTTTTGAGAGATTGGGAAGCGGGAAATTTTGCTAAACAAGATCAATAATCGGAACTCTCTAAGACTATTCTTTTTCTACTAACCTTCGAAATTCCTGTTAAAGGTAGATCTTTTTCGATGAAGTCATCTGCCGCTCTGCCAAGCTCATGGATCTCATTTTCATTGAACTGGTGTGTCCAAAGTTCAGGATTTTGACGGTAGTCCTCTGCCTTCCAGACTGTTGGACCGCCGTGAACTTTGGGAAATTCTGAATATGGCCGCACTTGAGAGTAGACAGGCGGATGCTGTCCAGATGTTTTGAGCCCGTCAGGAAACTTGGCGATATCGACCTCGGTTGTCGAGTGGTCTTGTGGAGTGACTGTCTCTAGAACTGTGGCTGACATTTTTACGGTCAATATTCGTGGACGAGGAAGATAAAAATGATCGGATCATGCGAATGATTAAATGCCACTGTGCAATTAAAGATTGAGATTCCAAAGGGAAACCTTCTAATATATAAGAGATGAATTGCAAATGTCTCTATAGTCCCTGATCCCCGCCCACGTCGGGTCGTCGCATCGATCGGGTTCTCTCGAACTAGCCAATGCGACGTGGCGGGGTCACTCTCGGCTTATCGGCAATTCGGCGATATCCCCGAATTTGCCAGAATCACGCAAGATGGTGTGCGAGAGTATCCCACAAACTGACGAACAATCAATCACTCCAGGCGAGTGAAATACGACCCATTGCTCAGGTCAAAAATGTAGTGTCCATCGAGACGTCTGGTGCATCGGCCGTATGATCATAAACCTGCTGCGCTGGCTTGTCAGTATTGACTAATAGTAACTACTAGTTGGTAACTAGGGAGTGACCGGGGCACGGAATAAAGCACGATAGCTGAGGCTATGAGCTTGAGATTCCATAATCTCACTTCGCGTTTCTGGTTATTTATAATACTAGCATTCCTAGGTTCCAGAGGTATTAGCTTCCGCTGGCAAAATTACTAAATGCTCGATAACTGACCTCGGGAAAGAGCATTGCTTAGCAGGAATACTCGTAGAAAATTTTTATAGCATTAGAAATTAATGAGACGAGAATAATAAGGTACATTCAATATTGGAACTGAGCGTGTTGAGCTTCGAATAAGCTATCATTCAGTTCCAGCCGCAGAGGATTCGAGATCGCCTTCTTTCACCGGAAGACCACTCTGGAGACCTTTGGAGACCCGTGACCCGAATAGAACGCTATCTTCGAGGTCCAATAAATAAATATACCAGTAGTAAGTTCCTATAGAGGCAATTAGTTGAGGAATCTGTGTATTATAAAGAATTGGTTAACTTACCGCAAAAGAGGCCCCCGCCGAGAATGTTTCCAATCAGAGTGGGAATAATTCCCTTCCAGATATAGAGGCCAACGCTAAGATTAGGAGCGCCCTCCCAGATCCCAAGAGGGATAAATGTCATGTTTGCGACAACGTGGTCAAATCCCAACGAGACGAACGCGAAGATAGGAAACCAGATTCCAATGATCTTGGATGCCAAATCACGTCCTTGGATGCCGAAGAAGCAGCCCAAACAAACTAGCCAGTTGCAGCCAATACCACGTAAAAATATAATGCGAAAGTCCGGGGTGAGTTGCTTTTTGGTCGCAAAGGTAATTACTGCGGATTTGAATGGCTCCGCAGAGAACACCTCACCATCTGGCCATGTTCAATCAGCTTCATGTCCCTCAGGTTTGAAATTGATATATGTTGCAACTGACAGCCAAATATAATAGTCACAATAAAAAGAGAGCCTGCTAAATTTCCAAGGAAGGTCACGGTCCAGTGCAGTAGCATTTTCCACCATGGCAAACGTTGCTGTAGTGCTGCAACGGTAGTGAACTAAAAAACACCGATCAGCGATTGTACATAAAACTGATATCTAGGGGTGAAAGGTACCATAAATGACCCGGTGCATAAGTCAGCACCTGTCAGGATAATCATACATAATCCATATGGAAAGACTAATGCACTGATGGTGCGCATCAGCCCCGGGGCATTTTCCTGGAACCACGGGGTGGCATTCGTACTGAGGACTGTTCCACAGGCAAAGGCAAGCAGACATCCAGCAGAGACGGAGCTGAGGAAAACTTTGTCCAGTCGCATGTTCCCTTTCTGTACCCCTGCCTTTCCAACGGCCTCTATGACCTCAACTGGAGATAGCGCGCCCAGTGTCATGTTTGCCGAGAAGATTCCGATGCTTTTCTCTTTTCCAAAATTGATGAAAACTAAAAATCGGTTACGGGATTCTGAAAAATCCCACACTCAATTGAGAGAAAATGTTGTAGTCAGTGTACCGACCGCGCAAGTACTTATAGTTTCTCATCAATTTCAGCGACCACTAGGGCATGAGTTGGGGTTCTTATCTTGTACTTTCTAGATGATGTGAATGATGCGATTGGGTTTGCGATTTGGTGGATTCTATTCGCCGAAACTGAGAAATGAGATAAAGAATAACGAATAACTCTATACGGAGTACCTTACGCTTAGCTGCCGGTTGCAGCATCGTCGATCTTTTGCCAAGCCCAATCCTGCGAACCATTCATGGAGCGACAGCTTATCATACCTGGGGATGCTTGGCGAAGATAAGCCAACGCGGGCACTCCTGATTTCCCCGTAGTCGGTTGTATCTCCGCGGATCATTGATAATGCAGGCCAATGATCTCCGAGATGCTCCATTTTCTCAGCGGAGTACAAAGTACTTTCTAGAGACTAGTCTACTCTAGACTATACTAGTAGTATTCTTTTCGAATGGGCCTTGGGGTAGATCGTCGGCGAGTGGGGGAAGGGGAGGCTGGTGGGAAACTTTAGCTCGACTGGAAACTTGAAGTCATAGAGATAACCTGTTAAATATGTGAGGCGAACCTGGAACCTTGGAAGCAAGGGGAAAAGAAAAATATATATACAACACCGTAGGCGGCTTGGCTCAGACTGCCTGCTTGAAGTGATCTTTTGAGTCTGACAGGAATTTCGGAATACTGGACCGTGACACTGCCACCGGATTTCCCGGTACTACAAGTCGAGGTAGCAGAGCACACCCATATCCAAAAAGATACATATATTGTAGTACTAGTAGGAGTAGTATAGAACATTGGAAAGGATTGGTCAAATTGAAGTTGTTTAAACTCAGTGCAGCAAGTTTCCTACAGCAATTTCTAGGATTTGGTGAACATGACTCCGGGTGGACTTCGACACTGGCTAGAAGAGCCTCGCAGTCATCAGGGCGGGCCAGTGACTCGGGCGAAACTATTGGTCACGAAAGGCAAGCCCAGCAAACACAACATAACAAAACAATGGCGAGCGACCGGGACGGCGACTGATATTCCTCCATTCGATGTAGCGGGCGCAAAATAGTCAAAATTTTGGAAAGAAATCCCGAGGGCCAGCCGGGCCGATACACAAACACCGAAATTGACCACATGCGCCGTGTGGTGTCATACTGCAAACGCCATCTCGCCCAGGAAGAGAGTGCCAAGCGAAACCCCCACAGTCGAAGGTATCGATCGTTGAAGAATTGGGGGCATGATCCTCTAAAGGAGTAACATGCCATAATAGTGGGGGGTGGGAAAGATCGGCTATTCAGGAATGCAGACCAATCGGTTTTTGATCTTCCATTCTCCATCATTCATCCTTGATTGTCAGATTCAAGCCGCTCGCTAGTCCCGGCAGCTTTTGGGCTCACGTAGATCGGTCATCGTAATGGCGTGGGCAGCATCGGCGTGGGGGCAAACGGGGCCTTCGGAGGTCAATAACCATGCCGTAATCGGGTACGTCCGAAGCAAAGCGCCCGGGCGATTGAATCTCGGGCATTACAGATACGTCGCCGGGTCGGGCAACTCGTGGGCGAGGCGTGGGTCTGAGTGTGAGAGCCGAGGGAATCTATATCCGTCCTTTGATTGGCCGAGGGGGCCATTCCCACCACTCCTAGCTTGGAATTGATAGGTTCGGAAGGGAATGGAGACGTGGGGGAACGCGGGGAAGGCGTGGAGGTGTTATTGGTGAGAGGACCTCGTGTATCATTGATCAACATGGTGGGTGGCGAGACGTGGGGGTGGACTTGGAGGCCATAAATGTCATACCCCTCCGCATTTTCGTATCCCCAGACTACCCCGGATTTCCTTGCTCTGTCTGAAGGGCAAACCTCAACCCAAGCATGTCGAAATCCGATGCGATCCACGATGAGATCCCAACCAAGCACACCGAGGAGGTCGTTCAACGTATACCGCTGACGGAAGAGGAGAGCAAGAGTATATGTCGAAAAACTGACCGAACTATCTTGATGGTATTGATTTGGGTATATTTCTTGCAAATCCTGGACAAGTCGGTCTTAGGATACGGCGCGACCTTTGGTCTCCAGGCCGATACTGGACTAACTGGCAATGAATATTCGCTGGTTGGATCCATTGGGCCAATAGCACAGCTAGCTTGGCAGCCCTTTTCATCATTCTTGATTGTCAAGGTTCCACACAAGATCCTCATGCCGACACTGTGCTTGGGGTGGGGAATTGCACAGGCATGTATGGCCGCATGCTATAATTTTCGGTCGCTTTTGGCCGCTCGGTTTTTTCTCGGCCTATTCGAAGCCGGGTGTTTGCCCCTATTTGGTGTTATCACAAGTCAGTGGTACCTGCGTTCCGAACAGCCTTTACGAATCGCAGCCTGGTACAGCACAAACGGGCTTGCCACGATCGTAGCGGCCGCATTATCATACGGACTGGCGCAAATCAAGTCCAACGTGCTTTGGCCATGGCAAATGTAGGTTTTGACCGGTCATAATTGTCCTTGGCCATGTGCTGATCAAGTCCCGTTTAGAATTTTCCTCTTCGTTGGGCTGCTGACGATCGTTTCAGCCCCGGTGGTGTATTGGCGATTGGATAACGATGTTTCAACGGCCCGCTTTTTGACAGAATTGGAACGAGCACAGGGTATGGAGCGTCTGCGGGCCAACCAGACTGGAACAGGGAGCACAGAGTTCAAGTTGAGCCACGTTCTGGAAGCGGCACTGGAGCCCAAAACCTATCTGTGGGTGGGCATGGCCATGTTGCTCAACATCGGTGCCAGCGTTACCAATATATTTGGTCCTTTGATCCTCGGTGGCCTGGGATATGACAAATACACCACCACGCTCCTAACAATGCCCTTTGGCGCCCTTCAATTCATTGTCATCCTATTGGCTAGCTATATGGCACAGACAGCCCGATTGAAGGGAGCCGTCTTGGTTATTTTCATGATCCCGGTCGTTGCCGGTCTAGCTATACTTTATGCCGTTGCCCGAACAGCATCAGCCCAAGGTGCCTTGTTAGCTGGCTATTACCTCCTTGCCTTTTTGTTTGGAGGAAACCCCTTAGTCGTGACATGGATCATCGGTAACACAGCGGGAACAACAAAGAAGTCTGTTTCCATGAGCCTGTACAACGCTGCCTCTTCTGCAGGTAATATCGTGGGCCCCTTGCTCTTTGCTTCCAAGGATGCCCCGACATATCATCCTGGACTACGTGCCTGTTTGGGTATCTTTAGTGCGATGGCAATAACCGTGCTCATTCAATGGGCAAATCTGTGGTTCCTCAATAAACAGCAGGCCCGCCGTCGAGTTCGTAATGGGAAGAGTGCCATCATAATTGATCACTCTATGCAGAGGCGTTTTGAAGGCATCGGAGAGGAAAGCGAAGCGGGACCAATGGGTCAGGGCCCGGCTCATGCTGGATCAAATATCACTGAAGACCTCACAGATGGACAGAATGATGAGTTTGTTTATATCTACTAAACAGAGTCTAATACTACAATCGAAGCATGTCGGTGGGTTTGATTTAACCAATAACTACCTAGATATTCCATCCCTAGGAAAGGTAGCTGGTTACTATATACTGGGCTCCAATATTCAGAGAAAACGTGATTCAGCGGTTTGAGTCGCTTGGTGTCTAGATTGAGTAGATACTACTGGTCAGATTTCTAAGTGGGCAAAGCTGTCTCTAGGTCTCTAAAAATTCACAATTTTATTTCGAAGTCACACTCGAACAAGAGGACCCATGCAATGTAATCGAGTCCTGTTTCATGCAGCAAAAAAAAAGGATGGCTACCAAAGTAACGAACCAGGATTCACAACCGCAACAACGGCTCAGAACGGTGACTCGCCACTTCATTATTCAATCTTGGAAATGAACCGATAAAATAGCAAATATCACTACGATACACGCCATTCGCGCACGTGGTGATTTCCAGTAATTGACTAAGTGAAAGGGTATACTTTGTCACATTGTCGGAGACTCACCTTACCTCTGAGCTGCGGAAGAGGTTTGATTCCATCGTGACTTGCATGTCTTTCATCCCAAGTCTTTCACTGTTCATTCCGCACTAGGATTTGTGGTAACTAGGGCAAATAACTTGTGTGGGGCCCTCTGGCGCCTTTCGGTCATCTTAATGGACCCCACAAATCCTATTAGGTCTTTGTAGTATATGCATTACCGCATGGGGCTATCTTGATTTGGGTATAGTGTGTCTTCGACTCTTTCGGAGTCGGATTCGGACACGGACAGGATTACAACTCGTCCCAGCGTCTAACAGTTGCGTTTTCCAATCGCCCTCTATTTGATCTAATAAAAGATAAAATTAACTCAGGGGATCGACATGATACTGTCATTTACCAATGATAGTCAATCAATGACTAAATTTCGCAGGACCTGGGTATTTGCCATGTATCCCAGGTAGCAGACGAGAGACAAAGCTCCGTGTTTACTATATATGATCCACATCTTGCTCTCCTAAATGATGAAGGGGCCAAATTATTCGGATTTTTCTATATATCACCCGTCCCACGAATTACATGGAGAGCATAAGATACTCTACTGCACTCCAAGCTTAACTCCTTGGACCTTCACTTTTGGGTCTACATTACAACTTCAATCGATTTTACATGCTGTCAGACCAAAAAGAAAAACAGAAAACAATTTGAGACCTGTTCAAGATCAATTTTTGAAATGACGAGAGATCCTCAGTGTGTCAATGAGCCCATCGCAATCGTGGGTAGTGCCTGCAGGTTCCCAGGCGATGCAAGCACACCGGAGAAGCTGTGGGATCTTCTTAGGAAGCCTCGGGATGTCTTGCAAGAAATACCTGCCGATCGCTTTAATGTCGACAAGTTTTATCACCCAAATGCCGCTCACCATGGAACGTCCAATGTCCGCCATTCCTACATACTATCCGAGGACTATCGCTTGTTCGATGCCCAATTCTTCGGAACCAAGCCAGTAGAAGCAATTTCCATTGATCCACAACAGCGCATGCTACTAGAAACCGTCTACGAGAGCCTCGAAACAGCCGGCATTCCAATGGAGAAGCTACAAGGCTCAGATACTGGCGTTTATGTTGGACTGATGACGAATGATTACACGGATATCATGGGCCGAGACATCCAGAAGTACCCAACCTATTTTGCATCAGGGACAGCAAGAAGCATTTTGTCCAACCGAGTGTCCTATTTCTTTGATTGGCATGGCCCATCAATGACAATCGATACTGCATGTTCATCCAGTTTGATTGCTCTACACCAAGCTGTGCAGAGTCTACGAAATGGTGAGTGTAGAGTGGCAGTTGCGGCCGGGACAAATCTCCTCTTGGGACCTGAGCAGTATGTCGCTGAGAGCAAGTTAAAAATGTTGTCACCGACTGGCCGCTCAAGAATGTGGGACCAAGATGCGGATGGTTATGCCCGGGGTGATGGAATCGCAGTGGTGGTTGTAAAATCACTTGCTACTGCCCTAGTCGACGGTGATCACATTGAATGCATAATTCGCGAAACGGGAATCAATCAAGACGGGCGTACGAAAGGCATTACAATGCCTAACCCGATGGCACAGGCAGAACTCATTCGCTCCACCTATGAAAGAGCAGGTCTAGACTTATCTCGACCTAGCGACCGACCGCAGTACTTCGAGGCTCACGGAACTGGTAAGAAAAACCCCGAAATTCTTTATACTTTTAAGTTTTGCAGACTTTTATACTGACTCTAGAGAGCAGGAACCCCCGCAGGGGACCCAGTTGAGGCGGAAGCTATAAGTACAGCATTCTTTGGAGAAAAGGCTGGCTACGTGCGAGCCCTTGAAGGAGAACCACCGTTGTTTGTTGGATCCATCAAGACAGTCATTGGGCATACTGAAGGCACAGCTGGCTTGGCCGCTATTTTAAAGGCTTCACTAGCACTACAAAATGCCAAGGTTCCTCCAAACCTGCTCTTAAATCGACTGAATCCTGATATCTTACCCTTCTACAATGACCTAGAGATTGTCACGGAAGCAAAAGAGTGGCCAGGATTGCCGAGCACCACAACTCGCCGTGCAAGTGTGAACAGCTTTGGCTTTGGAGGGGCAAATGCACATGCTATCCTTGAATCATGCAACAGCAATACAAGCATTAGTGATTCTTTGATCAACACCACACTTCTTGTGCCATTCAATTTCTCTGCAAACTCCTCAAAATCACTTTTTTCAAGCCTTGCTGCACATTGCGCGTATTTGAAAAGACAGGATGATATTAACATCAGAGATCTAGCATGGACTCTGAATTCTCGCCGCTCAACCCTCCCAGTTCGAATTTCAATTGCAGCGTCCGATAAGGAAGACTTGACGGAGAAGTTGGAAGCCATTGTCAGATCATCACCAGATCCAATTCCTTCGGCGCCAAATTCGATTTCCAAACAGCCCAAGCTCCTCGGTATATTCACAGGACAAGGGGCTCAGTGGGCTCAAATGGGAGCCGAATTGCTTGACAGCTGCCCACTCGCAGTTCAATGCACCTCCAACCTCGATCGGGCGTTGCAAACAATCTCCGAGCCAGATCGCCCGGAGTGGTCATTGAAAGAGGAGATAATGAAAGACAATGTCTCATCTCGTATCAGTGAAGCGCTTTTCTCGCAAACAATCTGCACAGCGGTTCAAATAATTTTGGTCGATTTGATTCATGCTGCGGGCATTCATTTTGACACCGTTGTCGGCCATTCTTCTGGTGAAATCGCTGCCGCATACGCCGCCGGATATATATCTGCAAGTGATGCGATCAGAATAGCCTACTATCGAGGTTTGTCGTTGCGATGCTCTGGCCGTGGTGGTAACCAACTCGAGAGTCCCGGTGCAATGATGGTGGCTGGAACTTCCTTCGAGGATGCCCAAGAAATTTGCGAGATGCCAACACTCAAAAACCGTATTTGTGTTGCTGCTAGCAACTCATCAGATAGCGTCACTCTTTCAGGGGATATTGATGCGGTGAATGAAGTGATCGACATTTTCGAAGATGAAGGGAAGTTCAATAGGCTGCTCAAGGTAGACAAAGCTTACCATTCACATCACATGTTTCCTTGTGCTGCGCCATATATGGAGAACTTGAAAAAATGCTCTATTTCTCCTCGCCGCATATCTGAGCGTCGGACTACTTGGGTCTCCAGTGTGTATGCACTGGACATTGCGGACGTGGGAGATGACATATCAAGCACGTATTGGAGCAACAATATGATCAAACCTGTTCTTTACTCCCAAGCTGTGAGCTATGCCACTGGTGCAAAGGGTCCATTTGACATGGCCATTGAAATTGGCCCTCATCCAGCGCTCAAGGGACCTACGCTACAGACTATCCTGGAAGTTTCAGGTCAAGAAATTCCATACTCGGGGACACTCACTCGTAAAACCTCCGGAACCGAGGCATTTGCCTCTATGCTTGGAGCTGTCTGGCGTTCGTTAGGAAGCGGAGTCATAGACTATCAATGCTTTGACAGTGAAACCACACCTGGAAATACCCCACCCAAGATTTTGAAGAATCTTCCAACATATCAATGGGATCATGATCGGGTATATTGGCACGAGTCACGTTCTTCAGCTCTCTTCCGGAGTGGACCTGGAAATTTCCATTCACTTCTCGGCACAAAATGTCCCGACGGAACAACGAAAGAGATCCGATGGCGAAACTACCTTTACCCGCGTGAGATCCCATGGCTTGCACATCACCAAGTTCAAGGTCAGATGGTTTTTCCAGCTGCGGGATACATCACGGCAGCAACTGAGCTAATTGCGGATGAATATGGTATTGACTCGATCCAAATGATCGATTATCAAGACGTCGTCATTGGACAAGCATTAACCTTCGAAGAAGACTCTGGCACCGAGGTTATTTTCGCATTCACTATCACAAGCAACCAGGATAACGTCGTTACAGCACTTTTTAATTGCTATTCAGAGAGTAAAAGGGCCTCTTTGTCTCCAGTTCTCCATGCGTCTACCCGGGCGCAGATAATCTTGGGCGATGTGAAACATGACTCCCTTCCGCCCGTGAGAAAACGCACAGATTCCTTCCTCGAGCTTGAAGCAAAGCGGTTCTACGATCATGTGGCCGAAATAGGATTTGGGTATACTGGTCCATTCGTTGCTCTTTCTGGGCTAACCAGGAGGATGGACGAGGCCAATGGTATGATTGCTGTGCCAGACGAGGCCGATACGAATTTGAACCCGCCGTTCATAATTCACCCTGCGACTTTAGACGGAGCAATTCAGTCCATCATGTTGGCCTATTCGTTCCCCGGAGACGGCCGCTTGAACAGCCTCCATCTACCAACAAGTATAGATCACATTAGAGTCGACCCGCTTGCTTTCAAAAGCACAGCCGTGCGCGGGTCCAATCTACCATTCTACTCCTCGGTTGCAGAGGGAAAGTTCTCTGAGCTCTCTGGTGATGTAGAAATATATTCAACAGATTGGAGATCTACCGTTCTACAACTGGAAGGACTACATACCACCCCTTTAGCTCCATTGTCGCCTGCCACCGACATCCCATTCTTTACCGATATCACTTGGGCATCAGAAATACCTTCTATCCTTGATTTGCCAAGCGCCCCCGAACTAGGCTCTGAAGAATACAATTCATTGCTCGATATTGAACGCATTGCCTTATTTCATTTGAAACAGCTCACTGTTCAATCCGAATCAATTTCTCATACATCAGGGCAACTTCATCCCCTTGTCTCTTATGCGAAACACTGTGTTTCACAAATAGAGTCAGATGAGCATCCATTTGCACGTCCTCAGTGGATCAATGATACAATAAGAGACATAGAAACCATTTTGGATGGGTGGGTCGAACTTGATTATATTCATTTTGCTTTATTGTTCACTAACACCGTTTAGAAACGCTGCTGTCGGAAATACTAATCTTCAGGCCCTACATAAGATTGGCGAAAGTCTCCCATCCCTCGTCGGAGGTAAAGCCAATACACTGGAGACTGCCATCGAGAATGACTTTTTCAGTAAATTCTACACTAATACCTTTGGGATTCAATTTTACCTACGCCAGTTGGGGAGAGTCGCTGGGCAGATCAGCAACCGCTTTCCACACGTCAATATACTAGAGCTCGGTAGGAGTCAAAATCCCTTCTTCATGTTTCTTTAAGACGACCACTGCTATAATTACAATTATTCTAACGCAAATTTATTTAGGATCCGGATCGGGAAATGCTACCAATTCTGCTCTTTCGGAAATAGGAACAGCGTTCTCCTCTTACACGTATACAAGTACCACGGACGCCTTATTGAATGCAGCACGGACAGAGTTTGCCGGGAGTGCGACGAAGTTGGCTTTCAAGGTGCTTGATGTCGAAAAGGATTTTACCGTTCAAGGATATTCCGAGAATCAGTACGATCTAGTCATCGCATCTCTGGCCCTCTACGGCACAAGTGATGTAGAACTGACTCTATCCAAAATTCGTCGTTTACTCAAACCTGGTGGCTATTTGATTCTTCTGGAAGTGACAAATCCCAACGCCCTGCACCTTGGAATTATTTTCGGCTGTCTTCCGAGATCGTTTCCCGACAGAAGAGATGAACACAAACTCTCCCCGTGTCTCTCTGTCGAAGAATGGAGATATCTCATGAGTAGGACTGGCTTTTCGAGCACTGATATTTCTTTGCAGCACCCATCTCGCTCCCCAGCACCGTTCTCCCTGATGCTTACCCAGGCAGTCGATGATCGTGTCAACTTTCTGCGTGATCCTCTTGCGAAGTCTATGCATTCCTTTCCTTCGCAGTCTTTAACCATAATCGGTGGAAACACACCCCAGACAGCTACATTGACTACGAAGATCAAGGACATGACGACCCCATACTTTGGAACCGTGAAAATCTCTCCCTCTCTCACCGGTTTGACCCAAGGCTCTCTCCCCCCTATGGGCACGGTATTGAGTTTGACAGAATTGGACGAGCCAGCTTTTTTCTCGATAACACCAGAGAAGCTGAGGGCCTGTCAAGAGCTGTTCAAACGAAGCAAAAATATCATTTGGGTCGGACAAGGTGCACAGGGAAATAACCCATTCTCGAACATGTTTGTTGGAATCCAGCGAACATTGGTAACAGAAATGGATCACCTTAGGATACAATTTCTTAACCTGGATTCAGCGGTTGAAGCTCGGGAAAATGAGATTACGAAGCGACTTTTACAGTACGTCGCGGGAGACCAGTGGAATCAAACTATACAGAACAAGGAGTTGCTATGGTGCACTGAGCCAGAATTACATCTGAAAAATGGGCGATCATTCATTCCACGCCTGAAGTTCAGTCATGATAGAAACGAAAGATACAATTCCGCAAAAAGGTTGATAGTCAAAACCGTCCCGCGGATCGAATCGACGATTTCTATCGTCCCTTCTGAAAATGGCTACCAGGTTTTGGAGTCTGACGACCATTCATCGCTATCTATCGCTCAATCAAACATTGAAGTCACCCATGCACTGCTTAGACCAGTCGAGATGGGTCTGAACCGGCATTTTTTCCTTATCGCAGGTAAAGAGGTCCAGGGCGGCAACCAAATTATTGGCTTCTCGGATAGTCTGAAATCGTGCATGGCTTTGCCATCTTCGAGCATGATAAAATGTGGCCAGTCCGAAAAGGAGGCATTGGATGGAGTGTTGAAGATCTACATAAATCTTCTTGCTCAATCTGCAATCAGGCGGGTCTCACCTGGAAAGGCATTGGCTGTCCTTGACCCCGAATTTCCGATATTAGCAGCATTGAAATACTACGCGAGTCAAATGGATGTTCAGCTGGTTCTTATAACTAGCAATGACCCATCAGCCCCCTCGCCATGGATTCATATTCATCCTAATTCAACACGCCGAGTATTGCACAACAGAATATCCCACCAAGTTACTCATTTCTTTGACGCAGACTCAGGCCGAGAAACGCCATCCATCATCCTACAAGCTCTTCCCAAAAATTGCGAGATTCAAACTGAAGCTTCCCTCACTGAGAGCTGTTTTAACCCATTGTCATATGCCAAAATTGATGAGGTCAATTTTAATTTCCAAAGTTCATGGGAACACGATATTCCGATCAACAGCAAACGATTTTCGATTCATGATATGAAATCCCTAATTGAAGGGGGGTGAAGCCAGGTAACCAAGGAATTGTTTTGATGGATCTCCCAAACTTGCCCATTCAAGTCTTACCCGCTAGCAAAACTGTCAGATTTTCGAAAAATAAAACATACTGGCTGATAGGTTTGACAAGCGGACTTGGGATCTCTCTCTGTGAATGGATGGTTCGACAAGGCGCCAGATACATCGCGCTATCTAGTCGCAACCCAACATTGGATAAAGGCTGGATTGATTCAATGGCTTCTCGCGGATGCACTATTCGCGCATTTTCAACGTAAGTTGTCTTCTTCTCCTCTACTGCAAGATAAGAATCGTTAACAGATGACAGTGATATAACTGAGCGGGACTCCGTCCATAAATCCTATAAACTTATATCAGAGACTATGCCTCCAGTGAGAGGTGTCGCTCAAGGCGCGATGGTGTTGGAAGACACAATGTTTTTTGATCTGGACCTTCCTCGGTTCGAAAAAGTACTTAGACCGAAAGTCCAGGGCACTCTATTGCTTGATGAGCTTTTCAAGGAGAATGTTTTGGACTTTATGATATTTTTCTCCTCTATGGCGTCAATTACGGGGAACCCCGGCCAGGTGGCGTATAACGCTGCAAACATGTTTATGGCCAGCTTGGCGGCACAACGACGAGAGCGCGGTCTTGCAACAAACGCTATTAATCTTGGTGCCATTGTAGGAAATGGATATGTCACACGTGAACTCAACATTGACCAGCAGTCCTATCTTTATAGAGTTGGTCATAACTGGATGTCTGAACAGGACTTTCATGAGGTTTTTGCAGAAGGGGTTTTTTCATGTCTGAACGGGGCAAAAGATACTGATCCCTGCAGTAGCCTCAGAATTGATGATGACCAAGCAAAGAAGTGGTATACAAATCCCATTTTCCAACACCTGGTGCCTAAAACGGACCTTTCGGTTTCTGGTGAGAGGAAAGAAAAATCGGGACTTGCCCTCAAAACACGACTTGCCAACTCATCATCTCAGTGTGAAGCGATGGAGATATTGCAAGGTATTTAGCCCCCTTTCATCCCTTGAGACTGGCTTATATTCTCTAACTTGAACCTTTTCAGATGCCTTTACCCTCAAACTACAATCTGCTCTCCAGATTGATCCTGGCAAATCAGTTGTCAACATGAGCCCAGATGAACTTGGAGTTGACTCACTGGTGGCTGTCGACATCCGCTCGTGGTTCCTCAAGGAGTTAGGCCTTGATATTCCCGTGCTAAAGATATTCAATACCGCTTCTGTTCGAGAATTATTAGAGTTTGCATTCGTCCTTCTACCTCAATCTGCTGTTCCGAACTTTCTGACAGACGTGTCTCTTGAGGCTGATCAAAGCTATACCAGTCCCAATGGGCTGGCAGAACAGGTCACGGGCCTGGTCAAAGAGGAAGAGAATAACGGCATCAGTCTGACTAACAACGTCGCTGTGCTCAATGAAGACTGGTCTGAAATTGAAAAAACATTCAATATCGATTATCCATCAAATGGCGAAACTGAAAGCGTTAGCTCGTCAGCTTCTGCAATGACTGCTGATTTGAGCTCGGAGAAGAATGGAGACAGTTCTTCAAGTTCTGTTCACAGCGACGATAATGCATTGTTAGAGCGCAAAGTTCAAAGATCGTTGCCCATGTCTATGGCACAGGCAGGGTTCTGGTTCTTGACTAATTTTGTTCAACACAAGACCGCTTTCAATGTCACCCCAGTGTTTGAGTTGAAAGGAAGCCTTTCTATTGATCGCTTCGGAAAAGCAATTCGCCAGGTGGCTCAGCATCATGAGACACTGCGGACATTCTTCTTTGTCGATAGCACCCAGAGGCCCATGCAAGGAGTCTGGGATACTCCAAAAGTGCACCTTGAGCATATCAATATCAACCGGGAAACAGAGGCTCAGGTCGCTGCAAGTGAAATGGGCACATATATCTTCAACCTTGCACAGGGAGATGTTATTCGCATAAAGGTTCTTTCACTGGGTTCCGACAGGCATTGGATCATTTTTGGCTTTCACCATATAATCATGGATGGTATCAGCTTTGAGATTCTCTGGTCTGATCTCGAAACAGCTTACAATGGCATTGAGCTGTCCCCTGTTGTTCAATACGCAGATTTTGCCATGCAACAACTTCAATATTACGAAAATGGCGAATATCAAGTTGAATCGAGATATTGGAAGAGTCAATTTCCGGAAATACCGTCCCCTATCCCGTTACTTCCCTTCTCCTTGCGACCAGATCGTCCTACGATTGTCGGTTTCAGCTCCCATATGGCTCAAATAAGTCTCAGTACCATGGTGGTGAATGAGATTGAGAAATGCTGTCGCAAGTTCAGGGTAACGCCCTTTCACTTCCACCTTGCAACATGGCAGATCTTTCTGCTGCGTCATCTGGACATTGATAGGATTTGCATTGGGCTTGGCGATGGTAATCGCACACACCCCGATGTAATGCATACAGTGGGGCTTTTCCTGAATACTCTTCCTCTTCAATTCGAAAGTCAACCTTCTCAGACATTTGGCCAAATTCTGAAGCATACAAAGATCACTTCTCAAAATGCTTTTGCAAATGCTCGCATTCCATTTGACGCTATACTCAGTGAGCTCAAAGTTCCTCGATCTGCTTCATATAATCCACTATTCCAAACTTTTTTCAATTTTCGGCAGAAGCTTGAAGTGTCGCGGAAATTCTGCGGGTGTAATGCGCAGGCCTCCCTTATAGGTTCAGGTGATACTTCCTACGATCTTCATCTTGATGTCAGCAGCTCCAGCAATGGAGATACATCGGTTTATCTTCTTGCGCAAAAGGATCTATACAGCTCTAATCATGCTGAACTACTTCTCCGTGGTTATCAGAGGCTCCTGTTAGAATTTTGTCGCAACCCGGCAACCCAAGTATCTTGGCCCAAGATTTACGGGGCAGATGACATCGAGCAAGGCTTAAAAGTGGGAAAAGGCAAGTCAAACCCCCAATTTTTTTGAAATATCGCTTTTACGAACTATTAATCTGACACTTTCTAGGGCCGGAATTGGAAGAAACTTGGCCAGCGACTGTAATTCACCGCCTCGATATGATGGTGTCTAAGTACCCCCAGAATATAGCAATCAAGGAGCCAAGTGGTGTTGAGCTCACTTACTTCAAGCTTCAACAACGCATTTCCATCATTTCGAAAGGGATGTTAGATTCCGGTGTCCATCGGGGTGCTCGGGTTGCTGTTCTACTATCTCCGACTGCAGATTGGATTTGTACCATTTTTGCCATTTTGCGCATCGGTGCTATATACATTCCACTCGACAGAAAGCTGGGACTATCCCGACTTGCATATATTGTTTCAGATTCGAAGCCATTTGCCGTTGTGTTCGACTCAACCACTGTTTTTGACCTCCCAGGGCTCAGAACCGAAGCTCAATGTATCGACATAACCAGCCTTCCCATTATAGCCGGAGTCCTCCCGCCTAATGTCGCGGCGCCAGACCAGTCCGCTATAATCATGTACACAAGCGGGTCTACAGGTACCCCCAAAGGGATTCTGATCGAGCATTCTGCATACATCCACCACGTTCAAGCATTCTGTACGACATGGGGCATCGAAGAAGCCAACGAAACGATTCTCCAGCAGTCTTCTTATGCATGGGATATGTCCATTTACCAGATCTTCATTTGTGCTTGCAGTGGCGGAAATTTGATCGTCGCCGATAGTCTTTCCCGAGGAGATCCTGTTGCCATTTCGCACATCATTTCTTCGGAGGGCATCACAACAACCTTTGCCACCCCGACTGAATATCTGACCTGGCTTCGGCACGGTCGGCACAACCTACAAGCTTCTAATCTAAAGAGAGCAGTCTCTGGAGGCGAGTTCATATCTGCTAGTCTTACTCGAGAGTTTCAATCCTTGAACAAAGAAGGTCTCAAGTTGATAAATGTTTACGGCCCAGCGGAAACTACCTTGTCGTGCAGCTCCGCCGAAGTCCGTTATATGGAGGCAGATCATAACTGTCAGAAACCTCGGCTTGGCCTTCGTACACTGCCAAATTATTCCATCTTTGTTGTGGACCACAATCTCGACCCTGTTCCTCTTGGCGTTCCGGGTGAGGTAGTTGTTGGCGGGCTCGGCATCGCGAGAGGATATTTGGATCCCAATCAGACAAAAGAAAGATTTTTTGCTGATATTCATGCGAGTTCCCACTTCAAAAACAAGAACTGGACCGTCGCTCACCGAACTGGTGACCGAGGTGTGTTGACAGAGCAAGATGGTCTGATTCTGCTGGGCCGTATATCCGGTGACAATCAGATCAAATTGGGCGGAATCCGCATTAATGTCGAGGAGATTGAAAAGGCCATTCTAGACATCTCAGAAGGTACCATATCACAGGCAGTGGTTTCTCCTCGACATGTTGGTCCACATTCCAGCGACCAAGAGCTGATATTGGTGGCTTTTGTTGTAATGAACGACTTTACTGAAAACGCAGATGGTTTTCTGGAGGCTCTCGTTCAAGATCTACCTCTCCCAGCTTTTATGCATCCGGCCGCAATTTTTTCTGTTGCTTCGCTTCCTCAAAATGCCTCTTCCAAGGTTGACAGACTTGCTGTCAACAAACTCCCCTGCCAAACATCGCTTCAGGCGCCATCCCAAGCGAGGATCCCCTGCCTCTAGAAAAATCATTGCACCGGCTTTGGAAGGAGGCTATACCAGCAGTGGTCTTCTCGCTTTATAAAGTGAATTCTGAATCGGACTTTTTCCATGTGGGAGGAACTTCGTTATCCCTCGTCGCTCTTCAGTCACTTATCAAGGATCACCTGGGACTCCTCGTTCCTCTTCATCAGTTATTCGAAGCGAGCACTCTACAAGGCATGGCAAAGCGCCTTGCGAAGCTCTCCTCGCAGAGTTCGGATGAATCTGTTAACTGGGAGGCTGAAATTCAGGATCTTGTTTCTGCTGTTCCGTCTGATGAAGGTACTGACATGGAGTCCGGCGAACCTCCGAGTGGGACTGATGTCGTTGTTCTTACTGGTGCGACGGGATTCATTGGCAGAGAAATTTTACAACAGCTGTTGCAATCTCAAAAGGTTAATTGTGTCTACTGTATTGCAGTACGAAAGCCAAAAGAGAAGTTGCCAACCCTTTTTCGGCACCCAAAAGTCCGAGTTTACCATGGTGATTTGGGGACCCCTCGACTCGGCTTATCAGCTGCCGATGCAGCGATGATATTTCATCTTGCTGACATAGTTATTCATAATGGTGCCGATGTCTCTTTCATGAAGACCTATCAATCTCTCAAATTGATCAATGTCGCTTCTACTCAAGAGCTCATCAAACTTGTTCTTCCAAGAAGGATCCCCTTTCATTTTGTCTCCTCGGCAAGTGTGACTCGATTGGCTTCTCAGAAGACGTTTACCGAGGTTTCGGTTGCTCCATATCCTCCACCAACCGACTTTGATGATGGGTACACGGCAATGAAATGGGTCAGTGAAGTATTTCTCGAACGGATAAGTCGTCAGTTCAACCTAAATGTTTTCATCCATCGACCCTCGAGTGTCATGGGGGATGGGGCCCCTGATCTCGATCTCATGCGAAATGTCATTGAATATTGTCAAAAGACAAAGAAGATTCCGGATCTAACCTCCTGGTCAGGTACTATTGACTTAATCTCCGTTGAGTCTGTGGGTGCAGCAATCATGGAAGCGGTACTTGCGTCCGGTCAAGACCCGTGGATATCTAGTGCCAAACTCGAAGCAGGGAATGTTCGTTATATTCATGAGTGTGGGGAAGTTCAATTAATTCCTAGTGAAGTCCGATCTTTCATGGAATCCAGGACAGGGGGAAGTTTTGAAGAAGTGGCCCTCGGTAACTGGGTCGAATGTGCGGAGGAGGCCGGAATGAGCACACTTGTTGGTCTTTACTTGCGAAAGTCTCCCGATGGGCCGACCTTGTTGCCAAGACTGACTAAAGGGGATGCATAAAGGATAAAGCAAAATAGTTTCTCTTGTCCATCCTTATGAATCACTGTTGTCCATGCTCTTCTCCCAAGTAATATTCTCTCACTCGATGCGGCTCTATCAATCAGTTTCAAATTTCTTAAAACATCTTGGTGGTACTCTTTGGGGAACTCCAAGCGCCCATTAGTCTAGTGTATATGATATTTGAAATGGCTTTTGACTTCACCGAGAGGGCATTCGGTTCATGTAAGATCTGTCGTCTAGGTCTGTACTATCTACTATGTCTCTGGAAATCCTCTCTGGAGGTTAAAAGCGTAAGTATTTTTCCGTCGCTTGATAGTGTAGTTATCGTAACGTATTATCAATTCTAGTTGATTGGAATGCAGCGTACTGCATACCTAGGTAGCTGACAAAGAGGAGGGATGGTCTGTCCACTTAAAATATGGGCAGGATACCTTAGGTATCTTTCCCGAGGCCTACTACGGAGTATACTAGCTTTAACCTAATACCTTAGGGCTTACTCAACTGCCAGGAAGCACAAATCGAGCAACGAAATTCCTTGTCTTTACATGCTACTTCCTGCGTTCTTCACAGACAATCTAGTTCGACTCCATCGAAAGCTAGTCTAATTCTACCCAGATTATCCGAATATGGACTGAAGTTCAGAGATATTGCAGGCTTCTTCTAAGTCTTACAACTGTCGTCGTAATCTGATGTTGCACACAGGCGTAACGTGGCTTACGTTTCATAGAGACCCCTCTCTCAATTTGTGAATAAAGTTACCAGAAAACTATTTCTGAATCATACGCCTGTATCTTTTCAGCTCGAGAAACCATCAGGACGTTTCATCCACTATCCAGTCCTGCGTACTGCGGCCTGACTAGTTGGATTCCAGAAAACGGAGCTTCTGTTCCACAAGGCTGACAGAGTACGGTTGCTCATAGAAAGTTACCCAAGATGCCAAGATAGTACAAAAAGCATCAACAAATAGTATTGAAGCAGATTATTTGCCGGGCATATCGGAACCAGGAGTGCCTAAAAGTGAAACCGTGTCACCAACCGCAGCCGAATTACCCAAAGCCAGTATATAGATATCTCCTTGCTTGGGCACGAGTTTCTGTTGAATCCCTTCGTGTATCTAAAGCAAAATGGTACAAACTATCTCTCTTATCATTCTTTGTATGTCTCTGCTGGGCAATGCTCAATTTCAAAGCATTATGCCGGTGGAGCACAAGGATATCACATTCACAATTCAGGTATCTCCAGATGCAGCCAGGGGATCCGGGCCAATTTTTTTGCAAATCAACTCGACCCGCCCATTGCAATGGCTTGCATTGGGCCAGGGAATCCACATGAAGGACTCCAATATGTTTATCGTTTATGCGTCAAAGGGAAATGAGAATGTGACAGTTTCTCCAAGAATGGGCAAAGGCCATTTCTTGCCCCTTTATAACCCCGATGCAAATATATCGGTTCTCGATGGCAGTGGTATTTATAACGGAGCTATGACTGCCAATATCAGATGTGACAGTTGCCTGTCGTGGGAAGGTGGTTCTGAAGATCTGATGAGCCCTGCTAGTCCCTGGATTTGGGGCGTGAAGTACGGGGATCCACTACGTTCAGATAGTGTCTCTGCGCACCTTCTCGAACATGATCATGATGGTGTTGCATTCGTCAACATGAGAAATGCTACCGGAACCCACACAATGAGGAACCCATTCGTGAACCTAGCCAATGCTACCATCACCCCGGCCTGGAACAGGCCCCCATTCGACTCGGTTGGGTTGAACAAAAAGAAGATTGCGCACGCTGTTCTGATGACGGTTGTTTTCGTGGCATTTTTCCCTTTTGCTGCGATTGCTCTACATCTATTTCCTTCCTCTAGTACTGTGACCATCCATGCTGTGTTCCAGCTCTTCAATTTGGTTATTTCCATCGCGGGGCTTGCGGTTGGTATTTCGATGTCTCAACAAATCCATCTAATGCGCCACCATCACCCAATTATCGGAATCATTGTGGTGGCGAGCCTGAGTATTTTCCAGCCTGCCATGGGGCTGATACAGCATCGACATTTCCATAAGACCGGCGGTAAAGGAATGTTTGCCTATCTTCATCGGTGGTTAGGACGAAGCATGATCGTCCTAGGGATTATCAATGTGGGATTAGGGTTCCAGCTGACCGGGTGGAGAGACCCTTTTGCACCCCGTGGGGCAGTCATATCTTGTAGCGTGGTGGCTGGTCTTGTCGGAGTAAGCTATGTGACGATTCTTCTCGTATCGAGTATGAAGAAGCAGCGTGCTTTATCTGGCCAATAAGTGATTCACGTATGGAGTACAAAGGCGATCTATAGTATATAGCAATTTCACTACTCGTATGAATTAGAAACTGGGATCTGTGAATGTAATTGATTTTGACAATGAGTTCTAGTACGGAGTACACAAATATTGTACGGTACTCGCAGTGAGTGAAGCTGCGCCATGAAACTGCCAATGTCCATCCGGAAGGGTGTCCTACTCCACACCGTACTTAATACCAACCAATAAGATCGTTTTCCTAGAATTGATGATACCATTTCAGGATCCTAGGATTGCCTGTGAGACGATAAGCAAACGACCCATAATTCCAGCCCCCTTTCTCAAGGGTTTCTAGCTTGTGTTCATTGTCATCTCCGCTCTTCTCTCTCGTCGCATGGATTTGACCTACCAGTCGCTTGGTAGCTCCAAATCACGCGGCTTATAAACGTTCATGCTCTTCTTCTTATTATCATCTGGCCCCCACTGGTCAGCATTGCGAAACCCATCGGGGAAGGGATCTGCAGGACTCATGCCGACCTGCTTGAGACTATGGATCCAGGCACGACCCATCACACTTGGCAAAATAGCAGGATACTTGTCGACGCTGGTCGTTCCACGAACGCGACCGTAAAACTTAGTGCCAATGATACTCTGACAAGTTAGTGTGTCCCTGGAAATCTCCCCTCGGGCATGCAAAATGGCCAGACGGGCACATACAGCCGTGCCTGATGGACTACGGTCCAGACGACCGGGGGAGACGACAGCCGCCATGAGTGCCTTTTTGCGGGTGTCTCGATCTTGACAGCTTACGGGATCTGTGAAAACAACGGTACTGACGCGGTCCATGGTAGGCTCAAGAGGATGAGTGCCCTCATATACCTCATGGAGCGCATTCTTGATTCGCTCCCCGACCTCAATCATCTTCTGGCCATTCCCATCTTGAATACTGACCCCTACTGATGCAGCATCGACAAATGCACAGATCGCACCGCCGTAAGCAATATCCACCGTAAAGATACCTACCTCATACAGATCGAGCTCGAAATCCAGGGCCATAACAAAGGAAGGGAGACCGTGAACGGTGATGGACTCACACATTGGCACACCAGATTGCTTTCGAACTTTGAGTCTCACATCGACACCAATGAGGCCAGCCGGGGTGTCAAAGGACAATTTCATGGGGGAAGAACGCAGTTTTGTACTCTCGGCACCGGGACCATTCACGGTGACTTGGGCTGCGGCCATGAGATTGGAGATTGAAATGGGGACATAGTCTTCGTTTTTGGCGAAGATCAAGCCACGAACGGCGCGGGGATTGCATGGTGGCAGCATGAAGACAGCATTCTGGCCACAATGACCTCTCGGCTCGTTCAGCAGCAGGTCTCGACGCCATTCGTGCTTTCTCATGAATTCGAGCTGCTTGTAGTACATTGAATCCCCTGGGATATCAGGAATGCCACCGATGACGACGTCGCACGATTCACCTTCAGCATGGCAAGCCACAACGGACATGGTAATCTTGGAGACATAATCGTCAAAGGGAACGGGGCCCACGGAGGAGAAGGGCTCGGGGTCTATCAAGTCCGAGTTGTTAGGGTAGTCAGCATCGGAGTCTTCTTGTTCTTCACTGTCATTCGAGTAACGCTTGTCTCGGTCACAGTGGGAAGTATATCCCCTTGGAGTCTCCTTGAGGTAGGATTTTGGGCGAGCCTCGTAGTATTTTGGGCGTATGCGAGGCTCATCATCTGCGTAGCGTGTGAAATGGGGGTTTGAATGGGATTTTGAGTGAGACTTGGAGTGAGACTTGGGTCTAGACTTGATTTCAGAAGGGGATACTCCGCGAGGAGCTCGATGAATGTATTCGACTTGACTCGGAAGTGGGGTTGATTCACCCCTCGGGGCTCGATAGATGTATTCCGGGGTAAGACTGGGAGGTGCCCGTGGACGAGTACTACTATTAGTAGTAGAAGTACTAGGGTAATAACGACGAGTAGTAGGCATACTGCCAGTGTAGTATGACTAGTGATCAACTACAACCGAAGTGCTGGTGACTGAAGCCCTGGAGGTTGAAGTTCAAGTTGAAGTTGAAGCTGGTGGAATACCTAACTAAGTATGCAGATATTAGTTATGATCTACCTAGATATCCATACTTATATACTACAACTAATCCTAGTACCCTGGCACACCTGCCCGTAGAACAAAGATCATGATATAGACAACCTTGGAACTTGAACAGGATCCATGGAACTAACAAAGAACTTGAACTTCAAGTTAAAACAAATAGAAATCGTACCACAAAGCAGGAGTAACTTGAAAGTGATTGTTTGGCTCTACTATACCCTAGTCACCACCCACCAATCTTCGTCTTTGTTTTGCCGCGGGGTCTTTCAGTTGAAGTTGCCTTTTCAATGTACCTTCCAACTTGAACTTGAAGGTTTCCTTTGTGTTCATGTTTTCTCTTTCAAGTTCTCCTATTCACGATTTCTCTCCATGATACCCAATACCCCCCCGATGGAATGCCAGTGATCTGTCGCGGTTCATCACCGATCTCAATCGACAGTTTGCCCTGGATATCCCCACTCCTGGACTGCATTCCCCCTCGGCCGTCCGTGATGAATCGTCTCTCCGCTGGCGATGTTTTTTCCGTCTCCGCTTTCTTTATTTCAAAGACCAAACTCACCTTCGCCGGGCGATTGAGAGTCTAGCCGAATGGATCTCTGGTACAACCACTGTCACTGTCACTGACATTATTCCTGGCACAATACCAGGAACAATACCAGGCACGGATTTGACTAACAAGGAAAAAGATGAACGAATGACATTCCTTCTTCGAGAGATCGAGGATCATGTTTATCTTTTGTCCAGAGGGAGTCCAAGCAGTCTGTTTCACGTGCCTGACGTGCCTGGAGTTTCCTTTTCGCCTTCTTCTCCTTTTCTCCCTCTTCCTTCTTCTTCACCTCGCAAACGCCCATTCGAAGACGTCAACATCGAAGATGAAGATGAATTCCATACTCCTCCAGACTCCCCCTCGAAATCAGGTCCCTATTATGTGCCCTTTGATTTATCGGCCGATCTCAACCCCCACTTTCGTCCAAACAAGACCCCTCTACTCCAACGATTGAAACAATCCGAACAGAATGTCAATGCCCATGTCAATGTCCATACCAATGCTAATGTCAATTCCAATGCCAATGCCAACCTCAATCTCAATTCCGATCGCATCAACACCAGTTTGAGCACCATCTCCACCATCTCCACCATCTCCACCTCTTTCTTTCCCGATCGCTCCACCATCGATCACTCCTTTGATACCGAAATCACCGAGCCCGATGCCACCCAATCCACCTATGCTGACTCCGTAGCCGGCCTTTTGACCGAACAATTCCTCCTCGATGCCGGGTATGACGGCCCAAATGACAGTGGCACCACCCAAACCTTTCAAGATCGGATCGTGCAGGAGTTGTTGAGCCAGGGCCCTTTCACTCTCCATCATCCGTTCCCCGGCAAATTACCCCTGCGATATCGTTACGAGTTCGAGCGACTGGGACGCGCCTGGAATATTCCCCTACAACGCGTCTACCGAGGGGATGTCGCGTCGTGGAAATCTCACGATGATTTCTGGACCTGGGCGCAAAGGCACAACCAACGATCCGACCAGCCACTTCCACCCAAAGCCCCTCGACGGGCCTGGGATCATGCCGTGAATGACTTCAAAACCGATGTCCCGTCAGAGGTGGTGGTCTTGACTGGTGAATTCAACTGGTGTTTACCAGGCGAACCGGGAATCCTCAAATTGGACTTGAACCCGTTGAAAACAGAAAAGACCTGTCGCTTTCATCGTCGATTTGGCTCCGATCGGTTTATGAGCCTCACCATCCCCGCGCCGTCTTGTCCCCCCAGCCATCTGAGTTGCAAGGACCCCTCGGCGGGCCTTCGGGAAGCCTTCGCACGGTGGCTCACTCAAAATGACCATCACTGTCTCGGTCGGACATGGCGACCTTTTTTTGTCGAGGAAGTCAAATCAAAGCGCAAGGTCAAGGCGGATCCACGCTTTCGAGTGGAATTCTTCGCGATCGACGGGGTGGACTTCCAGCATCAACACATCCACGACATTTCAGTCATCGCTCCTGCACGTCAGAGAAGCGATAATCACACACCGATGACTGTGGGCAATTTGCTGGAGTGGCATATGCCACAAGAGGCCAATTCCCGCCAGAGCAATTGCAAATTATTTCAGCGACTCTCCCTTGGGTTGTCCAAAACGTTAGCATCCGTTGTGTTACGACCGACACAGATCGTGCGACTCCGAGATCGACCAAAGTGGAAGATGGTCATGAATGATGGCTGCGCGTTGATGTCTCGCGCGCTCGCCCTGAAGATCTGCGATAGCATCGGTTTCACAGGTCCCACGCCGAGTTGTTTCCAGGCTCGCATCGCAGGCGCCAAAGGTCTATGGATGGTCGACCGACATGAATCTAGCATTCGCAGCTTTAGCAAGGGTGATGATGTGTGGTTGCAGATCTCGGATTCACAGTTGAAGATTCACCCCCATCCCCAAGAATTGGGAGACGCGTTTGATCCCGAGCAGCTCACATTCGAAGTCGTCAACTGGGCCAAGCCATTGCACTCGGTCGATTTAAACATTCAGCTCCTCGCCATTCTCCACCAAGGTGGGCACGTCAAACAACGTCTGGCCAAGTTGACACGCGCTGGCATCGATGAACTCTATGATGATATGGCCTATGTACTACAATCCGACAATCCTGTTCTTTGTCGAAGTCTCCTTCAAAAACTTAGGCCCTCGGGCGATGATGGAGGGAATAAACTCCGGCGCCTCGAGCAGTGGGTCGTGAATGATGCCGAGTTCATCATCCGATTGTCCGAAGCCGGATTCGCACCGCAGACCTTCTATCCTTTGCGAAAGCGACTCGGACAGCTGATGTGCTGGCTACTGGATCGACATGTTGAGGAGCTTCGGATTCAAGTCCCCTTGTCTACCTACGCCTACTGTGTCGCTGATCCTTACGATATTCTGGAACCGGATGAAGTGCACTTCGGCTTCTCTGCGCGCTGGAAGGACCCCAGTCGGGAATTCGAAGACATTCAGCTGGAGGGGGTGGACGTCTTGGTCGGGCGTCTACCAGCCCATGTACCATCCGACATCCAACGAAGAAAAGCCGTGTGGAAACCCGAACTTCGTCACTTTCAGGATATTATTGTATTTCCCCGGAAAGGAAATATCGCCTTGGCACACATGCTCTCGGGTGGAGACTACGATGGCGATACACCGTGGATCTGCTGGGATCCGCAGATCGTCCAAAGCTTCAAAAATTCCCAACTCCCAGATGCTGAATTCGGGGCTGATCATTTTGGACTCACCAGTTATTCATTACCAATGAGCCAGGTTCCATCCACCGAAGCGTTCCTGTTATCCACGTTTGAATTTAATCTCACTAGTTCCGGCCTCGGACGGTGTACTGTAGAGCATGAGAAGATTGCCTACGATGAATCGATCAACAGTCTCAAGGCCATAGAGCTTGCGAATCTACTGAGCCATCTAGTGGACGGGCGCAAAGGCGGCGTACACCTCTCGGAGCCAGCATGGCAAGCGTATCGCAAGAAAATCAGCCCAAGGCAAAGAGCATTGCCTGCATATCATAACCCTGGTCGCACTCCCAAGACAAGCAATATTGTGGATTATCTCAAGTTCGATGTCGCCAAAGGCCATGCCCATGTGATACGCGAAAGGCTGGAGCGAGAATTTCCCGAGGCCCAAGGAAGAAACGAGATAGACGATGACTTGGCTCGTCCAAGCCGAAAGGCGTCGGAAGCTGCACGTGTCGACCGTCAACAAGGCGGCGAGCTCCAAGCAACTCTGCAACAGATCCAATCTGCCATTGACCAGCTTTGCGACCAATGGAAACTCGCCTTTCGAACCGAAACAGAAGGGTTTCCGATTGAAGCGCGACAGGCGATTGAGTCTGCTGGCTCGCTCTGCCCCCCCCAGTTCAGGTTTCCATCCTCTTCTTCATACATGGCAAAATAGTCCGGAGGAGTGGCGCCGTTTTCTCGCATCGTGTGCCTATGTGACACATCCGCACTCGAGTTTCATTTTTCATGCCTTTGGCGAGACGATATGTCAGCTAAAAGCAGAGGCTCTCCCGTCACGACTGGTGACTCACGATGTTCTTGCTTGTTATCGGATGGACCAGAAAACGGTCGCTCGACTCACAGAAGCTGGCCTCTCTGGCGAGATGGAAGATGGCGATCAGTATGAAGGAGAGGATGCCATTGAGGCTTTCTTTCTTGGGACAGACCAAGGATATCATGATGGACTATATGACGACGAACCAGGTATTGAGTAATCAATAATTCTTCAATCGAATTTCAGGTCGATTCTGTCAGCAAGGCAAAATATTAGTAGCCGAGTAAATCATTGTGTAGCCAAGTTTCACAAGCCCGGCGAGCTATCAGTACACTCTCAACCCTCACCTGCTGTGAAAGGGAGACTCCTTACCTCTTCCAATCACTTCGGTAGTAATGTAGAGCATGTGTGACTATCGGGAAGAACGGGGACTGGTACGAATGAGATATCGACCCTTAATATTGGCTGGGAATTAGACATTCTGACTCCCACAAGGACAATTTAGGTACATGACCATCTCGAGTCGAAACATTATTCTTTTCCAAGGAGGCACTGTTGTCTCTGGGTGAAATTAAGGACAGCCTCGTGTTTTCAAAACCCAACCGGTTGCTCTGGGCAGCAACCAGCCACGTTTTGACCAATCCCAGCAAGGGATGGCAGTAGGTGAGGTAGAAGTGAGAAGTGTCACCCAATTTGGGCGAAGGTCTGAGCGTCTAATAATTCCTGGGAAACCCTGCCTCTTGTCAATTTGGCCACTATCTAGGATGCCAATTATCAAAGGTTTCTATTCTTAGCTGGGATGGTAAAGACTATGGTCGCACCGAGTCCAGTAATGTACAACTTTAGCGGGGGAACTTCATTCGTAGACTCTGTCTTACTCTCTGTATATCATGATGGCGATCATAGTACACAACTGATAATTCCAATCCAAAATGTAGCACTTTCTCGTCGATTTGTAGTATTGTAGATCGCATTCGCCAAGCTTTAGGGTATCCATGGTTTGATTGCGGGGAAGCTTCGGGCCGATGGGCATGCCCGATCGATCATCTCTTTTTCTCACTCCGTAATCTTTATTTTTATTTGAATTAATTGAATCCCAAATGGTAAAGTATCCATACTTCGTATTTGATGATTTAGTGGATGAAATTGTCTAGCTTGACAACCTCCTTGTCTTATTCCTCCCTATTGGTGTGTTACTTTTCTGGTTGGGTCATGGTGGCTGGGGAGGCTGGGAGCTGCCCACCGACGCCATGCCATCCAAAGAAAAGCCCACCAAGATACATTTTAGCTCTACTTCACTCTCATTGACTCTTCAAGCTTCAAAACCAGCTCCAGGAATGCTTCTGGACTAAGTCCCCTCGCCTGTGGATTCAGAACTTGCATTCCAAGATCGTCATGTCCGACCTTTCTATACCCCGAAACTTCAGCCTCCGAAACGTGAACTGTATGTCCCAGATTTCTCCGACTCCTCGCTTTCTATTTTAAAGAGAGCTCCAGTGCCCTCAAATTTGATCAAAAAAATTCTGATCCTGACCGTGGTACAGCAAGCAAACCTCAACTCTATCGAACAGAGTCTCGACAATCGGCCGCTGCATCAGACGACTACTATTCCTTCTCCGATAAAGGAACTTCAAGTCCCGATAGCCAAGTCACAGCAATGCGGTTCGCCACACCAGACTCCCAGCGGTCATCTCAGGCATCATCACCAACCGTGCCTCGAACCGAACAACCTCAGCCCATGGCCCAGCCGAGTCATCACCGTCAACCGGACCCTCAAGACCTCGGCTCCCCTCGGCCAGGTACAGCAAGCACAGTCCGTTTCGGTGAAGATAGGATCGCTCGCATCAGTCCCAAGTCCGATGAGACTGTTCGTCGTGTGCCCAGTGAATATGCTGGCCCTGCACCAACTCCAGGCCTAGACGACTCCCCATATGTACGATTTGCCATTGACCAGCTTACCCGAGACGAACAAGTCCACGGCCCGAGGAGACAGGATTCTATTTCGACCCGAGACAGTGACTATCCCACCGACCGACTCCTCTGGGACGAAGGGCTAGGGTATTTCACTCGCGCCAGAACCCCAATCCGGCATTCTGCAGCAGCGTTGTCTGAACGATCTAATTTCAAGTCCCCGTCCCCACAAGCCTTACCGCAAAGGCCAGACTCAATTGACCCCGAGTCATTCGTTGCTGTGGACCCACCTGAAAACGACTTGCTATATCCTGCCCTCGATTACCTTCCCATTGCTCTCCGACCACCGACTCTGCTTGCTGTCATTTTTGGCTGTCTATGTATGATCGCGGGCATCGTATTTTGCAATGTCTGGTCGAAGAAACATGCTGGTATTTGGAGTTATACAGGCCAGGATGATTCTCGCTATTTTGTGATGCAGTTTCTCCCTCAGATTGTGGCCGTACCTTTCATTGTCATCACTTTCATTATCCAAGCTTCAGTGTACCGTATAGCGCCATTTGCGATGATGGCAGCAGAGCGCAAGCGTGGCTATGTCTTACAGGGTCTTCCCATTCTTCCGCGCAATTTCGTCTTCCCCGATTTCTCACATTTTCGCTATGGTGAGCCGCTATTCGGATTCTCGCTCTTCTCCATCTGGTTGTCGAACTTTTTCTCGATCCCCTTGATAAGCTGCCTCTTCCAAGCAAAGTACTATGTGATTGATGGCCAGGGTGTCTGGAGGTGGACCTCTGTGCAGGCGATCGGTTGGACTCTCGTGGGCTTGTATGGTCTTCTGGCGATCGGTCTTTTACTACTCGTGGCCAGGTTCATTCGAGGGTGGACCGGGTTGATGTGGGACCCAGTCTGTCTCGCAGATCTGATCTCCATCATCCAAAGATCGAACATTCTCCACGATTATGAGCATTCTGAGACTGTTCCATCTGTCAAAGAATCTCTCGACCCTCGCATTCTCAGACTCGGATACTGGAAGTTGTCCATGAAGCCCGAAATATTCTATGGAATTGGAGAGGCCGATGCTCCCATTCGAACTCCGTCATTGCATCAGACCGAGAAGAGCAAGGAAAAACAGCCCCACGGACTTGCCAAAGTTTGTTTTGATCTTGAGCACCATGGCGCCTTTGCCAATGACCCCTTTGATCACCACCTTTATTCTCCATTCACCCGCTACCGCTGGACTCCATGGTTCCTTCGCAAGATATCAATTAACGTTTGGACCTTTGTGGTGTTCGCCCTTTTCATTGCTTTCGTTGCTGTCAGCTTCATTAACAACGCGATCAAAGGCGGTTTCCCCCCCAAACTGCCTACACTTCCCTCGATCAGTGCTTTCTCCTCTTCCAACTTCCTCTATAGCTTCATCCCTGCCTTGATCGGAAATTTTCTCTTTCTGGCTTGGCAGCCCATTGATCTATACTTCCGGGGGTTACAGCCATTTGTTGAACTTTCTTCCCCCGACGGAGCATCTGCTGACAGGTCAATACTCCTGTCTTACCCGGCCGCTTTGCCCTTCCAGATAACTATGCAAGCTATTATCAATCGCCACTTCAAGATTGCATGGATTTCTTTCATGAGCATTGTCTCAATTGCGATTCCAATTCTTGCTGGCGGTGTCTTCATCGCCCTCTGGTATCCCTCCCACCAGGACGTTCGAATCACCTCACTCATGCCAGCATTCTACGCCCTAGTCGCCTTCTGCGCTCTATACGCCGTCTCATTCCTGGTCATTTGGCCCGGTAGACGTCGCTATCTTCCCCACGACATCACGACACTCGCAGACCTGATGAGCTACTTCTACCAATCGCCTCTACTAGCCGACAAATTGCTCCGCGAGCCCCGCAGCAAGACAGACCTAGTTACACGGCTGATTGTTGCACCTCCCTCTGAGCGCCTGCTGCCTATGTACGGCTTCGGCATATATGTCGGTCGTGACGGTAAAGAGCATCTTGGAATTGACCGGTTCCACCGTCCCGGCCGCACAGATATGTTGATTACGACTGGGTCAATGAAATAATCTTGCAATATATCGTTTTTGACGATGATCAAGTTTATTGGCCTTATCATGAGTTTACGACCCTGCATACTACTACCCTTAACAAGCGGATTTTAAAAGAATTTTGTATCGATTTCAGGTTTAACAACGCTATCCCTTCATCACCACTATCTAGGTAGAACTGTATAGATTTCGGCGAAGAATTCCGGCTCTGATACACTCCAGAACCTTCCAAAGGTTATTTCCAAGTTTGATGGCATTATCTGGCGCTTTTGACTTTTCCTGTTCTGTTTTCAAGGTCCTTTTGGCTGTTTTGACTTTTAGCGCCTCAAATTTCAAGTTGTTTTACATACTAGTATAATGATGACATGCAAATGCCGCTTTTGGTCTTCGGACATATTCAAGTTTATGACTGCCTTCATACTCGTTCTATTCAGCCGTAGCGTCGCCTATGCTCAGGTGAGATCCATCTACCTAGTAGGTATCTTATCCGCGGTCATTATTTTCATTCGAGTAATTCTCTTAATTTCCTATCTATGAGCCATTGTGCAATGTCACATCCCTTCAAAGTCCCCTCAACCCCGGGCTGGAACGCCGTACCCACCTGGGCAAGAATGTCCACGGGTACAGCTTGATAATCCGTCATGTCGGTAACAGATTTGAACGTACAATGGTAGATATGAGACAAGTTTAGCAGAACCTGTTATTTCCTACATCGTTGAATGGACCTGCATGTGCTGATGGGTAATCGGACCTCCTATAGCTCAGTCATAGCTGTGTAGTAACATAACTTTATCTACCGAGTGCTGCCGCCAATAGATGGAAAGTCACTGTGCAGAAAAGTGTCTAGTTCCCGGGACCGAATGATAAATTTCATATTCCGGAGATGGAATGAATTACGACATGATACGCTATGTAAGGGATCTAGAAGAGATCTTGAAGTGGTGAAAGGTTTGGGAACGAAGTGATATTTCCGTAGTATTGTACAAATCCATAATCCGTGCGCCACGGTTTCTGATCCTAAGGGATAAGGGATAATTCAATTAATCATTGAAGTTTTTGGAAACATGATCTCATAACATTATCGACCCCCTGACGGGCCACGATCGTCCACACCGATCATTTTCAAAAAGGGTTCAATGACGCTGCGTTTACGCTCATCAGAGGCACGCCTCTCTTTATCCTTCGCAGGAATAGGTGCTTCGGTGGAGATGAGCACGAGAGAAAAGATACAAGCCAGATCAGACTCAACTTTCTGCCGACGTGCTGCTGCGGTGAAGTTGTTAGTTGGGGTATTATTGGTAGATTCCGAGCCCGCAGATGAGGTTTGCGATCGATTTTTGCGGCGAAAACTGCCCCCAGAGACGAAAGCAGCTGAAGAGGCGGAAGTCGGTGTATGTGGTTGCCGAACGTCCTCTGTGGTTATTGGTTCCTGATTATTAGTTCCATCCTTCCGCTGTACATCATCAGCATGATGCGTCCCAGGTTCGATTGTGGTGTTCTCTTTTCCGGAGTACGGTATGGATGGAACAGGTGCGACTTCGTTAACAATCCGGGCAAGCATAAAAGTCACAAACGTGAATGAAACGCTGTGCGCTGGAGAGTAAGCCAATTTCTCCAAGACCCATGCTTGAGTTTCTTCCCAGGATCGAGGCACTGCTTTGGACTTCTCGCGAGCTATCATATCTTGTTCCATCTCCTGCCAAATCGCAGCCGTGACAATGCCATCACTGAGAGAGCTTAGAAATGCAAGAAGAGTTTGGGCAAGAACTTCCAGACGGTGAATCGATGGTACTTCGGGTGGGAAAATAGCCGTGAAGGATCCATTGGAGTCAAGCGATTGACGAATGGGCTCTAAGAGAGATGCACGATCCTGTGGGTTTTTCAAAACCCATGTATCAGGCTGGAAAGGCCACGCGCTGCCAGATGGCTCTTTCATCCATGGGGCTTCTTCTTCCGCCTCGTCATTTGTCATGCTCCATTCAGCTACAGCACGCTCCGTCAACTCGGAGATGGCTTCTGTGAGACGGAAAAGCTCACGGGGCGCAGATAAACGCACTTCTGTATTATCCTTTGAGGGTAAGAACGCGTCGCCGGGGGCAAGACTGCGGGCGCCGGCTTCGGGCATGCGTGTGAGCTCATCCACGCTGCAACCAAAGCATGTCGGCAGCCAACGTCCGCAGACGGATATAAAATGATCTCGACCACTATCCACGTGAAGTACAAGAATCTCCTCCAACTTGAGCTTCTTGAGGTTGAGTAGACGGACATGTTCAATACAGCGAACATGCACCGTAACAGTGACATTGGCCACTTCCCCGGGAAGAAGAGTATGGCTGCTGACGGAAGTAGTCGATTGCTCAGGGTGGCTATCTCCAGTTCTCTCAACGCGGACATCAAGCCAGTCGGGCGATTCGGCCTTCGGGTCGTCGTGGAAAGTTGGCTTTTCTGCAAATGTGAAATTCGCCTCGGTGCCGCCAGTATTCGCGATTGTGAGAGAGCGGTGAATAGGCTTGTCATATGGCACATCGCCAAAATAAACAGTATTCGAATCCTGCTGTACTTCCTTGTCGTCTTGATGAGTATCCACAACAACCGTTAGACCAGGTCTGGCCTCATTCTCCGCTTTGTCTAATTGACGGACAACATCTTGGTGGATCTTAGCCTTGAGACTAGGGTTCACCGCATCAAATGTTAACGTAAAGACAGCATCTAGTGGTTTATGATCAGATGAAAGCACGCCTTGATGAGAGACGTAGTGGTCGAGGCAGATGGAATCCGGTGCTGATTCCTCGGACGAAACGGAGTCATTCTTATCTTGATCCTCTCCCGAATCGTATTCGTCCACGTCAACGTCAGCATCCAGACCATCGACCTCAGGATCATAATCAAAAAGGACGTTATCATCTGCGACAGCTTTATCGAGCCCGCAAGCTTGCATCTCCTGGTCGCGTTTTCGGGCCTCCTGTGCTTCACGATCAAGCTGTTCATGCTTGATTTTGTCCTGCCGAGAACGATAGAGAATGCGGTCACACCAGCTGGGACCACGATGCTTTTCACTAGAGTCAAATGTTGCCACGCTTCCGACATCATACTTGTACGTTGGTAAGAATGTAATTCGACCTTCTCGCCAGCCTTCGTGGAACGCAATTCCCTTTCTTTGTTGTGTATGAAGCTGATCATGTACAACTAGTGATGATATTGTTGTTTGTAGAGATGCAGGATCATTGTGTGGATCGATTTCCTCATCGCTAACAGGTTCTGGTTCCTCGCTGCGGGGAGGCACCGATGAAGAGACAGAACTGTCATCTGACCCTGTGAGTGAACTCCGACGACTGGCCGATTTGCTCTTCTCCATCCGCGCAGTATCATATGCATTGAGTGTATGACGGGCAAGAACCTGGCGCACATCATCGCCAGGGATATCATCAAGTCGATAATTCAAATCACCAAACCAAAATGTGAAATCCTCATCGCCGATAATGTCGAATGTCTCTTGGGATTTTGGAGCCAGACCAACGGGCTCAAACTTGGCTCGTAATAAAATCTGAGATGCATCCCAATTGCGTCGTTCCAGACTGCTTTTGTCAGAGCCGGCAGCTAAATGCGAATTGACAAAGACCAAGCGAGTGGTTTCACCTAGAACTAAACGCGTCGCGACACCACCTTTATTTCCCATATAGCCCATCAAACCAGTTCCGATGGACGTGCTGCTAATATATGAAATACTTTCAGCGATGGCAGGGGAGGCGTAGATCACAAGGAGTAAACCCGTCAGTTGGATATCCTCGACAAGCTGGTACCCCGTGGGCAATGCTTTGTGGACGGCATCCTTCCAACGTTTTGATGGGCCGGGATCAGTGAAAAAAGCCCCGGTAGCGGAGGAGATGTCCACAACCTCCTGCAATCCAAGGACATAGAGATCCACCTCCTCCGGGCTGTATCGAAAAGACTTCTCTTTTGGATGGTCCTCGTTTGTTGAAGCCCGGTCGGTGTTTGAGGTCGCTTGTTCGAGTTGCGTACCCTCTAGACCGGAAAAACTTTCACACACCCCTTGTCCGTGGACAAACCACTTCCCAATGTCCTTCTCGGTGGTGGGGATCCCGGCAACATTCCACGTTCCAATTTTCACGCGGACGGTGCGTCGTTCAGTATATTCGGTCTTCCTAGCCTTGACAGCTCGGGAGAGTGAGAGCAAGTCAAGTCCCGGGGTTTCGATATTTTCTACATCTTCGGCCGCGTGCTCTCGAGGGTCTGACGTAGCCGGCGATGCCCCATTACGGTCATGTCCAGGCATGCCGAGTAAAGTGTTGCAGGGCGAATAAAGCTTAAAAAATGACGACTGGGTTCGAGAATGGCATATATCCGAGCACGATAGTGATTATCTTCTCAGATCATGTCTCCGACAGGACCGCGGAGCTTATACGACCAAAGGGATTGTGGGTTTGAGAGATAGAGACGTAGATGGCCGCTTTTGCTTGAGGATATACTGGAGCAGAGTAGAGAGGCGAGATGAAGAGGAACTTGTTTGAAGGCTGGAAACGAATCATTCGGGAAGATCTGTAAAGTTCCAAGTTTGTTGGAGTTGAGCTTAGAGTTGGAGTCGAGTGCTGCGGGGGGGGGTTTTGGCGGAGATTGGCGGAGTTGGAGGAAACATGTTTGCACTGTTTGTGATGACTGTACCTCACTCTCGGTAAAACTGCTCCGATACCTTTGGCAAACCGGCTAATATATCTGCCGAGGTTCGTTCCTTCCTTGGGCATACATTGGCATATGTTGCTGTGACAAACTTGAACTCGAAATTGATATTGACAAGACCCCAATCTCAATTTCAATGAACTCCCGACTTTGATACATTGTGACTACCTCTATGGAGACTGGTAGAGTATAACAAAGACTGATTTAATTTGAAATCAGGGACTTCGGGATCAACTTGAACCTGAAGTAACTAGTAATATATACATTGACCGTGTTCAGGTGAACTTGAAACGAAAACTTGATTGGAACTTCCAACTTGAGCCCAGTCGTCACTGGAATTCATATCATCTCCCCAGTGATAGTCCTTAAGGTACAGACCTGGAAAGTCGGGACCGGGTGGAAGAAGGATTCCTCCATGAATTGACGTTGGTCAGCAGAGATGATGAACATCTTTCTTTCACGATCCCCTTTGAACAGTCCACGGCAGATTTACATCTCACACAATGGTCCTGCGACGGAGAGGGGTAGGTGTACTACCTTGGGACAGGGTCGCTCCGGGCGTCAAGTCAGACTGAGAAACAGTACCGACAGATCCCTGACCTTGCGTCGTATCGGATGGATCGTGACTTGCAATGTTGAAGTAGCAGACATCGGTCAAAGAAGCCCCGAATGCTTGAAACCCACCATCACTCCAACCGCATGAGTTCGTGGGAGGGGACTGTTGATTATTCACGAAGTAATCCTGACCCCGGTAGCTGAAATTCATTGAGCATTCGGATCCGATGTCAAGATAGAACATATGAACGATGAGATGGCCAGCCTCAAGATTAGGGTGGTTCACCGTGCAAATTTGAAAGTAACTAGCCACTCCACGATCGCGGTCTTGCTTGCAGTCGGACGCGGATGGCTTCAGCACGGTTCCGTCAGGGAGATGAACTTCCAAAGAAGAGTTGCTGATACCGGATCCGCCTTCGCCCTCTCCTTCGGCGCCACCTGGTGCATTTGTCAGTCGCCGAAATGATCTCTCCATGTATTTATTTGAGCATACCAGGATCTGGATAGGTGTGCGTGTCACAGTGGAAGTAAACTTGCGAGTCTCCACTCTGGTCTTCCGGATTCCAGCCGCCCCCTCGCGTTGCGTGCTTATGGCTGTTCGGAGAGAATTTGACATTTTCGACACCTCCGTGTTTAGCCGTTGCAAGGGTAGCCAGGAGGCCAGTGGAAAAAACAGTTTTGAGAAGCATTTTGTTAGATCCTCAAGTGGGGGGTGGAAATGCTGGTGGATCGAGCTCTTCGCTTGTAGCTTGCGCCAGGTGTGGAAAGTCCTGGATAGAAGGCAGACGTAGGTATCGCCTTGCTTTTATATTCCTGTTTCATTAGTTTTCCGTTGACTTTCGCACTATGTCAGGTGTGTGATCCTTTGGAAATGAAGTTAGAGGCTCCACATTAGCTATCGCTCTCATTACACCACTTTTCTGATTTGGGGGATACAGTGTCAATCAGGGGTTCTATAGAAAATTACGATTGCCTTAAGGGGTAAATGGTAGCTTTGATCAAATAATGACGTGGTGAAACGTGTGTAGATCAATGTGAGCACCCTGCTCTTGCTTTGGCTGTTCGGATGAACAAGTAGTTATTGAACGGAGACAAGAGTTGCCGATCCGTAAGAATGTTTCAACAACCATGAATGAACCGATACTGCACGAAAATGATTGAGAGTTCGGCTGTTCTCATCCAGCTAAAATACTTCACTATTGGACACATGACTACAACATCATCACGACCGTTGTAGTAAACTTGGATATGGCATTATCTGTCATCCAAATGGGATGTTTAAGCCTTATAATGGTGCGACAATTGATTCCCCAACTAAAATTCCAGGTAAACAATCAAATTGTTGATTTCACAGCAAATTTACAGAAGAGGGGTCAAGCGTTAGTACACTGTACGTTTTGAGGTGATCGACATGTCAATCTATGGAGTCACACTCGGCATTTGACGACTGATGGCTAAGAGAAATAAATGTGGAGGTGGCCCCCAAAGCCTTGTGCCGTTTTGAATGAGCTGAGATTGAAGACGATTGGGATCGGCAGGCAGCGTAGCGGGGGCCAAACATCCTCTCGGAAAAGGGAAAGTCGCCAAGGGTTTTATACTGGCCTCTGTAAGATCATAGTGAAGAAAATTCAGTGTAAAACAGATCTAGGGCCTGCCTTTGATGAAAACATGCCGTATCAGACTCGAAGGATGTCCCGTATATGGCCGAATCCATCATGACGTAACAATCAGGGCAACCTGGCAAATTTCGCCATGCAGATTACGACTCGGAGGATGTTGATGGATGAAAACTTGGAAAGTGGACATTGGGGAATGCCGGAAGGTAAGGGGAATTTCTTAGAACGAAGTAGTGTGAACCTTGGAACCTTGGAAGACAACTTGAATGTACATATACGATCGTTTCACTCTTTGCACACCTGGGCAGTCTATGATACTAGTAGATATTGAAAATCTTGAATACAAAAAAGCCATGGAATAACACTGGATAAATAGACCTGATAATGTGATGTCTTATTAACCAGAACCAAGGCATAATATTCAAGCTTCCAAGCTTCTCAGAGCTATCCCATCGGTTGCCATGGCCCTGACACTGATCCTTGCACTAGGACGTTGCATACTTTGCAGCCACAATATCAGCCTGTACCTTGTCCTCGGTATCATCGGACGGGAAACCAGAAGTCATCACACCCTCATAGAAGGTGCCCTGAGCATTAGGACTGTTGTCACCACCAATACCCAGAATGATTGAACCCTCATTGTACATGGGGTTGTAGCCATCCGGGCGCTCTCCATTGTAGTAGGTAGTGAGATTACCAATAGTAGAATCCCCACCACGAAGCGCCCACTGATTCGGCTGACCCTTGAGAACGGCAGTAACAAAGCGCGAGGTGATAGAAGGGTCACCAGAGCTATACCTGGCGTCTTTGCCACCAAAGAGACCATCCTCTAGGTCGGCCATGATCCAAGGCCCGTTGCCGGCGCCCCTTCCCCAGGCTGTGTTGGTACCGAAGTAGATAGCCTCCATATGTCCAGCACCTGTGTCGGTGTTGCTAGTCTCGGCATTACCGTAGTCGAAGCAACACTGGTCATTGTAGTCTGACCCATCAAGAACGGCATACATACCCTCAGGATCATTATCCTTAGCTGTGCCAATAGCTCCATTTTTGCGGTATCCCATGCCAGCCTCGATCTTAAGACCATACACCTTCTGTCCGTTTAGCGTGATAGGTGCGCCTTTTGCATTTGCTAGAGTATCGTAGCCGCCATCTGCTGGCCCATCGAAACCACCTGGTGGGGCACGAGTAAGATGATTACTTTTGCCCGACTGGTCATATATAGCGCTGATTTCACAATCAGTGTTCTCACAAAAGCTATCTTGAGTAGCAGCATTGGCAATTCCACCGGTATTTATGGGTGAAATGTCGGCAGTGGTATTGTCAGAACCACGTGAGACTTGGTAAAGAGCGCCGGAATATCCATCATACAAAGCGCGAGTGGTGCTATGTGCCGCGATGCAAGGCGTGTTGTTGGCGTCATAGATGTCACAAGGTGCAGCGGCAACCAGAGAGCCCGTAGCAGCAAGGCCAAGCGCTAGGCGCAGACGAAGTTGCGGCATATTTGATGAAAATTTGAAGTTGAGGAGAATCGTAGAGAGAACCTTCAAGTTTGAATTGAGTAGTATGATAGAATGCAAGCGTGGATGAATCAGTGCCCAGTTTAGAAGATACTAGTAGGAACTACCTATGGGAGCAGGTGTACTTTATATAGCTTTCGAACCTTGGAAGTTGCATGGTACCTACAATGACCCGAATTGGGAACGTAAAGTTTGACTTCGCACGATTTTCAATTATGTTGCCCCTTTGGAAAAAGGCCAAGTATAAACGTATTGACCCCAAAAATAAGAAATCAGGTATTTCGCTGTGTTTTGCATTTTGGGCACACCCACCTGGCACTGGAGGATCCATAATGGGCTATGCTCCTTTTGCTTTATCTTCTTGCGGGGTCCATATCATAATCAACGGCAGATAATTGAGCAGCAACTTGAAGATACCCAGTTTGGCAATGTAGTAAAGTATTAACCTTGGAGCCGAGTTTGATAGCTGCGAGAAGGACTGGGAGTTTGAACTGATTTTCAGAAGTGGAGTACATGTCTTAGTTCATACGTCATTCGTCACCTATGTTTCAATTAGATAGACATCTCAATGCTGTGATCGTTGTCAGTATTTCTTGATTTGATTTATTTATATATTATTGACGTACGACACGAATGATCCAGACGGTTAACGAGATATAAGCTAGAGATCAAGGGATTATGCGAATGTTACTGTCCACCGGGATATTTCCGCATTTGGTGAAGATTGACTGACATGTGGGGAAATTCCATGCGGGGATTACAGGCACCAACCTTGGAAGGTAAGAAAAAGAGAGAATGGACTAAAATATCTAAAAGAATACCCTCATTGAATACTGTGGGTTCGAATCAACAGTGAGACAAACTTTGCGTATGGTTGGCGGAGCACAGCCCATTTGCTATAGCTCCTAAACAGTTCCATTCAATTCAAAGCTTTTGAGAGTGATACAGCAAGATAGCATATAGCGTGTATCACGTGGAATATAATACCCCAATAGAAAACAAAATGACGACGACATGATTGCAATCCTCTTGTAATTATTGGTGCGATAGCTTAAAAATGGCCAAAAGGTTTTTGTCGTTAAGATGAACTTTGAAAGAACCACTTCAATGCTCGGATAATTTGAGTGACACTTTACACATTTGCGCACTTTCCAGATGACTATAGGGAATGGAAGTGTTTTGTCTATGAGACTTTGATTAAATCCTAACAGGAATTAGGCAGAGACTTTAGGTTAGCCGTGGAACATAGAGAGCAAGCATTTTATTCCATCTAAGCATCTGGAACTTGTTTAATCCCGACACGGGTAATAGTATACTTCATCCCGAAACTGAATTGTAGTAAAGTTTTCCGCAAATTATAACTCCCTTCAAATAATTTGCCTTGATCACCTTTAGCAACCGACTTGGTTTACCATATCATGTATAGGATATGTTTTCTCCATTCAGTAGAATCTCCCTATATTATCATAGAGTTATAAATGGCCCAATTGATTTTTGATATATGGGAATATCCGTAAAGAACTCCGTTAAATTAAGACATTAGCCCTTTTATGCGCCCTAAACCATAACGAAAGCAGTATTTAGTTCCCAGCGTGTCCCGTGGCACAAGCAATAAAAAGACCCGATAACTGCTCAGACCCGAGCTAGTAGTTGGCAGAAGAGATTTTGTTTCGATCACCTGGTTCTATGGTAAAAATTAGCTTGATCATGAAGTAAAGAAACAAATCTTAGCTCTTCGCATCAGAAATTATTTTTGACTTATTATTGGAGATAACACACTCGTAGCTATACACTTGCTGGGTAGCAATGGGGATTCTGTAAGCTATTCCCCGTTTCAAAGTCACTTGGCAACTATTACATAAAGGCGTTTTACACTAAAGCCAAGGGTATATGCAACTACCAGAGATGTTGAATTTGCCCAGGCCAGGAGGTCAGGGCATTACTAATTTTTAGCAGGTCACTTTGCTGCACTGATACTAGTGGCGTAACCTTTGTAGTTTCACTGCCTAGGTACAACTTATTCAATCACCTCAGTCTCTACTACGTGTCGTCTAACTACCTTACCGAAGCGTATCGATTGATTAATTACTGTGTTACCACTTACCATCCGGGCACTCGCGGGCACATTTACTAGTTGAATTCCTAGGTATTAGTATATGCTGTTATCTGCCGAAGGGGGCGAATTACCCATTCAGACCTGTCGGAGGTGTGCTGCTGGTAAGCTGAGGAACAAGAGAGATGGTGATCAGATGAATAGAGAGAGAGAGGGGGGGGGGGAAGCTATCTAGACATGGAATGGGCGGCCTTGGATGCCTGAGGCACCAGTGCCGGCCAGGCATCAATCCTCAACAAGATTAAAGCACCTGGGTAGATCTGCATATTTCCCCACAGTTCCTGGGAGCGCATTGATGCGTAAAAGTCACCATAGGCGGCGGCGTATTGAGATTCATTACCTAGGGGGTTGCAAGCTATCAGCCTTACCTAGGTAGGCTTGAGGCATAGTCATCTGTATGCCGCCCATGATGACTTTAATAGAGTATAGAAGCGTAAAAACTTGGAGTTTGAGCAGACGGCCCTGCGTTTCGATTGCAAATCAAAATAAAGGGATCCGACTTCCCCCTCCATCACAGGTCCATAGCAGCATTCCCCTCTCTAGTGTTTAACCAACTCACAGGAATGGAGCGGTGTGTACATATTGCGATAATCTCAGACCCCCACATATCGTTACTTAAATGGCAAGCAAGTCTCGTCAATGTGCATACTTGCAGACTATGTACGGAGTATTTACGCTGTACGGAGTACGGAGTACTCCATATGCCCGTCGTGTTGAAAAACCAGCCCAAGAAAGGACAAGTTTACAGACTGAAGAGTTTTCTTCGGCCCACGCGGTTCGTGTATCTTCATTGCCTTATTGGGCAGGGGTCCTTTAGCCGAAATTGAAGGTGGAGCCGACATCAATAGCGTAGCTCATTCTGTGGTTGATCTGCGGATCTATTGAACCGCAACCGATCATCTGCGATCATAATTCGATTCTGATGTTAACCTTGTACTCCATAAATCGTGTGAAAATTCTTGCTGCTACAAAGGATTTCGCTTAATAGGCCACTTGAAGTTGCCTACGATGTACCCCGTAGGTACAGAGATAACAACTAGATAGCTGACTCGGAGTGATAGAATAATTCACGTCTGTGGAATAACTTTTTGTCTTGAACCTACTGATCAGACAAAGATCACAGTGACCATGATAATCTATTTTTCTCTTCTCGTTCCTGTCGTTTTTCTATATTTGCGGTCTCGCAAGAATCAGGCGCTAGAGTTTCCTTTCCCCCCGGGACTTCCCCTGATCGGAAATTCATTCCAGATCTCGCTCCGGCCGCATATACAGTTTGTTCAATGGGCCCGGCAGCTCGGCGAGGTATACCGCGTACGTCTTGGCCTGGCAGACTGGTACATACTCAACTCTCCGGAAGCCGTCAAAGAAATTTTGGACAAACAGTCTGCCGTGACTTCCTCACGACCACCATGGCCAGTTCTCTCCGATGCTTTGTCAGGTGGCTTAAGATTTCTCTTCATGCCGTATGGGTTGAAGTGGCGGCGCCTACGATCTGTAGCACATGGTCTTTTATCCCCTCGGGTATCAGCAACATTTCAGCCGTCGCAGGAGTTTGAAGCCAAACAATTGATACATGATCTGTCAACAAGCAATCAGAACAAATCAGATTTTTATATGCATATTCGTCGGTATACTGTTTCAGTACTCATGACTTCCACGTATGGGAAAAGGATACCAAGTTGGGTGAGCGAGCAGCGTTGTGAGGATACTTTCTATTGTTTTAGCTGACTGTCTCATAGGAGTGCGATGACGTCCGCGACATATATCAGGTTGTCAAGGATTTCTCCGACGTGTCCTCTCCAAGGCGAATGAATGTTGCGGATGGAATCCCTCGTCTAGCTGAGATTCTTCCAATTCGGCTCCAATGGTGGAGGAATTCCATGAAGCCATTATTCAAGAGACAGGAAACCCTTTGGATGAGATTGTGGTCAGAGCTTAAAGCAAAAATTGAGGCTGAAGAAGCTCCCGATTGTTTTGTTAAACAGTTCATTGAGACGCAATATCCAAAAATGGACATCACCGAGCTCCAAGCTGCATTCTTGGCAGGGTGTAAGTCATGGTTCCTGTATCAATTGCACATGACAGCTAATGAAAGCAGCATTGATAGAAGCCGGAGCAGAGTCGACCTCATCGGCAATTAATAGCTGTATGCTGTACCTCTCTGCTCATCCGAGGATACAACAGGCAGCACATGATGAAATCGATAAGGTGGTTGGACATTCACGTTCACCTAGTTTCGCCGACGCCAACGACCTTCCTTATGTCCATGCTATCAGTAAAGAAATCCTTCGCATTCGTCCACTCGCTAGCTTAAGTATACCGCACTACACAATGGCAGATGTCTGCTACAAAGGGCGCATCATACCTCAAAACAGCATCGTAGCGATGAACCAATATGCATTGCACTACGATCCTTCCTTATTTCCTGAGCCAGAGTCATTCATACCGGAGAGACATCTCCGCAATTTGGACAGTCTAGCCGTGAGCACTGCCCTATCAGATTCATACGGCCGTGACCATTGGGACTTTGGTGCAGGACGACGCATTTGTCCCGGGAGACACCTAGCGGAGAATAGCATGTTTATAACAATTGCCAAGATCCTATGGGCCTTCAAACTGGTACCCCCAGGGAAGGTGAATCTCTCCCATGGTGCGTACGAGGCGGGCACTATGACAATCCCTAAGCCTTTTGCTGTTGAGTTCATCTGTCGGAATCAGAGGATTGAACAGGTATTGAAAAATGAGTGGGAAACAGCGGTGACTTCGAAGGCATAGAGTATCCATTTATCAGAACACTCGAGATGAAGTTAAGATGACATTTCACGGGGACCTAGTACCTAAGTATGACGCTCTCAACTTGAAGACAATGGTGACATTGATTCCTACGATTCCAAACCTCAAGAATTATACATTAAATCTCTGCTGAACGTATTACTATCATGAACGCAGAGTCAAGATCTACCTAGCATATGTCAAGTGAATAAAAACCCTTAGTACATGAGAAATTGCATTTCAATCGAGTCAAGACCTCTTTAAAATGGCGAATCTAGCGAATACGCCATCCCTCGGCCTCATAGTGACGTCCTCATCGACCAGTATATCCTCGTCAGGAGATTGCAGCTCCATATGAAAATTCGCGACAAGGGAACAGATCAAAAAGCAAAGCTCTGCTTTCGCGAATTCCTGGGCTATACAGTTGCGAGGTCCGTGGAGAAAGGTCAATAAAGCGTAGTTGTTGGATTTTGGACGTTGATATTCCCCTGTTGGGCTCAAAAAGCGGTTTGGATCAAAGACTTTGGCGTTGGGACCCCATAAGCCCTCCATGTGGTTGATGACCTGGGGGGGCAATAACAAACATGGTACCCTTGGGGATAGAAAGTCCAGTAATCGAGGTATCACGAACGGCCGTGCGAATTGTCTTGGGAATTGGAGGGTAGTAGCGAAGGACCTCATCGCAGAATGCATTCAGAAATGAGAGAGTTCTGATCGCAGGTGAACGGAAATCGGAACTTTTAATTGAAGAGGCAGGTAGACAAGCGCGAACTTCTTCACGAAGTTTCGTTTGGACGTCTTGGTACTTGCAAAGAGCATATACTGACCACTGCAAAGCTGCTGCGGTTGTTTCATGCCCAGCTGAAAGAAATGTCATTGCTTGGTCAACAAGCTCATCCTCAGTAAATTCCTTGCTGTTAATGGCCAAAGATATGATATCGATCTTCTTTTCGTCTGTTTCCTTTTCAGCCATCCGCTGCTGAATTACCCTTCGTGCAGCATCACTTATTGTCCTCTGAGCTGCCCTGATTTCATGGTTACGCCGTGTGGGGAACTTGTAGATGATTTTGGGATGTAGCAGTAATATGCAAATTGCAGAAAGCACCTTTTCACTTGTTGATGGTGCCATGAGCTTCCTATAGGCTTGGTAAAGCGCGTTTTCGGGACTTCTCAAAGAATCAAATTCAATACCCATGGCAGCCTGACCGATGATGTCGAGAGTTACACGACTAGACCAGTGGCTTATTTGAATGATGTTATCGCCTTTTATTCTTGTCGCAAGATCATTTTTCATCAAATCGACCATATCCAAACTCTTGGACCAGAACATGTCATGTAGGTTTTCGATATGACGCTTGGAGAAAGCCGGATTAAGGGATCTTCGTTGCACCTGAAGAAAAGTCGTTAGCTCGATAATGTCAAGGTTCTGGTATTTGTACTTTATGTTGCCCTCCCTCGGCGAGTACAATCCCATCTCCAACAAGATGTTGCATCACGTGTCGGATCAATTCAGGTTTTTCAAAGTCATAAGCCCTTTTGATAAGCATTTCATATATTGCTTCTGGGCTGGTAAGAAGAACCCATTCAAAATTCCCCACAATATAGTAACGGATCATGCTCGCATCGGGCATACTCTTGATCCATCTTTCAATCATTCCATAAGGAACTTCGATTGCAAAAGATTTTGAATTACCTGTTAACCAGCTCCGATGCTATTTTCGGTCAGTTTTGATTGCGAAAATTGGGGTTGATGCCATACTTTCGGGGATGGTATGTGCTTCAAACGTGTGAAGAATTGTGGATAGAAAACCAACTGCATGGCGAGTTTGAATATGACCCATGCCGCGAGAACTGTAACGATAGTCATCGGGGCGAAAATGAACATAATTTCTTCTATTTGATGATAGAATTAGATGGCAAGATATTTTCAGATCTGTTGAAGTGAATGATGCGCTATCGTGCAAGAAATACTGTTCGATCTGAAATGACTGGTTGGTTCGGCACTTAGCTAACCGAGTGACACTCAAAGAAGTAGAAATTTGCGATACTATATGTAGTAGTTAGTATGAGTCGAAGATGACGGCCTGGGTGAAACGACCTCGGGATGCAGAAGATAAGGGGTGGATAGAGCTAGCCTGATGGATCATAATTTCCAAGATTCTATTTTTTGTGCGCCATCGCCCATGCCCCGCCTAAACCACCGGTGATCTACGAACATGAAGGGTCAGGAGTTAAGTGTGTATTGTCCTTATCAGAAAAATTACAATAGGCTAGGCCTAATTAGGAAGAGGATCGATGAATGGCATCTTGACCTACGTGGGGCAGTCTCTCTGTTCTTCATCCTGTCAGGGGTCAGTATATTGGGGTCTTGCAGTAGTTAATACTTCTTGGTACTCCGTATGTGAGGACTCGAATCTTGAAATATCGTAGTATCTTGACGATAAGTAACAAAACTAGAGAGGAAAAGAAGAGAGAGAGAGCTCTCCTCGCAACTATCGTACATGAACTGGTGTCTAGGCACGTGACGTATCAGGTGACTCAGGCAACAGCGGCGAGGTTCGTCACACCTCTCTAAACGGCCACAGAGGGTCTGTTTAGTTTCGGATATGCTACCATATGAGACTCTGGAGTGAAGTTTTATGGTTTTGTAGACTATAGGATACTAGTTCTTATATATATACTGAAATGCTGACATAATAGGCCGTAATGGCAGTCTGGGGATCACATATATTTAGAGTCGCTGAGCTTGAACGCACAAGATAAGATTGAATCTAAGGCCGATAACTTGACGTGGTAGGTTGGCACAAGGTCCAATTCCAGGTATAAATAGTGCTCTTGTTGGAACCAACGGCCTGTGCGATCTCCGTTATAGATAGTTCGCTACTGTAGATCATATCATGAATGAGCTTGAGCTTAGAAGGTTCTAGGTTTGGAGTCACGGTTGGTTGGACCGCTTGTGATTGATTGTGTGTGAAATGGTGCCTCCCAAGAACAGCTGCATCAGCGGAGGGGCATCGAGGTAACCGATGTATTGAATTTACAAGTGAATATATGTCTGAAATTATGATGTAATCGACGTACGAATGAATAACATACGTATATCTCGGAAGCCTCTAAATATAGACTATTGTGCCTTGGTGCAAGGGGCAGGAATGTTAATTAGAGAGTGGAGTTGTTGCACCGGTTTCGCAACGTACTGTATCCTCGCAATGGCTGCTGTTAAGTCTGGTCTCCCGATCAATTTGAATAAGTCGAAGAGATAGAAGAAATATCGTCGCAAAACAACTCTTTTGAAAAGGCTTCCCAATGTAGCAATATGTGGGAAGCAGATGTGTGCATAGGCATTCGTTTACGTGAGACGGGTCAGGTCCATGTTTTTTGACAGCAAATGATTCGGGGTTCTGGGCTTTTCTTGCCTCACAATTGGAAAGCTACAAGGTCCATCATATACTGAATAGATATCTGATTGTCTAGAGCGCCTAATACCCTAAACCAAGCTTCATAACAAATCAAGAATTGGATGGGATGACCGTCATCGCCAATAGATGTAATAAAGCACCCTGCAGGTCATCATTGTAGACTGCCGTGGCTTCTGGCGGTTTACAATTGCGATGGAAGGAAAGCGGAGCCAAGCAATGACTCGCAGAAGTAAACTTTGCTTTCTACACCATCCTTGCCCATACTTTTCACATCATGCTTTGGGATTGTATGAGCAAACAGAATATCAGAGGATTATGGGGGAAAACAAACCAGGGAATAGGATATAGCGCTCAATTCCATATGTGCAGTAGAAAGAATGAAAATAATCAAACAAGGAGATCTCGAATATATTTGCGGGGATAGTATATTGGATAGGGTGGCTTTTTTTACATATTGAAGTACTAATTGGAGACAGAAGAAAGCAAAAACCAAAATATTCGTTGTCTCTGAGCAGGGAAAATTAGAAGTGCTCACCCCATTGAGAACCAGCCATTAAGGTGTGCATACAATATATAGAGTATGCTCTCCGAGGAACACAATTTGAAGCTCCCCGGGTCCGCTGCATTAGTTCCTAGGCACGAACGGGTCCATGAGAGTGATCTACGTTATTCCTAGGACCGCAGCGTAGGCTCCTCGGAATACTGCGCCTAGCCCTAGGAGCCACGGCAGAACTTCCCCACACCTTTTCACCCCTGGGAGCAACCTCCTTTGTCCCAGGAATATGGTGCCGCCTCGTTCACGAAGAGACCATACAAAGGATTTTTCACCTTGTGACCTATTGTATTGTGAGTCCCACCTTCTGCTTTGCTATGCCTGGCTTCGTTTAGAAGATACTTAATGCACGAATTTCTCAATGCAAAGATTACTCAAATGTAACACTATGCTAAATGGCGAAAAAAAAAGAAAAAAGAAAAACAGATATTTCGTGTCTATGATTTTCACCATCGGTGGTGAATCAAGCTACGCTCAACGCGAGCAAGAAGAAAGCAGGTGGTGAAGCTGTGAGTGTCGAATGTTAGTTAGTAGAAACTTGCTCAAAATTGGTGGATGTAGTGGTTCTATCCTGCATATCGTTTCGAGGGGTCTGGCCAAATGAATTCGCACACACACCCTGTAGCGCAAAGATAACTCAATTAGAGAGAAAAGAAGATAATAGTTGTCTTAAGCATAATAACCCTGTTTCTTGCGGAGCATCGTACACCACAAGACCACGAATGAAGGAGGAACACAAAATTACTTCTGCCCTAAACCGAGTAATGTGTAGAACTGTTCTCTTGCCTTGTGGTCATCCTGCAACATGCCAGTCATCCGGCAAGTAACCGTGATTGCCCCAGCCTTTTGAACCCCCCTCATCACCATGCACATATGTGCACATTCCACGACGACTGCTACCCCCTTTGGCTGAAGGACTTGGTCAATCGCCTCGGCCACCTGCTGCGTGAGACGCTCTTGAACCTGCAGCCTGCGCGCAAAGACCTCTGCGATACGCGCGAGTTTTGATAGTCCCAGCACACGGCCGTTAGGGATATATCCAATATGGATCTGTGTCATTAGTATAGAATAAACCCTTGAACAGAAGTGGTAGGGCGGACTACCTTGCCCATGAATGGCACCATGTGGTGTTCACACATGCTGAAGATGTCGATGTCTCTGACGAGGACCAGATCGTGGTGGTCGACCTCGAATACGGCGTTGTTGACCACTTCATTGATATCGTCCGAATACCCCTTGGTGAAGAAGAGAAGGGCTTTGGCGTATCGATCGGGGGTCTTGATGAGTCCCTCCCGGTCCGGATCTTCTCCAATGTGCTGCAGCACTTTCTTCGCTGCATCTGCCAGTTCCTTTTGGCTCTCTAGTTCATCTCGTTTGCACTGGGTTTGATCTTGGCATAATGATTGGGTTGTTATAAGAACTGATTTGAGTCAATTTGACTGGGTGAAATGAACAGGAGCAAAAACGTACGTTGATCTTTCTTTTCGAAGGCTGTTCCAGTAGGGTCAGCGGTCGTTGTCGGGTGAATGGTCATTGCTATTTGCTGGAAAATGAGGTTTGCGATTGAATGAGAACTCAAGATGAGATTGGATTTTATGAGCTTGATGGATAAGTAGGAAGCCAGTCTACTGGGATTCACATACCTTGCCCGTATAGAGCTGCTGCTCTTGCATTAGCGCAAAGATTACCCCTAACCAATTTTCCTTTTTGCTTTTGCAATATGGCGGTGGACTATAAAATTTGAGATATACGGTTTAAAGGTTCTGTCAGAAGGTGGTTGTAACTAAGGCAATTTAGGCTGCAGATAGTTACACTGCATGCTTAAATGCGTGACGTGACGTGGGCTTGGGGGTATGGTCCACATAACTGGTCACACATGAGCCTATAGATTCGAGACTTGGTTCCGTTTTTCGTGGTACTTATTGCTTTTGAGGAGATTCAGCTAAGCCGCGTTGGAAATTGCAGATCATCTTCCATTAATTGAGAAAATGCCTACCGGACGTGGTATTGGTTCATACGCTATAAACATACCATACAAGAAAATCGTGTTGGTACCCTTATTACCAGGTATTTGACTGATAATTCAGCTCGCCAGTGGAGATGCTGTCTTTGGATTTATTCTACTCAACTCAGATCCCAAAACTTTCGTCCACCACAGTCTCCTTTGGTTGTTTCTTTGGAATCTCTTCACCATGGGCTCGATTCAAGACAGCCAGAACCAACATTCGATGATGGATAGCCTCGAGTCTCGCGCGGCCATCGAGTGCTTTGTCCAAAGTCTTCCCGCACAGGCCAATATACTTCTTGTGGGCCGTGACGCATCCTTCACGCTGTCTAGAAAGCTTAATGAGGCCGGCCATCGTGTCCATGGAATTGATACCGCGAGACCAGACGGCGAAATTGCGATGCACGATATTGGAAGCTTCCAGGGTGCTGATATGAGAGAGTACGCTACCAACAACCTGGACGCCATTGTGGTTATTTTCTCCATGTACCATCTCTCTGGCGCCGAGACATATTCCCAACTATTCAAGTTTTCCGAATGGCTCCGGCCTGGTGGCCAACTCTTCCTTGGAACCTCTGTGATGGATAATTTGAGCCTGAATCGCTGCCACGACTGCGTCGATGAGCGGATACGCTGCTTGCCCGTGAGATTCCTGGGCAAGGAGATCAATGCGGCTACGATACTCTCTAAGAAGGGCTGGGCCCACATGGCCTTAGACGCAGGCTTGTCTGTTGAAAAGGAGGATGATATCTCTCTGGGCCACGGCGAGGGTATTTGCTTTATTACTTTCTGCCGGACGGAGCAGCAGCACCCCCTCATGGGACCCTTCCCCATTCCTGCCTCCTACCGAGGCCCTCACCGTCTCAGCGAAGCAGCCTGGAGTCCTTTTGCCTCCCGTCTCGTACGGGACGAGTTTGATTTCGTACTTGACGCGCTCAAGGGGAACCAGAAAGTGTTGGATGTTGGGAGCGGATATGGAAGTAAGTTCATTGGTAACCCTGCCAGCATGTAATGCGTCATTCTAAGGAATATCTCAGAGCTCCCTCAAGAAGTCGCCGCTCGGACGGGCAGGGCATACTCGATCGAGCCGAATCCTGATCGAAACTCGATCCAAGCAGCCAACGCGAAAAACGCGGGGATCGAGCTGGCCCAGGGCACGGCAGAGAGCATTCCCTTTGGAGACTCGAGCTTTGACGCCGTGGTTGCCATGTGGGTGCTTCATTACGTCGACGACCTGGAGAAATCGTTACGGGAAATGGCTCGCGTGGCAGACCAGTCCGCACCCAATGCCCGGCTGGTGGTTGTGCAGGGCGCCCCAGACAACGAAATTATCCACTTCATGAATACTGTCTGCCCGCCCATCAGCGCGACCAACGGCCAGCCCAATCACCAGGGTTATCTACTGCGCACAGCGGCCGAGGTGTTTGCCAAGTGTGGATTCGGAGATATCTCCCTACATAGAGTGGATGCGTTCTGTGAATTTCGCGAGGAGGATCTGGAGGACAGATGTGACAAGGCGGCCGAGGTAGTGGCGGGCCTGTGGTGTCTAGATGATGCCAACTTCATGCAGATGAAGCAGGCATTGATTCCTCGCTTGCGCTTTCACTTCCTGGACCGGCAGTATGCGGTGGGGGACCAGGCAGTTGTTCTGGTGGCAAAGCCTTCACCCCTGTAGACACTTTGATGTCCATAGTAGTTACTTCATTTCAGTTTAACGTCTTTCTAACCGCACCCACAATACGTATAATATGCCCTATCTGGCCACCGTGGCCACGAAATACTGATGATCTGGATCCGCCTTGTGCGCCTCCTGATCAGTGGATGCAAACTGATACCGGAGCTCGGATTCAATCTCAAACCCATGCGCATGTAGCACATTGTACCACCCAGCTAACTTAGCCGCACTGCCCACAAAATCATGACCCATGAAATACATCGGTTTCTGATCCACCCACAACCCTTCCACATCATACAACGCCCCATCATCAAACAAACAATCGGCGGGAATAGTCGCGATAACCAGCCGCCCCCCGGGCGCTAACCATTCCCGAAACTTGCACAGCATCTCCACCGTCTGCGCGTGGGAGATGTTGAATAGCGAAAACACGGCAAAGATGGCATCGAAATACATCCCTGCCGCAGGGCTGTACTGGTTCATATCGGCGGTAACAAACTCGGCCTGCCCGATGACCTGGCGTTTGGCGATCTTTAGCATCTCCTTCGAGATATCGATGCCTATGACGCGGTGGCCAGCGGAGGCGATGCGGTAGGAGACAGGCCTTCCGGTGCCGCAACCCACATCGAGAACGGAGGAGCTACGGGGGAGGAGTGGGAGCACGCGGTCTATGATCTGATGGAGGCTGGGGTCTTCGGAGAAGGCCGCTTCGTAGCGTTTGGCGATTTCGTCAAACATCGTTTCTGCCATTTTGTCCATTGAGGGAATGAGTTGTGACAAGGAGAATTCAGGTTGAGTTGGATTGATTCTTTGGTTGGGGAGCTGGAGGCGGCTATTTACGCATCGTTATTTTCAAGTCAACACTATCTTAGTTTCTGTTGCAGTCATATAACACAAAGGAAATTGAAATACGACATCCCGTACGGTACTCTGTACAGTGGCGTTTTGTAGGTCTTTCATCACGCCTATATTTCTGCCGTGTCAAAACCATTCTTCTGGCCCTAAGAAACCTTGCCAAGAATCAATAAAACGAACCGATTCACTAGTATTTCATGCACTTCCCTCTGTCTCGATAATTTCCTGCACTCTATTTGGAATACTAGGTGATAAATGCACAAATACATTTAGACTTGGCGCTTTCTGGGCCTTTTCGATCAAAACAGCGTGTGTAGCATCGTCGTTTTGCATCGTCTTCAGTTCAGGGCAAATGTGATAGATCGCATCCTTCAATAGCGCCTGGAAGTTTTAAATTAGACTTAAATATCTAGCCCATGTACTAATCAACCCGATAATTTTCAGAACCAGCGGATCTAGGTGAATGTACGAATGTCATCATCTACTAATTGGGATGCCACGTCACCAGGCTGAAGCTGAACTGTGGAGAGCTGATATTTGGCTGCAAAGCAATACTCATATTGTACCACTCCACACAGAGTGGAAGCCTAGCCAAAAACCAGGGCCCGAACCTCGATGCTCTCTCGATCCCTGGCCCCAGGTGGGGTGCGAGGATCTTCAAATGCCGAATGAGGTAGTGCGACAGCCACGTCTGGGTCCGAGGTAGAATCAAAACACTTCAACAGCAAACACTCCTTGTTCTCCATGCCAGACCAATACAACCACTGCTGGCGCGGATTATGGCGCACCCCGACGATCTCGCCTGTGCGATGGGGTAGGCGAAACTCGATGGGTACCAGGTCGGCTGCGTCCACATGGGCGGCACTGGCCACGGCCAGGGGACACGACTGTACGGCACCATTGATCGGTTTCCAAACGTTGATGATGCGGTACCGGCCCTGCAGCAGCTGGGCGGCCCGCGTTTGATCCGTCACTGAGAGGCTCACTCGCCTTTCAGCCGCTTTGGCGGTTTGATCAGCGTGTGCAGTGAACAGGGGCTTGGTATGGTTGGTGCTCTGCTGGCGACGGATGACATGGTCGAAAAGGATGACCGTGTGGGCGCCGGGGATCTGATCGAGAAGCAGCTGCTCCACTAGCGGGTAGTACACTCGATGAACAGTCTCGTCGGCATCAAATGTCTCGTAGGTCACTGCGGGGAAGAAGTGCTGCAGCGCCTGCACGCCGTCTTTGTCGAGCGTGTACTGGTCTTCCTGGCCGCGCATGTCCCCCAGCGATACGACCACCGCTGGCTGTCCGTAGTTGAGCATTGGCGTACCGTCTTCAGGCTGCTGGCTATACTGGTAGGGAACGGACCCATCGGATGGGTTTTCGAAAAAATTCAACGTCACCTCGACGGGGCCACGGGGAATGTAGTCGGAATATGTGGTGGACATTATAAACAATGCGAAGTTGATCGGATGGTTGGTAGATAGTAAACCTGAGACAATCCAATGGAATATATGGATGTTCACAATACAATACATAGAGAAAATGACACGTATGATTGTCTCGACTACTAGTTGTTCAATTCCGCCGATTGCACACCCGTAAATAGCCGTCCTGCATCCCATTTTCGATAGATGGCCGCCAGTCGATCAGCCCTTTCCTCGCCCCAATACCAGCTGGGCGGATGAGAGCCATGGGACTCTCCGATGTAGGCGCCCACGGCATGCAGTCTGATTCGGCCCATGATTTCATCCACCCAAGTTCTGTACCGTGGCACCTCATTCTCGGCCTCGCAAATGGAATAGATACAAAAGTGATGATCCAACTGCACACCAAACGCCATGTCTGGGAGCACCCGCCGACTGTGTGGGTACATGGGATACCAGAAAGCCGAAGATTTACCTGGGGGAAGGGTCAAAAAAGCCTCTTCCAGTGAAAGGGTAACATCGACGTCGTTGTCCAAGAAGACGTTGTCGGTGTAGTAATAGTGCGAGTGCGGATTAGCCTGATGCTGGTTGTTGTACAGCCGGTCCAGACTGTCTTCCTGGTAAAACCATTCTACCAAAGTACCGGCTGGTCTTGTGTCCTGAACTTGCTGCAGCGCGGACTGCGCTTTGGACATAGTTGCCTCCATCGAGACGAAGTAGACCAGAAACTGGAGGTCGTCGAGTGAGGTCCGGTCCCCACCATAGTGAGCTACCATGACAACCTCCGTGTTGTGGTCTGTCTGGGGGATTAGAGACAGGGCCCATTCGAACGCTGTACGATACAATGCGCGAGGGTAGATGTATCCTGACGAGCGAATGCCCTGTGCTGGGGCCGGCCTCAACTGCAGGTGGAATTTGGTCACAATGCCAGGAAATGCTGTTGATGTTATTATTCATTTTAATCTGCACCGCGAATTCGTTCAAAGAGAATCAAGGAAGATGCTTACCTGGTCCTGCGCCCCGAGCAGCCCAGTAGAGATCCTCGTTCTGCTGAGCATTGCAAAGCAACTGCTTGCCCTGCGCAGTGATAACCTCGACAGCAGCAAGACTCTCGCATGCCCAGCCCCAATTCTGAGTCAGAATAAGTATGCTTGAAATAGCCCTGAAGAGGAATGGTGCTGTCATACCCTCGCATTCAACCCCATTCCTCCTTGCAACAGAAACCCCCCCCAACCCGACATCTGGACAGTGACCCCCTGGAAATATGAAGTCATGCTGCATGACGGCATCACTCAGTTCCTTGCTCGTGATACTCGGGGTGGCCGTTGCAATACCCCTGTCCGTGTCGACGGCCAGCTCTTTCCACTTGCCCATATCCAGAAGAAGCGAGTCAGGGTGAAGACTCCAAACCGCCATCGAGTGACCGCCAGAGCGAACGGCAATTTGACATTGTTGCTGGTGCGCCAGACGCACTGCTTCAATAATATCATCCGCGCTAGTCACTTGGATCACGGCTACTGGGCGATGGGGAGGACGGCGGAGATTGAATATTCCACTCAGACATGCCATCTCGTACTTTGTGGGGTCTTCTGACTCGCGGTGGACAATGTGCATTTTGATTATTGAAATAAATATATAGATATATGCGTGCTTGAGTGAGTTTGCGCGTAGAGAGAGAGAGGGAGAGAGAGATGACAGTTTGAAATGTCAGACAGTACTGCTGATCTGGCTGAAATGAAGCGAGGCTTACGATTCGCTCTCGATTAGTCCACTTGACACCCCCTATTTCACCTTATTACTTATTACTCTTCGCGTTTCTTGGTAGACAAGACAGTTTCTAGCAGTTTAAACAAGAGTCAACAAGATGTCCTCCCATGCTTCTCGAGTGGAAATCAACGTCCGCCCGTCAATCGTTGACACCATCCATCTTCGCAATGTTCAACTTGTCCTACCGGCAGCCCCAGACGCGTGGCATCGTCCTGCACATTCACAGCCGTGCATGGCGGCTGTCAGGCTCTCCTACGCCTCCTGTGAAGCATCAGCAAATGCGGATGACGTTGGCCTGACCATCGACTATGGAAAGCTATATCGCTGCATCGTCAGGGATCTGAACCAGCTAGGTGAGGGGAGAGATGTAGCGTCCCTCATATCCGCAGGAGCAAGAATCGTCAACCTCAATGCTGTTCATCTTGGGGATACGGTTCGCGGTGCCGTCGGTGAGGATATCCGGCTGACGGCGGGAATCATCGCCAACTGCTGCCTTCAACAGCTGAAGGAAACATCTGTACGTCGTCCTTCTGACTGGATCGAGGGATTTCGCGTACCCATCTCACTTTGACTAGCTACGCGCAGCGAGTATTACAAACCACGCCTTCCCTCCAGCCGTGGATCAAGACTTTGGTCGATTCCAAATCCACCTTGGTTTCCCCAAGGCCATTCTCCGCGCTGAGGGAGGTCTCGAGTACCGGAGCATCACGGAACTAGGCCATGTCCCAGGCGACGACAGCACGTCGCAGAACTACCACCAGCTAGTAGTGCTGGAAGAGGAATTCCGCATCGAGCAGATCCGAAGCTACTGTATCCTCGGCATCAATTCCCACGAGAGAGTCGAAAAGCAAGCAGTCTTGACCTCGCTGCACTTTCAGGGACCTGCTTTGCAGCCATGGAGTAATAGATTTATCGACACATACCAAGAAATGACTCGCGTAGTAGCGGAGGTAGGTCTATTCGTCAATCACAACCTCATATTCCCTGTTCAATATATCGCGACGTGTATTTACTGACTGATTCTGTTAGCGGATTGAAACCACCTTGTTTGGAAGTGTGGAGGCACTCGCCACTCTGGTAGCTCGCATTGTGACGATGGAATTTGATCATGACGAGGTCACCGTTTTGGTGGAGAAGCCGAGTGCGTTGGGATTCGTCCACGGCTCAGGTTTGGAGTGTAAGCGTTCTCGTGCATATTTTGAGAAGCGATCATGATCAGCTGGCAGATAGTAGAACAACGATATAGTCATGTTGACGGGGATCGTGCCATCAGCATTTTCTCCCGTCACTATGTCAACTATTGCCATAGTTAGCTGAGTATTCCATTACTTAAATACAGTATCAAGGAAACATAAGTAATTCTGCGAAATATCAGATTAGTGTAGCCTAGGGGGGGCCAAAATAACTCGTCCATATCCACAATTACATAGTGTTCTGCCAGCAGGATAGGCCCCGTTTCTGCATACCCTGGCTTAGAGGGTACGTATCATAGGCTGTTGATGTAACACTAGGACGTAATTAGTTAGCTTAATAGCGGCGAGAAAGTGGAATAAATGAGTTAATTTGGCCTCCCACTGTACCATACCTGGAGACGAGTATTGTAATACCGGTCTGATATCCACATTACAATATATGCAATAGTCTTGCTGATCTACAGTAGCTCGCCTGCAGGCATGCCGCTTCCCCCGCAGACGTTCAATGGCAAACGATAGGAGAAATCATATATGGAAATCACACTCTGTAAACTCGAAAGCACTATAGCACAGAATCTCTCATTTCCTGATTTTCACTTGAATTTAAAGGAGACTTCAGACGAGAATGGCGGCCAGTGACTCTTTTGAAACACGCCTCTTCATCAATGGTGAGGTAAGTTCTCGCTCCTCTGCTCGGCCGTGCATTTGTTGACCTCGCTGCAGTTTCGACCGTCTAGAGACAACAAGCTGTTCAGGGTAAATAACCCCACAACCGGCGAGATCATAGCCCAAGGTGAGTCTTCTATTCATTCACTGGTCATTGAATAGATCACCTGACATCCCCAGTCCACGAAGCCAGTGAAGGTGATGTAGACGATGCCGTCGCAGCAGCAAAGGCCGCATTCCCAACCTGGAGGGACCTCAGTCCCGCCGAGCGAGGAGGCTATCTTCGCCGATTCGCAGACCTCCTACTCGAGGCTCACGAGACCTTAGCCCAGATCGAAGCTGTTTCCAGTGGGAAACCCGTAAGCCAATTCTTCGAGAGCTTCGTCGCTGCTGACTTCTTCCGCTACTTTTCCGAGGCGGGCTGGAATGCCCAAGGTACGACCAGTCTGCATACCAGGGACCATTTGAATCTGTCGCTCAGGGCACCATATGGCGTTGTTGCTTGTATCACCCCGTGGAATCTGCCCATTCTACTGTTCGCCTATAAGGTTGCTCCCGCGCTCGCGGCAGGCAACACAGTCGTGCATAAGAGTAGCGAAAAGTCGCCGCTGGCAGTATGTCAACCTATCTCCCTGTCTCTTCTTTCCCATTGGCACACCTGACACTCAAACCAGGCAACATTTCTAGCTACGTTGGTTGCGAAGGCAGGGTTCCCCTCGGGCGTGTTGAACATGATCTCCGGCTACGGATCACCGGCCGGTTCCTCCCTGGCGTCTCACCTTCAAGTGCGCTGTCTCAGCTTCACGGGATCTCCACAAACAGGGCAGAAGATCCAGGCGGCCGCAGCGGCATCGAACATGAAGCATGTGCACTTGGAATTAGGCGGAAAATCGCCGTCTCTGGTCTTCCACGACGCGGATATTCAGGCGGCCGCTGAGCAAACCGCCACCAGCCTGACCTTCTTAAGTGGACAGAGCTGCATAGCCAACTCTCGGATCTACATCCAGGACTCGGTCGCGGATGAGTTCATCGCTCTATTCAAGAGCGCCTTTTCCTCAGCCCGGGCGGGGAATCCGCTTGATGCAGCCGTCTCGCGCGGCCCTCAGATCGACGAGCAGCAACATGATCGAATCAAGTCATATATTGAGATCGGCCAGCGAGACGGCACGCTCACGCTTGGTGGAGGCTCAGGACCAGGCCTCTTCATCGAACCCACTGTCATTGAAGACATAACGGAGACCTCGCCGCTAATGCAGGAAGAGGTTTTTGGACCGGTTGTTGCTATCAACCGCTTCCACACCGAAGCCGAGGCCATCAATTACGCCAACCAGTCCGAGTTTGGACTCTACGCCTCCGTCTTCACCAGGGACCTCGACCGTGCCGTGCGGGTCTCCAAGCTCCTAGAGGCGGGGACCGTGGCTGTCAACTGTACCAGTCCGACCATGGCGATGGATATGCCGTTTGGCGGATACAAAACAAGTGGTGTTGGTAGAGAGGGATACCTGCACAGTTTGGACAACTTTTTAGAAACCAAATCAATTCTTATGCGTATTGGGCGGGCGTAGAGTGGATGATACTAGTCCGGTGTTAAGATATCTAACATGTTCTGTCCTAGCACCTTCTACTAACTATTGCATGGCCACTTGAAGATTACTACTGTAGTTAGTTCATGATGTACCGCGGCCTTAGCTTGTTTTCTGGTTATTTTAGTCGCTCACCCTGCATTATTTTAGGATATTTACATTACCCGTACTGTACCAGTCTTTACTCTAGCATTCCACTGGTAGATAAATTGATCACCTTTCGCTAGGACGTCAGAATGTTCGTTCATTCTTTTTTTTCTAACTTCTTCTCACTCAACAACCCACGCTTGGTATTCCGTCATGACCATTGTAAGTCCCACACTTTTAGCATTCAAAGAGTTTGACTATGTCATCGTCGGTGGCGGAACAGCTGGCCTGGTCCTAGCGGCGCGCCTGTCCGAGGATCCGACGATGACGGTAGGCGTACTCGAAGCCGGGAAATCGAGACTGGGCGATGAGAATGTGGACAGCCCGGCGGGGGTGGGCAATGTACTTCATAATCCTGAATATGACTGGGTTTATCAGTCAACACCACAGGTATGTTTTGCTTGGGCTGAATATGTGCAATCTATGTGTTTGATCTCATTCTAGGACGGCTAATCGGATGTTTTCAGTCAGGAACAAACAATACGGTCCACCATATTGCCCGAGGCAAAATGCTGGGGGGGGTCCAGCGGGATCAATTATCTCGCGTATTGTAGACCAGCAGCGCAAGACATCGACTTCTGGGAGCAACTAGGCAATAAAGGCTGGAATTGGTCTGAGCTACGTCCCTATTATCATCGGAGTGAGGGTCTCGACGGGAAGGCCGGACCGCCGGTCGAAAACAAGCCGGACTTCTTCGCACATCACCCGCAGTCGCATGGACGAACAGGACCGATTCGGACATCATTTGCGCCGTGGCGGGTTCCAGTGGAAGATTCGATCATCGCGGCGTTGGATGAGCTGTCCGGGGTGCGGTCGTCGGGTGATCCTTGGGATGGTGATCATCTGGGGATTTACGGATCGCTGTCCGTGGTTGATACTGGTAATGAAGGGGGCAGTCGAAGCTATGCCGCCACAGCATATTTGGCTCCCGCTATCGACCGGCCAAACCTACACGTCTTGACAGATGCGACAGCGTGCAGGCTTCTAGTGGAGCGAGGACGCGACGGCTTGACTGCGCGCGGGGTGGAATTCTCCCACGAGAGTGCCATCCACGCCGTCCACGCCAGGAGGGAAGTCATCCTATCCGCGGGGACGGTGTCCAGCCCTCTCCTGTTGGAGCTTTCTGGGATCGGCGATCCGGGTGTTCTCGGGGCTGCCGGCGTAGAATGTCTTGTTCGAAACCCGGCGGTGGGCAACAACTTACGCGAACATCCCATGACCTGTATCACGTATGAGCTGGCAGAGGGCCAGATCTCACTCGATTCTCTGTTCGATGAGTCAGCTGCTCACACTGCGAAACAGCAGCTGCTAACCACTGACGACTGCAGTGGTTCCTTCAACGGAGCCATGGGGCTGGCTGGCTTCTTGCCGTATACGACTCTCGTTTCGGCCAGGGAGCTCAACGAAACGGTATCTCAAATGATCGGCGATGAGACGCCCCTACCCAGTGGCGTCTCCGAAGTCGAGAAACAGGAGCTGGTCGCACGCCTGCAGAATCCCCAATATGGCGCCGTGCAGGTTGTGGGCTGTCCGGCCTACTTCGATGTGTCTGCTGGACAGAGAGACCAGAGCCAACTAATGCGAGGCGCTCCACCGGGCCGGAATGCTTGTTACGCCTTTCTCCTTAGTTTAGCCGCCCCGTTTTCGCAGGGTAGCTCGCACATCACCTGCGCGGACCCATTTGCGTCGCCCCGAATCGATCTGGGCCTGCTTTCCCAGTCAGTCGATGTCCACATCCTCGCCGGAGCTCTAGACTTTGCAGATCGGGTCTTCCGGTCCGCGAGGGTCATCGACAAGATCGCGGAGCGGGTCTATCCGCCGCCCGAGATCGATCTCGCAGATCGAGAACAGGGTCGAGAGTTCGTCAGAAGCCATACAACGGTCTTCAATCACATGCTAGGCACCTGCGCGATGGGTCATGTTGTGGATGAGCGGCTGCGTGTGAAGGGGATGGGCGGGCTGAGAGTGGTGGACGCGAGCGTGTTCCCCACACAAATTTCAGGCAACATCATGGCCACCGTGTACGCGATTGCAGAACGGGCTGCAGATTTCATTCTCAGTGATCGCTTCGAGTAGTCCAGGGTGATGCCCTTGTTTGTTGCTCCCTGTATTCTGGCGTACCTCCGCACTCCATATGTAGAATGCAGCGTGATATTCTACATAGATTGGTTCCACTGTGGTTCATATTAAGTTACACTGCATAAATCGATTACAATAGTCACAGTGGATTTGACCCACTATGATCATCCCTGTCAGTGTATGGAGTACATGATGCATAGTATGTACAGTAGTTGTATGTGTATACGTAGGCCGATAGAGGTTACGTGACATTACTACAGATTACCTGTTACACACCCTAAATCCCGCCAACCAGCCCCCCCATAACGAAGATTTCAGAACAGTGTTTATCTGAAGTGGAACCACTAAGATACTATTAAACTCTTAAACTAGCAAGTAGTCAAATACAACAGATAACCCAACACATTCAACCTCCCTGCTCCGACCAAGATGTTACACTTTGTTCAAGCAATAAATCTAGGTGAGAATCTCGTAATTCTCAAGCAAACAAGCCAGACAAGCGAGCCAGCCAATTTAAAACACCATACTAGATACGGGACATTATAACTTCACATCTGAGAACCTATATCTATTGTAGTTATACAATGAGGTATATAATGTGAAAATTATGCTGGACTTCATGGTAAAGTTTTGAACTAATAGTCTGGAAGGACTGATATGTAGATAAGCCGGAATACTTTACATATAATGATGTAGAACCTGCAATTTCAAGATGGCTTAGTGGTTGAAATATCGTGGAATCAAAACTTTACAGCCTTGAGTATGGTGTTCTGGGGTGGCCAGCTTACTTGTGTGGCCGGTTCGTTGGTAAATTACATTACGTTATATAACGTAGCTGTTTATTATGCTTGATTATTACAAGAGCACACAGACATCATTATCTTCCCTTAGGTTGAACTTAGTCCCGGTATTCTTTCCTGACTGTTCCTATTCAATTCATGCTACAGAGGAATCTTCATCGAATACAATGTATCTCGCGAATGACTTGATCCTCATTTCACTCGGCACCGTCGTGTTGTCAGCGTTGATCAAAGTATGCGCCTTTTTCATAGACCCATCAGAAGTACGCTAATCAAATAGAACTTCATCGCCGTTCACAAAAGACACATTGCCACAATCCCCGGACCGTGGTATACCAACTGGACGGATCTCATTCTAGAATACCACTGGATCATCGGGGACAGACCAAAATATGTCCACGGACTACACCAGAAATACGGTACGTCTCGCATTCACGCAATCAATCCTTCCAATTGATACTGATCTGCAAAGGCCCCATTGTCAGGATCAGCCCGGACGAAATCGACATTTGCGATGTGAACGTCGTCAAGGAGATGTCAAAGGCGGGCACGAAATTCCTCAAATCAGCCTGGTACGATAAATTGGCTGTCGGGGGCGCGAAGAATATCTTCAGCGTGCGGGATCCCAAGGCACACAGTCTGCGGCGGCGATTGCTATCTGCACATATGACGGATGCGTCGTTGCAGTTGATGGAGCCGGTGGTGGTGGGCAAGGTGAAGCTTGCGATTGACCGGATGCAAATGGAGATGAAGCAGCGCGGGGCGATAGACGTTTTCAAATGGTGGTATTTCACCTCAACGGATATCATTGGTGAGTTGACGTTTGGGGAGTCATTTCAGTTGCTCGAGCGAGGAGAGGTGAGTATTGCCCTGTGTGCTAACTGGGAAAGCATGGGTACTAACGCGGGTATAGAAAACGCAATTTGCCATGGATCTGGAGCGACTACCGAAGCTAGGGATGATTGGAACCGCATTTCCTCGTCTGCTCCAGCTTGCGCGGCAGCTCCCAGTGCCTTATTTCCAGGATGCGCTGCAGTCTGGGAAGCGCATCTCGGCATACGCAGAGCAGTCTCTAGTGTCCTACAGGGAGTCTATCACTCGGGAGCCATCGCTTGCCAAACCAACTCTATTCACGCGATTGCTCCGCGCCAGCGATAGCGCCGATGCTTTGTCTGACATCGACCTCACCAGTGAAGCACGGGGCTATATTGTTGGGGGAAGTGACAATACGGCCGTCAGCTTAACCTATCTTGTCTGGGCCGTCTGTCGTAACGTGGAGATCAGACAGACACTTCTGCGTGAATTGGAGACGCTCCCAATGGATTTCGGCGATGAAGAGCTGAGGAAGCTCCCATTTTTGGGGCAGGTCGTCAAGGAAACTCTGCGCCTATACGCATCGAATCCGTCCAATCGCCCTCGCAATGCCCCAGCACCTGGTGCATATCTATGTGGGTATTGGGTTCCTGAAGAGGTGACGGTCTCCACGCAGGCATATAGCTTGCATCGCGATAAGGAAATTTTCCCTGATCCTGAAAGGTGAGGCTTGACCGAAAGAAAAGTCAAGTTTGAGAAGTTCTTCTTTGCTGAAACATATTCTAGATTCGACCCCTGGCGATGGGCTTCGCTAACACCGGAAATGAACAGGGCGTTTGTGCCGTTTGGTGGAGGATCTCGAAGTAAGTAGGCACAAGCATGTTCGTCGAAATCGATGCTGACGAGGATATTAGTTTGTCTTGGCTTGCATTTGGCAGTCCGAGAGCTTCGCTTGGGCGCTGCACATTTCTTCCGTGCTTTTCCCACAGCCCGAATGTCGGCTGCTGAGGGTATGAGCGATGGGGATATGGAGCAGATCTGCTATTTCATCATGTCGCCCAAAGGGAAACGATGTCTGATGGCAATGTGAACATAGATTACAGTATTATTTACCAATTGTGGGCTGTTTCTTACATAAGATACATTCCGTCCTAGCATGTATTATTCATAACACAAGACATTACAGTTGGTATTATTATCATAGACGGAGGTAAGACTTTCTCAGCTGAAGCTCAGCTATTAACTCCGTACCTTTCTCCTTTTAAGAAAAAGAAACACGCTCTTCCTTACACAAATCTGTCTCAACACCTCACAATGGAGCGTCGTCCCTGGGGTTATACTTGGCGGTCTTCCACCGCATTCATCATTGTGTGTATCACCACCGCCCTTTTCGCTGGTAAGTCTCCATATCGACGGAAAGAAAGAAAATAAAAGACCGGCTCACCAAATTATTTTGCTAGAATCGTTCCTATACGGGTTCATCGTCCCAATCCTCCCGTACATCCTCGAAGACCGAGCCCAAGTTGACCCGGCCGATACCCAACGGTTGACCTACCTGGTCCTCACGTTGTATGGAGGGGTAGCCGTGATCTCCGGTATAATCATAGGTCAATTAGCCGATAGAGCCAGATCTCGAAAGCTTCCTTTGATTGTTGGGTTGGTTATTGCTTTTGTGGGCACCTTTGTTCTCGCAACGGCCACAGGGTGTAAGTGCTATCTCTTCTTGTCTCCCGTATGATGGATGGTAATTATCGTGATCAACAGTGACGGGCATTTTTATCGGTCGCCTTCTCCAAGCCATTGGTGGCACCGCAGCATGGGTTGTTGGATTCGCTACGTTGCGGGATACCATCGAGGCCGAGAATATCGGAAAGACATTCGGACTGGTCAACAGTTTCGTGGGCGCGGGCTCTCTTTCTGGTCCGGCGGTTGCTGGTATCTTGCTCGAACTGGCAGGGTACTGGGTGACTTGGGGTACAGTGTTGATCATCATCATCCTGGACATAATTATGCGAGTTGTGATGATTGAGAATCCGAGGAAAAAGCGAGATCAACACCGAACACCTGAGGGTCCAGCTGCAGAGCGCGAAGAGGCGACCGAGAACAGCGCCCTTCTGCCTGAGTTTAGTCAACAGCCGCAGGACCATGCCCCCTCCAGCCTTTCCTTCTACTGCACCATTCTAAGCCAGCCCCGGGTGATAGTTGGACTGCTCAGCTATACCACTTACTCGTCTCTGGCAGCCAGCTACAACACAACAATCCCTATCCATGTGCGATCCTCCTTTAGTTGGGGTAGTTTAGAGACGGGATTGATCTTCGCTGCGCTGCAGGCCCCCAATCTGCTCCTCAGTCCGATGTGTGGATGGCTGCGCGATCAAATGGGCACTCGAGTGCCCACGGCCGTGGGCTTCATCTTGCTGGCTCCGCTACTGTGGCTCCTCGGGGCTGCTGATCAACCACAATTTCCCTGGTCGGCCCACGGTAGAGTCATGTATATTGTGGCCATTATCATTATTGGATGCGTGCAGAACTTACTGGCCAGTGTCGGTACTATTGAAATCACTTGTGAGTTTTCTTCTCTTCCTTTTTCCTTGAAGCCCTTTATCCCCTTGAGATACGATTGAGAAATCGCTACAGGTGCTGTTGATCAGCTCGAGTCCAAGAATCCCGGCATTTTCGGTCCCAATGGAGGCTACTCCCGAGCCTACTCACTTTCCAACGTGAGCTTCACCATGGGATTTCTAGTTGGTCCACTTTTGTCCGGGTCCTTGGTCAACGTTTTCGGGTATTACATCATGAACTCGGTTTTTGGTATGTACATATCTAATCCTGACCATCAACGTACGCTAATGTGGATTTTAGCAAGCATATGCGTCGTGCTCTCGGTTTTGGCTCTGGCGTTTCTGCAGGGGAAGTCGTCTGTTCGTGGGCAGAAGCAACAGCGCGGTGAGAGTGCACCGGAGGTATGAGTTGGAGGACCTGTCGGAACAGCAGCAGGATGCGGATATACTATCCGTGGCATGGACCACTTTCACCGCTTCTGGTGGCTGAGAATGGAAAATCTTCTCTGTCCACTTTGTACGGATAACATATACAGAACGTGTTTCACAAGCGAGTCGGTCACCCCACCTAAAAACGCGTCGCGCGTAGCAACCCTCCTTCAAAGCACCACTATGCCACCAATTCGCACCGGACAAGCTCAAAAACGAACTCAGTAAGTAGGCAGGATTGAATTGCTTTACAGGCGCTTAGAAGTAAGAAAACACCTTCTATCAACAAAGCTACACAGGTTTTCGATGTACCGCGTTCAATATTGTAAGAGCGTGTTAGGGGAGTAAATTATCAACGAGATGCTCGCGCCAACAGCATGAAATTAGATGCAATTGAGGATGATTTGCGAGAACGATAGATATTGGACCTGGATAAGTGTGGCAAGGCCCCTACCTTTGCTCTTGTAAAAGAAATAGCCATTGTACTACTTGCTCAGCGTTCCGATCACTATTTTGCTACAGCTAGCAAAGACTGGAAATACAACTTCGTTGCACATCATAATAACCTAAACCAAGGGACCTGGAGCAGCGGGCCTCACTGCTTAGTGATAAAGGTTTCTTAAGTATAGGCAGAATTCACCCCTAACTAGACATCGGAACGTAGACCTTGCCAAAGCCCGTGGGCCTCTGAGCCCGGGCCGCTAGTCACGGGCTACGGACCTAAAGCGAGGCCCGTGGGCAGGCTAGCCTGGCCTGCGGGCCTTTAAACAAAACAAATACTAGAGAATTTGATAGTGTATAATTTATTTATTATTCTAAGGTATTATATTGTAATTATTATAGCTAAGGATTATCTTTTATATATTTAAAAAGAAAATTGATTATGTTAAATCTAGTACGGTATAAATATATTATTATTATGTCTTGCCTATTTGTGGTTGTGACGAACCTGGCCGCTGTTGCCTGAGTCACCTGATACGTCACGTGCCTAGACACCAGCTCATGTACGATAGTTGCGATGAGAACTCTCTCTCTCTTCTTCTCTTCCCTAGTTTTGTTACTTTTCGTCAAAATACTACAATATTTCAATATTCGAGTCCTTATATTGTAATAAAACTCTTTTCTACGTCCTACAGTCGTAAAGATATGTGCTCTTTTGAATGTCTGCCTTGATAATAGGATATATTCTATCTTATCTCTTACTTTGATTCCGACCGATCGACGACTATTATGATAGTATATTCTAAGGAGACCCTTAAAAAGTAGAAAGCTTATTTTACTGAGTTCCCTAATAGCGATATAGGTAATAAAGGTTGTACCTTTAAGTCTAAAATCGAATTAATAGTTAGTCTGAGTATCTTACCTTAGAAGCCCTTAAATAAAGGTAAGAAGAAAGAGAGAGCTAAGAGATACTTCTTCTATATAATTATATATCCTATTCTATCTAGGGTAGATAATAATAGTTTTTACTAATTTAATAATTTAGTAGAGATATAGACTTTTCTTATAGAGGATCTAGTATACTAGAATATTCTATTTAACTACTAGTAGAAGACTATCTATAAGTTAAATAATACTTATAATATAATCTATAATTATAGTTAGAAATCCTACTCTAGTCTAGATATTACTGATAAATTCTCTAAGGAAAAAGTAGAACTAGAACTAGAATCTAATCTCTAGACTATAATACTTATAATATAGAAAGTAATAAAGGTTAATTTTATAGAGATATAATATCTTTAATAGAAATAAGATAATTATTACTATTAGACTAAGTGTGAGAACTCAAATATTAAAATATTGTAGTATTTTGATAAAAAGTAATAAAACTAGAGAAGAGAAGAAGAGAGAGAGAGCTCTTATTATAACTATTATATATGAGCTAGTGTCTAGGCACGTAATGTATTAGGTGACTTAGGTAATAGTGGCCAGGTTTGTTATATTATCCTCTCTTCTGATAGGGCCTAGTCCCTAGGCCTTAATAACCTATATCTCTTGTAGCTTAGGCTTACTATTATCCTTATTATCTTCTACAAATTTGTTATCTACTACTACTTACAGCTATATCAATAGTCGAATTAGGGGACCTAGCTTCTCAGAGAAGTATTTATAGAATACCTTTAGTTTTTCCGGCATATTCTTGTAATTACCGGCAGGATACTACTAGGTATCTTTGATTCTAACCCAGAATATACAGTATTGTAGTTTACTACAGAATAGATATATATCTTTAATTTTATCTACTTTAAATACTTCTTTATTATTAATAATAATAGGTAATACTTTATTAGGGATTTAATCAGTTAATAGTACTATCCGGGCAGCCAGATATAGCTTATTAGGTAAAAAAACTAGGTATACCCTTATAGAATTAGGTAATTTAAGCTTCTAGAAATATCCTACTTTCTCTAATATTTTAAATAGACTGTATTACTGATTAGCTAGTTTGTAGCTTTGTTGATCTGTTTTCTATATTCAGGCTATTATAAAAATAAGCTAGCCTATATTAAACTTATCTTTATAGTATCTTTTATCAGTGTAATACTTTTATTTGGCTTGAGTATCTTTTATAGTATTATAGGTATAATTCTAGATCTCTTTAATCTTATTTACTATATCTTATATAGATTAGATATTATTAAAGAAGATCTTAGAGATCTTAGTTATCTAGTTAAATAATATTTAAGGGTTAAACTCTCTTTTAGTAAAGAAGAGAGACTACTCTATACTACTCTATAGTAGAGTAGTAGTAATAGTATAATTAATAATTATAAGATAATCTAACTAATTATCTTAATAGTAATTAACTATAGTTTAAAGTTTCTAGACTATTTATTTATTAGTAATTTTACTCTGGCTATCTATTAGTATATAATAGATTATTAAAAGTTTTTACTTAATTCCTATAATATATATAAACTCCTTCTAGAAGTTAGAGATAAATTAGGGATCTTAATCTAAAATAATAGTATTAGGTATCCCTAACTATAGTAATATATAGTATATAAATAACCTTACTATATCTTCTGCTATAATAGTCTTATAATAGGGAATAAATATTATTCTTTTTAAAAGATAGTCTATAATTACTAAAACTATATTATAACTATACTTATCTTTTAGTAATAAATAGAAGTCTATTAATAAATATTATCTAGGGTATTTAGGGATTAGAAGTAGATATAGAAGACTAGGTAGCTTATTCTACTAGTATTTAGTTCTCTTACAGATTAAATAGTTATTAATATATTATATAATATTGGTGATATATCTAGGTTAGTAATATTAAGACTTTACTAACTTTAGTATCTTCTCTTACCCTAGATATACTGTCCCTAGTTATTAGTAGATTTTATTAAGTAAGTAGGTATAGAGATTACTATTATCTAGAATAACTAGTTAGTTATTAAATAAGAGAGTTCTATTATTATAAAATATCTATTTAGTCTTAGTATTATTAAGGGTCTTCTTATAATAGTTATTAAGTAATTAGTATATCTAATTAGAGAGCTAAATATAGTTAATTATTATTATATTAGTATTAATTAGGGTAACTATTACCTAAACTACTAGATTAACTATTAATCTAGTAGGCTTAGGATTTAGATAAAAGATATCTATTATATTAATTACTATAATTAGGGCCTCTACTATATCTACTATTAATATTAGGGGTTATTTAGTTTACTTATTAGCCTTATCCTTATATAAGAGAGTATTAGTAATAGTATTAGTACTACCTAGATAATACTAAATAATAAAATAGAAATAGAAAAGAAACTTAGCCTATTATACTTATTGTAAATTTAAAGTCTTCTTAGTTATAAAATATTATAGAGTATAGTAGTTAGTATAGATATAAAACTGATTATTGTATTATAGTCTCTCTAGTTCTAGTTACTATTCTATTAATACTTATATAATAGTAAGTAACTTCTAGTTAGAAGTCCTATAGTTTTACTTAGTAGGGTCTATTATCTTTAAGAAATAGGCTATAGGATACTATAGAGTTTTAGTAGAGATTTACTATAAGAGAATAGTACTAGTATATCCTTTAGAGATATCTATTTCTACCTTAGTTTCTAGACTTAGATTATAGTAATAGAGTACTAGTATATTTATTAATTATTATTTAATCTTATCAAAAGTAGTTTAATATTTTAGGGACTAGGAGAAGGGAATATCCTTCTAGATAAGAAAATATAGTAGTTTTGTAATAAGACTATAATTCTTAATAAATTAATAGTAGAAGTTACTAAATCTAAGGAAAAACTATACTCCCTTAACTATTATTAGCTACTACTAGTTCTGGATAGTTTTAATCTTCTTTAGGTTAACCTTAATATCTTTAATACTAATAATAAAATCTAAGAACTTTATATATTAAATATAGAATTTATACTTCTCTAGGGATACTTAGAGCTCTATATCAATCAGATATTATAGTATCTTATTTATATATTTAATATATTCTTTAAGTAAATTACTATATATTAAGATATTATTAATATATATAGTATAGAAGAAGTCTAGATATTTACCTAGTATTATATTGATAAAGTACTAGAAGGTTATAGGTATATTTATAAGTCTAAATAGTATAATTTTATATTTAAATAAACTATACCTTATTTAGAAAGTTATAAGATTCTCTAAGTTAGGCTCTATATAGATATAGTAAAATCCTTACTAAATATCTAGTTTTATAAAGTATTTTATATTAGTAATATACTATAATAATTTATTAATTAGAGGAAGTAGATAATAATCTTTCTATATAAGGGAATTAAGTTTATAATAATTAATATAGAACTAAAGCTTTCTATTTAGTATATAAGCTATTAGTACTAGTAATATAAAGAGTACTAAACTAGGTTTAATAAAGTCTAGATATAGTTTTTCTATAATATAGTCCTTATAGATAGTAAATTCTTTAAATAATTACTTATAGAGCGGATAATAGCTAGAATTGAATA